TAAGTGCTTGGAATGGTGATAGGGTAAGTGATCCAAACGAGGGAGGAAGGGAAAGAAATAGATCCTAGAGCGTTTGTTTTTGGATTCGGTGAGTGAACTTTGATTTCGGGTGGCGTGTGCTTGGGGTTTCTCGCCATTTCAGCTTCTTGACATGTTGTCTTGTCATCATCCATTCATTCATTTCGTTCGGTATCAATTTCGTTTACATCATCTTCTCGTTCCAAGTCATTTTGTCCATCGCCCCATTCCTCATCCACACCGCCCATCCCAAACTGACACTAACGCGCACCCCATAGCCGATGCCCAGGAAACCACCTCGTCGAATCATCGATATGGCTATTAATAACCAGCATGCTCGCAACCCTTTATATTAGGAAGGCGAGGGATGAAAAAGGCGTGGAGATAGAGCCGGTTGTTAAATTTGAGAATGCTGTTTTTGGGTGGGTGTTTCTTTTTGTTTTGTGTGGGTTTTTTTTTGAGGGGGCGGGGGCTGCGTTCGTTTGCGTTCGTTTCAACTTGCGTACTGTTTGTTGAGTTGAGTTGAGTCGGGCATCAACCTCAACCACGTCATCACTGTTCCTTCGCTTTTGTTTTTTTTCTTGAAGGGAAGGTGCTTATGTTTATGATGCGCTTTCATTGAGCTTTTGGAATATCTTTGCCTTGCGTTACCTTGGCTCGCTTTACTTTTTCCTGCTGCTTTTGCTCGTTCTTTCCTCCCATTCCACCCCATTCAACGCACCCACAACCCATCACAACACCTCCAAAACCCCCCCCAAAAAATAACGAGCGCTAACCCAACCCCTCTCATCCAACAGGACGCCAAGCCCGTTCGTATGTGATATACGTCCTAGGAGCGAGGAAGCGCTGAGGTTGATTATGGAGGGCGAGTAGGTTGGTGTGCCCTGAACGTGCTGATTGCAAGTGTATGATTATAATGAGTGCACGCGCGACTGTGCTGGCACCGATTGTCACTCGGGTGGACTGGCGTTCCATATACGTTGGTTCTTGCTTGGGCCTGGAGCCTTATGAAAGTGAAAAGTATATATCATATCATATCATTATCATTATCAAGGTCGTACGATATCGTGTGCGTACTTGAGTCGCTTTTTCTTTCTGTCATTGAAGTGATCACTGTTTACTAGGGACTGCCTGTGGGTGCGCATGCACTGCTAACTAACCAAATGACAGCCAACATGCCTGAAATCAGCCCCCATACCCAAGGGAAGTGTCCAACCATCGAAGTTCTGAATAGCAAAGGGAGAGGCAGCGGAACCCAGGTGTGTACTTCCTTTTTTTTCAGCTTCGCGAGTAAATCGGTGATCGGCACCAAACGTTTAACGCTTGTCCAGAAAACATGGAGAAGCTCACATACGTTGACTCCGAGATTTTGGCGAGTGCCTGTTTACCACTGTACCATGGTGGTCTGGCACAGTGGCTGGAGTCCGGGCTTGTAGTCAGTTGTCATAGGTTGCCGTACGTGTCGTAGTCGATAGCCTCTCGCAATCGATGGTTGGCCTTAGGCTTCCCTTGCAGTCCGTGCCGGTCCACCACACATTCGTGTGTACAGTTCAGAGTGGAGGATGAAAGGCTGGAGAGATTGGATAAAGAGACAAAGCCTTGGTGAGAAGAAAGCAGAGAGTCGAGATGTAATCATTAGAACTGACAATATTTTAATGCAATTGCATGGGAGACGCCACGGCCCATGAAGATACACCAGACACCTTCATTTGGTGCAGCTCTACAGGCACCTCGACAGCCCCGCGCTTCTGTTCCATGATTGTTCAATGATGACCGGTTTTTCCGAAGCAGCATCACACGAGCACCACGCGCTTCCGTTTTTTTTTCCAATTCCGCAGGTACCTCGACAGCTCCGCGGGTCAGTTGTTCCACAATGACCGGAGGGAACAATTCTGCCTAAAATCTTGAAACCGCCCTCGTGGCTAACGGAAGCGCTCAAGATCGAAGTGCTGAATAGCAAGGGGAGAGGCAGCATGACACACGCACCTCGACAGCAGACCCAGGTGCGCACTTCTGTGCTTCCAGCTCTACAATAAAATAAATCAGCGAAGTAGGATTAGACTAGAAGTTACCAACTGAGCCTATTACGAAATGGCGGGAGGGGATAGGTTCTGCCTAAACTCTTGTCGTGTTACATTAGCTGGAAGCAGGCACCCTCCAAACAGGGTTGTGTCAGAGATAGGGTCTTTGGGGCCACAGGACGATAAATTTGATGAAAACGAAAAAAATCGTCGTGTGGTATGATCCGGCAGGCATATCCATTCTGCCAACCCGACTCCTGTCTACAACACTGAGAGTTAACTTTCGCGATAGTATAAAAGCAAGTCACCTTCCTTCCGTCCATCCCAACTCAAACTGATCATTCGAGCACCTCACCAGATCATACCACCTCGCACAAACAATGCGTTTCTCCTTCCTCACCGTTATTGTTGCCTTTACAGCATCTATGATGTCTGTCAGTGCATGCAAGGGTGAGGGCAAAAAATGCAACAGGGACAGTGACTGCTGTGGTGAGGAAATGTTCTGCGTTGCACTTGTAGGAGTTTGCTTTGCATCCAGTGTTGACCTGATTGCTCACCTTTGCGTTTCGTAGTATGAGGCTCATGCAACTTGCGAATATTAAAAGGTCAAGAGAGCAGGCTGGTTTGTAGACACACTGGTGAGTCATGTTTCCGCTTTCGCATTGGTGCTGTTGTTGATCGAATGATACGCAGCTCACTGATGAGAGTCAATATTAATATTGAATCGGAGAAATATATTATATGTCAAGTGAATGAAGTTGCGTACTTTTTGGTCTTGGTATAAACAGAGCCCCATGCGTCGGCCATAAATCAAACGTGTGTCAGTTTAAAGATAGTTGAATGAGATCAAGTGTCGACTTTTCACAGTCGGTCGTCGTTCATCCGACAAGGCAGTTCATACCGGTTTCTATGTCAGTCTCATTGGAGCTCGACCAGACGGTCCAGACCTGTAAATGCATCAGCTTATCCGATTCGATATAGACCTTTCAAGATATGAAATCATACCAGCATGATGAGCAGCATCAACCACCAACGTTTCAACACGCCATCAGAGTCCTTGACATCGTAGCCGTGGGAACTATAAGTATCTTAGCTCAGGATCGTGCACCCGAAGGCAAAATTGAACGTCTGAGGTAACAACTCGAATGTGCGCTGGCTAAATAGAACGAAAGATCTTATATCGACCAACAGGTATGAGACCACGGCAATAACGAGTGCCGTCTGGTTAAGACAGACAAAATAGTGTCACAGAGGGTCACCACAAAAGTCAGATCATGTCCGAGGCATGCCTGCCTATCTTAAAAGTCCGCGTCCGAGTCATGGGGGTTATAATACTCCAGAGGAAAAGAATGGGCGACACTGCACGTTGCAGCAAGGGAGCATTGCGTGTGGCATGAACCGAATGATGTGTCTGTACCATGATGATGATATAAACTGTAAGGAGCGTGAGGCCAATGGTGAACCCCGCGCATTGACCGAGTGTTTGTCTCTTGAGGGTTGATCTCTTTGACGTTCATCCCGAAGATTGACTACATATGTGATCAGATAGGTTGCCGAAACTTGCTGGTGGGAAGAACATTGTGAGGTACGAAATCTCCGAAAAGTAGGTTTGTCAGGATATGGTGTCACCTCGGTTCGAGAAAAGGATACATTTTCCAATGAGTTATTGACCGTTGCCTCTACAAGCAACCGCATCTTGCTGTAGTATCATTTCATCACTGTAACGGAACATGTTCTTAGGTGGCGCCCGCCGCTGACTCGTCTAGAGTCTAGGATATGTGAAACTTGGGACATGCGCACGATGAGAGATGGAATCGGAGACACAAATCTTCTAGGTCATGGCAACATCTCATCGCAGCACCAGACAATCCGGTCATAAATGCAGCTGACCGCTAGTTCATTTATGAACGAGCTGAGACGAGTATGGCGTCAGGGAAATGTCGAGTTCATCACCCAACTGTTTCCTTCACGCCATAGTCGTCGTCATCCATCCAGTCAAGTCAGTATGCCATACGGCTCTGTCGATTAATGCAGGGAGAAAAGAAAGTGGCAGGATTGATACGTACGTGCTCCAATTTCCACTGTTTGAAATTCCAAACGCAAAGAATCATTACTGGGAAGGAAAGACCAAAAGAGAGGAAACATACAGTGGTTCGGTTCATTCCCATCCAACGTTACCGCGCGAGTTTGTACCGATCCTGCACGACAGCGAGGTCTCATGCGAGGTCGTGGCGTCAAGACCGGAGAGTAGGCTATTGTGGTGTAAGTTCGCCAGGATAGAAGGACTGAACAACATACTCAACATTCTCCAAAGCCTCGATCTACAAGTCCACATCCAGTGCATATGATGGCAAATGTAAAGCCCCAGATAAGATTGCACCAAAACAACATGGATTCAGCGGTCCTGTATATAAAGATATGTAGAAGACAACTGACCGACAAGGTTATATTGGCGCGTCGTTCCGCGTGGTGATTGAGTAAAAATCTCTTCCAAAACGGTATGGACTTGTGTTAACGGTCTGTGGACACGAGGTAACTTGGATGAGGGTGTGGGTTGAAAGATAAGGTACGTCGATGAGGGCCGATGCGACGCGGGTTTTATATAATGAACAGCCATAAACAGAGACAAACATGAAGGAGGATCAGGTCCTAGGTGCGTTTGGCCATCCTTTCACCACGGCATAAGATAGTCGAACGTTGAGCAAACAAGGTCTCGCTTTGTCGTGTGCTGCAAAGTCGCAATTCGATAATTCCAGGATTCGAATGAACGAGTGGAGTTGAGGCTGGCGGTATCTGAGTGTGCGCGAGGCTTGAACAGATGAAAGATGGTATTTGGGAGATAGTTTATGTCAATGCGACACACATTTTCTCCAATACCACATATCATGACAGCACTAGTAGGGGTGAACCGTGCATCACGAACGCCAGACACCATGGGCTACATATCAAGAACGGAGAGCCATGCCATTTCTAAAGTTTCCGACATGGCACAGCTGTCCGGTTCTCCATCCGAGGAAGGAACAATTTTTCTGGATGGGAGTTTCGGTTTCTTGATACCGCAGGAGAAGAGCGTTCCCGCATGATGCCCTCCCCTCTGTAAGTCAACCGGACTACTAAAGCAACTCACCTCGATACCAAGTTCGAAGCCCATGCACGTGATAACCCTTGATAAAAGTCGCCGCCCATCGATCAAAGTCGGGCCATGGCGTTGACAGGTGCTCTACTCCCGCTAGCAATCGCAGCCCTCGCCATACTCGCCTATTCCCGCCGCCGCCGCCGCCATGCTCCATTCCCCCCAGGTCCAAATCCCCTTCCCATCATAGGAAACATACTTGATCTCACACCAAGAGAACTCTGGCTTACAGCATTCAAATGGGCACGCACATACGGACCCATCACACACATCCGCATATTCAACCAATCCCTCGTATTCCTCAACACCCCCAAAGCTGTTTTCGACCTTTTAGATAAGCGTGGGTCTGTCTATAGCGATAAACCCCACCTCGTTATGGCTGGTGAGCTTTGTGGCTGCGAGAATATGGCCGCGTTTACTCCGTATGGGGACCGTGCGAGGAGACAGAGGAAGCTTATGCAAAAAGCATTCGGCCCTGCCGTTATCCCAATGTATCACGGGTTAATGCAGATCGAGAGCAGACCTTTTTTGTCTAGGTTGGTCAGTAGTCCTCTCCAATTCCAAGACCATATAAGAAGGTTCGGTCTCCCACTTAGTCATCTAGTCGTCATCTCATACATACCAGATACGCAGGCGGACTCACTCTCCTCGTCGTATACGGCCACCAAGTAAAATCCAACGACGACCCCTTCCTCAACCTCGCAGAAGAATGTGTAGACATCCTTGCAAACCGAATCGCAAGCGGAGGTGGCATATGGCCAGTCGATATCTTTCCCGCCCGTCAGTCTCATATTTTCATCTATTGTCCAAACTCACCTTCTCCGTCCTAGTCAAACACCTCCCCTTGTGGTTCCCTGGCGCATCTTTCAAGCGCAACGCCGCAATCTGGAAAGCAAAAATGGAAGAATTCGTAGACCGCCCATACGAATTCGTCAAAAGCGAAATTGTATGCCCCACTCCCTCCCTTCACATCCCAAAAAATAACACCCCACAGAAAAAAGGAACCGCCCGTCCTTCCTTTGTATCCACCCTCCTCGACCCTCCCAAATCCCACTCCTCCGACGCCTCATTCGATTCCTCCTCCTCCTCCGACGCATCCTTCACCTCCTCATTCGACTCCTCCTTCTCATCCGACAACACAACAGTAGCCGAAGACACCGAGGACCACGATATCCGATGGACCGCTAATTCCATGTATTCTGGTACGTCAGTCCATTCTTTCCATCATATCACGTTGACCTTTACCTTCACATCACGCTGACTCGCACAAATAACCCACCGCTCAAAAAGCCAGCATTGACACAACCATCACAACCCTCTCCCATTTCATCCTCGCGATGGTCCAACACCCCAACGTCCTCCGATGTGCGCAAGCAGAGCTCGATGCCGTCCTGGGATCAGGATCGGGCCCAGCATCGAGATCGAGATCGGACCAAGCATCAGGCCGAGGACCGGGGGCGGGTCAACGATCGAACCTCGGAGCGAGCCAAGGACCAGGATCGAGCTCACGATCAGGAGCAAAGAGGTTACCCACATTTGAAGATCGCGCAAGGCTGCCGTATTGCGATGCGGTGTTCACGGAGACGCTGAGATGGGGGGTGCCTGTTCCGCTTAGTGAGTTGTTTTGCTTTTAGTGGTGGATTGGGGTTTGGACTGATTGTGTGTCATTCCTTCTTCCTTTTCATCGCCCATGGACGCTATCGCCCCCGCCCATCTACGCCATCGCATCGTATCTTGAACTCCTCACCCACGCACCCCAGGCCTTCCACACAGACTGACACAAACAGACACTTACGAAGGAATGCACATTCCAAAAGGAACACTCGTCTTTGGAAATATATGGGCTATCATGCGTGATCCTCGGTTGTATCGCGAGCCTGAAGTGTTCGAGCCTAGGAGGTGGTTGGTGCAAGGTGATGGTGATGTGGATGTAGACGGGGTAAGTGCTTGGAATGGTGATAGGGTAAATGAAAATGAGGGAGAAGGGGAAGAAGGGAAAGAAAGAGATCCTAGAGCGTTTGTTTTTGGATTTGGGAGGCGGTGAGTGAACTTTGATTTTGGGTGGCGTGTGCTTGGGGTTTCTCGTCATTTTGACATGTCATCTTCCCACCATCCTTTCATCCTTTCATTCATCTTGCGTTCTTACCACCTATCTTTTCGTTCAAGTCATGTCGTCCACCGCCCATCCCAAACCAACACTGACACGTACCCCATAGCCGATGCCCAGGAAACCACCTCGTCGAATCATCAGTATGGCTATTAATAACCAGTATGCTCGCAACCCTTGATATACGCAAGGCGAGGGACGAAAAGGGCGTGGAGATCGAGCCTGTTGTTAGGTTTGAGAACGCTGTTTTTAGGTGGGTGTTTCTATTGTTTTGTGTGTGGGCTTTCGTTTTGGGGCGGTCATGTTCGTTCGCGTTCATTTCTACTTTCGCACTGCTTGTTGTCAAAGTTGCATCGACCTCAACCACGTCATTGTTATCCTTTCGTTTTTTTCTTCAAGGGAAGGTGCTTGTGTTTATGATGCGGATTCGTTGAGTTTTTGGAATCTCCTGATACGGTCACGGAGTGTCCTTACATGACAGTGTCTTGCAGGGAAGGTACTTGTGTTTATGACGTGGTTTCATTGAGCTTTTGGAATCTCTTCCTTTGCATTGCGTTGCGTTGTCTCGCTTCACTTTTTCCTGCTGCTTTTGCTTGTTCGCACCCACAACCCATCACAGCACCTCCAAAATCCAAAATCCAAAATACCGAGTGCTAACACAACCCCTCCCATCCAACAGGACACCAAGCCCGTTCGTATGCGATATACGTCCTAGGAGCGAGGAAGCGCTGAGGTTGATTATGGAGGGCGAGTAGGTTGGTGTTCCCTGCACGTGCTGGTTGCAAGTGTATGATGATCATGATTGCAAGTGCGACTGTGCTGGTACCGATTGGGACTGGGGTGGACTGCGTTGCACGGACGTTGGTTCTTGCTCGGGCCTGGAGCCTCGTCGAAGCGAAGCGAAAAAAAAAGTATATATCATATCATATCATTATCATTATCAAGCTCGCACGACATCGTGTTCGTACTTGAGTCGCTGTTTTCTTTCTGTCTTTGAAGTGATCACTGTTTACCGTGCTGGGGCTTGAGTCGTTCTGTGAAAGGTTTTCAGAGCGAACCTCGGGCTTCCGAATCTTTCAAAGCCTGGCTACTGAAGTACGACTGGGTGCGCATGCACCGCTATCATACATCAACTACGCAAGTTACCACCATGCCTGAAATCTGCCCACGTAGTAGCCAAGGGAAGCGCCCAGGCTCGAAGTGCTGAATAGCAAAGGGAGAGGCAGCGTCACAAATACCTCGGCAGCCAGAGCTCAGGTGTGTGCCTTCCGTTTTTTCAGCTCCACATGCACGCACTTCTGTATTTTCACAATGACCGGAGGCGATAGGTTCTGCCTAAACTCTCATCGTGCAGACTGACCAACTAATCAAATTAGCACCAACACGCCTGAAAACCGCTCCCATGGCTAAGGCAAGCGCTCACCGAGCTAAAATCGCGAAGAGAGTGGTCTTCACACAAGCGCCTCTGACGCTTCTGTTTGTGCAGCTCCACAGGCAGCTCGACAGCTCTGCGCTTCTGTTGCTCCACAATGACCGGAGGGGACAGGTTCTGCCGAAACCCTAGATCTCATCGTGCAAACTGATCCACTAACCACATTTGCAATGAACCCGAAAACCGCTCCCATGGCTAAGGGAGGTGCTCATGCTCGAAGAACTGAATAGCACAGGGATCGATCTCCGAGGCAGCATCACACGAGCACCTCGACAGCTCCGCGGTTCTGGTGTTCCACAATGACCGCAGGGGACAGATTTCTGGCTAAACGCCTGGAACAGCGCCCATGTTTTAAGGGAAGCGCTCAAGCTCGAAGTGCTAGAGAGCAAAAAGAGAGAGGCAGAATCACATACCTCTGCAGGAGGACCCAGGTGCGCACATTTGATGTTCCAGCTCTACAATAAAAATAAATCAGTGGAGCAGGTTCAGACAAGCAGTCACTCGACTCAGCATATTACGAAATGGCGGGAGGGGATACAGTGCCTTGCATATAAAACTGCGTAGTCGCATTTCCACAAACCCTATTTGTACCTATTTGCTCGGGCCAAAACATACCGAAAATACCTTTGTTGATGTGACCAGTCACAGCCTCACTAATGTCCTTGACTTTGCAGACTCGTGCCCTCGCTAGAAGGATTTCTGGAATATCCAGTCCGCAAGCAGAATCGCTGCTCACCAAACGTCGTTAGCAGCAAGACATCATCAAGAATAGTGGCATCCGACCCTGCTCCACCACGAAGATCCGGCAGGGACTCTCTTCGGATCTTGCCACCATCTAACACTTAAAGGTGTGTGCTCATTTTGTGTCTCTCCAGCGATTTACTCGTCTCACACTCACTCGTTTACAATGGCGCAGCCTCCCTTGCCCTCGACATTCATTCAGAATAATGCTCAGCGTCCGTCCGATGGCTGGCTTCGCAACCCAGCATGGATAGGTAATATTTCTATAGTTCCTGCTACTGTCATAGACATCTAACTAGTATTCAAAGATGGTGGTGTCAATCCGCCCCGTTACTACCGCACTCATCATGAAATTGCTGAAGCGTTACAAGCTGCGGCTCCAGCGGCTCGCCAGACTCCGAATTTGGCTCCTGTGACGATGCCAGAGGCTGCTGTAATGGCAGCTCAACCGGCCGTTCAAAATGAATCACTTGTAGATGGTTAGTTTTTTTATTGTTGTATTGATTGACGTAGTACTCATTTCATCAGGTTCGACTGCACCAGCACATCACCTTGTATATGTGTGCATGATGTCTTCCGTGATCGAGAAGCCACCTGGTCGAAATGCCAAAACCTCGACAAAGAAGGACAAGACCATCAAGTCCGACTATATCAAGATCGAAGGCAGCTCTCGCGCTGACTTCATCAAGGCTTTCTTTGGGGTTCACGATCTTAGTGATCAGTTCAGTCCCGGTGTTCATTCGGGTCCGCCTTTCAAGATCTGGTGGAGCGGATCAAGGTTAGACCTGATACTTGATCCTGTGTTGTACTTATAACGAGCAGTGGTGGCCGCACCAATGCTTCGACTGTTGAGAAAGATCGTGATTTTGAAGTTTCGGTTGAGAATCTCTTGAAGAAGAAAAAGGGCTCTTGTGTTGTTCACGTCGAGTTTGATACTGACACCTTGGACGGCTATAGGATTCGTAAGAGGGTAAGGAATACATGATGTGATTGCTCTGTTGTCTTATTGTTCACAGCTATTCTCGCAAACTGAAACATCTCAAGATCAAGAAGACGAGCTTCTTTATGGAACGAGGGTAAGCTATTTTGAAGTTTTATATGATAGCATAGTAATAATTTGTTGCATTACACTGGCAGGTTCCTCATGTCGATAATTTTTCAGAAGCTGCACAGCTTCATGGTTCAATCATCGTGCAACTGAAGCAGAAGTGGACTTGTGAGAAGCACCAGGGTGAACATGGCGAGCAAGGCTATTGCTATGTGACGCCAGCTGGTGAGCACATTGGTTTGAACATGCGAAAGCTCAAGATGTGGGCAGCTGCCATTGTAAGTTAATCACTAGTTGTCTGGCACCTTTCTAATGACGTCTCAGGCTGCTGCTGATGCTACGAAACACGAGCCACCAAATACGGGAGATTTCGATGGGCTCCGTGATGGACGAGCTGACACTGGTTCCAAGCCACGCGGACGTTGTGGACCACGGGGGGCTTCAATGTCAACTGATCCAATGACAATCCTCCTCGCTTCTATGATTCCACTCATTACAAATCAGCTCTCTTCAGTTACTCGAAACATAGCAGCTACTTCAGCCTCACCCTCAGAGCCCCCTTCGACTCCAACCCGACACTCTCGTGATCCTTCTCCCCCGCTGTCACCTGCCCCCGCTGCTGGATCTGAAGTACAAGCATGCTTGCAGAACTTTTTACAGGCAAAGGGCATTGATCTTCTCGATGCAAAACAAGCCTTGACTGATTTTGAACTCACTCCGGATATCATTGCTGATATTCCTGTCTCTCGACTTTGTGAAGTTCTTGGGACAGTTGAAGGGCGAGCTCGGAAGTATCAGATTTTCGCCAAGGAGTGGAGTGAGCGTCTGGAATCGAAGAGGCGCCGTCTTCGTTAGTTGCTTGATTTTCAAGGCTGCTTACACTCGTTTAATGACTTATGGCACATAACATTCATTTATCATAGTCAATTTGCAGCAACACGCTATAATGTCAAGAGTAACCACAATTCGTGACCCAGCCCTCAGCATCCTCTGGCAACACAGACATAGCAGCCCTGTGTATAAGCCAAGGACGGACTTCAGAGTTCACAACCTCAGCTTCGTGACGACGCAGCCACGCCTTGATTGAGTGAAAGGCTTGCTCGATTGGATTGAAATCCGGTGAGTATGGTGGAAGATATATCAATTTCGCTCCTGTTCATGTACTGAGACAATCGAAGAATAGAATGAGAAATGCAGACTCACCACATTCTTCAACCACGATCTGTCGCACTTCTTCATCGTGATGAATTGAACAATTGTCGAGTACAACGACACTTCGTGGACCAGGATATGGTGTCAACTTTGCAGCCTATAAGAATTTTAGTATTTGTCAGAAGAAAAATGACTTGATCGAGACTGACGAGCTGATTTTTTATAAAGGACAAGAATGTCTCCTTCGTGACAGAACCCTCGAAAATATCCAGTGCGATGATGCCATCAACAGACAATGCAGGTAAGATTGAGTAACGCTGCCCTCGAATAAATGTGGCCCGACGAACAGATGCTCTTCCGAGAGGTGCCCAGCCATTGACTCGTTGATTTGTGCGGTCATCAACCGAAGATTCATCAATCCATACAAAATGGTCCTTCGGAATATCTCCATACTCGGCTTGCCATGTTGCACGAAGCAACTCGTCACGCTCAAATGCAGTCTTTGCAAGGCTTTTGCAAGAAAATTCAAGTCGTCTAAGTGTGCGGGACAGTGTAGCAAGTGAAACATCAATATCGCGAGATTCAAAAAGACGTTCTTGAATTTCGTCAAGGTACAGTGTTGGATTTGCATCGAGGAGAGAGGTGATATAGGAGATATCTCCTTGGTCAAGGGAACGTGGCCGGCCTCTGAGACGTGCAAATGGGTTGTTCACCTGTCCGAAGAGTCGATGGAGACGAAGAACTTCAACAACGGTTCGTTCAGAGCATCCAGCGAGTGCCGCAATCTGCGAGCCAGTCATTGCATGCTCATAGCGCCAGGTGATGATACACTCTCGAAGCTGTTGAGACAGGTGAGGAGGCATTATTTGATGTGACTGGTCACACCGACAGGTTATTTTCGGTATGTTTTGGCCCGAGCAAATAGGTACAAATAGGGTTTGTGGAAATGCGACTACGCAGTTTTATATGCAAGGCACTGTAGGTTCTGCCTAAACTCTCCTTGTTTTACGTTAGTTAAGCCAGGAGCGAGCCCTCTCCGAACCAGACTGTGTCCGAGATTGACTCTCCGGCGCCACAGGACGATGAATTCTCCAATGAAACGCAAAAAAAAAAATTGTCGTGCAGCATGGTCCGCCAGGCATATCCATTCTGCCAAACCAAATCCTGTTTACAACACTGAGAGTTAACTTTCGCGACAGTATAAAAGTAAGCCATCTTCTCACTGTCCACCCCAAGTCAAAGAGATCATTCGAGCACCTCACCAGATCATACCGCCTCACACAAACAATGCATTTCTACCGGGCCTTTCTCACAATTATTGTTGCGTTTACAGCATCTATGATGTCTGTCAGTGCGTGTGGCGACGCGGGCGCAAGTTGCAGCACAGACAGTGATTGCTGCGGTTTTGAACTGAGCTGCATTTCAACTACGGTAGGAGTTCGCTTTGCATCCAGTGTTGGCCTAATTACTCACCTTTGCGCTTTGTAATATCAGAGCGGTCACATGTGCAGATATGAACACGCCAAGAGAGCAGGCCGGTTTGTAGACACTGGTGAGTCATGTTTCCGCTTTCGCATTGGTGCTGTTGTTGATCGAATGATACGTAGCTCGCTGATGAGAGGCAATATTAACATTGAATCGGAGTAATATATTATATGTCAAGTGAATGAAGTTGCGTACTTTCTGGTGTAAACAGAGCCCCATGCGTTGGCCATAAATCAAATGTGTGTCAGTTTAAAGATAGTTGAATGAGATCAACTGTCGATTTTTCACCGTCGGTTAGTTGTTCATCTGACAAGGCAGTTCATACCGTTTTCTGTGTCAGTCTCATTGGACCGTCGTGTTGGAGCTCGACCAGACGGTCCAGACCTGTAAATGAATCAGCTTATCCGATTCGATATAGACCTTTCAAGATATGAAATCATACCAGCATGATGAGCAGCATCAACCAGTGTTGTCACTAACCCGTTAACAGAGTTATAACTTAACCCGGTTATAGCCGGTTAAGAGGTTAGTTAAATAGATCTGCGACTTTGGGCTGGGCAGGTCGAATGCCTGACTTCGAAGCTTCCTATGCAGCTTTGTGACGCGCAATAGGCACTTATGGTGGCTAGCGGAGAAAGAAGAGGCAACAGCAGGGTGACGAGATGATGTACGATTTGCAGGAGCTAGGAGTTCCGAGTGACGATCTACGTAGTGTCAGTCTGAGATTTGTTGATCCGAAGTTCTGTCCCTTGTATTATGATAGAGGTCTTCATGCTGAAGCAGCTGAAAATATGCGTATCATGCTCCAATTTTGGTGGTTCCGAAAACGACGGTAAGTATTTACAATCACGCACTGCGCGATCTATCCAATGGTCAAAAAAAATGGTAGAAAACTACCTCCACGCCAAAGTCACCTGTCCATTAAGGTCGACAGACACATTCGACACCACCAGCTCTTCAGTGGCCTCCTTAAAAATCCACCCTTCAGCCGACGATCCTTGAAACTTCACCTGGGTAGGTTTCTGCACCCCAAGCACAGTGATCGTCTCCAATTTCTGCAAAATCACATATTCACCCTTGCTCTCAATATTGAGTATGCCTTCGGCAGCCTGGAACGTGAGGCTCCGACTCGGCCCAGGAGGGAAACTGATCCCATCGTCCACATAAGCCGTGCCGAATGCTGTACCTGCTGCATCGAGGGACACAAGGAGTGAATAGGGACCCTCACGAGTCTGGTAGATGGTGTACGCGGGCTCTTGGTGCAACAATAGAGCGGAGTTGTCGCGAATATGGACGTTGATGTGACTGATGGGAGCGTCCAGCGTCGTGTTGCCTCCAGATGTTGCATTGACGACGGCGTGTGTGTACCAGTCGCGCCAAACTACGCTTCCGCGGCCGGGGAAGATACCTGTAGGTAGTACGTCAGTGGCGGTGGTTGTTGATGAGATCAATGGTATTACCCTCGACGGTCGTAGCTCCAGGAGTCAAGACTGGAGTCACGAGAATGTCGCTTCCAACGAGCCATTGCCTGTCTACGGCGAACAGTTCAGGCTCGTCAGGGAACTCGTAAAACAACGCCTTGACGGGCGGAAAACCAGCCATGGAGGCGTTGGCAAAGAGTGTATACTTTGGTGTGTCTAATGTCAATGATGTAATCACTAGAGAGCGTACACACTTACCCAGTACGGCAGTAGCGCGTATCTAACAGCGATGGCGATGCGGGATGCGTTGGCTACACTTGCCCAGCGGTAAGGCTCTTGAGAGAGAGCACCGATGGCGTTATGGTTCCTATAGAAGGGAACGAATGCCGAGAGTTGCATCCAACGATTGCACAATTCCTCGTCGGTGTTGTTGTCTACATAGATCGTTTACCAGAAACCAATGATTCTGCAGGGCACGTACAGAATCCACAGGTGTCAGCACCAACCATCGGAATTTGGTAGATCTGGAACTGTAACACGCCCTGAATGTTGAGGTGCATGTACTGCCACTTGCTGTAATTATCCCCAAGCTATTTGAAAGTCAACATCATGCTCAATTAAGCCGAGTGGATTGAAATACCCAATGACCGGTCCATTTTCCAGCAGAGGGGAAGGTTGATCTGCTGATCAGGAATGGACGCTTTCCGGGCAGGATCGATTGAATAGCAAGATTCGTTGCCTTTTCCTCCATCAACCCGAACATATTATGTACGTCAAGGTCCACATATCCGCCGGAGTGCGTCGCGTTCGTCGCCATGGAGCGTTGATTAAGAGATCCAGCCTGTGCATTCCAGGGAATCCAGTCATATCGCAATGGTCATATATACTGATTAAATCTTACCATTATGGATAGCATATGGTGGGCTGTTAAGATCAACGCCTTGCTCACTGCCTGCGCCGACACCCCGCCTGTCTATTGCCGGCATAGTGGTCGAGTTTGCTGTGCATGAATATTATCAAAGGTGACAGGACTCGGACTAGAGAAACTAAGGGCGAGGACAGAACTCAGTCTTGGTTCAAAAGACTCTTATAAATCATACCTAAGGGCGAGGACAGAACTAGTAGAGTAGTAGTTAGTAGGAGTAGAGTAGGGATGTCAATAAGATAGCTCACCTCAGTCTTGGTTCAAAAGACTGAGGGAGATCATTCGACGAGGAGAGGAATTAATACATTTGATTGGAACGGAGAACCAATAGGGAACGTGTATGACGCATGGTAGGAGGAGTGTTCGTGTATGTAAAATGAAAAGACTAAATACGTATAGCAGTCATATCTTGATACTCCCACTCGAACGCAAAACGCTAGAGACGCGGGCGTACTCATTCAGCTGGTTCTTCGTTTGACGGTGAACGAAGAGCGAGCGAGTGTCGATGGTTGCGGAAAAGTTTTCGTGGTAGGGATTTCGTGAAAATGTCGGCAATCATATTGTGTGTGGGTACATAGGGAATGATAATGGTCCCGTCGCTGACTAGATCTCGAACGAAGTGATAGCGGACGCGAATGTGCTTGGCCCGGTCGTGGAATTGAGGGTTTTTCGTAAGTGCGCGACTTCCATTATTATCACCATATAGCGTGGTGGGGGTGATCAGTGAGAGGTCAAGGCCAAAGTCACATAGCAGCTGGCTGAGATGGATCTGCTCGCGGGCCGCGTTAGAGAGTGAGATGTATTCAGCTTCAGTGGACGAGGTTGCAACGACGGACTGCTTTTGGGAACGCCAACTAATGGGGGAACCGAAAAGAAAATAGACATAGCCCCCAATTGAGCGGCTGTCGTCTTTATCAGACGCGAAGTCAGAATCCAAATAACCGATGAGTCCTTGGTTGGACAAACCAAAAGTCAAGGAGTGATGTGTGGATCCACGGAGGTAACGAAGGAGATGGTGAAGCTGGCGGTAGTGTTCAATGCCAGGGTTGCTCAAAAATTTTGACAGCGCCGATACTGCATATGCGATGTCGGGACGACTAACACGCATGGCGAAGTTGAGTTCCCCAACAACACGCGCATAAGGCATGTGCGCAAATTGCTGCACTTCGGCTTGAGTAAGGGGTGCAGATGACTTTGTCAAGGAGATCCCTGGAACCATGGGGGTGGATACTGGTCGGCAATCCGACATCCGAGTTTCACTGAGGATCTGTTCGAGGAAGGAGGATTGGTTGACGGTAAGGAGCTTCTTGGAGCGATCTCGCGTAATGTGCATTCCTAAGAAATGACGCGCTTCGCCAAGATCCTTCATTTCGAAACGTTTGCTCATCTCCAATTTGAAACCGTTGAGGAAATCCCGACAGTTCGATGCAAGCAACATGTCGTCGACGTAAACGAGGAGCCAGATGGTCTTGTCATCTTTACGTAGAACGTACAGACTATAGTCTGCTTCACTGCGAACAAAGTTAAAACCCTCTTTTCGTAAGAAATCATCAAGGGTCTTGTTCCACTGACGACCGGCTTGCTTGAGTCCATAGATGGCCTTGAGGAGTTTCCAGACCCAGTCTGGATGCTCAGCGTCTTCGAAGCCTGGAGGTTGACGCATGTAGATCTCTTCGTCAAGCTCGCCGTTGAGAAAGGCGGTCTTTACGTCCATTTGATCGAGTTCAAGATCAAACTTTGCGACCATGGAGAGTAGCGCACGTACGGTGTCGTATTTCACAACAGGAGCAAAGGTGTCCGTATAATCTAGTCCTTCGATCTGCGTGAAGCCTTGCGCAACAAGGCGGGCCTTGTGACGGGCAATCTGGCCATTTTCATCATACTTGTGTGAGTATACCCACCGTGAGCCGACTGCTTTTCTCCCTGATGGGAGTGGTGTTAGGACACCCACTCCTTTTTCTCCCAATGAGGCTAACTCTTCATTCATCGCACTTTCCCAATGACCCGAATCCATTGACGAGCGAGCGGCAGCTATCGTTTTTGGGGGAACCTTCCGTCCATCAATCTTGCTGCTGTCCGCCAAGGATACGTGCTTGGCGGAGTGCTCGATGGTAACGTCGGGGGTAGCACTAATAATGAGGTTTTCTTCTTCATCATCCTCCTCCTCAACAGTGACCGGTACGTAGGTCCAGCGTCGCTGTACTGGGACGTGTTTAGTCGGGATGGCAACAGTTTTCGGAACTGCCGGTCTCGCATCAATGCGCTGACGTGTTGAACGTCGTGGCTCAGGAGATGGTACCGTATCTACCAGGACTTCAGCGGGAATGTGAGGGGCGTTGTCGTTCGACTGCGGGAATGGTTGTGGAGGTTCAGGGATGAGAGGAGCAGAGGCCGGAAGTGCTCCCACTGAAACGGTACTGGGTCCTGGTAGTGCGATTTCGGAACCATCTTCTCCAGGTCGTGTGATTTTGAAGCCGCCTTCTGATATCGGCAAATCATGTGGCAATGCGGGAGTGGGCTGCTGCGTTAATATGCGCTGGTTGTACAATTCAACGAGGGGCGAAAGAACCGAGTTGGGGGTGCCGTAGAAAATCTTTTCATCAAAAAGGACATTTCGAGAGCGCACCGTCTGTCGTGTCGCCGGGTCCCATAGAAGATATCCTGCGTCCTTTATGTGCCCCAATAAGAAGCACCGTCTCGAAACAAACTCATACTTGTGGCGATTGTCGTCTGGGATGTGAGCATACGCGAGGCAGCCAAATGGGCGTAAGTGCGAGACATTTGGTAGTTCACCATAGAAGAGTTCAAACGGCGTTCTGTTGTCAGTGGCCGAAGACGGGAGGAAGTTCTTGATGTATACTGAGTTGAGGATAGCGTGACCCCAGAACGAACGGGGAAAACCACTCTGGTGGTGGGCACTTAATGCTCGGGTGGCAATAGTTTGGTGTCCACGTTCTGCAACCCCGTTCTGTTCGGCTGTATAAGGCATCGTAAGTTCGTGCTCAATTCCTTTACTACGCAGGAATTCAGTGGTAGCATGAGAGACGTATTCGCCGCCGTTATCACTGTGGAGGCGTTTGACCCGTTGTCCTGACTGGTTTTCGATCCAGGCGATATATCGCAGAAGATGTGAGTGTACCTCACTCTTGTGCTTAATGAGGTAGATGGTCGAAAAACGTGAGAAATCATCTGTGAAGGCAACGAAGTACGTTTCGCCGGATGGGGTCGCAGTGTCGACGGGTCCCCAGACATCAGTATGAACAAGTTCAGCGACGTGTGTTGCGCGATGCCGAGCATGAGACGGGAACGGCAATCGTTTCTGTTTGCCCATTAGGCACGACGGACAGTCAATGTGGTCGCCAAGTCCTGCAGATTTGTTTAGTAGGTCAAGGGACAGTCCTACTACAACCTTCTCAGCTTTGCGCAAGGTAGAGTTTGCAGCGTGGCCCATGCGCGCATGCCATACAGCTAGTGGTAAAGGTGTAGCCGAAGCAGACCTGGTGGCAAAGGCAGCATGAGTGTGCGCAGCTCGAAGATAGTATAGACCAGCAGAGCATTCCACACGTGCGATCACAGTCTTATCAGCACGATGCATTTGTCCTCCTTCAGCATCTGTTTCGAAGAAAATTCCTTCCGACGCTAGAGCAGACACGGATATCAATGTGCACCGTAGATCTGGTACATGGAGGAAGGGGAGTTCGATGGACTCCCGGCTTCCATTGTTGTCAAGCGCTAGCGTGATGAATCCCCAACCTGGGGCAAGAACAGTATCGTCATTTGCAAGTTTCACGATTAAGGGAGGATTATAGGTTCTGTAGCGAGTGAAGAGAGAGTGCTCGGATTCCATATGTGCGGTGGCGGCAGAGTCTACGTGGAATTGAAAAGAAATAATGCTCGTATTAGAGAAACTGGCAGAGTGCGTAGGAAGACGAAGAAACGATGGGGTGCCGTCAGGTTGTCCTGATGGGAGAACTGACATGTTAGTGCCTTGCGAAGGTGAGGGGGGAATGCACGCTGACGTGTTTGGTGAGTCTGATTTTGCTAGACGAGCACGGCAGTTGTACCAGATGTGGCCTGTGCGCTTGCAAGATCCACATGTTGAATGCCACGACAATTCCCATTTATCCCCCTTGGAGGCGTCAAAATCCTTCGGTTTGACACGCTCGGTAGGTTTACCTGCTTTTGCCACCCTAGCGGCCATGGCTGTGTGGTGCGCATGCGGGTTTGCAGAGCCGAAACTTGCATAATATTGTTCCGAGTTCCTGATCTGGCTGATGACTCCTTCCAGCGTTAGCTTTCCAGCATTGGCGTCAGCGCTATGGAGTATGAGCTGGGAAAGCGGTGCATAGAAGTCGGGAAGGGCACGCAGTAGCGCTTGGACGAGAGTATATTCATTGCACTTCCATTCGATGGATTCAATGACCTTGAATTGGGCTTTGATGTCCGTGATCTCCTTGATGGTCTTGGTAAGGGAGTCGCTATCAGATGCTTTGGGAAGGTCAAAGATACGGCCCATAAGGCTCGTAAAACGAATGCCAACAGACGCCTGATATTTGTCTTCTAGCGCTTTCCAGATGGCAGCTGGATCAGCGACACCCGTGAAGTGGATGAGGTCACTAGAGTGTACCGCCATACCAAGAAGTCCTTTGGTTATGCTTTGGCGTTCCCGGAAAGAGATGACATCCGCGCTCGCATCATGTGTCGCGAGGCGTTTGTTGAAATCAGCGTCAGTCTCCGTGGTGCTTCTGGTTGGGCGCGGAGGGGCTTTCTCATCACCTGAAAGGAGGCGCCAAAGGTTGAAGAGCGAGAGCCAAAGGTCCATGGTCGTTACCCACGATGTATAGTTGGAGCCATTGGCGTCCAGAGGAGGGTGAGGAAAAGATGTTGGAATCCGGATGTTGGACGACGATATAGTAGACATCACTAATGTAGAATGATGTGTCGGCGATGGCGACAGTAGAATGGGAAGATTAGATGGGTTTGGTAACGAGCGAGTTGGTACAACAGGCGTCAATGGCGGTGATGGCGGCAAGGGAATGGATAAGATCCGCGGGTCAAGCGGGGATAGAGGGCGACCTTGTTCCAGTTCGGAAAAAGTCGGAGAGGCTCAGATAAGGCGAGCGGAAGCGAGAAACGAATGTAGGCCTAGTCTGAGCCAGGGCTCATAACCTATCAAAGGTGACAGGACTCGGACTAGAGAAACTAAGGGCGAGGACAGAACTCAGTCTTGGTTCAAAAGACTCTTATAAATCATACCTAAGGGCGAGGACAGAACTAGTAGAGTAGTAGTTAGTAGGAGTAGAGTAGGGATGTCAATAAGATAGCTCACCTCAGTCTTGGTTCAAAAGACTGAGGGAGATCATTCGACGAGGAGAGGAATTAATATGTTTGATTGGAACGGAGAACCAATAGGGAACGTGTATGACGCATGGTAGGAGGAGTGTTCGTGTATGTAAAATGAAAAGACTAAATACGTATAGCAGTCATATCTTGATAAATATGTCGAGGTTCCGTTAATCGTCATGTTCCCACTAGGTCCCCAGAGTGTATCGTTGTAACTTCAACAAAAAAAATTAATAAGGTTCAGCGCCTCAGAAAAGTTCCAAATTGCCATACCATTCGGGGTATCCGGTAACCACCGAGCTGACATCGGTCAGGGGACCAACGGAAGAGAAGTTCGCGCCGGTCCCACTTCTTACCAGTCAACGTCAGAAAGGACATAGACGAGAGTTCGTCTTACCAAGAGTAGCTGCAGAATGCTCTTGGTTCATTCATGTCGAGCCAAATACCAGAGAATTCCACACCCATGTCTGTCCAATTTTTGAGACTGTCAGTCCATACAGAGAACATGTTTTCGCTGAACCAGTCCGGAAAAACCTAAGAAACAATCGGTCGAAGAGTTCCATAAGTCAGGAATCACTGACAGTATACCCAGGCCAGACTTCGGCGATGTATAGCGACCCGTCTGGATTCTTGATCCACACATCCCTGCAGAGCATTCATGGTTGGGGATCACTACCAGAACGGCAAAAACTCACTCTTCAACGCCCCGCGTGAAAGGATCATACTGAATCAACATATGGTCAGAAAGCATCTGACTACAGCACGTTGAGAGACTTACGACGTCAGTTGAATTCCTTGTGACAGCGATAGCTGCGTCAACGATAGGGATATCTGACGAGTTGTTCAATCAACCCTGACAGCAAAGTATTGCAAGGACATTTACAATGCTGATGGTTCGCGACCTGTTACAGAAGTCAGAATGGCCTGCACTCTTTACAGGATTCTGAAAAACACGAACCAACTCTTGGATGAACCCACGAACTTCGTCCCCAGGGAAACTCACTGGGTCAGTAGTGAAGTCACGGTAAGCATGGTACAAGTCAATATCATTCCATTGAACTGCAGCGCCAAGTGAGAGTTATGAGCGATGAGTCCCACCAATGCGTGACAAACCTTCCAGGGGGATACCCGCGGCGCGCATCTGCGCGACGTTTTCTCTGTCATCACTGAGATTGTGGTACCCCCATCTGTATGACATAAGTGTATCTCCTTGACGTTGATCGTATTATAAAGAACATTACCTGCAAAGGTGGAACCCGAAGCCCCACGCCGGCTGCCACATAGGATACCCGATGACTGAACCGTACTGGGCAATGACTTCTGCATCCGAGGGACCAGAGAAGAAGTAAAAGTCCAGGATGCCGCCAATTATACGGTACTCGATTAATGACACCTTGGAGTTTGTGGGTGTCTGCAGGAAAATATCTGAACCCGCAGCACTAAGGAATGCGATTAAAACAGACAGAATCGGAAGTCGGTTAGAGTTGAATACCTAAGCAAAAGAACCCCAGAGGCAGACGCCTTTCCGGTAGTCGCATTGTACCTGTGTTCGACATAGATCGGGTGGCAGCCATACCTAACCAGCCATATCGCCACATGAGAATGATTTCCAGCCATGTAACTCACAAGTTCTGATCGATGGGATCTGGAACTCCGAGATTCCAATGTGTTTGAATAGTGCCTACGCCTCCATCTGTTCCAATGTCGCGTCTAAATCCACTACTGGCAACAACTTCGCCCAAACCGTAGATGTTGGTGCCATACGGCAGAGCGGAAGCAACCTAGGAATCGTAAGCCAGATTTACATCAGGGGTGATAGATACAGACCTGAAGATATTGATCTTCGAATACAAGAGGAAACCCATCGAATGCGGTGCTTGGGTCAGATGCATTGAAAGGCGGAATGGGAGTCGATGGCAGCGATAAAATTCTCGTGTCAAACAATGGCATTGCGTCCGGGTCAGAGCGTCTCGTGATCCAAAATGCGAAAGTTTCTGCATCGTAGTTGAATACAAGGTCGGAGCTGCCAGTGTAGGATGTCGTTGGCGCGGCAGGTCGCTCAATCACCGACTCGGGGATTGTGAACTGTTGGTTAGCAGTGTCATAAATCTTAACGTGCAAACTAAAAACAACTATCAGTGTTGCACCTAAAGCCTCAGGAAATAATGTACGTGGACTGTGACTGGTAAGTGACTTCGATGGTGAGGTCTGAGATATCCAGTCCAAAAGCATTACATGCTGGTCCAGTGAGTGTGAGTCGAGCAGTGAGACCAATGTCAGATTCTTGAAGAGACCCCAGGGTGTATCCTGAATCCCACTATTGTCAGTGGCAATTTCACAAAGATTGAACTGGAGTCATACCTGGACAATATGTGACATTCATCGAATAAGGTGTTTCAGTACCATCGGAAGTGAACTTGTTTCCTAGCGTGGCACTCTGAGAAACTTCTCCCCAGACTGTAGGCGCTGAGGCGTACAGGACACCCAAGAGTAAGGAGAACATGGGGGCATCACTGAGAGAAGGTGGAATATGAGGCTGGTTTGTATTTATACCCATACATGAGCAATGGACGAGACCTTCATTCTTACGTGTAGCCATTGAAATGGGACTCCGGACGGCGTAAGTCCCCACTTCATTACGGACGCTTTACCAATGCTTACGACCTGTGTGATGAGGCCTACTAATGTCGTCGATTGTGAACTGATGAGTCCTTGACATCGTACCCGTGGGAACTATTTAATTCTGCTCCCGCTGAATAACCAAAATAAAATCTAATTTCAGTCATTTGCATATGATCAAATGCATAGAGCGTCATCCCAGAACTTTTCGATGAGGTGGTTTCATCTTTTCACGACGCCATATGGAACTAAATATTGCAGCTCAGATTCGGCGCTGTCTCGATTCTCGACGCTTACTATCGATCTAGGTCCCTCGCCTTCGTATAGGGCGACGCTGAGACAAGAAGCATGGAGTACCGGAAATGAGTAGAGTAAGTCCTTCCATCGTGCGTGACGAGTCGAGGGCGCAGAAGTTCCGATACGATAATTGGTCGTTTCTGGTGTTGATGCACATGAAAGGTCGGAAACGCAGCTATCTTGGAATTTTTGTCCAGCGAGGACAAATTATGCTCACAAGGTTGATTCGCACATTATGGGACTCGAGCGGCTTTGAAGCTGCGCAAGACATCGTGATCGTTACAAGGGCTCGATCCAGAAGTTGAATCACCGGGCAGGCCCTGATGTCGACCTTGCGAAATCAGATCGTTCAAGCCATCCGTATGTGAGCGTGATGGCCTTGACACTGTAGAATATAATGTTGCTGTAGCTGACTTGAAAATGATAAACACTGACATTGCAAAGGTCAGGATTGTGGATACGACGTCCGGGTGGTGACGATTCTGCAACGATTCGGACACAATGTGGTGAGCGAGGTATATGGGTGACACTATCAAGACTGAGATCAACCGACTGTTGACTGCGAAGCTTCAAGCTTTACTCACATCAATGGATTGTAGTACTGTTGCAGCGCCCAGGTGATCGGAACTCTGCAGGGAAGACAAGAGGCAACAATTCAGACACAATGTGGCAAACGGAATATGTGGGTGTTATGCTTGTCAAGACAAACACAAGGCCAGTTTGAATCAAACCTCACACCGGCAGCTTCCGTGTCGTTGGAAGTTATGTAGTGATCAGCGTGACATAGCTTCTGAAGTGTTGCGCCGAGTGCGCGTGGAGGGCAGAATAAACCATGCACCCGCCGACAAGAAGTTCTCTGATCTATTGGCGCTTTCATCGTGAATGGAGGGAAGATGATGGGTGGACATTGACGAGAGGAGGAACACTTGGGAACTCGGACCATCCAGAATGAGGAAGGATGGACACTGTGCGACATGGAGGACTGAGAGCAAAAGATCAGCACGAGACCTGATTCAAAAAATACTCATAGCGCACCTTAATGTTGGCTCGTATGTCATCGCAAAAACCTGGCAGTACTCGATGCCATGTAATTGACTATGAAGATTGCCCGACTCTTGCTGTTGTGAGGGGTTGTCCAGATGTATGTACCCTTTTCTGATCCCAGCCAAGTGATCAACCGATGTCCGCATGGACATGACTGAGACCGTGATGACCTCTAGAGACTGGTGCTCGCATCCACACTGAACATCGGTTCAGGCATCCTGCAGAGCGCCCAGTTCACTGCAAAAAGTTTATCCCGAAGTAAGGAGCTGAAAGGATATACCGCATACGAAGGTCATCTAGAACAGATAGCTTTCAGCCAGATACGAGCGCCGGAAAGCAGCAACTGCACTATGATGCGAGGGCATACATGCTGGAAGGTGGGTAGAAAAGAGTCGGACGAATGTATACTGCTACTGTCGAGGAAAGCAAGTGTGCCAACAACAGGGAGAATTTGATGAAGGTGTGGAAACGAACTACCTCGTGTCTTGGGCGTCTATGAAAACGAGGCCGGTTAATTTAGTGAAGTAAGGTAAAAACACACAATACACACAACCTCTGCAGCTGAGACAGACACTCACAAACCCTCCAAAGTCCACCTCGACCATGCTCAACACTAGAAACCTCCAGTACAATGTCGAACCTCATTCCGAGCACCACACCACTTCGAACTTTTAAAGGTCATGAGGGGCGCGTAAAGGCAGTCGCAGTTTTCCCCGATAGACGAAGAATGATAACGGGCTCGAGGGATGGGGCACTTTGTCTCTGGGACTTGAAGACAGGTGTTGTGTTGAAGAAGATGGAGGGGGCATCGCAGTGAGGTGGGGGCATTGGCGGTATCACGAGATGGGGGAATAATAGCAAGCGGTGATGAGTCTGGAGAGGTCATCGCTTGGAACGGAGAAACAGGAGAATTTCTCACCCAATCTATCAAAGCCCACTCAGAATCTGTCAACTCGCTGGATTTTTCCGTGGATGGTACGGTGTTGGCCACTGGTTCATGGGACATCAAGGTCAAGTTTTGGTGCACCAAAACATGGCAGCAACAAGGAAATAAAATTGAAATTGAAGGTTGGGTCAGCCAGGTTCGATATTCGCCGTCTGGTGAACTTCTTGCCCTCGCAACATATGACACAATCAAAATTTATAATTCAGACACAAGGGAACGCGTCGCAACCTTGACTTACAACATCTCACTCGCGTGGACACCCGATGGCACACGCTCACTCCTGTGGACGCCCGATGGCACACGCCTTCTTTCTACCGTGGATGACGACATAGTGCTGCCGAAGTCCGGTTCGGTCCGGTTCTCTGGCAAAAATTTCCGAACGCCGAACCGAACGCTAGGTTCAGGTTCAGCTGTTGGTCGAACTCTGGACCGAACGCCTCTGAACGCGTTCGGGAGGTCCGGTTCGCGTTCAAACCGGGTTCGACTGCGACATCGAGGTGTTGCGTCGATGATGCCCACCACGTCCACCAAACCGTTCCCAACACCATGCGCAAACGCCCAGTGCACGTCAGCAACTGCTGATGTGGCTCAGACAAGCACGGACGATGGACGAGAGCAGGAGGAGGGAAGCAAACGGGCAGGAGAACCAGGGAGAGAGACGAGCAGGAAGAAGGAAGAAGCTAGCTGAGTTCACGCGGAAACATCTTTACAAGGTTCTTTGCAAGCTTACCTAGGAAGTACTGCAAAATGACGGTCGCTAGTGCTAGCGCAGTGTCATGCGTTCCATCCTCAAACATTGTGAACGTCTAGACCATGCTCTCGCGCGAGTTCTTGAATTGATTGTTTTTCTTTCGTGTTGGTGTGGACGCCAAGTCTCAACTGTCCGTTGTTCTTCCCTGGAATCTCCAAACTCAACCACCAGTATCTCATGTGGCGTTACTTGCACTAAGCCCTTGTCGTGTGGGAATCCCCAGCATGAATGCTCTCAGGTTTGCCAGAAGTTGTTGAGCTGTGGGAACCACCGATGCGAGCGGAAGGACCATCGAGGTGTGTGCGGGGTGTGTCTGCAGAGCGTTTATGAGGATGTAAGTTATTTATTCGTCGTCGTTGTGTTTTGTGTTGACATTTGATCAGCTTATATGCCCGTGTGGTGGGACGGGTACGGTTATGACTTGCAGTTATCCATGCGCAAGACCGCCCCCTCCGTGTGGCTATTCGCGCGTCCCTCATGCATGCCATGAGGGCGTAATCATCGCTGGTGCAGACCCGAACCAACCAGTGGAGGCATCCCCTTGTCCACTATGTCCATTCCTTACCAGCAAACAATGTGCGTGCGGGGAAGAAGATGGTGGATAATATACGGTGTGCGCAGGAGCGGGTCAGTTGTGGTAGCATATGCGGAAAGTGAGTTTTTGTGTATATGTTTGATTGTCGTATTGAGCGAACTTTACCTTTACTTTGTAGATCTCTAGTATGCGGCTTGAAGCGCTTCCATCATTGTGAACGCTTGTGCCATGCAGACGACTGTGGAACCTGTACCGCTGTATGCGGCAAGACGGTGCTGGATGATTGGGAGGATGATTTGTAGAGTCGGTTAGTTTGGAGCTTGGCGCACGCTGGGGATGATGGGGAACATGAATAGGTAGATTTAGGAGTGTCGAGCAGAAACGAGGCTCTTGGATAATCAATTAATTATCAGCTTCAAGATTGTATACATCACCTCCGTCGGTCTTGTAAATCAACATTTACCATCATCCACTCGTTCTCGTACTGGCACTTCTTCCAAACCTACGAGTTCTGCTTCGTCAGCTGTGACGGCTCTATGTGAAACCTACGCAAAAATTCTGAGGTTCGAACCCGTTCGAACCTATTCACCGTCAGCCGAACCCCAAACCTCTGGAGAGGTTCGGTTCTGAGTCTTGGCCGGACCTGGGACCGGACCATGCGTCCGGTTCGGAAAGGTTCAGGTTCGAACCGAGGTTCAGAACCGGACTGCGGCAGCACTATGACGACATACATGAGTGGGATACATCAACCTGGGAAAAGGTCGGTCATCCCTGGAAGGGCCATACTATGGGTATCAACACCATCGCCGTCAATCCTGCTGGCACCCTCGTCGCTTCCGCATCTCAAGACAACGATGTCCGTCTCTGGTGGCTCTCAGATCGACAAACCATTTCCATCCTCAAGTACCCATCCATCCCAACATGTATCACGTTCTCCGTAGATGGCAATAACATTCTCAGTGGAGGTAAAGATAATCAGATCTCAGAGTGGGAGGTACCTAAGGGTGTTCATTCAAAGGCGAGTGTCCATCCTTGACTTGTGTCACGCAATCTGAGCATGCTTCACGCAGATCCCCACTACCATCACAGCAGCCCGTGATTCATGCATAACTGGGGACTTGTCGACTGCTGAACAGCTACTCACACAAGAGATCGACGCCGACACCAACAACTATGCCTCTTATGCCAATCGCTCATTCGTTATGGCGCGAAAACAACACTGGGACCGCGCCCTCGAGGATTCAATCAAGGTGAGCCATACCATTATGGCCCTCTTAAGAATGGCTAACTTTAATCCGCCACACAGTCCATGAGCATTCAGCTCTCATTAATAGGCTACATCTCCAAGGGCATTGCCCTCTGCGGAAATGGTAATGTCCGGGACGCGAGGGTAGCATTTGACGTCGCATCCATGTTCACGAACCAAGATTCAGCAACCATCCATTTTCTTCTCTTGATCAAGGTAGGTTAAGTTCATCTCACATGCTCTCTGCTCAATTCCGTATTTCAGGCCATTGCCCTTTTCAATGCAGATCAACATGACGAAGCGATGCTGATCATCAAAGAGTTAGTCACCGCTTGTCCGAATGCTGATACTCGAGCGTGTCATGTCATGGAAGTAAGTATCATGTGGCTATGCTCGGTTATCGCTACTGATCATTGCAACTCGCACATTAGGCATATCTACGCGTTCAGCTCGGAACCAAGGCCTTGGATGACGCGCGTCACGACAAAGCCATTCACCACTTCGCCGCCGCTGTCGACTCCAGTGCTTTCCCATCCAAAATCATCCATGAACTATACGAGGACTTGATCGTGGTATATTGACATCATGCGTCCGAATTTTTTTCATAACTGAGTGTTTCGTCCAGCTCTTCGGCTGGGATCTCGAGTCCTTCTGGCTCACTGCGCATCAGAAACACTGTCAGGCTTTTCTTTCGGCAGGTAAAGTTGAAGAAGCCCTTGAATCACACTAATACATGATGGACGCCATCGACGAGACTGAGAAGGCTGGCTGCCTTGATTGGTCCAACGGTAAGTTTTCAGTGATGTCACTCGACGCTGTCATACTCACCCGCAGCTCACTCAGACTTCAAGGAACAATGTAGCGTGCTTGCTGCTCGTGATGACCGTATTCTTGGCGCATGTACTCCTTTCCTCAACCTTTTCGCTACTGACCTAAGTTATGCAGGCAGAGATTCCGGGGCAAGATCAAGATGGCTATGATGCAGAACCTGATTTCTTCCGGGGCATGCATGGCGTGGGTGCCAGTGCATTTTATCTTTGTTTCTCTCTCACACACCATTCATTACAGCATTCTCAAATCTCCAGACCACGACCTCAACAGCGCCCAGGGCGCTTCAAGAAACTCAGGCTTGCTATGACAAGGAATCCTCATCCAGTTCCACCACCTGCACCTGCACCTGCACCTGCACCAGTACCAGTACCAGTACCAGGACCAGTATTGCCCACCGCCCTACCACCTGCCGCTGCCCCCACGACCTTCACAGCCCACGTACGACACCTATTCAGCTGGCGACCCGATCACACAGCACCACCCGTTGTCGACATTCCTTTCGCGAAGGGTAAAGAGGTACACCCGGTCGATTTTTACCACTCTCTTGGGTGTCTCATATATACATCTTTAGCGCAATGCTGCAGCAGATGCTCCTGGGAGAGATGAGGACTTGGTACCCGACGAATATTTTGATAATCTTCCACAGGACCACAACGCTACACAACAGCCCAATTCACAACAGCAACAAAAACTAGTAGCAGTGCAGATAGATACTGGGGAACACAGAGGTGGCAAGTCGTGTTTCTGCTGCTAGCGGCTTTTGTGGATGTCCTCGGGTATTTCAGTTTTGTCATTTAATGTAGAGTATTAAGCGGCGGGCGTTGCCGGTAACTTCTGCCAGTTCAAATCCTTTTTGAATATTGGCACCTTGTTTGGTTTTTTTTTTTTCGAATTCATGCCCGAGCTCCCTGTTTCTGCAAGCTCGGTCAAAATGTTAACATTATTGCGATTTGGCAGACCCAGCGAACTCCTCACTTGGATAATAAGTCGCGGCTTCGATGGGAGCAGCGAGCATCCCAGTAGTCATACATGTATACTCGATTTCTCACTGAGAGAAGATTCGGATGGTTTAATTTTCTCAGATTCAACTTCACTCGGACTCGTACACATACAACCAGCTACTAATTGGACTCCTAGTATACTTATTTCACCTTTGACACTATGTTATAATATATAATCCGTTGCATGAAAAAGTTCGAAGTCTCTGCGCTCGATTTTTGATTCTGTGCGCGCGCGCAAATTGTGTGCACGTGCGTGCAAACTGTGCGTGCACGTGATTTAATTATTGTCCATTTGGCCCATAGAACATTTCAGAAGTGGAGGATGAAAAGCTGAAAGATTGGATAAAGCTTTGGTGAGACGAAAAGCAGAGAGTCGATTTTTAATCATTAGAACTGACAATATTTTAATGCAATTGCATGGAAGACGCCACGGCCCCCAAAGATAGTCCAGATACCTTCATTTTGTGCAGCTCCGCAGGCACCTCGACAGCCCCGCGCTTCTGTTGTTCTATGATTGTTCCATGATGACCCGGAAGGGGCAGGTTTTGCCGAAGCAGCCCTCGCGCTTCCGTTTTTTTTTTCCAATTCCACAGGTACCTCGACAGCTCCGCGGGTCGGTTGTTCCAAAATGACCGGAGGGAACAGTTCTGCCTAAAATCTTGAAACCGCCCTCATGGCTAAGGTAATCGCTCAAGCTCGAAGTGCTGGATAGCAAGGGGAGAGGCAGAATGACACACGTACCTCGACAGCAGACCCAGGTGCGCACTTCTGTGCTTCCAGCTCTACAATAAAATAAATCAGCGAAGTAGGATTAGACTAGAAGTTACCAAATGAGCCTATTACGAAATGGCGGGAGGGGATAGGTTCTGCCTAAACTCTTGTCGTGTTACATTAGCTGGAAGCAGGCACCCTCCAAACAGGGTTGTGTCAGAGATAGGGTCTTTGGGGCCACAGGACGATAAATTTGACGAAACAAAAAAAATCATTGTGTAGTGTGATCCGGCAGGCATATCCATACTGCCAACCCGACTCCTGTCTACAACACTGAGAGTTAACTTTCGCGATAGTATAAAAGCAAGTCACCTTCCTTCCGTCCATCCCAACTCAAACGGATCATTCGAGCACCTCACCAGATCATACTGCCTCGCACAAACAATGCGTTTCTCCTTCCTCACCGTTATTGTTGCCTTTACAGCATCTATGATGTCTGTCAGTGCATGCAAGAGTGAGGGCAAAAAATGCAGCAGGGACAGTGACTGCTGTGGTGAGGAATTGTTCTGCGTTGCAGATGTAGGAGTTTGCTTTGCATCCAGTGTTGACCTGAGTACTCACCTTTGCGTTTCGTAGTATCGGGCTCATGCAACTTGCGAATATTAAAAGGCCAAGAGAGCATGCTGGTTTGTAGACACACTAGTGAGTCATGTTTCCGCTGTCGCATTGGTGCTGTTGTTGATCGAACGATACGTAGGTCGCTATGAGAGGAAATATTGAATTGAAGTAGTACATTATATGTCAAGTAAATGAAGTTGCGTACTGTCTTGGTGCAAACAGAGCCCCGCGAGTCACCCATTCATCAAATGCGCGACAGCTTAAAGACAGTTGAATCGGATCAACTGTTGACTTTTTCGTTGTCGATTAGTCGTTCACCTGACAAAGCAGTTCATACCGTTTTCTGTGACAGTCTCATTGGACTGTCGTGTTGGAGGTCTACCAGACGGTCCAGACCTGGGTAAATCGTCAGCTTATCCGGCTCGACAGAACTTTCAAGATATGAAATCATATCAACACCAACCGTCAACGTACCAGATCTTGGTTGATCACTCACCGGCACCATCCATAGGTCAACAGAGTCAGGGTTAATATCATCGAATAAAAGGGTCTGCTGATCCTTGATAGTCCTCATAAAAGCGGTGACAGTCTTCGTACTGTAAATTCTGGCGTTATTAGATATACCACCAGCAAACCCCACAGCTGCACGCGTGACGATCATCCGATATTCGCGTCAGAAGCCGTGCGCAGAGGAAAGTTTCGATGAGCCAGCCAAATAGAAATTCTAAGTGTAAATTGGGCCAGGTAATCCGAGGACATCGATGTGGTGAACCGTGCGTAGTGAACCGTATTCTGAGAGCCGTCGTAAGAGATGCCAAAGAGCTGAGAGGAGCGCGTCATTACATACCGCATAATTCGCAAGAGACTGACCGCCTCGTTCAACCAACCGAGTTACTGATCCAACATGCCTGAAAACAGCTTCCTTGGCTAAGGGAATATAGAGTCAGTGTTCAAGCTCCAAGCGCTAAATTGAAAAGGGAGCAATCTCCGAGACACCAAGCACAAACTCCTCGACAGTAGGCCCAGCTGCGCAGCACGGCTATTGTTTTCACAAACAAATGAGTAATAGAGGGACGCACGTTTGTTTTTTCATAAGCAAAACAATGAAGCAAGCGCTTTAGATCTGGGGTCACTGGCTCAGCACCACACGAAGGATCGGAGGGGATAGGTTCTGCCTAAATTCTCGTCATGCAGACCAATCACCCAACCAAATCAGTACCAATACGCTTGAGAATCGCTCCACGGCTGAGGGGAGCGCTCAAGCTTGAAGTGCTGATCAGCAATTGAGGAGGCAGCATCAACAAGCACCCCGACCACAGAACCCAGGTGCGCACAGCTCTACAGGCAAATGAAGACAAAGTAGATGAGTGAAGCAGGTGCAGGCAAAAGACCAGGGGTCACTAACTTAGCTTTACGCGAAAGGACCAGATAGGTTCTGCCTAAACTCTCGTCGTGCAGTATGATCTACCGGGAATAAACAATCTGCCAAACCGAATCCTGTCTACAACACTGAGTGATAACTTTCGCGAATATATAAGAAAGCCATCTTCCTACCGTCCACCCCACCTCAAAGACATTGTTCAATCTCCTCAGCACATCATACCACCTCGCACAAACAATGCGTTTCTCCTTCCTCACAGTTATTGTTGCGTTAGCATCTATAATGTCTGTCAGTGCATGTAGCGGCGCGGGCAGTCGTTGCAGAGTCACAAGTAACTGCTGCGCCAATCAAGGGTTGACCTGCACTCAAACTGTGGTAGGAGTAGTTTACTTTGCATCCAGTGTTCACCCAATGGCTCACCAAATTTTTGCGCTTTGTAATATCAGGCGGATGGTAAAATCTGCATGTTTCATCCCGACAAGTGAGCAGGCCGATTTGCACGTAGCGACGCATTGGTGAGTCACGTTTTTGCTTTTGCATTCCCAGTGCTGTTGTTGATCGAACAATCCGTAGGACGCCGCTGATTGAGAAATGCGTAGAAGTGATATTGAGTTGAATTAGTATGTGATATGTCGAATGAAAGAAGTATTTGCGTACTTGTGTGTCGGCTACAAGAGAAAAAGTTGAATCCTGTCTACTTACTAGTTCAATTGACGAGGCACTGACATGCAGTCTTTCATGGTACCGTGTTCTATGTCAGTCTCGTTTAACATTTAACCACCAAGTTATGGCACTGGATCTGTTCAACTGTTTCACACACAATATGCATAGTATGTGTCAGGGTCACAGATTGGGGCCAGTCATTTGGGCCTCTGGAAACAGCTATACCGCGTGCAATCTTGCTGAGAAGGTTCGGAGGTAGGACTGCCGCCCCATAGCTCAGGGTAGCGTTCAAGCCCGAAAAACTGAATAACAATTTCAAAGCACCTCGACAGCTCCGCGCTTCTGTTTTTCCACATCATGTAAATGAGTAAAATAGATGCACACTTCTGTTTTTCCAAAGAAGCCGTGCACAGAGGAACGTTTCGATGAGCCAGCCAAATAGAAATGCCGAGTGCAGATTGGGCCAAATAATCTGAGGACATCGATATGGCGAATCGCGCGTAGTGAACCGTATGAGGATATTGTGAGACGTGTCGACCAGCATCATGGCATATGAATCTGGAACCAGCGATGTTTATAAGTTACTAAGCGAGTGGTTTGTTTGTACATGATTATATACTCAACTCTATGTAGGACCTGTGCCACAACGTTGAACGTTGAACTATAGCCACTATAGTTCAACCGTCAATCTTCTCGGCATCTGATTTGCATGACCCACGGCCGCCAACTTTAAATTTTATGCCCGAGCTCCCTGTCTCTGCCAGGTCCGTCAAGATGTTCACTTATGGCGATTTGGTGGACACAACGAGTTCCTCGCTTGGGTGAGAAGTCACAGCTTCTGCTACCCAGTGTAAAAGCTGTCCTCCTTTTCCTTGAAGCTCTCAATTTCAGAGCGTCAGGGATGCAGATCCTCTTTGCTCATCTGTTTCTCTATGTGCCTGTAGCGTCCAACGGAGGCAGCGAGTTTGCAAGTGAATTTGTTCCCACCAGGTGCCCAGGTGGAACAAGAGGATACTTGTTTCCTCAGATAAGATTTAAATGGCGCCCTGTTGACAGAAAAACTGATGCTGATACTCAACTTGCTCGTCACAATATGCACGGAGTCCATAATCTTCACACACAGCATCTTGTTGCGCTCTGCGCAAGCCTCGGAGTCTTGGCTTGGTTTCAACGCCAATCTGCACCTTCTGACTGCAGCTCGTGGATAGAGACACCATAATGGTGCCCCGCTTAATATTATCACAGACGTCATCTTCATGGTGGTCCACAGCTCAACCTCACTATATGCCGACTTCAACACCACTTTAAACGCAACATTTATTGCCATCGTGGGGTTACCTCTCCTGCTGTTGGGCATTTCAATCCAAGGGCGTGTGTTTGAGGCGGTGAGTTTGAACTCTGAACTTTGATTTTGATCGTGAGCGGCTCAAAATATCTCATTCAAGTCATTTCTTATCCTCAAATACTTACGCCCAGATTCACCCACCCCCAGCCGACGCCCGGGAAACTATCTCTCCGAATTCTCATTGTGATTGTTAACAATTGCCATGCCCGCAACAAAGGTGGGGCGCAGAGATCGAGGTTTAAGGATACTGTTTTGGCGAGTGTTTTTTTCGGGTGGGTTTTGGTTGTTTGTGTGATTTTTGGTTCATTGCGTTCGCGTTCATTTCTACTTGTGTTTGGTCTGTTGAGTTGGGTTATGCATCGCCCTCCGCCATGTCACGTCGTTGCCCTTTGCTTTCATTTTTTTCTTGCAGGGAGGGCGCTTTTGTTTATGCTTTCATGCCCTTGTTGCCCCTCCTCCCGATCCTTGACCTTACATTCACTTGTCTCGGTTCGTTCGTTCGTTTTACCTGCCCCTCACCGCAACCATAACCCATCCCAGCACCCTCCATATCCAACCAAGCGCCAACCCAACTCGCACAGGACACCAAGCCCATTCGTGTGCGATATACGTTCTAGGAGCGAGGAAGCGCTGAGGGTAGGTTGGGTGCGATGTGTGCTATTGGGGTGCACTGCACGTGCTAGCTGCTGGTGTGTTGATTGTGAGTGAGAGTGTCCTGGAATCCAATGCCGATTGATGTGGACTGCGCTGCATGGACGTGTTCTTGCTCGGGCTGGAGCCTCGTAAAATTATATGTATAAGCATATTACATTATATCATATCAAATCATTATGAAGCACGTAGGTATCGTGTTTACTTGGGCCGTTTTGTGCATAACACGAGGTGGTGCGAGGACTAAATAATGAAAAAAAGTTGAAACTAGAGCCGACCTCGAAGACTTTCCATCTGACCACCGAAACTAGGGACTAGGAACAGTGAAAACAATCCAAATACAAGCACCCAAAAATCAAATAGTCCAACAGTGTCAAAACGGTAGGAAGCGGGCTACGATCGATAGACCAAGTTTCATTTCTCCGCTCGCCGTTTTGTTTGTCCGTGGACCCGTTGTCAAAGATGACAAAGAGCTTAGATTAGTGCAGCATTACATACCACTGAAGATCATCCGGCAAGAGACTGACTACCTCGGTGGTTTGGTTCAACCAACAAAAACGCAGCATTCCTGAAAACCGCTCCCATGGCCAGTGGAATATAGGGTAAGTGTTCAAGCTCAAAGTGCCTAGCAAAGGGAGCGGTCTCCGATGCGCCAAGCACAAGCTCCGCGACAGCAGGACCCAGGTGCGCGGCGCGACTATTTGTTTCGGAAACAAATGAGTAATACAGGCACGTACGTCTGTTTTTGCAAAGCAAATGAGCGAAGAAGGCGCGAGCTTCAAATCAAGAGTCACTGGCTCAGCGTCATTTGAAGGGCCGGAGGAGATAGGTTCTGCCTAAAATCTCGTCGTGCAGCCTGAGACTGATCAATCAAACAAAATTAACAACATGGTTGAAAGCCGCACCCCTCAGAAGCGATCGAGTTTGAGTTGCTGAATAGCAAAGGGAGAGGCAGCATCGCATAAACACTTCGACAGCAGGACCCAGGTGCGTACTTCTGTTTTTCTTTCTCTACATGCAAAGGAAGAAAAGTAGATGAGTGAAGCAAGTGCATGCTACACACTACTAAGGGTCACTTGAAGCGAAAGGACCGGAGGTGATAGGTTCTGCCTAAATTCACGTCGCGCAGTATGATCTGCCAGGCACAACCATTCTGCCAAACAAAATCCTGTCCACAATACTAAGCGTTATCCTTCGCCATAGTATAAAAGCAAGTCGTCTTCCTACCTTCCAACCCACCTCAAAGAGATTATTCGAGCACCTCAGCAGATCACACCACCTCACACAAACTATGCATTTCTCCTTCCTCACTGCTATTGTTGCGTTGGCATCTATAATGTCTGTCAGTGCATGTAGCGGCGCGGGCAGCAGTTGCAGAGCCACGAGTAACTGCTGCGCCAATCAAGGGTTGACCTGCACTCAAACTGTGGTAGGAGTAGTTTACTTTGCATCCAGTGTTCACCCAATGGCTCACCAAATTTTTGCGCTTTGTAATATCAGGTGCATGGTAAAGTCTGTGTTTTTCATCCAAGCGAGTGAGCAGGCCGATTTACACATAGTGACACATTGGTGAGTCATGTTTCCGCTTTCGCATTGGTGCAGTTGTTGATCGAGCAATATGTAGGATGCTGCTGGTTGAGAAATGGATAAAAGCGACACAGAGTTGAAGTAGTACGTGATATGTCGAGTGAATGAAATATTTGCGTACTCCGACTTGGTCTTGGTGCCCAGAGCGCCATGTCACGTGCCAGTAGTATCACCTTGAAGTCTATATTAAGATAAACGCTTGACTTGGTCTCAAGCTCGATGATTGACTTGAAATATCGTGGCACGGAAAAAACTTGAAAACGGTCTCTGAGATACTGACTGTCAAATTCATTCATATGAAGGATGGTATAACAAGGCAAGAAGGTCTGGATGACGACCCATGACTTGGATCTTGAGTAGAAGTTCCGGAATCATGTGTAAATGGGCCCCGAAGTTAAAACGCGCGAATGTGATATCCAGGACATAGTAGTGTGCATTCAAATATTTGAGCTGTTCTTTTATTCCAAGCTCTCCATTGCTCGAGCAGCGCTGAATTTTTTTCAAAAGAAAGCGCTCTGCGACGAACATCAACCACGCTGCACCAATGCGAAAATAGAAACACGACTCACTGTGCTAGTAGCTCAGTTGGTTTCACACAACCACACGGATGAACCCTACCACGCCGGTGAGACATGGAGTTATTCCTAGATGAAAACTACTTACACCAAAGTCACCTGGTGTGCCGGTTAATTGCACGCATTTAGTTCCTGAGGCGCAGCCGCGGTTGTCGCAATATGTAGGTGAGTAACAAAAGGTAGGACAGTCATTTTCAGCCCTGAGAACCATGGACGCTGCCAAAGCAGCAAATTGAATGGCGAGAATGAAGGAGAGATGCATTGTTTGTAAGATGTGATATAGAAAATCTGAAGGGGAAAGGTAGGATGACAGCTGTGCTTTTATGTCCTGCCAGTGAGTAGTGTTCTGTACAGAACCTACCCACCTTAAATACCCCTTTAAACAGATGGCATTTGCAATGCCAGCAGATTGCCAACAGACCTCAAATTCGACTTCCATTCAATCCTCGATAATTTATTGGCGCTGGAAGAATTCAGTTCCATCCGAGTCGTTGGATACGGCCTACGTTGGGTAACACGTAATTTTCTGTGATCAGACATGACACGAGAATCCCGGGTCCGTGCCTACGCAACATCATAGCACCTCAGTAGACCTTTGCGTGTTGAGTTCTCTTGATGGTCACTTTACACACAAGCGAGCTCTTTGGAGTGTGCGCTACCTCCCACACATAAGTATAGATACACGAGTTAAGTTGATACTAGCCTTTGAGCACAGTCAATACACCGTTGCATACGCGACGTTCGCCGGCCAGTGCAGGACTTCCAGGATACGATGCAACCGATATCAGCGTTGTCAGCGGACATTGGATATACATTAAAGCTATCGAAGAGGCTGCCACGGGCTATCAGCGTGCCCGCTGTATGCTCGTTAATACCGCCCTTGAAATATTTGAATGGACAATCAGCATCCGCACAGGAACGGCGGAAAGATATCGAGAATGAAACTGCCAGCTGACCAAGAGCTGGATGTTTCGGCAGTTGCAGACAAGCGGCGGCTCGCCATGATAGAACTATTCAACGCCAGTGCGATAAGACGAGAAAAAGTCAATTCCAGAAATGTACCCATCGTAGCGCTTGAAACGCGTACACTGGGACGAGAAGGCCTTTGGGCAAAAGCCTTTGCAGCGGAAAGGCGGAAGGTGTGGGGGACAGCACTATGTCATCGGGTGGGGTGTATTGCAGCATTGCGTGGCGTATTATTGAGGGCAGGGACCAAAGTATTCCAAACAGTCAAAGACGTGCGCAAATGAATCCGTCCACGCTAAACTTCAAGCTCCCGGGACTTCTGTACATGTTTTGATTAGCAGTGTTGCAACCGTTGTGTGGATACCGGATGAATCGACTCCGTCAAGTTCTGCGCTGCTACGATTCATCAGCGCATGAATATTTTTCCAAGGACACAGTACCTTGTATAGCGGTAGCTAGTCGCCGTCACAAAATCAAATCTTGTACCGGATCATCAAGGCTTGACCTTCGAAACGTGGATTCTTCTGATTTTCTGGAAGTCACTGAAGAAGCTGCTCAATTTGCATAGAGCCAGTCACGCAGGAAATGCTGCCAATGATAGCGAGAATCGAAAGCTAGACCACAATGAACCATCGTTCAGTGAGTAATTCTTCGCTCACCTGGCAGTGAACGTGCAGGATTCAGATATCGATGTCAGGCTATATCTGTGTACTACCACAGTGTAGCCAATATTCGATGGGTTCCCCAACCTTAGACTAGCTTCACATTCGCCACCTCAGCGCGCTCCCCACTAAAAAACCTTGGCCCAGCGTCAGCTGATAACAAGAGTCAAAAGAAATATCTTACAGACTCCCAGTCCACCCATAATCTTTTTGCCAACCATACTCCCCAGTGCACTGGGACGGGCCATTTTTAGTGTATAGATGCCGGTAGCAGCGAACGCGCCGCTTCCTATGATACGACAAGTTACACAGTCATTGTACGATGAAGACTAGGGGACAAAGCCGGAGCCAGAGCCAGAGCCAGAGCCAGAGTCGGGTGCTGCGGAGCTTATTGTGTTTGATTCAGGCGTGCTCACTGCTCATGCCCCGTAGTACTTTGCAGAAGAAAAGCAGGAAACAAGTGACTCAGTCGTTTACATAATTATTATTAATGTCGGGGCCTGGCACATGGAACACACACAAGGCAAGGGCCTTTCAAGTATTAGTGCAACTATTATACTGTCCGACTCTGCAGCGACCCCCAGGCAATCCTATATGCTATATGCAGTCTATAACAGAAGGATGTCCGCGTGGGAAAAAAAGCTCAGAAACCGATGGCAATCCTCTCCATCCCATCGATAGCATCCCCCACAACAAACGCAGTTCTCGCCATCCACGCGCCATTATACACATTTTCAATCCACCACGGGATACAGGGTGACGCATAAACAATTTGAAGTATACGTAATACCCGTGTAACGATAACGCATCAGCCACGCTCCCGACAAAAAAACATTAATAGGGTTGCTGCAAGCGATATAGCTCCACCTGTATGCATTAATAACCCTTGGGTTCACATATATGCGCTGCATATTAAACTGACGTCTCAGATCATACGGCAGCAAGAAGTATTCTGATGAAAAACACTCCTCGGGGGCAGATGCGCGGAACTGTATTGGGGGTGTCAGAGCAGGACTGGAACCGCGCATGAAGGAATCGTGTGTCGTACGGCAAAGGGTCGGTAGAAAGCGTGCGGTTGGAGCGCAAGGGTATTGGGATAAAAGGATCTGTAGCGAAGACGGCAATACCGTTCCAGCAGGAAAACACGGGTGCGGGGGAGTCGGTCGCGGCTAATGCTAAAAGTCTAGACCGCATGCCACATCGTAGTTTCCATCATTCGTCTCTAAAAACTCCACCAAGATGTCGGGCTCGATAAATATGTCATTCGAGAAGACGACTTTATCGTAGCCTCCTTCCATTGGGGGCCCGAGTGCGCGGTTACGACGGGCTGCCAAGAATTCGATGCGCTCGCTCCCGCTGAAGTAGTCAGGTCTGGCTATTGTAGAAGTTGAGGAGAGGGATCGGGACTGTGACTTTCGACGATAGAAACGAAGACGTTGTCTGGACCAAGATAATGTATAGCTTTGATGAGAGAGACGTGCCAGTAGGGAATAACTAGTTCGTTGTTGTAGAACACGGCAGCGACGAAGTTTTTTGCTAAAACACGGATAAGCCGCCTTCGATTCAAGAAGTTCGAGGAAGCTCACCTTGTTTTCCGTACCCTTGTCTTAAAGGATGTGCGATGGCCGACTGAACTGCGTCTCTGTAGCGCACATCGCTAGGCTGCTCATAATGCGCGCCAACCTACGTGCTTGCGCAAAAGAGGACGGTGTATGTGAGACCACGATCTGTTATGCGCCACTAGATGCGCAGTTGGAGACACTGGTCTAGAGGAGCACTCGCTACCTTCTTCGGCTGTTTCCAGCGACGGGTTTTCTTCTTCAGTCAGGTCAAATAGTGGTACTTGGACCGCCGTTTCGCTGGAGCATGACATATCATTGCTGTGAAATGGCCAAGCCTCCATTCCATCGACTTGTGAGTAGTGGAAGTAGAAATAGTGATAATTGTACGAAAATGAGGGTGGGGGCTACAAGGGGAGGCACGGCACGTGTTGAGCTGACCAGCGCAACGTTGAAGGCGCGCTTCCCACGACTAGTACAGGCGTAAAGTTGCGGCCCTTGTTTCACTATACTCAGATATTGCACAAATTTCAGTTCGTCAACTCACCACGCAAACCTTGCGATGATGATCGAACTGCACCCACTACTACGTCGACACGTACTAGCTCAATTGAACCAGCCACGAGTTTCCCAGTTGCTAGACTCTATACATACTACCCTTGCGGCCCTTTCGCGGAAGTATTGATGATATTCTAACTTCAAATCTGGACTTCTCTGCACAGTGCAGGAACTGTCATGTCACACTGGCCATGGATACGGCTTATATACCAGTCTCCATCACTGCGATTCAAGAACAAGCAGTCAAGCCCGTCCAGGACATCACCGTTAATTTAGGTCGTGACATCGCCAAATTATGTTTCTTTTTACCCGATCCATTCTGTTATCGCGACATTACCCGTGCAATTAGATCTAAGTTCATCTAACAGTGCCACATTATTGTGGTCAACACAAGATCACGCAGTCGATGAATGCGCACAAAGGACTCATATCAACTCTCATATCTCTCTATCAATGTTTGCCAAAAAGCGGACCATCCCTAACTTTTGTTAGATGACCTCCCAGCACTTCAGGAGCTGGCCATACAACGGAAGATCATGACATTATTGCATAATCTATTTTGCGACTGCCGTTCGCCATGCGTAGTCTCAATGTCATTGACATGAGTCCGTTGTTCGACATCGTACGCTTCACTTTGTTCGGTCCCGTGTGGGCCCACCTGACACATGTCAAGATGACCATACGTCACCCGAAAGCGGTCCTCCTCTTGCTCCAGCTATCTCCTAACCTCTCCTCGTGAACGATCCGCGTAGCATTTCAGCTAACAGAAACATTAGAGCCACTCGCGCACACCAAAATCCATTCACAGCGCATCGTTGAATTCATGACCAGTTATTTGCACGCCCCATATCCGACCTGCTTGATGCTGCCTCGCTGCCCAATTTTTGCGTGCTTGAAGCTCGCTGCGATCACAGAGTACCATGGCCTCATCAAGGGTTGAAGGCATTTTTGGCACGGTCAAAGTGTCCCCTAGAAGAGGCTGGTTTTCAGTGGTAAGATGAAGATGACAGATGTGCAGCGAGCGGGATACGTTGCTCTTATGATGAGTCTTATCCCTTCCCTCGACGTAGTAGTGGATCCAAGTCGCAAATACATTGCTTAAGACCCGATAATTACACAGCGATGTCTCGTTCGTTTATGAGCTAGTCCTTGGTAATAAAAGTGATCGCGCGTCCTCCGAGCACTCAGCTTGAGGGTCCTGCTGTAAACACTCTCCTCAACTTGAAGCTCTCGTCCGTCACTAGTAAAAGTCGGCCATCCAAAAGCATGTCGTGTGGCAGTGCCGCGTCAACATATGCCGCGAAACGGGCCAGGTAAAATTTAAAATCACGCGGTCGTGCCGTGCCAGCTGTCGCGGCCCTGACGCGGCATTGAAATTGAAGTATATACCGCACATCGGGAGTACAGGTGCAAAGATGTTACGATTACCTTCCGAGTATCCCTAGACCAAGGTAAACAATCGAGCTCGAAGTGTTGAATAGCACAGGAAGTGAACTCGCACAAGCGCGAGTCGATAGTAGGAAGGGGCCTCCGTTTTTCCATCCCTATAAGCAAATAAGTGAAGCAGGTGCGTGCTTCTGTTGTTTCAGCTCCACGAATAAATGAGGGAAGTGAAATCTGTGCATCGACATCAGAGTAGCTGTAAACACACATTACCGTGGGTCCGTGGGCCTTGCTTTCGGACGAATTTGCGGTACGCCGTAAAAGTTTTGCTTGCGGTGTGTAGGAGTCACCAGTCAGTGCCTGCCAGTGCGTATCAATGGTCAGCTCAGCTTCCTAACTGACCGGAAGGGATAGGTCCCGTCTTAACCATTCTTCCAACAGAATCCTGGTTTAAGCACTAAGCGTTATTTGTCGCGATAGTATAAAAGCAAATCATCTTCCTACCGTCCACTCCACCCCAAAGAGATTTTTCGAGCACCTCAGCGCTTCATACCACCTCACACCAACAATGCGTTTCTCCTTCCTAACCGTTATTATTACGCTGACAGCATCTATAATGTCTGTTAGTGCATGCCAAAAAAACGGCAAGAGTTGCGAGAGGACCAGTGACTGCTGCGATAAACATAGTGTCTGCGTTCTCACTGTGAGTAGTTTGCTTTGCATCTAATCTTCGCCTGATGCACTCACCCTTTGCGCCTTGTAATATCAGTCGACTGGTTCTTATATCTGCTCCGATGATTAGGAAGATGAAGGCCGGTAGTCCTGTTTGCACGTACTAGCAACACACTGGTGGGTTATATGTCCGCTTTCGCATTGGTGCTGTTGTTGATCGAACAATATGCAGTCCGCCGCTGATTGAGAAATAAATACAGGTAGATGATGAAGTATTTGCGTACTTGTTGGTCAGGTTTGTGGGGGGTTGGCTTGGGTGTCACCTGTACTTGACCGGGGTGTTCTCACTTGTGTCTGTAATGCATAATGTCCTCGACTGTCATAAGCGCAAGGGTATCGGGATAAACGGATCTGCAGCGAAGACGGCATTACCGTTCCAGCAGGAAAACACGGGTGCGGGGAGTCGGTCTGCGTTACGTGATAATCGGTTTCGTCGAAGAAGTGCCATCTATCTGCGTGTCGAATTTGAATTTTGTGTTCGTGAAGGCAAAATTAGCATTCCGCTGGTGAGTTTTACCTGTCGATCTCGAAGAATCCACATATTATGTGCGCCTCGAGGTATTAAAGCTACCCGAAATGCTCAAAGTCTAGACCGCATGCCATGTCGTAGTTTCCATCCACCAAGGTCCCATGTGTCATCCGAGAAGAGGACCTTATCGCAACCTCCTTCCATTAGGGGATCGAGTGCGCGGTTATGAGTGGCTGCCAAGAATTCGATGCGCTCGCTCCAGCCCAAATAGTCAGGTTTGGCTATTGTCTCATCTCCAGCGAGTATGCGCCGCGACACATCCATAAGGGCAAGGTCTGCACCTAGAGCTTGAGGAAGTTGAGAGAATGTATGTGCACTGTGACTCTTGACGATAGAGACGAAGACGTTGTCTGGACCGAGATAATGTATAACTTCGATGAGGGAGTCGTGCCAGTAGGGAATAATTAGTTCGTTGTTATAGAATATGGCAGTGAGTCACCAGTGAAAGTTGGCCATCCAAGGGCCAGGTAAAATTTAAAATGACGCGGTCGTTCCGCGCCTGCCGCAGCCGGGACGCGGTGTTGAAATTGAGGCACTGATCGGGAGCACGAGCGCAAATATGTTACGACTACCTTCCGCCTCGGAGTATCACTAGACCAGGGTAAACACTCAAGCTCGCAGCGTTGAATAGTACAGGAAGCGACCTCGCACAAGCGCGAGTCGACAGTAGGTCCTTCCGTATTCCAACTCTACAAGCAAATGAGTGAAGCAGGTACGTGCTTCCGTTGTTCCAGCTCCACGAGTAAATGAGTGAAGCGAAATCTGTGCATCGATGTCAGAGTAGCTGTAAAACAACGTTACCGTGGGTCCGTGGGCCTTACTTTCAAACGAATTTGCGATGCGCCGTAAATTTCTGCTTGCGGTGTGTAGGAGTCACCGGTCAGTGGCTGTCAGTGGTCAGCTCAGCCTCCTAAATGACCGGAAGGGATAGGGTTCCTCCTGAACCGTTCTGCCAACAGAATCCTGGATAAAGCACTAGGCGTCATTTGTCGCAATGGTATAAAATAAAATCATCTCTCTACCGTCCACTCCACCTCAAAGAGATTTCCCGAGCACCTCAGCAGTTCATACCACCTCACACCAACAATGCGTTTCTCCTTCCTTACCGTTATTATTGCGCTGACAGCATCTATAATGTCTGTCAGTGCATGCAAAGCAGACGGCAAGAGTTGCACCAAGACCAGTGACTGCTGCGATAAACATAGTACCTGCGTTGCCATTGTGAGTAGTTTAATTTTCATCCAATTTTAACCTGATAACTCACCCTTTGCGCCTTGTAATATCAGTCGACTGGTGCTAAAATCTGCATTAATTGGGCAAATGAAGGCCGGTAGGCCTGCTTGCACGTACTAGCAACACACTGGTGGGTTATATCTCCGCTTTCACATCGGTGCTGTTGTTGATCGAACAATTTGCAGTTCGCTGCTGATTGAAAAATAGATAAAGGCAAAAGGGATAAAGTATTCGTTACAATTCCTACTGTGTCAACGATCTCAATATTACATCCCATTTTCACGGCCGTGGTCAACTCCCTGGACAGAGAGACTATCAGTCGAGCTCCTCATTGGCAGCTCTTCTTCGTCGGATGTCGTCCTCGCAAAGCAAACATCTATCATGCCTGCACGACGCAAGTTGTCCTCCGTCGGATGCTCCACATCTTCCAAAGCTTCGTGGACGGATGGTGAATGATGACCCAACCACAGCAACGGCAGTGCGCCTGTATTTTAGATGGCAGCCTGGCTGTTGTGGGATGCATCGAATGCTCTTGTCATGTGTAGAGCCAATCCCAACATGATCACTGACGCAGAGGTAGCAAACAACAGCTAGAATCAAAACTTCGACAAACTGTCATTGCGTAGAAGACGTCGTGAACTCACAGAGATAAGGGTGATCTGAAACGTGTGTGCATCAGTCAAATACAGAGTGGTTCTGTATCGTTGAAACTGACATTGAGTCGTAGGGCAATCACCTCCTCGTCGACAAGGGCCATCCCCTCGCCAGGTGGAATTCCTCCATTGGACCCCATTCGGCTTGCTGAGTTAGTGACACAATATGAGTAGGAACTGAGCCATGCATATGATCCCTTACCCATCCAAGTGATTTGTGCAACCGCTTGCGCAATAGCAGCTTCTAGTTTATCCGGGCTCAGGGTGAAATTAGAAACGGGAGATTCACCGTTTTCCCATTGGAGATATTGAGCTGTGAGATTCAATCCTACCAATGACATGATATACCTGGAAGAAAAAACTGTAGGTAAGGCATTGTAGCATGGCAGTGAAGGTAAGGTCTGAACTCATCCACAATTGTGGGTTCACTGAGATGTTCATTTAATTCCAAAAATTGATACCCGCTACCGCTTGAAGTAGACAAAATCTGGCTAATCTTGTGTAGACAACGGATCATTAGACTTCGATAACCCCTCAAAATAAGTATTGTTCAACATACAGATAATGACCACTGGGTAGATGGCCACTGATATATTTCCTCCCATTGTGTGGATGGCTGCGAGATGGGCATCGGATTCTGTAGAGCGTTGGTTTGCACATCGATCGCTACTGTGGTATTGTTGGTTAACAGCAAGCATTGCATAAAATAGACTTCAATAGAGTAGTTCGAAGCTGCAGATGGTTTGTTATTATGGCTACATTCCGGGAAAGCCAAACGCACACGGAGTTTCCCAAGTCATTGGTACCGCAACCTCCTTTCGTAATGAAGGCTCGATCTCCAGCAAGGTAGAGACCATTAGCACGACAGAAGGCAGTGTGTCAGCCTGACAACCGCCAATTAGCTTCAGAGTTGCACACTAAACCCTTGGCACGAACGTCCGCGTCATTGATCTCACCGCTATAAAACGGCTGAAGAACTTGTATCTGGTCTGTCCCTGTAGGCATTTCTAAATATGACGGAATAATATTTCACGCCATGTTAACGTACAGGGAGGGTTTGTATTCATCAGGGCAAGATTTCCATTTGGCAATGGAAAGCTTGCTGTGCTGTCACTGTATGTGGCATTTGGAAGCAATGCGCAGCTCGAGGTTATCGTCGTCGCATTCACCATTGCATGTCCGACTATAGAGTTTGTTCCCGAGGTGTCGTAGACTGTATTATTGGATAAACCTATAGAGACAAGTGCAGGAAATTGACTGATAGCCGGTAAGGATGCGGTGATAGCTCCCCAGTTCTCGGTATACCAGTTAACGCTGGAGGTGAATGGATCTACCCATCCCAGTGTTGTTGATACATGAGTTGTCACAGAAGAATTAAATGTTTGAAATTGTAGGAGAGTGGAAGAGGCGACGTGCAGCACAGAAATGCATACAAGGTAGGTCGTCACAGCAGTAGTCGCCCACAGCGATGCAGGGACACCAGTTTGTTTCCAGGCGGTATTGAGTGCGGAGCCAAGACCTGTCCATGCGCCGGAGATGTCGTGGATTGAGGTCAATTTCAGACGGCGCACAAGTGCCCTTGACATTGCAAGCCGTTGAGTAAGGAAGACCAAGACAGCTGTGTAGAGCTACACGAAGTCCTGTGATTGGTGTATTGGTGAGATAACAGTAAGTACATACCGTGTAAAATGCTTTTAGTGAAGCGCTCAGTACCACAGGCCCAAAATCGGTGTTCGTGGGCATGAATGGGAGAGTCACACGGTATTCCCAGTGAGATATATAAGACATGGTGAGGAAGACGTGTATCATAACCAACATGCCATGCAGCACGTAACATGTGCGTGCAAAGAATGATCCCCCGCTTGGATTTTCTGAAGGATTTTTCGAGCGAGTCTTCCAGGACGCTGGGGCAAGGAAATATAGGTGTTGGCATATAACAACTTGAATAATTAACATGACATTGACATACCGAACCAAGTGCCTGGCGGTCGCATTATGGGATGCTTGCCGTTCGGGGTCGAGGCCTGAGGGGAATGTCCAGTTTTTGAAGGGAAGAGGCGGCACTGATGTATCTGCGAGGGTGGTGTAAAACGGCCCTGGGAATGGACAGAGTCTGGTTGCGATTCAAAGAAAAGAAGCTGAAAAAGTACGGCGTGGCTGATGCCACCACCATTGCACTGCTGCTGATAATGATTCAGGATGCTGTCCGATATCAGCAAATGCTTGCGGCGGATTTGCCCCTGCAGCACTCCTACACCAAGTCAGACAGTACTAGTAGTTAGTGCTGCCGAAGTTCGGTTCCGTCCAGTTTTTTCAAAATAACTGAGGACCGAGAACCAAACCTCGGTCAAGTTCACAAAGGTAGGTGAACTCTGGGCCGGATCAATTCGAACGGGTTCACAATCGTAGCGCCTCTGAAGGCAGCAGTCCCCGGTTGAGCCTCGTCGTGAAAGATGACGATCTGGCGAGCGCGCCAGCCGCTTGGTATTGCAAAACTGATGGTTTCGCCTCCCGTCATGACTCCACTAGAACTGAAAACACTCACTAGAGAGCTAGCAAAACTTGTTTTAGTCTTCGAGTCGTGGACGAAAATATGACAGTGATGGGCGATGATGGATATATATGACTCAGTTATAAATAAATATGTTTTTCTAACCAACATTGTAGGCTGCGTGAGAATTTTGCATCAGAGTATCATAAAGAGTTGGGCGGGTTTTATTGCACTTTGCAAAGTGATCACACTTCATATGTGTGCACCATATCTTGGACCGAGCTCGAGACCGTAATTCAGGTTGTCGCACGCAATTGTACGCACCAACGACGCATAGTACTAGTACTTGTGGATAAGTTGAGCGAATTTGGCGCCCAAAGAAGGCGTGCTTCCCACGACTAGTACCCGTCCCTTGTTTCACTACACTACTTCGACAAGTACTGCTACTCAATAGAACCAGCCACGAGTTTCCCAGTTGCTAAACTCCATACTACCCTTGCGGCCCTTTAAATTCCCCACTGTAGCGTGTTATCCGCGAAGGTATTGACGAAGTTCTCACTTCAAATCTAGACTTCTCTGTGCTGTGCAGGAATTGTTATGTCACACTGGCCATGGATTCGGCTTATATACCGGTCTTCATCGCTGCGATTCAAGAACAAGTAGTCAAGCCCGTCCAGAACATCACCAAATTATGTTTCTTGTTACCTGACGGTCCTGATCCATTCTGTTATCGCGACCTTACCCGTGCAATTAGATATAACAGCGCCGCATTGAACATGTCACTGAGGGAGAATTCAGAGTATCAGCGCCATCATCAACAAACGCCAACAGTTAACAGCTGGATGCAGCTTTGCACGAGATCTCAAGCTCGCAAACGGCGATGCATGGTATAAAAATCTTCACCGGCAACTGGTCAACACAAGACCACGCAGTCGATGAATGTGCGCAAAGGACTCATCAACTCTCATATCTCTCTATCAATGTTTGTTAAAAAGTGGACCATCCCTAACTTTTCTTAGATCGCCTCCCAGCACTTCAGGAGCTGACCATACAAGGGTTGTAAGATTGTGACATTATTGCACAATCTATCTCGCGACTGCCATCCGCCAAGCGTAGTCTCAATGCATTGACATGAGTTCGTTTTTCGACATCGTACGTCACCTGAAAGCGGTCTTCCTCTCACTCCGGCTTTCTCCTAACCTCTCCTCGTGAACGATCCGCGTGGCATTTCAGCTAACAGAAACATTAGAGCCACTCGTGCACACCAAAATCCACTCATAACGCATCGTATGAATTCGTGGCCGGTTGTTTGCACGCCCCATATCCGACCTGTTTCATGCTGCCTCGCTGCCCAATTTGTGCGTGCTTTAAGCTCGCCGCGATCACAGTATCATGGCCTCGTCAAGGGTTGAAGGCATTTTTGGCACAGTCAAAGTGTCCCCTAGAAGAGGCTGGTTTTCAATGGTATGATGTAGATCTTAGGTGACAGATGTGCAGCGAGCGGGATACGTTGCCCTTATTCCTTCCCTTGACGTAGTAGTTGATCAGTGCCAGTCAGTGATCAGCTCAGCTTCCTAAATGACCGGAAGGGATAGGTTCTGCCTGAACCATTCTGCCAACAGAATCCTGGCTAAAGCACTAAGCGTCATTTGTCCCAATGGTATAAAAGAAAATCAAAATCATCTCTCTACCGTCCTCAAAGAGATTTCCCGAGCACCTCAGCAGTTCATACCACCTCACAGCAACAATGCGTTTCCCCTTCCTCACCGTTATTGTTGCGCTTACAGCATCTATAATGTCTGTCAGTGCATGCATAGCAGACGGCCAGAGTTGCACCAAGACCAGTGACTGCTGCAATCCAGATAGTACCTGCGCTGCCACTGTGAGTAGTTTACTTTGCATCCACAATTAACCTGATGATTCACCCTTTGCGCCTTGTAATACCAGTCGACTGGAGCTACAATCTGCAATGATTGGGGCCGGTAGGCCTGTTTGCGCGTAAAGGCATTTTTGGTACGGTCAAAGTGTCCCCTGGAAGAGGCTAGTTTTCAGTGGTATGATGAAGATGACAGATGTGCAGCGAGCGGGATACGTTGCTCTTATCCCTTCCCTCGACGTAGTAGTGGATCCAAGTCGCAAATGCATTGCTTAAGACCCGATAATTACACAGCGATGTCTCGTTCGTTTATGAGCTATCAGTCCTCGGTAATAAAAGTGATTGCGGGTCCTCCGAGAACTCAGCTTGAGGGTCCTGCCGTGAACACTCTCCTCAACTCTCGTCCGTCACCAGTGAAAGTTGGCCATCCAAAAATATGTCGTGTGGTAGTGCCGCATCAACATGTGCCGCGCAACGGGCCAGGTAAAATTTAAAATGACGCGGTGGTACCGCGCCTGCCGCGGCCGTGACGCGGCATTGAAATTGAAGCATATATCGCACTGATGGGGAGCACACGCGCAAATATTTTATGACTACCTTCCGACTCGGAGTATCGCTAGACCATGGTAAACCCTCAAGCTCGAAGTGTTGAATAACACAGGAAGTGACCTTGCACAAGCGGGAGTCGACAATAGGTCTGCGCTTCCGTTTTTCCACCTCCACGAGTAAATGAGTGAAGTGAAACCTGTGCATCGACATCAGCTGTAAAACAGTGTTACCGTGGGTCCGTGGGCCTTACTTTCAAACGAATTTGCGATACCCCGTAAAAGTTTTGCTTGCGGTGTGTAGGAGTCACCAGTCAGTGCCTGTCAGTGGTCAGCTCAGCCTCCTAAATGACCGGAGGGGATAGGTTCTGCCTGAACCATTCTTCCAACAGAATCCTGGCTAAAGCACTAAGCGTCATTTGCATTTGTCGCAATGGTATAAAAACAAATCATCTTCCTACCGTCCACTTCACCTCAAAGAGATATTCCGAGCACATCAGCAGTTCATACCACCTCACACCAACAATGCGTTTCTCCTTCCTCACCGTTATTATTGCGCTTACGGCATCTATAATGTCTGTTAGTGCATGCATAGCAGACGGCAAGAGTTGCACCAAAACCAGTGACTGCTGCCATACATATAGTACCTGCGTTGCCAGTGTGAGTAGTTTACTTTACACCCAATTTTAACCTGGTGGCTCACCCTTTGCGCCTTATAATATCAGTCGACTGGTGCTAAGATCTGCTTTGATTGGGAAAAATGAAGGCCGCTAGGCCTTTCTGCACGTACTAGCAACACGCTGGTGGGTTATATTTCCGCTTTCGCATTGGTGCTGTTGTTGATCGAACAATATGCAGTTCGCTGCTGATTGAGAAATGGATAAAGGAAAAGTGTATAAAGTATTTACGCACTTGTTGGTCAAACTTGTGGGGGTTGGGTGTCACCTGTACTTGACTGGGGTGTTCTAACTGGTGTCTGTAATGCATGATGCCCACGACTGTCATATAGGTCACTTCGTATCTTCTCTTGCTGCGCTCCTGGCTGTAACCTTCTAAGATCGTGATCTCGGAGCAATAATTATGTATAACTCCCAATACGGACGAAAAAATAAGCCTTATGAACAATGTCATCCTATTCAAGGCGCTGCCTCTGCTGGGTATAAGCTCGCGGGAACTGTGGTTCGCGTTCGAACTGGGTTCGACCGCAATCTCGAGGTGTTGCGTCGACAATTTCCACCGCGTACACCACACCGTTCCCAACACTACGAATACCATGCGCAAACGCGCAGTGAACGACAGCAACCGCTAACGTGGCTGAGATGAGCGCGGACGATGGACGAGAGCAGGATAACGAGGGAGAGAGACGAGCAGGAGAATGATGGAGATAGACGAGCAGAAAAACAAGGGAGAGACGAAGCAATCTGTTGCCCTGTAGTTGTCAGTTTTCAGACGTGTTGTGAGTAGCTGGCAAGGTCCAATCACGATTGGGCGCCAATCGTTGAGCTGCTTTAAAGCACGCACAATTGCATAGGGCTCTGAGCTTGCACAGCAACATGCACGGGAAGACGCAGCACGCGATGGCTACTTAGACTGATAGGCTCGTTGGCCTAGAGTACAGGACCCCCAGGCTAGGTTGATGCTCCACTGGAAACGACCATGGCAGGAAGCAAACAAGTAAGGCGCTGAACCATAGTTAAAACGAAATGCTGCGTATTGCACAGGGATGTATGAGGAAGCACATAAATATAGGGGTTGCCAAATGCACGCACATCCAATCAGTTGAATCGCTCGTTCTTCCCCCAAGTTGCTAGCCTCTATGTAACGTCAAAAATTGTCTGAACTTCTAACACTGACGAACTGACAAATTGACGGTCGGTTTCAGTAGGCAAAGTGAACAAGCTGCCAATAGTTGTGCACCGTCGAAATCACTATCAATGTCAGGCCTCACCGACAGTGCTTCGAATAGTACTTGCTGGTGGAGACACTGGTGATGGCTTCCAGATCGAGACAGCCAGCAACAGCAGTAGCAAAGGAATCGGTTTTGACACCCGTGTTGACATTGAAGGGCACACAAAGTTGAACCGGTCTGTCCATGTGAAGTTGAGAAGTCGATTAGTAACAGAAGAAGACAATAGAGGATGAACGAACCCCCCGGACCGTCACAGCCACCACCACTTCGGGACGTTCATAATTTTAACTAAATTTAACCGCTACATCAATATTTAGATTTGCTTGAATATTGCCGTAATTTTTTTCCTCAAGCTCTCGTCCGTCACCAGTGAAAGTTGGTCATCCAAAGGTATGGTGTGTGCCGCGCAACGGGCCAGGTGAAAATGACGTGGTCGTGACACGGCATTGAAATTGAAGTATAATACCGCATCGGGAACACAAGCGCAAACATATATACGGCACGTTACGACTACCTTCCGAGTATCGCTAGACCAGGGTGAGCATTCAAGCTCGAAGTGTTGAATAGCACAGGGAGTAACCTCGCACAAGTGCGAGTCGACAGTAGGTCTGCCCTTCCGTTTTGCGAACTCTACAAGCAAATGAATGAGGCAGGTGCGTGCTTCCGTTTTTCCGGCTCTACGAGTGAATGAGCGAAGTGAAATCTGTACATCGACATCCGAGTAGCTATAAAAGTACGTCACCGTGGAGGGTCCGTGGGCCGTGGGCCTTACTTTCAAATGGAGTTGTGATACGCAATAAAAGTTCTGCTGGCAGTGTGTAGGAGTCACCAGTCAGTGGTCACTAGCTCAGCTTCCGAAATGACCGGAAGGGATACGTTCCGCCTAACCCATTCTGCCAACAGAATCCTGGCTAAAACACTAAGCGTTATTTGTCGCAATAGTATAAAAGCAAATCATCTTCCTACACCGTCCACTCCACCTCAAAGACATTTTTCGAGCACCTCAGCACCTCAGCAGTTCATACCACCTCACACCAACAATGCGTTTCTCCTTCCTCACCGTTATTATTGCGCTGACAGCATCTATAATGTCTGTCAGTGCATGCAACACAGACGGCGAGAGTTGCACCAAGAACAGTGACTGCTGCAATAAAAAGAGTACCTGCGTTCTCATTGTGAGTAGTTTGCTTCGCAACTTTCACCTGATGACTCACCCTATACACATTGTAATATCAGCCGACTGGTGCTAAAATCTGCTATAATCCCGAAGATGACGGGTAGGCCTGTTTGCACGTAGCAACACACTGGTGCGTTATATTTCCGCTTTCGCAATAGTGCTGTTGTTGATCGACCAATATACAGTTCGCTGCTGATTTAGAAATAGATAAAGGCAAAGTGGATGGAGTATTTGCGTACTTGTTGGTCAGGGCCCTAGTGTAAACAAAGCCCAGGCTTGTGGGTGGTCTTGGGTGTATGGTATCATTGCGGGTTATAGGCCTAAAATGATACACCTTTGCATTGAATTATCCATGCAGTCTCGATTCAACCATGTGCTAAGAATAACTGAAACCTCATCCGTGCATCTCGACACATCCACTTGTCCTCAGTACAGATGATTTCGATCAGTCCGTGTGGCGTTCAGAGTGGCTCATATCAGAATGTTGGAAACTGGTGAGCGCTAGCCTGTGACGGCGCGGCCATTTTCACTGTACAGTACCCTCGTGTGTGCTGTAGAAATGGAAGAACCGAATCAATGTGTTGGTTCGTGTCATAAATATGAAAATGAGACATACATATTCCGGATGGCCCCTCCGGCGCCACAAAGGAGGTACCCGTTAACGTATCAATGCGGTTTCATGCAGTACATGGCAGATGGCTGTGGATAACATTGGCAGCCTGGCCAACCCTCGCACGTGCGTGTGTCAATTGGCCGTGTTCTTGCTTGGGCCCGCGGCTCGTGAAACATATACACATATATGATTCGGGCACCGTGTTCATAGACCGTTTTGTCCGTTGAGTACATAGACGTATATCCTTGTGGTGTGTATTTGACGTTTTGGAGGGTGCGGTAAACTTGTTTACTTTAATCAGTTTAAATTTTGTTTGGGTCGTTGTTGGGCTGTCAGGTCGAGGGATGAAGCGTACTCGCATCTGCCTTGACACAGATCTGAACCCAAATCAGAGTCAACCCAGGTGCGAGTGCGCTATCACATTGACATGATATTAATATTGGTGGTGTGAGGGCTGCCGCCTTCTCAGGCTGCCATCTGCAGGCATGTTTGTAGTGTGGGAAGAGACTTCTAAAGCGGGATTTGCCCACCGCCATTACTTCGTTTTATATAACACGTCGACTATAGTCACGGAGCGCACGCTCCTCAAACAAAGGTTCCCAGACCAGACCTCCTACCTCGTCCACGGTAAGTAAGCCTCCTCCTCCATACTTACAACTGCCTAACCTCAGTCTCATCCCAGATGTCAACACCACTGCTCACATTCAGTGAGCCCTCGGTAGAAATCCTTCTACGTTCATTCATGACAATCATACTCTCCGAAATCGGGGACAAAACTTTCTTCATCGCCGCCATCCTCTCCATGCGCCATCCTCGCTTTGTCGTCTTCCTGGGCGCTTTCGCTTCCCTTTTTCTCATGTCTATGCTGTCAGCGTCGCTGGGTCACATACTACCTACGCTATTACCCAAGAAATGGACTCAGATTATGGCTGGGGTGCTGTTTTTGGTGTTCGGGAGTAAGATGGTGATGGAAGGGAGGGAGATGGAAGGGAAGGGGAACGAAAAAGCTCAGGAGGAGATGAGGGAGGCGGAAGAGGAAATCGAAGGGGATGAATTTGAGGCGGGGGATGGGATTCCGCTCGAACGGATTGAGGAGGGGGAAGCAGTGCCTTCATCCCCCAGTGCAAGAAAACAGAAAAGTTTTGGTTGGGGTATCGCGGAAGGCGTGAGGAATTTTTGCAGTCTTATCCTTGGTCCTGTCTTTGTGCAGGCCTTTGTGCTTACTTTCCTCGGGGAATGGGGTGATAGGAGTCAGATTGCCACGATTGCTTTGGGTGCTGCCCATGTGAGTTGCTCAGTCTTTGTTCGCCCGAGGAACTGTATTGACGAGGCACGTTTTTAGAATGTATATCTCGTAACACTAGGAACGGTCGTTGGGCATACGTGTTGTACAGCGCTGGCTGTCGTGGGTGGGCGGTATGTGTCGAGTAAAATATCGGTTAAGCATGGTGAGTCGCATATTTTCGCCCAATGATTGTCCTTTTACCTCGAAATATCATTCTCTCCATGCGTTCACTCGACGCCATGACATCTATTATTACTTCTCAGCATAGACGCTGTTCCTGCTGCGTTTGCTGGACATTTGCGCCCGCGACCCATCTTTCTATATTATCCAACATCCTTTGAAGGATTGAAACTGACCCAGCATTGCAGTGACCCTAGGAGGCGCAGCCCTCTTTCTCATATTCGGCGTCATCTATCTTTACGACGCGCTTGCTACTTCTGCAGAAGAATTCTCGATACCCATTAGCCCTGCGGGGGAGTCGTGAGCCAATACATATATCTGGGCTCCATAATGATAGCACGCCAGCGCCATGCCCGCATTGACGAAACAATTAGGTCTTTAGGCTTTGGGCTGGATACCACTCAATGTGTACTGCATACCATATAGACATTTTTATAATACGACGATTATACGATATATCGTCCGGGTTTTTGTGCTAGCCAGAGACCTTTTTAAAGCAGAAAGAGTCTGAAAGACAGATAGATGTTCTTGTAAATTTGAGAGGAACGGCAACTTCCGGGCCGTACCTATCATGGCACTGCCATCACCTTCACCGATTCATCTGCTCCGCTCACATTCCAGCGCAGTGAGCACCCTGTTCATTTCGACGGACAACGAGAGACTCTACTCCGGAGATGGTGCAGGACAAGTCATCGTCACTTCCACGCGCTCATTGCGACCACTCGCATCATGGAAAGCTCACGCCGACTCCCTGCTAGGCGTTGAAGAATGGGGTTCTCAAATCATAACGTGAGTCGCTATCCTCCTTCTCATAGGATTTTTATGACATTCGGTGATTAGACATGGGAGGGATAATAAAATTCACGTCTGGGCACGACCTGAAGAATCCGCTTCAATCAGACCAGGACCTGCAACTCTATCGGATCTATCAACGCCAACGATATGTTACTCTCTGGATGTGAATGCCCTCAATTACTGTAGGTTTTCTCTCCTACGAGAGAGTAAACAGGAAGGTCTCCTCGCTGTTCCGAATCTCGTAGAATCAGCTCTGGTGGGTATACCTTCCAGTGTCCGATACGGATCAATCTCAGTATGTACTATGGACTGATCAGGCAGATATCTGGTCACTTCCGTCACGTCAAAGGCTGCACGCAGCCATAGGCGATCCACTAGATACCTCCGCAACAGCATTCTCAGATGGCAGATCGGGCAGCAAATCAGGAATCATCATGTCAATACACCTCTTTTACGCTCCTGCATCTGCTCCATCATCCTCTACGTCTGCAAAAGAGCTGCGCCTCTTATGTTCGTACGAAAATGGAGGCGTCGTTCTGCGGAAGCGGACTACACCAGAGAATAAACAGACCGTCGAAGGACGTGGATGGGAAGTCTTGTGGAAATCCAAACTTCATGTGGAATCAGGTTCGTTGAGATATGTGACTGTCTGCCTCGTGGGGAAATCTGACGGAAGTTGTCGTTCCAAGTGATGGCCATGGCTGTTTCTTTAGATTGCTCTTTTGCGTTGACGGTGTCAGCGGACCATTTAGTGGGACGGTATGATCTTTTGGTCGGTGTTATGAGTAGCTTTGCGTGGATTTCCTTGCTGATGCCTTGAACAGAAGATCCAGCCAGGGGTCTCAGACGGAATTGCATTCAAGATTAAACATCCAGGAAATGGCGCTATCGCCATACGCGGCGACGGAAGAGTGTGTGCGATAGGGGGATGGGACGGCAAGTGAGTCGACTAGATTATTTGCCATAACAAGCCTAACTATGATTAGAGTACGGTTATACTCAACGAAGACGTTCAAGCTGCTGGGAACCCTTGCTCACCATAAGCAAGGATGCCAGGCTGTTATATTCGTGTGTCCAGTGGATCCACCTCTGGATAATGTATCTCTTCATAGAGACTTAAGGAAGGACGACTCTTCTGGTGACGAGGACGAAATGACCGTCGAGGAAAAACATGCTCGTGCTCGGTGGTTGATTGCGGGCAGTGCGGATGCGAAGGTATCGATTTGGGCGTTGATGAACTTTGAAAAAACGAGCGCATGAATTCTTGCCCACGTACAAATCTATGAGCGTTCTCTCTCCCTCATCACTTACCACACACATTCCCTGAGAAGAATCTGCGGAAGGAGCTTCCATTCAAACAACAAACCCTAACTATTCCCACTGCCCTGTAATGGCTGTTTCGGTGTCTAGTTTGAAGACTGTAAGCAATCCACACCTTTCATTTATTTTTTAATCCCGTTTATTGTCGCCTCAGGCAGACGTGATGTCAACAGTACATGTAATATACTACTTGGAGGTATAAAATTAACCTATCGACATGCGCAAATCGTGCGAACAGCTCTTTTAACATGTCGACGGTCCATATCAAGTAAGTATATTCCGTGAAGCAGATTCAGACTCGGTCTGTCGTATGACCACCAGCACCAAGCTTAGGCTCGTACAGTTTGTCCCATTGCACAATCGTCTCTATATTACAACTCTTACACAGGCATACAGGTGACTGCAGTCTATCAAATCAATCTCTGTCATCGCTTCATCCCCCTAGATGTTCCCATCAAATCGGGACGGAAGAGCCGTTTGTTTGACTGCAAACGATGATAAAGTATTTGCTTAAGCAGATAAATTAAACGACCCACCACCTCCAGTGCAATTCTGCGAATTGACGTTTATCATGGCGTAGTCGCCAAACGTGTTACCGTTCAATGATACGGCGTCACGGCCTTGCTCCATTGGGTCTGGCTGCATCATTGACGCAGGCTCTTCAGGCTTGGATCCTGCACTTGGGGTGACATGTTCCAATTTTGTCACGGCTTGATGAGCGAAGTGAGTCTTCTGCTGGCAAGTCAGACATTCGAAGTACTCACTAGAACCGTTGCAGTAACTTGAATTTATGTTGATGGTTCCTCCTTCCGCGATGCGGTTGTTTTGTATGATGATGACGCAGCTGTTCGAATCCAGCTGTTTGAGATTCGGCAAGGGAGTGTCATCGGTCATGAAAACATGACTGGATGATAGACTCGGCGCATCACTAGCGTCTTGCAGTGTGCTGACGACGACGGGCAAATGTGGCTCATTTGAAGCGCAGTGTGGGTGTGTTTCAGTGGAAGTATCCATTGTAGAGAATAAGGGTGTTGGATAAGCAGGGGACAGGCCATCTTTTATACGTTTGTTTCACGTTTTTCATTTCCACTCGTGGAGGGATGCTTCGGGAAAAACGTCAATGAAGACAAGCGCTCACCGGTAACGGTACCTGCCTGTCTCATGGCCCTCAGCTCACTCTCACCATAAGCTTTACCATTTTAGCTTGACTTCGAATGCCTGCAGGCGTATCTTGTCCGGGTCTTTGATAGTCACGTGACAAGACCGGAGGATGAAATTTTGAAACTCGAATTCAATACCCCTGCTAGTCCTTATCAAGGATGTTTTAGCTCGCCGAAGGCCAAATCATAATACATATATTCCCACCATCACCTGCGCCGCGTTCGCTGGCTTCCATGTCCTCGAAAAATAAACTAAATAGTTGCGGTACCAATCCTGGGTTTATGATTCCTCGCTGCGGTTTGATGATCTCACAATGTCAGGTTATACATTATTCACGCACAAGTTGTGATCCTTTATATGACGAGATGAATTAATCAAATTTCACGGTGTCAGATAGTAGGATTGATGCTCAGACTTATACATAGCTATAGGAAGCTTCGCCCCAATCAATACCGCCTAATACCGCACGCGCTGGAATTGAATCATCAATCAGATTAAAAGAGATTCATAGAGATTCATCCATGCCAATAGCTATAGGAAGCTTCGCCCCAATCAATACCGCCTAATACCGCACGCGCTGGAATTGAATCATCAATCAGATTAAAAGAGATTCATAGAGATTCATCCATGCCAATAGCTATAGGAAGCTTCGCCCCAATCAATACCGCCTAATACCGCACGCGCTGGAATTGAATCATCAATCAGATTAAAAGAGATTCATAGAGATTCATCCATGCCAATAGCTATAGGAAGCTTCGCCCCAATCAATACCGCCTAATACCGCACGCGCTGGAATTGAATCATCAATCAGATTAAAAGAGATTCATAGAGATTCATCCATGCCAATAGCTATAGGAAGCTTCGCCCCAATCAATACCGCCTAATACCGCACGAGCTGGAATTGAATCATCAATCAGATTAAAAGAGATTCATAGAGATTCATCCATGCCACCAATCATCGACATCCTTCATGGGAAATTTGATCCACTGGCCCATATACATTCTCACGCCATATCCTCTAATGCGGAGTTGGACCCAAGATATTCGTAAACACATACTTATCTCACGACACAGTTCCATGTGCCTGCTGTCAGGCGGCAGGCCACGCGTATTTTGACTCCGCCCTCAGTGACATTGTGCATGCACTGCGGGTTTATACGAGCCCATGGATCCGCTCAGACTGGACTTGAGGTATCCGTACAAAATTATCCCATGACACTGTTGCATATACCTGTCGTCAACGAACTCAGACCACATGTGTCTTAGCTCCGCCCGACTGACATCCTTCAGGGCAGGTCTATAAGATACTGCTCAAGTGGTAAACTTTATTCCGGCATATCCCAACCTACACAATAAGTGTGTAGTCACGAGCAGCACCATGTCAGCAACACCCTAAGCTCATTGGTGGAGCGCTAACGACGATCCGATAGAAGAAATCAGAATAGATTTTAGTTATGGGCTGCGCTCAAGGAACGACGCCGCAAGACCTTAGACAAAGCATGCGTTGAAGATACCGCTCCGCTAGCCCTGGAAATACTCCGACTGTTTGTTTCATCACACACCAAATGGGATCCAAAGTTTCACTGCACATCAGTTCGTACAAGAGAAGTCTAAGGTGTGTAACACCCGTATGGGTCCTGATCGATTTATGTCTTAGTCTTGCAGAACATTTGCAAGGGACGTCATATTGCGATACGCCGGCGAGACCCCTCAACGACGAGCCGTGGAAGCAATTTCCAAGTCCCTCGAATCAACCTCTGTCATCACTTCGTCCCGCTGGATTTTCCCATTAATTCGGGATACAAGAGCCGTTTGTTTGACTGCAAACAACGATAAAGGCCCCTGCTCATGGATATAAACCAAACCAAACGACCCACCAGATACAGTGCAGTTTTGCGGATTACATTTATCATGGCGTAGTCGCCAAACGTGTTACCAGTGCAGTGTGAGTGTGCTCCAGTGGGAGTATCCACTCCAGAGAATGAGGGTGCTGGACACACAGTGGACGCATGTCTTTTATAGAGATGATGCACCATAACAGGTCTCACCAGAAGCGTCAGGTAGCGCTAGAAGTGTAGGATATCTGTAGTGCCTCATACGGTTCAGCGAAATCTTGGCACTCCTGATTCGAGTATGATTAGATGCAAAGTTCAGCGTCTACAACAGTCACCCTCAGCCCCGTGACTTCGTGGCCGTCAATTATCAGCTTCATTTCCTTACCAAAAGAACGTCGTACACATAAAAACCTCAGCGTGTTGTTCCTCTCACTAAGCCCCCTTCAGGCGAATCGTAAATACAACTGAAAAGGCGTGACTATTTAGGAAAATCGATCCTCGAACTTGAGGCCTAGGCCTTATGATTGGCGCCCACAGTGACATTGATCAAATATTGATCGTCCTTCTGACTCTTGAGTCGATCTTGAACCATCCGATTCTCAACATCTCTGCGAGTGTCCCAGAATCGTGACACCCTAAGACCAGCATCCCATCTAGAGCAACTCCATCAGATACCACCATGAAACGGGGGTTCTTGAACACACAGAAGGCCAAACAGCGCGTCGCAGAACCTGTAGTTGCAGAATCTACTGGGGAGCCACCTCACAAGGAATCCAGAGACAAGGATAACAAAGGAGAGCGCTATGTTGCTATCATCGATGCTATGGCCCATTGTAGAACCATTGTGTCGCAGCCTAGACTCAGACTTACGAACCGAATACGCTGAAATCAACGCGATCGACCCCCACAAACTTCCCAAGTCTATCCAAGAAGAAGTAGATCAGGATAAGCATTGCGTTGGATATGGCAAGAATCGCATTATCTTCCGCGTGTGGCCTCGTGATCCCAACGGCGATGTCATGACATCTGCATTGCGGGGCAAACAGGCTGGCAACGGAATTGAGATGTGGGGTGCGACACTCTATGACTTCTACCACGTTAAGCGTTTCCCAAGTGTGCCGGGCTATATTTCTTCCTCCACGGGAAGCAGAATTTCGAAATGGATGCGCCAGGTTGGCGAGCTCATAGCGGATGATGAACTCTATTGGGCCGATAACGAGGAGGATCCCAAGGAGATACCAGTAGCTGATATCGGGGAACTGATAAGTTGTTATGATAGGCGCGTCGCATTGGGCATATTCAATCGGTTTTCCAGTCGAAAGGAGATCAGAAAGAAGGGAAAATCAGGCTGGTCTATTGTCAACTATAATGACCTGACAAAAGCCACGGATGAAGGAGGTTTGACCTCTCCGATCGGTGATCAGGGCGATAATATGGGGACGGAGCAAGGCGCGAAACAACAGACAGGTAAACCTCTGCCAAAGATCGACTCGCCCTTCCATCCCGTCCATTATCCCTCTCCATATCCCTTCATCCCTTGCACGCACGACGGGCCTCCGATACTCCAACAACGTGTTCCTTTGCACCTCCTTCCTCAAAAGCTCCATGTCCATGACCCTTGGAACAAATTAACCGTCCTCAAGGGCGATCTAGATCACACGACTCCATGGCTTTCCAAAGTTGCCAATGGACGAGGCATCACCCGAACCTATTCCCTCTCCCTCGCACCGGGAGGCAAGAAGGCTGCATTGAAGGCGCAGAAACTGGCTGAGATGGCAGAAGACAAAGAAGCGAAGCAAAAGAGGGTGCTGCGCATCTTCCCTGCTGACAAGGAGGGACCGATGAAAGAGCCGCTGATTGAAGTTGTACTCCCACCACAACCCCGGAAGAGGGCACAAGTGGAAGAATCTCATCTCTACCTTTCACCTTATCCAGTGGGCGTCGGTAATCATTCAGTTGTGCACAGTGCGGAGTGGGAACTTCCGCGCGACCTTTTTGTGGAGGCTCGTCTGTGCAGAGCTTGCGTGGAGGAGGACATCCGCCAACAGGTCCAGAAGTTGAAGGACGAGGGAAAATGGGAAGCACTCTTAAAAGACCCAACAGAGAAACCTGAAGAAACGCTGCACAGCGACCCGGGTGTCTCTCCCGGAACAGAGCCCTCGCAAGCCTCTGGGCCGAAACGAACGGTTCGTTACGTTACCATTCAGAAGCACCGGCTTCCAGAGGTGACTGGGTCATACGGTCTACCTGGCGATGAAAAGTCCGCCGGCACTAATGACACTGAAAGCGGACCATCTTCGGACGGGGTTCCTCCTGCGGACGCTATTAACCACGCAGCGAAAACAGGGGGTACCGAAACCGATGCCAAAATCGACGCTGTAGACAGGCAAGATCTGGAACCTGGGGCCAAAGTTAAGAATCAGAATTCCAAGAAACCGAGCGCGGGGTCTGCTCCAAGGGAGGACAAGGGGAAACGCAAAGAGGAACCAGAGCAGGACGATGGCGACGAAGAAAAAGCTGACGCAGAAGAAAGTGAGGATCAGAGCGAGGAAGAACTATTCTTCATTGAACATCCAGGGGTCATCCGTATCGCATCCGATTACGCTGGGCCAGCTATTCGCGTGCACACTACTGTGAAGTGGCGAGGCCCCTCGGAAGCACACTGCAAACACGGTAGTTTTGACTCGGGGCCCTTGCCACGCACCGCGATAGTCCGTGTTGTTGCAAAACTCTCGATCCCAGGCGACCTCCACCTCGCTCGAGAGGCTAAAAACTATCAATCGTTCCCTGACCACTTCTTCCAACACTGGAACGGATATAACGTCACACCCCCTCTACACGATCCTGTCCCCATCGGAGCACTCTGCCCACAGTTCTACGGGTATTACGAACCTGACGATCCAATTGACGGCACGAAGTCGGATCAGTGTGATTATCTGAGTCCAATATTACTCATGGAACACTGTGGCAGAAAGGTAGATCCAGAAGCGCTGTGCCTGGACGACAAGCAAGAGTGCGCGTCGCTTGTCTTGCGCTTTCATCATGCAGGGTGGTTGCACGAGTCATTTGCAGCGCGGAACATCCTGTGGCAGCAGGGCAAGCCAACGGAGTGGCCAATCGAGCGGCAAAGCTCGGTCAAGAAGAGCTTCCGCCTCATAGACTTCGGTAGATCGAAGAAATTGGATTGCGCGATATCCGAAAGGATGACGGAGGGAGAAATAGCTTTTCGGTTGCTCCACTTGCTGCATCACGGAGTGGGCCGTTGAACTGGGAAAAAAAAAGTTTGATGTTTTCTTATCGCTCTAGTGCTTTATGGCTGTCGTCGATCGTCTGTGGCTGTCGTCAATCGTCTGTACGAATTGAATGCTGGCGTTTCTAAATTTTGTTGCATTTGGTAAATCACAGTTAATGACCGGCCAGCTAGGTTCGTAAACAAGAGAAAGGAACTCACGATGAAGGTTTTGGCTAGGTAATCTTAGCCGTCTCCGTCGATGTGTCAACTGCTGTGCACAGTCTATGTCCCTGTGCTGGGTCGAGTGAAGGATGATAGATATGCATGCACGGCACCGTGACGGTGTCCCGGAATGTGCCACTCTCCGAGTCCGAGAAGGTCCGAGACCCCAGACTCCCGGTCGGTAACTCCGCCAATGCATCCCATTAATGACATAAGTATCACGATGTTCTACCAAACGTTCTTACTTTACCGCCACAACTTACAGGTTGCGGGATGCCCATGATTACGAATTCTGAAGTGTCAGGGCTTGAAAACCGCGCTTCAGTGCCCACTGGTGGGCTCTTTCAACCTCCGGTACCGTGGCGTGGTGAATGACAAAAAGCCTGAGTCGAGTCGACCCTTGCTATTATGGAGGTTGTATTTGTATTTTGCGGATGAGTCCATTACCGTATGAAGCTGCTCATGTTTCATATGTGCTCGGGCCGTTGTCGTGAGCATGTTTGCCAGGCTTGGTGAGTTGTATTCATTTCGATGTGTCTTTTGAAAACACCATGGTGAGCCCGGGTGTCTGTGATCATTATGGACACCTGCGCTACACATTCTTCCTGTGGACCAGTGTCTTTCTTTTACGTCTCCCTCGTTCAAGCGTTCACTTCCCGATCAGATCACCCGAAAACCACCAGACTGCCGACCCACATGTTGTACTGCATTGCCAGTGGGTGCAGTGGGAGGGCGTCGACTCGGATCTCAGTCAATTATGGCTATGATCCTTCCGCCCAAATTACTATTCCTTTATTACCCTCCGCTTCCGTTCAATATCATGCATCTGAACGAGGCGAAGAAGAGGCCGAGGAGGTGATTTGAGAGATAAGCGGCATCTCAGATGTTATTCCTCCGAGTCTAAGAATGCTAGAAATCAGAAAAGTCTGGCTTGGGACGATCCTGTGCAATTTCGTATCGGGATCATTTTTGTTGGGTCGCTCACGCTGACTTTTCTTGTGGAATGGGAGGGACCAGAATCCCAATTGCTGGATGCCGCTCATGTGAGCGTTTACGTTTTTCACTCAGCATGTTTGATTCGTTGACCACTGCATGCCAATGGCTGGCTGTGGCTGGAGGCATTGACTACAATCAAATAAACGTGGTGAGCCATGCTTTCCGCCCAGTTACTCTCCTTTTGCTTTGAAATACTATCCTCGTGCGTTCATTCGATGCCATGACCTATCATTACTCCTCAGCTGTGCTTGTCCCGCTGTGTTGGCTGCACACCACCGACTGCCTGTTGGCCTCGCGACCCATTTTATGGATCCTGTTTACACCACCTACACGGGAGGCCGAGTTGATATGGCGTTGACACTTGCAATGACTCTAAGAGGCGCAGTCTGCTGGCCAATTTGGGAAAAGAATTCTAGCTGCCCATAATGTTGCCTAGCTGGTGAGTTGTGATGCTCCCATGCCAATATATTTTATTTTTGCCCGGTGCAGTGAGGTACAGTGATAGTTTGCCCGGGGGGCCATGCCAGCGCCATTGGCCTTCACTTAATTGACCACAAAGCAAGCCTGAGTGGCCCCAAATGCTTTCCATCAGGCTCACATTTGAATGTGTCGCTACTGTATACCACCATAGACATGTAATTACCTCTACGATATCATTCCAGACATTATTGTTTGTTGCAGGGCCCTGCCATGACGATGTTTTTAGCTGCACAGCATTCTCATTTGTCGGCCGCGCGGCAAACCCGTGCCAGCTATAAATTTCTTGTCGTGTGCAAACGGTGAACTAAGATGAAGCCGCAATGTTGGACCACGGCAAACAAAGTGTGGGTCCATCGGTTCAACAAACACTGGGTATGTTGTGTCGGTAGGGAACATGCACACAATTGTTCTGTCACCATGCCACGGTTTCGGACGGCGCTTGGACCAATTTGATGTTCAAGTTTGCCTTGTTCAGTTGTCCACTTCATCAGACAACGTTAACACAACACAGCAATACAGCGCTGGGACCCGAACCGGTATCGTGATAGGGCGTGCCGTGGCAGTCTGGCACTTGCTTGCCAAATTAACAAGGCTTCGACGGACGGCCAAGCTTCTAAGAACAATACCGGATGTGTGTGGGCAGTGCCACATACCACAGCCTTCTATAAGTCCAATCAACAAGACCTGCTACATGCCATCATCTGAATCCACACTATGGACACCCTCTTACGCCACAAATCCTTCCTATTGACCAGTGCCATTCTCTTCCTCACTACTATTTTCACCGGTAGAACGAACCCTCCCACAGAAGACATTGTTCCTGTGGAATCGACTACTATAAAGCCAGACAGAATGGTGTGTTGTTTTTTTATCTTCCGTACCTTTACCGCATCAGCAATCAGAGCTTATCGCTTCCATTCAGTTGCCTACTACGACTACCCCATCTCGCTCAATGGATACTACATCAAATTCCTTACCGATCTCCAAACAGTCTACAAACGTTGATGAGGGCACGCTTCCGCATGGCACAAGTCTCGATGACAAGTGCGTCTCAAACCTAAAATCCTTCCTATTTCTCTCACTCAAATATATCCCCAGATGTGTATTCTGCAAGATCGTGGCCGGGAAAGAGCCGAGCTTCAAGGTGTACGAAACGAAATACAGGTACGCCGCCCCATCACTCGATCACCCGTTCTATCACCCATACCCCACTTTAAAAGTCTCGCCTTTCTCGCGAAGCCTCCTGTTTCTCATGGGCATACGCTCATCATACCCAAATGTGCGCACCCGTCCAATCTAAGCGTGCTCGCGTTAAACAGTTTATGTCAGACCACTCCCGGACATTAACAGATCCCGGACTCCCGGACGAATTCCTGGCAGACGTCGGCCCTATCATGAAGAAGATAGCAGTGATGAACGGCGATGAATCATACAACATCATACAGGTACGCCCCAGCCTCCCAAAGTTCCTGCTTTGCCCTCTCCGTGCGCGCGCTAAATTAACACGACAATCAGAACAACGGAGTGACAGCCGGGCAAAGCGTTCACCATGTACATTTCCACGTCGTGACAAAGCCAGATGACCAACCTAACCAGGGACTCGTCCTGACACGCGAGAGTTGGCCTTCGTATACGTATGCTCCGAGCGATGAAGATTACGCTCGCGATGCAGCTAAGATGAAGGAGATCGGCAGGGCCAATAAATTCCCCGGCGTTTCGAATCAGAATCTGGATGAATATGGGATTTGAAGTATGATATGATGTGCAGTTCCATCAATGTATTATCGCCAGTGCTGAACGTACACCTTTCGACGACATGTATACCTACTTAGCGGGGTTGTTGGGTTTTTTGTAGTGCGAGGGGTGTCATGGTGATCTGGTATGATCTTTATTCCGCTGCCTGCGATATCCGTCGCAGTAGACAATAAACACAGGCAGCCAATGCGCTTGTATTTCTTAGTTGTTTTTTTTCTATATCAATCATGTTTTCTTGTCGCGCACGATACTGGTCGAGTTCGACAAAGCGCGCAATCACTCGGAAGTTCTTTTCCGGTACGTGGAGATGACATGAATCACATTGTGGAGTATGTGGAGTACGTCAAGGTTTTGACTTCCTCCATGGACTAATCGAATAGGTCATACTGGTCTGTGCGCACTTACTGATACACAAATTACATATTCCTAGATAGTTAAACTCGAACAAATCAACGCCTCAAACTTCTGTCGCTCTCACAGACATCGTCGGCGACGTCATCTCTACGCCCGTCCACGTTCTGTGATGCCCCATCCCCACACCATCAATATGATACTGCTCCCCAACCAGCTCTTTAACAGCAACCATCAACCGATCGAGTCGAGTGATAATTCCAAAAGCGGTGGAAACGCCAACGCAGAATGTCCTACAACAAAGTGTGTGATAACCCTTTCGACTGAAAATGACATAAGACTCACAGGTACTGCAGGTTCTCCAATGTTTCCGCAGTGAGCGTCCGCGGTAATCCATAATTATCTTCCGACTCTTCATGCACTACGTTCAAACCGTGGTGCCTGATCATGAACCTGTCAAGTAATGGACATGGGGTAATTTGAGGCAATGGGGAGCCTGTGCGCAGTGCATTGGAGATAAGACCTAGGAATTGGAATGTAAAGTTACCGCGGGCCAACTAGTCTGATCGGGACACGTACTGATGACAGCAAGTACATCGCCTTGGAAATCCGAATCAAGCATCCGCGTCCGGCGAAGGAAGGCATGAGCCCATGCAGGTTCCAGATGCTGCACTATGGACATCAAATGGCACAATTGGTACGCAATTTGCCTATTTTTGATCAGCAAGACAGGATCGTCATATGATATGGACGCTCACAATTGCATCTCCAATATCTTTTGATATCTCTCAGCAGGCCATTTTCCGCGCAGCGAAAACTAGCGAATCAAGGTATGTGAGGGTCTATATCTGGAACGTTGGTATTCACCTCGTATATGACGTTCGCTTTCAGCACGAGTGAGCGCTTGAGTTTGCTGCGGATGGCTAACAGGCTCCGAATTATGATGGTGGAGTCTTCTTTTTCTACGCCTGCGTTCGCGTAAGACACAACCGAACAGTAGATCGATCCAAGTTCGGCCGATGTTGTAGCCAGCGTTCGCCGCTGATACGAACGAATCGTTGTTGACGGAGGGAAGAGAGAGAAAATACTATCATCGTGGTCAAGGAATATCAGATGTGCAGTCAAGGAGAGTCCTCACCCAGCAGCTAGGACACCAACGACGACTAATACGAAACGGCGCTTGATCGCACGTCAACTACGATATTGAGAAAAGCACATAATGACTTACCCAAGCCACATCAATACCCCACCCTGGCGACGAAGCAACAGTCAAATGAGTGTCTTCATATGAATACCCCACGACCTAAGCCAAATTATCAGTTTCATTCACTCAGAGATAGCAGCTTGCAATTATACCAATGCCGATGTGACCCATATAATCAAATTAGTCATGGGTGGGATGGGCCAGTACAATCGAGCAAAGAAAATTGCCGGGAAGCAGACTGCAGACACAGCTGCCAGTCCATAAGGATTACCTCGGCCATTCCCTGCAGAAATATACCTGTAACACCAATGAGAATTCCCGAAAAATCCTTGCAAGTCTGCGACGTACCACATGACTGTGCCAATCAAACAGCCAGCAAAGGTACTCACGATCCTAGCTACTAGACCGAATGTCGTGTCTCCGCGAAAACGCGCTATGGTAAGCTGACCCATGAAGCTTTACGAGTGTCAATCATTCTAGCATTACAGGGCAGGAATAGATCGACTTACACCGCCCAAACAAACTTGTTCACTTGGAATTATCAGTCAACAAAAGACCAAAGGCGTGCACGCTCTGCATGCTCACTGTATGCATAATTTGCAGATGACTTGAGGAAAGACGGGATAGAAAGGATCACTAAGCAAGCAAACGATCAGAAAAACAGACGAAAACTGAATAACAGCCGACCCGTTAACGCTCCCGCTTTCAAGGCGAAGAGCACGTTTCCACCTCCGATGCCAATGGCAGCGCGGTAAATCCAGTTCATGGCTATTTCGAGTACATTCCCTGGAGGAAGGGCATCAGGATCGCGTTTCACCGCCTTTCCGAGGTCCGTCATCCAAGCAGGGTCTATGCCTGGGATCATTTCTGTACCGAGATGTTAGCCACCTTGAAGATGAGAACGCCTACAGCAATAACATACCAGGATCCTCATCGTCGCCTTCCTGTACCATGGTCTCGGACGCTTCCCATGTTGTCCACGCAAACAACTTCGGCAACGAAGGAAGCCATATTTTGGGCTTCTTTCTTTCCGTTTCGAGTCGAATAATTTCTTTAAGCTGAGCGCGATATTATATTCATCAACAACCTGATGGAGAAAAATCGACGCACCAGGTCTTGTGATAGCATAGCAAACCGCAAGAGGTGGTACTGGTATACATAGCAATGGAATAGAAACCGGTGCGGAGGAACTTCATCGTCACTCGATGCATCATAGCTGGGGTCGAACATTGGACGGTATGGGTCCAAAACAATCAACCTGTAACGATCACTCAGCAACAAACGTCGCAAGAACACGCGAACCATGTACCTCTTCTTGGTTGTGAATTCATCTAGCACCTTAGTTAACTTTGCGAGCAAATCCTCGTACTTTTGTACTTCTTTCTTGTGAATTTGATCCCTGTCTTCATCGCGCCCCCTCCAAAAATTGAAGCGATGCTTCCTAACACTACCTGTCCAGGCCCCAGAGCTTACAAGTACTTCCTCACACACGCCCAGGAGATCCTGGCAGCTGTTACTGAGTAGCTCCGTCGCCCGAGCGGTAAAGAAAGCCGATTCCGGATGAGACAGATGTATCGCCTCCAAATTCAAGTATTTCTGCGACTCAAACACACCTACTGCTGTTTCCCCAGTGCGCTTGGGTGCCCGAGAAAGCGCCAAGTGCAACAAGGAGCTGTGCAAGAGCGTGTGGTGAGCGTGGTGCGAATGCGAGTGCTTATAACGGTGCAAATGGAGGGGTGAGGTGGAACTCGCAGGATACGACCGTGGGCGGGAAGATGGCCGCTGGTGGTGGCGGGATTGTTTGCGATCTCTGAGTTCATGGTTAGAAAACGGCGCGTGCTTCTCTTCTGTCCCAATAGGGGTCCGCCGATCAGGCCGAGGAGAACCTTGTCTGGAGCGTACAGGCGTTCCCGGGAGGGAGGCAGCGGGCGTGACAGGGAATCTCTCCCGCGTCGGATCGATGAGTGTATAATATACACTCATGCCATTCGCTCGTACCGTGAGCTTCCGCACGATGTTATGCAATTCGTCATAATCGGTAGGTGCGAAGCGCGCGTAGACGATATCGATTTTCAGCAATCGAGCGACAGCTGCGAGCATAGGCATCGCATCCTCAGCTTTGTTTGCTGCAGCTGTAATCTCTGTGTAGGAGAACGCGGATGAGGTAACGTCCTCGAGGAGATGAGACCTGTGCAATGATATGACCTTTGCAAGAGGGGCGATGGCCCCCTGCAAGCACGTCGTAAATAGAGCGGACACAGACTGTGGAAACACCAGAATCGACGTAGTGAGTGCGATCGCAGAATGAAAGACCAAGGGAAGAACAATCATTTGACCAATCTGAAAGACTCGTGAGTGAACGTGTTGCCGAGAGGGAAAACCTATTACCGTGTAGTATGGATAAGGAAAGAGAGCGGCGGTAGTAAAGGAAATGTCTGCATTCGATAAGTTCCAAGAAGAAGAAAAATATGTATTAGTGGTGCGCACCAACACATATACATCCAAACACGGCAGCGAAGAGGAAAGGACCAGGGCCTTGTCGAGCTTTGATGTACAGGAAGAAAACACTTGCGATGAAGAGGAAAACGCCTAGGATTACATTGGGCTTTGGTCATGCGCGTCAATATTGAATACATGAACCCCATTTCAAAAGGGAGCTTACCGCTGCTTCGATATACGCCCCTGTGATGATAGTCTGTAGACTAGCGTCGGGTAGCGTTTGTGTGCGAGCTAAGTTGGCAAACATGAGGCCCAAGCAGACCCAGCTAAAAAGACCATCATATAACCGAAGACACTAAGAGAAAAGATTGTACGTACCCCCAACCCAATAGCACAAACGTGAGTATGAGGAGTTCACGTTCCAGAACTACCATGAAAGGCTCGCTAGGCGGCGACAAAAATGAAGCTACATAGAGTCAATGACTATGAAACGCTGAGTAGCATGCATGAGCGCTCCTCACCTATTACGATAAGGAAGGCTGCCTTCAAACCATATGATCATTAAACCAACAATACAAGGGTCACAGCGCAGCATACCTGTCCCAGTAGATTCTCTGTTCGAGGAATAACAAACACTACCACTGTGATCCAGGCTGAAAGGGCGCTTCGAATGACGGGTTTCCATTTGGACCAAGTAGAGTTAGAGGGTATCCATTGCAAGCTCTGCGGCAGCTTGATCTTCTGCCTCGCTGTTGGCTGCTTCTTCGAGTCATCTGCCACATTATCAGAAGAACCATCGACGTCCTTCTCTGTTTCGCTCGTCGTTTTTCCATCCTGGTCCTCGTTTGACTGCCCGTAGGACGTCGAGCGCTGGACCCTTTCTGCTTCCATGATCGAGTTTGATACATCCAGGACTTCAGGCGGATCTGTCTGTATGCGGACTTGAGGACGGGATGGTGCCATGCTCGCGAGGTGATGTGGGGTAAGATTTGACCTGGGGCTGTCCAACTATAATTTAAAGCTTTGAAGAACCATAAGTTACATGTGATTCAAAGAATGTTCAAGGGTCATCAGATAGTACTGGTAACTAAGTACATCCCGAATTTCATTGGTGACCAATAGCCAAACCTAAGCTTGGAGCCCATTTGCAATTGACGTCACAATCTATTTTTGCACATGAGCCGCTTCGTCGCACCAGATAACACATACGTTGGTCCACGTTGCAATCGCAATATTTTATGGTATCAGGAGCCTTCGAGCTCAACATTATGCATCACTGAGCAGCAAATACATCGAACTTGTTGTCTAAAAACGATCCAGTACAAGGGGGTAGCATCACAGCGCCAAAGCTATTGTCCAATTTAGTGCCTGTTCCTTTTGACCTGCATCAACAGTCCATCAACAGAAGATCCAAAGCGCTAACGCCAGAAACCTCGAAGCAATTATCAGTAAGTCCATCTGTGAGTTCCCACCTCCATCCAGGAAGTCGAGGAACCGGCGGGTGTGGGTGCGGCGGCCAGGCCGGGCGTGCAGAACATGTAGGGGATAGCGGAGAGTTCCATCAAGTTATCGGGGTCGGGATCAAGGCGGGCGTAAGTGGGAAGTATAGGGGGTGAAGGGTCGTACGGAAAGATTGACTGCTGAACAAGTTGATCTAGAGGTATTTGCGGATGATCTAGCTCGTATGCATTAGTACCAAGACACTGGACGAGTACAGGGACAGCTCCGAGATGTATGACCAAAGGGATATCACCTTCCATGGGTTTGCAAAGAGTGCAAGTAAAGTCGGATATGTCTCGATTGCCCTGATTACAGACTTTGTGGAACGAATCTTCACTGTAGGGGATGTTATTGATGCTGCTGTTGTTGTAAATATTAAAGCTTGGCGCTAGGCTGTTGCAATGTGGGTATATGCGTCGCTTCAAGCATCAAACGCGCTTCAGTAGAGCATACCTGTAGAGATCTTTGCTGAAACTGGCCTCCTGTTCGTTAGGTGTCTTGGGAGTGAGATTGCGTGATACTGGCGGAAAGTTTCGAGCTTCATGGAGCAGGTATGGGTTTCCTTCCAGAGGTTCCAGGGTCATAGACAGAGCAGGCGTAACGGAAGATCTCGGGGACATGTAAGACGTGTCAGAACCGTCGGCACCAAGTGAGACGAGCGTGTCGTTAGAGGGCGAGTTGACACCAGTCGTATCAGAGTACCAGCCAGGCGATGGAGATAAGAGCTCTCTCTTCACTTCAAGTGTCACTGGAACGGTTCGTGGCTCCAGCGAAAGTTCGTATGTCTCGTTTGCTATCGGCTGACCCACTTTCTTCGCCTGTGCTTTGCGAGCATTGAACCAATGGTCGACGCGCATGGGGCTTACATTCCGCGAGGCGGCCCATGCACGTCGCGAAGCAATTGTTGGAATGCGGGGATCAGATTGCCAGATGGCCCAAAGCTCGTCTCGGACGGCTGGAGTTAGAAATGGAATAGTCGGGGCTTTCGGGGGCGGAGCCCTGTCTTCTTGAGGCTGGGATTTGATGGCGTAGTATGCCTTGTATCTCGGCTTGTAAAGATAGGGCTGATCGATTGCTGGAGCGGGGTGTGGGCCATAAGAGTTCTGACTTGGAATCGTGACCTCCTGAGTTTCAAGCTTAATAGTGCGATAGTACTTGGTTTTTGGTTTTGATGTCAAAGCGGGAGAACCAGGTGGAGCAATTTGTCTAGACTGCGTTTTGGTCGTCTTTGTTGGAGGCATAGTCACCAGGATATCGAATGCAAGTGGAGAACGCAAGAAGAACGCGACAGATTCTTGAAACTCAAAATCGTATACATGACCGCGTTTCAGCCGGCCCTAAACCAATCCATATATTATCATTGTGGCGCATAACTTTTTTCTTCACTCATTATGGACTCGCACTATTGTCCCCCTGCGATTCCACCGTAATGGTTTTGCTTGCAGGAGTCTACCGCAAGTCCCAGACTATTGAGCAGCTCAGCTGGAGTGCGCCCTCGTACGTGGTACGGTCGCGAGACCTTAGGGAAGCTTTCCTTACCAGAGCTGCTACAACTCATAATACATATCTATTCTACACAAGCCACGAGTTGTTCCCTCTTAGGTCAATCTCATAATTTACGATTTGCTTCCTCTATGCATTGAACAAATTGCGACTCGGATTTCAACATATGAAGTAACTCAATTGCTTCTGTTGCCTTGGGTCAATCAGTTTCCCCACCGCCTCCTACGACTGTGATACGCACCCACCGTTATCGTGCCCAATGCATAATGCGCCCAGCACTGGCTGTCCAATCCAGCGCGACGACCCACCTGTTGCAAAACCCTCGGGGGGATGTCCCATTGGTTGCTCTTCACTTAATGCGTTGAATACTACCAATCAGATGCCCAACCTCTCCATTGCCGACTAAGCGTTCCACGACATCCACACCGCGTGTGGTGGATAGTGAAACGGGAACTGACACGCGCCAAACGTAGGAGTACTCATCTCCTCAGCAGTTCTGCACCAGTAAGGAAAGGTTTGGATACGGCCGCTGAGCATGTTGAGATAGTGGTGGAAATACACAATTTTTCGAATGAGAGCTTGGGAGAAGTGTTGAAGTGGGAGAGGAGGGTTCCGCAGTGCGTTATATGCTTGCTATGCTGATTATGATCACTGATAAAAAAAATTACCTCCCAGGGAGGGTGACGAGGAACTGCATCTTGCTCGCCCAGCGAGATATCGCCAAAGACAAGGTTCTGGGTGCTGACACCAGTATCACAGCACTAAGCCTCCATTCGATCGCCATGATTGGATCGTACGTCGTCCGCGCGATGGAACAGAGCTTTGCTATGCATCGATTACTACTCTGCACCACCTACTTCTGACGGGGACCCCGGTTTTGCATTGGATGTCCGACCTGCTCTTGACTCGTTTGAAAGCGTTCAACAGCGTGTGCCAGTGGGTATGCACGACATATGGGAGGAGCTTTGCGAGAAAGGGGTAGAGAATGAGTGAATGTGGGGGTACGCAACGGGCAAGGTCGTAGGAGGCTATGGAGCATGCGCACTCTACTTTCCCAACACTGGTCGGTCGCCCCGACTATCAATATTTATGCTGCTTTGAGTAAGCTAATGAACACCTCTCGCATTATATGCTAATATAAATCTGTGCCCCAGTTGTAGACTCGTAAAACGAGTTGTTGGAGCCTTCGTAAGGGAAGGACTACACTGGAAATATTAGATTTCTCGTTCTACTCTGTTCATTATCCACCCTTGAGCGGTGGTATCGGACATCACCACAGGTACTTTCACTTGACTTGTGCCAATCGCAGCCGCTTCCCCCCGCCATTTTCTGTATTGCGCGAAGGTTCCTGGCTTGACCACTCGTATCGTGGGCATACCGAACGCCCCGCCATCATAGGCGCGCCTAATATTTTCGTTCACACCTGAGAGGGCATCCCGCAGTCGCTGCTTCGCGAGGTGCGGGGAGGCGCCTAATGAAACTGCAGTTGGAGGGCTTACTTACGAAATCACAGGAAAATGAGGGGGCTTGCCTGGCTCGTTTGCTAATTCCACAAAAAATCCAACAGTCGAGGGGAGTTCTCGGGCGTCTTTGAAGCAAGTGAACTCCATAACTTGCCCGATTGTGTCTTGGGTTGCAGAGGATATTGACTGGACCAGCTGAGTTTCCGTGACAGATGTGGAATCGAATTTGATAACCACACTGCAACATTTAATCAGCTCAACCAGCGCTGGAAGACATTCCATGACTGACTTCCGCCGTTCAACAAATCTCACTACGGGAGATCCATCGTCTGGAGCAAAACCCAATAGCTCAACTACGTCACCAAGTCGGTACCGCCACAATCCATTGCAAGTGGTTAGGACAGGCTCATAGAGTCTCCCTGGTTTAACCTCCCACTAGTGTGGATCAGGCCCACCGCTCAATGCAACTCGACAAAAAGACACACCGCCGCGCATAGCTTGTTGGAGACCTCCTCTGCGTCCACGTCAAGGTACTCAATGAATGCATCGATCAACAAAACTTTGAACCGGTTGAGGTCCCCAGACTGATAAGTAGCGCCAATGACACATTCGCTACAACCATATCCTGGTGTTTGTAGTATCACATCAGGGCCAAGAATATGTTTCACCTAATAATTGCTGATGCATAATATCGAAGAATGAATGCAGGAGTGGACCGACCTTTGGCACAGCAGACGAGAAAGGGCCGCTTCCGGTGCTGAATGCTATCTTTAGATTTGGCCAGACGTATTTCGCCCACCCAACGGTCTTGGAAGGTGCTCCGATGGAACGTAGCTCAGCCGCACGGACAGGGTTTGGATGCAAGTGCCGCTATACAACTATCAGGTATACAGCCACCAGGGAAATATAAATTTGTGCTTGCCTCCAGATGGTCCCGCACGTGCTCGATATGTTCGAAATCCGGTATTGTCCCTCTATCAATGGCGTCCACAAGACTGGACCAATCACGCTCGATGTACATAAACATGTCGAGCAATGTCGTGCAAAAAAGGACACTAAGGATATCCACGCCCCGATTGGCCAGCGCGAACAACGCGTGCAAGAGAAGAAATGAGGGGTGATGTGTGACCATGGCTACTGCGTGCGGAGCAGTCTCCCCTGGGACTACAGTTACAAATTATAAGGTACACTTGCACTGATCAAAGATTCGGATGACACTCACCCATAAACGACATTATATCTTCGTCTTGTTCCGGGTTCCATCCCATTTGCATCCTCAACAACCCACCACTCGCTGGGGTGACAATAATTTTTCGAACGATGTCTTGGTCTCCGCGGAAGACATTCAAGATTTTTCTGTATCTTAAATTATAGGTGTATACACTCTGACTCTGAGTGGTTATCGCACGTGAAGCTGTTCCTTTATACTTGGCGAAAAATTTGGGCGCCTTACCCGAGGTCGCACTCGAGGATGCAATAAAGGCCGGTAAACCAGGTGCAAAGAGGTCAATGACCTCAGATTCCTGGCAGGGCGTATCAAAGAACCGAGCCACGAAGGGTTGATAAGCATCGTAGACGGTGAGTGGAACGAGCTCGCGGAAGTTCCGCAAAAATTCCTGCTCATCTTTGTTGAGCGATCCGACAGCATGTCGGAAGATGCTCAGCTCGTCGGCGGTTTGGCAGAACTTGCACTTCCAATTCGTGCTGATGGTCTCAAAGAGAAACTTGTCACTGCGCTCTTTGAGCTGGGTCAATAGCTCGGGAGTCAGAGATTTGAGAGGTGGAGAAGATAGAGAAGATGCCATGTCTACTAGTTACGGTGTACTAGTGCGAGCGCTGGTTATTGTATGTCATACATTCATGACCATTCCGAGGGGGGTGTAGGCCAATATTAATGTTACGTTAGAACTTAGGGACACCGCGACATGTTTTTTACGGTTGGTCACACACTTACGGATCTGAAGGGTCGTGCTTTAGTTGTTCTCATACTTGTGACAGGCTGATTGTTGGGACGTCGTCATGACAAGGAGGAGTTTGACTTTTAGCGCTCAAGTAGAGTGCACGTGCGTCGACGTACGTGAATTGCCTTCCGCGGGATCAAACGCTCCGTCCATGTAGATGTAGATATATCTAGGTATTGCCACATTGGTTTTGCATGACTGCACACCTATTTGAAGTCTGTCCAGACTGCTCAGGAGTTAAGAAATCAGTATTAATTATCCTGTTCATCGTGTACCGGAAATGTGCTGCGCAAAAGGCGTCTTGGATGAAGTTAGTAATAATCATAAACACTGGTACCATGCGGTGCAACACTGTAGATAGGACTACACGATAGGATGTAAGTGCCCCGAACACCCAACTCGATAGACACAGATCTAAAGGCGAGGAACCTGGGGTCACCTACGTACAGTAACATGTAAGTGATGGTACAGGACACAAGAAGAATTCTACATCTAATAATTGAATCTGTCTCATCATAGTTAAGTGATCGTATTGCAATGTGAACTGGAAACGAAAAAAAATCCTGCCTACAGAAGTCCACCGGGCTCGTTTTTCATTAATTGCCGCAGGCCTGTGGGTCTTATGACATATGAAAATGGCCAAGCAAGACGCTGCCAAAATCCAGCTCCTGCCTCGTGGAACGGGGAGTGAGATTGGAATGCAATTACAAGCCATGCAGTGGCCACTGTAAACGCAATAGAAACCACCGCGTAGTGGGACAAGGTTTCTGTGGCATCATCGGTAATTTCCCTGACATTCATACCAAAAACTGCCTGGAAGCAGGTCATTGAGCCTATCATCGAGAGGCTGGAATTACACATACCGCAACGAAGCTCGCAGGGAGGAAAATCATTGTCAAATAGGAAATCTATAGAGGATATTTAGCATCGTCAAGCTAATTGAGATACCAACTTGCCTGTTTCATAGCGGCCGAATCACGGACAGTTGCTGTCGTCAGATCTTGCATCCGTCGACTATCAACGAAATTCACGGTCGCTTTAGCCTAGACATTGAAATCAATGGTGATCGAATCTAGCATAGCAAGCATACGAACGAGGTCTGTTATATTTTTCAATTGGAAACCTAGCCTCTCAATTTCTGAAAGGAGGTTGTCGCATTCCTTCCGCATCAGTTTATTCGTGTCCCTTCTTGTATGGTCAGTGAATTCGCGGGACTCCAGAACAGGGCTCGGCGTGTTCCTGACGAAGGTTACAGATTTTCGGAAATCCTCGAGAAGTGAAGCATAATGGAGGAGTTGAGCTTGGATACTGTGTAACTCAGTCGTGAGGTGGCTATCATTTGTCAGTAGTCCATTTGTTTCCTGAATAATCGCATAGCTGAATGACCGAACGACAAAAGCGAAAAAGAAACGTACCAGCCAGTTCATGTGGGTGTAAAGGTGTTCCAAGGATTCGTCCCAGGCGTACAGTGCATACCAAAGTATAGCCAAGAAGACAAATGTTGGATCTTTAGACTGTTCGAATATCTTTTGCCAATACACGCTCTCTCCCACTTTGTGGATTAGACTTTTCAGTCGCTCTGCGGTTGTCCTTTTCCACTGAGCACCTGGGTGGTAAGATATGATAGTACTGCCACTGGGGTCGGATGATCTTATCATGTGGAGAGCGAGCAGATCTTGAAGAAGGTACTTTTCCGCTGGCGAACGGACTGAAATAAAATAAAATAAAGATACAGTACCAAAAATGGGGGAAAGACTCTACCAGAGCGAAGACGAAGCGACTCTTGCGTGTCTGTAGCTTTTTCACCACCTGGAGAACGATCAGGTTGTGTTTTGCGCGAGAGCTTAGCAAACGCACAGTAAATGTTCTTATTTTGAGAAGGCGCCGCAGTCTTTTCCCATGGTGCCGTGCGTACAAACAACAGTGTTACCGTAATGTCTGCGGGGTTTAGGAGCGCTGTCGGGTAGAACGCAAAGAGCACTTACGATCTCCTTTTTTCTTGACAACTTCATCTTGATATCGAGAAGGGATCCAGTTTAACGAGGATGTAAAAAAGCACGGTTCGATGTTGTACCTATTTACGTTCAACCCAGGGTACATGTCTGGAGAAACGAATCCCTAGCACCTTGTTCCTAGCATCTGAAGTATAGGATGTTTCATGTTGTCGACGAGCAAGACCCGAAGACGAAGATCTGTTGGCTGTAGGGAAAACAGATTAAGTTGGTCCAAAACAAACTACGGCTATTCCTCACCTCTGTCTGCAACTGATCCCAAAGCTGACTTAACGCGCCTTCATCAACCTCAATGGGTGGATCGGTGTCCTTGGCCGGCTTGAAGTCTCCAGTTTTAAGCACATCAACATAATAGATCTTGCATTTTTCTCGAGGCTCTTTGGAACAGTTTTCGACCATCCTGCACCGTGCAACTCGATCGGCGACCCAGTTCCCGAATAAACATTGAGGATACCCCCTCCACTTCCATTGCTCCACTGGCCTTGGTGGAGGAGCGGGTTCCGTTTCTAAAATGGTGTCCGACTCAAGGTCCACCCATGGCCAAGGTCCAGACGGGGCAGCATGTCGATATCTAGAAGGACGACCATCAACTCTAAGCTCTAGGCTTATGAACGTGTGCGTTGTGCTCACATGGGTGCAGGTATTTTGGGAGGCTTACTGCTATGCGATGTAGTTCCACCAATGTTGCCCCAATGAAGGGTGCCCAGCGATAAACGAGGGCGACTCGGAGGAGACTGCCGGCTAGTCATGAGTAAAGCGAGGAAAAGAAGACAGTCCATCCAAATGTGACAAGTAGGTACTCACTATATAATAATGCAAAGATGATGATGCCGTCAGTTCTGTAAGAGATCAAAGAAAAGCTTCGTGCAGGTTCGTTCGCGAAGTAGACTCGTTACGGCATCGGTATCTCGGCATCTCGGTTTGTCTCAGCCTGTCTGTCGTTCTTTATCGGCTTGTGCCCACGTCAACACAAGAAGATAAAATGGTGACACGGCGAAGTGAGTATGCACCAGCGCGATGTTTACATATCGTTGGTAGAGAATATGTTCATCTGTCCTTCCGCCATGAGTCCAAAACAGAGGAGTGATTCAGAATTAGCAACATCCTGGGATCCGCTGGCAATTGACTGACTGTGCCGCTGGAGAAGTGCTGCGGAGTGTCGAAAGTTCTTTGATGGTCGATGATAAAGCCTGATATTAATAACTTTACATAAGCGTAATCGTAAACTTTCTCAGTTAAACAGACTTTGTTTGGACACATGCTTCACGGATATCCAATTGGGGGTGACCGTGTTCTATACCAGGTCCACATGACAGTGGGACTCGGAACGACCGTTGCACGGCCTGTGACGGCCACCCAGTGATGTTGGACTCTTACTCTCACGTACTATGCAGGCTGGGAATCGACGGAAAGGCGCAACTTTCTTGCAGCTCAATAGGCTCGTCATTCCTGTCCTTACTGATGGATTATTAACTTGTTGTGCACAGAATCACAAACGTCGGACCTCAATGTAGCCTCGTGAAATTCGAATGAGTCTTGAAGACAGCTAGGCGCTAATATGTCAACGTTGCAGCAATTGCTACTTTACATCACATCACGGGTTCAATGATGTCGCTGAATCTATTGTGAAAGTTCTGCCAACCCTCAGGCCTCAGCGCCCGTCATTCTCAATGACGCTTGCTCCAGAGTACTCCCATGCCATGGAATGAGCCTTGGGGGATCAAGGGAAGATCAATAGTAGATCGACATCCGTTCGCACCCGGTCGGCGCTGTGATAATTGATAATATTTTTGGTTGCAATCGCGGTTCTTGCCTCGGAATTGGACCGGCTTGACAAACAACTTTCTGCAGCATGCGCATTTCTCCCAGCACTTCCGCTCTATTCCCGAGAAGACCCACTATGCTTTAGTGCTAAGTGTGTATTTGTGAAATTGTCTTCCTTCAGGTTGCTTCTGCCTTCTTTTATCTTTCGGTCACCGACGCCTTCCGGGCTGCTGACCTCTGTATTTGAAATACTATACCATCTCAACTTCGATAGTATGCGATCCTTCGCGGGAACGCAGGGTGTTACGGGGGGTGAGAGTGTCGAATTATTGTCTTTTCGCCCCTCCGAGACTGAGTTTAAGTTAACGTTAAAACTAACGTTAACCTGATTTCCTTACCCAGTGCATAATACACATCCACTGCATAACAAAAAAGATGCAATTCTCAACCTTGTCAGGACCTTGCAAATTGATGGAAGAAAAGAGTGCTAACAGGACTCGAACCGCATCCGGATAATTCCGGTCCGCTCCTTTTGCGCTCGGCGGACCACCTTCAAACTTTCTCTCATAGATTAAGTTTTCAAGACGCTTCACATAAAAATCAGCTCCAGAACTTGACAACTGTGATCTGCACAATGACAAGTCCCGAGCAAGCGTAAACCATCTGCGATGAATTGGTTGCATTACGTCTCCGCGCATAACATGCCACTGCCGCGTGTTTATAACCCTTCGAACAAACCTCGATGTCGCCCGAGGAAAACAGTGAACACGGACGGGAGCAGTCAGGAATTGGCTTGCCTTGTTCCACCTCGGCGAAACTGCACACTACTACTGGATTGATTTCTTCCGTTGGTATTCCTCATCTGTCCGTCCACGCAGGCGACGATTCTACAACAAGTGGCACTTCTCTAGAAAAATTGCTTTGACATGCTGACAGTGTAATTTTGCAGGCTCACATCGATCGTTTATTGCCATTAAGAGTCTTGGAGAGGGCTCCTTTGGATCAGTATTCCTATGTGACTGGCATGGAGATTTGCCACATGAAGTGCCACCACCTTCTGCGATTCATGTAAATGGTGTCACGAGGCCAGAATTGACAGGTATGCGTTTGGTGGCTGTAAAGAAACTGAAGCGACGGTGGGAACATGGTTGGGACGAGTGTCAGCATCTCAAGGAGCTCAAGGTTCAGTGAATCTTCCGGCACCCGCAGACTTCCTGTTAAATTGACCACAGGCGCTCCGTGCATTAGCACCCCATCCATGCGTCGTCCCTTTCTATGACGTCTTTCTCTCAAGAGAAACTTCGGAGCTGTACTTCGTTTTTGAAGCTATGGAACGCAACCTATACCAATTCATGAGAGCTCGCAAAGGGCGACTATTGGCCACCGGCCTTTTATCTTGCATCTTTCAACAAATAGCAGCTGGACTGCACCACATTCACTCTTCGGGCTATTTCCATCGCGATATGAAACCTGAAAATATTCTCGTTGGGACGTCGGGGCTCTCCCAGTCGCAACCAGACGGAGGTGATCAGAATGATGTTGCAATTATCTGCAAGATTGCAGATTTTGATTCTGCAAGGGAGATATCGAGCACGCCGCCTTACACGGAGTATGTCTCAGCTCGGTGGTATCGCGCCCCCGAGGTGCTGCTGAAGCAGAGAGACTATTCTACACCGGTGGATATGTGGGCCCTCGGAGCGATCATGGCCGAGCTGGTGAACTTAAGGCCCATGTTTCCTGGTTCTGGAGAAGTAGATCAGATCAACCGAATCATCAAAGTGCTTGGCGACCCGGCAGATTATGGCATGGACGAACGCGGAAGATTTTACGGAGGTGGTCCATGGTCCCATGGCTTGGAGTTGGCGAGGGGTCTTGCCTTCAAATTTCCTCAGGTTGGTTATGCCTCTGAGTTTGCGGAGTATTTGACTCTTATGACGACCCAGACTGAACCGAGAGATATATACGCGATATTCGACAAGAACACACCTCGCCAACTCGTCAACTGCATCTCCGATCTCCTCAAGTTTGACCCCAAGTTGCGCCTTACTAGTAAACAGTGTCTCGCTCATGAATACCTCGAGGAATGGCGGCCGGAAAATTTTCCCCATATGCCCCCCGAACAAGACATTCACCCCCAGATCTCAACAACAGCACAGGATTCGTACATGATCAACGCAACGTGCGAGTTCACCGTTGGTGAGTCACTTGTATCACATGCAATTCATACTGGTGAATTCCTTCAAATTATATAAACCATCAGTCATGAAATCGGCTTTGGAGTAGACTGTACCAGTACTATTTGACAAATTTGCCTAAATTGGTGGGTTGTACGGAGCCGTTCAAAACATCTCTTTCTGATGGCACTTGTTTCTGTGTATGATAGGAGAGGAATCATGCGGCTTTAGAGCTGGACTTCTGCCGTTTGATCAGTGAATTCGATGATAGCGTGGATGGCCCGTGTTCTCCGCTATGAACGGATGATGAGTGTGCTGCATTGAATCTGAGATCACTTGGGCGTGATTATTTTGTCGGACACTCACCTATTAATTTGGTTCATGTTTGACGGCGGAGGTCAGCGCTGTACGGCCTGTGTCGTGTGGTCATAGGAAGGATGACAATTGAAAAACGCGCCCATCTTGCCAAACGTGGTGACCCTGAAATTTCGCAAAGTTCGAAGCCATCGTGGAGGTACTCACTTCTGGAATATGTGAGCAGTCTGAGAAGCGTCGCTTGCTTACCAAGATCGATGCTGCGGGACCGGTTGGGTAAAAGTGATCAGAGCAGCGTGATAGGGCAAAGATAAAGGCAATTTCTGACGAAGGCGTGTGTCATTGTCTTGTCTGACTAGAATAATATTCGAGTGTCGATTGAAGGGCTTCGAGCTCTGCCACAATTAGAGGCTCGTCAATGTCTGTATGCCTGAACTCACATATTGTACCAGGCCTAGCTTTTTTGATTTGCGATATGGCCGGAATTATTCGAACCTGCAGGAAGTCACCGGCCCAATGTTTGTATCGCGGCTTCCATATCTGTATGTTGATGCCCCGGATCGGCTATAGCTGCTTCCATTTTTTGTTGTCTTCCCCTTGACCTTTCCGTACCTTCACGCGCAACTGCGGTTGCGAACAAACATATTAATCGCCTCCCCTTCCATTTTCGCGCGCTGCCTTGTATTCGGTCCTACCTGCTTATGTGGTTATACAACCAGCTTCTCCTTGATGATTTTACCGCATCTGAGTCATGCTACTTCAGCAGTTCGCAGCTGTCGTTGGTACTGTTTTGTGCTTGTCCTTCACGCCCCCCTGTACCTGCCCTTCATGCCCGTTCGCAATCCTTGAATAGGGACCAAAGGTGGAGATAACCGAGATCTGTGCATGACGTGTCTATCTGCAAAGATAGACAACATTGCCATCGAAAGAAGACCTTCTTATCCCTTCTTCTAGGTCTGTGACTCTCTGTGCAGAAGAATTATATGGGCAGCCGGCTCCAGCTCTGAGCTGGCATGACCAGACAGGTGCTCGCGGAGTTAGAAAACATATCTATCCAAAGCTTCCGAACCGGGTGCGGTGACGAGACACGTATCACACGTGAAATAACATGTTCAACTGAGGTTGCGCCTTGAATTGCAACATGACCAGTGTCGGGAACAAGTACATCAAAATCTCCAGTCCTTCTCCGCACGTGTTGTTGTTAGAGTTAAACAGGTACTGTAACATGTTCCAGCCGTAACGAATCTCTGACGTTTTGACAAAACTGCACGTTCCTCATCAGACAGCCAGTCAACGCATTCAGCGCGGAGTAAGTCGCTCCTTTACTAGTGTCCGACCGCAACTACTCACCACATGATTATACAGGTTTTGGAATGAGTACGGATGTACATTCGATGCACTTGCGAGGCATCCGGACGACATCCGCGCGGTCGTCCTGTCGTCCGCACTTCCCAAGGTGTTCACTGCAGGGATCGACTGTAAGGGCTGCATCCCGCTGAAGCAGACGAATAGCTGACCGTCAGCAGTTCAGGGGCTGATGAAGCTCGGGGCCGGCGAAGCGGCCATGGATCCCGCACGTCGCGCACTTCTGACCCGTGACGACATCCTCGACATCCAACACGCTATAGCAGCACCTGAGCGGTGCCCAATTCCCGTCATAGCAGCAGTACATGGAATCGTGATTGGTCTAGGGATAGACATTATCTCAGCGTGCGACGTGCGATATACAGCGTCTGACGCGAGATTCTCCATCAAGGCTCGTTAGTCACACGGCTTCCAAGTCATTTGTCTGATGAAGGTCATTATGTATCAGGAAGTCGACATGGGGCTGGCGGCTGACGTTGGGACGCTGGCTCATTTGCCAAAGATTACAGGCAATCATTCATTAGCTCGCGAGCTCGCATTTACTGGACGAACATTCTCGAGTGACGAAGCGGAGAAACTTGGTCTTGTTTCTAGAGTCGTTGAAGGTGGGAGGGACGCAGTCGTAACTGTAGCATTGCAATTGGCCAAAGATATCGCTTCGAAGAGTCCCGTTGCAGTGATTGGAACGAAGCATCTCCTTCTGCACGCCAGGGATCACAGGTATGAGTGTCTGTTTCATATGCTGTTGGATTAATTCACTGTTTTGTGATAGCGTTGCTGAGAATTTGCAGTACACGGCAACGTGGAATTCAGCTGCGCTGCAGGCTACGGTTAGTACATCGACTATTTGTTTTTCGTATTTCAATTAACGGAATATACTCTGCTAGGATTTAGAGCAGGCAGTCAAAGCGGGAATGGCCAAATTAAAGGGATCCCCGACATTCTTGCCATTAAGGCCCAAGCTCTAGTTATTCGAGTGCGCATTCTTCCTTATATTTTGTTCTCTATGAGTCTTTCCTGATCACTTCCGCTAATGAGAATTTGCAATTTGAAAGCATCATATATCGTTACATAGTAGTAAATGCAATGAGAGAAGATAATACACGTGCATCGCGCTCAAACCTGCACCCTGTTTCGTATGTCGTTCCCACCAGTTCACATCTTGTGGCCGAGGTTGATGTGGACAGCCTTCACCGCAGTGTAACTGAAGGCAACTATGAGGTTGTGCTGATATGCCATGGGATCAACACTCACTTAGAGAGGGCATACTCGCCAAGCTCACGACCGATACCGCTCTGCTTGAAACCGCCGAATGGTACATTGGAGTGCAACGAGTTAACGCAGTTAATCCATGCAGTTCCAGCCTTGAGTCTGTGCGCAGTGTTGATAGCACGGTTCAGGTTCTGGGTGAAGACAGCAGAGGCAAGACCGTAGACGGTGTCATTTGCCTGCTTGATCACATCGTCCTCATCCTTGAACTTGATGACAACACCAACGGGACCGAAAATCTCCTCCTGGACGATCTTCATCGATGGGTTGACATTGGTGAAGATGGTGGGCTTGATGAAGTAACCCTCAGTTCCATGGCGCTCGCCACCGATCTCAACCTTGGCACCAGCCTCCTTTCCGGACTCAATGTAAGACATGATACGCTGGATCGCACATTAGACGAATAAATGGCTACGGAAGAATTCCACGACATACGTTGAATTGAACCTCTGAGACCTGAGGACCCTGGAACGTGTCAGGGGCAAATGGGTCGCCGACCTTGAGCGACCGAGTTTTCTCCGTGAAGCGTTTAAGGAATTCGTCGTAGATCCCTTCTTGCACGTAGATACGTGAACCTGCACAACACGTCTGACCGTGGTTCCAGCTAACAACAAAATATTAAGTGAAGTTTGCATGACAGCAGCGCACTAGACTTACAAAATACCGAATGCCGACCAGTTAACAGCCTGTTCGAGGTCAGCATCATCGTAGATGATGTTTGGACTCTTTCCGCCGAGCTCGAGGGTAACGTTCTTGAGGTTGCTCTTCGCAGCAGCCTCCATGATCTTACGACCGACAAGGGTTGAGCCAGTGAAGGCGACCTTCTCTACCTTCATATGCGAAGAGATGGCATTACCGACAGTGTGTCCGTAACCGGTGATAACGTTGACGACACCAGGCGGGAAGCCAGCCTCGTTGATAAGGTGGCACATTCGGATGGCAGTCAGGGGTGTGAATTCTGAGGGTTTTAGAACGATTGTGTTACCGCATGCAAGAGCAGGGCCAAGTTTCCAGGCCATCATGAGCACTTTGAGAAGGAAGGTGAGTGCATTAACACTTCAAGCGGCTGATGTGTACACACATGGGAAGTTCCATGGGATGATTTGGCCCTATAATACGTGTATAAGAGGAAGATCTTGCAGCCGAGAAAATGTACATACGACAACACCGATAGGTTCGTGGCGAGTGTAGGTGAGCTTGTTCTCTGTGGTCTGCCCAATTATCAGAAAGTGAACGAAGTTGATTGTTGAAAAAGTTTCAAACCTCTTGTACTTGACCAGTAACCTTGTCAGCCCAACCAGCATAGTAGCGAATACAATCGATGGAACCAGCAACATCAACGTTCTTTGCCCAACTGAAAGTCTTGCCTGGCGAGGATTAAACTTAGTCATCGTGTTAGATGCCTAGTGATTGGGCTGGATGCTGACCATTGTCCAATGCCTCCAGAGCGGCAAGCTCATCAGCATTCTTCTCCATGAGGGCAACAAGCTTCGACATCAAAATGCTACGCTGAGTGCCGGGTGCATGGAGACCCCAGACGGTGTCGAAGGCTTTGTGCGCAGCGTCAACGGCGACGTCTACATCCTTGGGCGTACCCTCGGATACTGATGTTACCACCTTTCCATTTGCTGTGTATGGAGTTCATATAAGATCGTGTATCAGCGCCAAAAGAACGTACTCGGGTTGATGACGCTAAAATCGTTGAGATCAGTGAGAAATGATCGATTAGCAACAGGGGCAGATCATACTCAATAATAGCGCCGTCTGATCCATCCACGAACTGGCCGTTAATGAAGAGACCAGTGTTGAAGGAAACTTTTCCTTTGAAAGCGGGCGTATTGAACTCGTGAGTGAACGTGGAAGGCATGTCGACTATGGATTGGTATTTAGTATTCGGTCGAGTATATATAGGAGCGGAGTGCCATTACCAAATTAAACAGGGTCCGAGACAAATCCGAAGAGTCACCTGAACTTTCTCGTGATACGATGATCATGACTTTGAAAGTTTGGATTTGTGAACGCAGCATACTTATTGATATGTATCCCAATCGGCACTTGCCACCGGGTTATGTCATTGGACCACTCGTCATGCCAACGTGCAATGGCATGGCATCTGGCAGCGACTCGTCATCCATTAATGCGCAGGGTGATGCTTCGTTCGCCCTTGGCTTTCGCACAGTTCTTAGCTCCTGCCCAACGGCGGTAGAGCCTCGCCATCTTAATCATTATACTGGAAATCGAACTCGGATCTAGCGGAACCTCCTTCGATATCAATGTTTTCAAAGGGCTCCCAGCCATTCATGCTACTTCTGATTTGGTGAATATCAGATTCAACGTGTTCCCGGCTCGCTGTCTGTTGAAGTTTCCGAAGATTGACTGGTCATCTTGGGTGGAGGGTGAGTGACGTGTCGTGTCGTTTTGATTCGACCAAGTCTTGACGCCGAATTTGGCAGTGAACCGGGCACGGGCTGCAAAGGAATCCCAATGGCTAAACCTCGGTGACGAGAAGTGAAGGCTCTATCGAGGACAGACTACAACACGCACGACAACCTACGACAACCGACTACGAGCCTGGGTACTGTACGTGATACAAGCCAATTGTCAGTTCGTCCGTGGGAGGGGTTTAGACGGGGTTTTCGAAATACCACCAGCAGGGAGCTAGGCAGCTCCACGTAGGCGGCCATAGAAGAGTGATACTACTTCAAATTATTAATCCCTCTATTCACTTCTCAATCAGCAACGAACTACGTATTGTTCGATCAACAACAGAACCAATGCGAAAGCGGAAACACGACTTACCAGTGTGTCGCTACGTGCAAATCGGCTTGCTCTCTTGCCGGGATTATAACAGATCTTATTACCATCGCCCTGATATCACGTGCAAAGGGCGACTCATCAGGTGAAAACTGGATGCAAAGCAAACTACTCCTACTCACAAGAGCAATACAGGAACCGCTTTGATCGCAGCAGTCACTGATCGTGTTGCAATACTCGCCCGGCGCACTACATACTGACTTTGCGCTGACAGATATGATAGATGTTGTCAACGCAGCAATAACGGTGAGGAAGGAGAAACGCATTGTCTGTGCGAGAAGGTGGGGTGAACGGTAGGAAGATTACCTGCTTTAAATCGTGAAAGTTATTGCTCAGGGTTGTCGACAGGATTCGATTTGGCAGAGCGGCTATGCCGCGCGAATGATAATGTACAACGAGAGTATAGGCAGAACCTATCCTTTCCGATATTAAAGCAGTCGTAATGTGCCGTGCACCTATGACCTTACTTCTTCGTGTTTTGATATTGTTGGATTATTTGTGGTCTTGTATTTGCATCTTGGCGGTGCGTGCGCACCTAGACCTAGTATCCAGTAGTCGAGAGATAACGAGATAACTGTAGATAGGCAAGGATAACAGCACGCTCGATAATGCGAGAACCCCGTAACCTAGCTGACATTTTGAGGTATAATTTCCGTGCACATAATGTGCCTGACGGACTGGGCATTCTCTACAATACATGGTACGACGTCTCTCCCGAATTGCTAACTTTCCAGTCTATTGTTCTATACCTAATATTCTATCAGCCTCTGGTGACCCTGCAAGAGGAATGTCCTTCCGTAGAGAGACTTTGACCGGCGAGACACCTTCGTTGTAAGCCAGCGCAAAGACGACATCCATATCTGGAAAAGGTGTTGAACCGACAACAGCAGAACACATGGTAGATCTGGAGTTACCTTCCAACGAACGACCTGCAGTCTCTGGGAAGAAGAAATAGACTACTGGAATGATGAAAGCGTTCAACGCAGCGAATACTGCACGACATTAGCGCCACGGCACGAAATTTGACCATGACCTACCAATGTAAGTGCCCCATGATATATTGTTGAACGATGGGCCAGTGACCATCACGACCACGAAATTGAATATCCAGTTCGAAGCTGTGCAACAGGGTGTCAACACCCAACACTAAAGGAAAAAATAAACTAGATACATGTGCTCAGTGCATTGGCAGGCGCGCGAATTTCCAACCCAACGATTTCAGCAGGCTGGCGCAGCGACTTATGAGCATGGTGTACATTATAGCGAGTTGGGTAGCTCACGTATAGCCATGTCATACCCAACCAGCCAATAGCAAAGAACGAGTTGAACACAAAAAGTAGCACGGCGCTCACTACTTGTGCTCCAGTGCCTCGTACACTGCCGAGAACGGCAAGCAATATCATAGTAATGCACTGGCCTACAGCACCAAAAAGCATGAGCTTTCGTCGTCCGATACGGTCTATGATGAAGATAGCTATAAGAGAGGCAAGGAAATACTCTGTTCCATTTGCAGCCGCGATAAGACGCGAAGTAACATCCGAGAGACCAAGGCGTTGGAATAGAATCGTCTAGATCATTACAAGAATAAGGCACCAGCGAATTTAGAAGGAGAGACAAGACTTGCAGCATAGCTAAAATGTCCAATCAGACCACGAGTTTATCTCAAAGGCAGATACTCAACTATGTAATCAAGTTGATGCCCGTAATCTGTTGAAAGCACTGGTTGATCACTCCTAGAGAAGCTCTCCGGAAATGTTGGCTGCGGCCGCCAACGAGAAGTTTTCTCAAAGGTGAGCGCTTGAGGTTCTGTGTTGCATGTTTGTCTCCAAAGCCCCTGGGGGTCCCAAAGTCCTCGATTGCAACTGCTTCCCGAATAGCATGATAGGTGCGTTGAACTTCAGCATCGTCTGGTGATTTGTTCTCAAGCGCCGATATGACTGCCATTGCCTCTGCGTTTCGGTTTTGCTTTACAAGCCTGATCACTGGCATCAGATGTGTGCCAAATAAATGAATTAGCATAAACACCATCTTGGTGATTCAGGAAGCTGATGAATCAAGTCAGATAGAGTGAGAATAACTACATAAACGACCCACGAAACCGATTCCAAAGACCATGACCAGAGCCAAAACTATCTGGAGCGCAATCGGGACTCTCCACTGAGCAGAAGATGCACTCGCCCAAAAGCTATGTGCCTGTGAGTTGGGTGGCAGGAAAGGAAGAAGTTAACGTACAGGCCAAAATCTATCCACTTGATGACGCGCCATCAATCATGCCGAGGTGTTAGATTGGCAGGCTCACTTACATATCTGGCAGAAACATGACTTTAGAATACTGGCATAGTGATGCATGGCTACTCACGAGATCATAATACCAAAAGTGATAAGAGACCCTTCAATCAATATCAACGCGCCGCGTTTCGCTGCCGACGAGAGTTCTGCGTGGTAGCTAGGGACTGTAGAGGTCTGTCGGGCCATGATTGAGACGAAGGAACAAACTAGAGACGAAGAGATACTGACATTCAAACCATTTCCAATACCTGTGACTATCCGAGCAACAACTAATTGAGCATAGCTGTAACTGGTCGTTTGGAGAATGGCACCAATAATCATGATACATCCGCCCAAGGCAATTGTTCGGCGTCTTCCTAAACGATCTCCCACCCAAAGATTAGATAAAGCCCCCATGAGGCATCCGATCTCCTGTGCATGCAAACACGTTTAGAATGATCTAACAACTGTAGTGTATTGCCCACATATATGGCGACAACAAAACTTTGCAAAGTAGCGTGGTTAGGGTGACTGCTATCCACTACAACTTGGGGGAAGACCTTCTCAAACTGAGACAGATTAACAACAACATAACACTTTCGAAGGCAACGGCATAATGGCAAGCATACCTGTCCAGCGGTCAGCAATGCGGACATAACCCCTTGGTCATAGCTGCAGGCCGACAACACAGTTCGTTCAGTTTATACAGTGGACGAATAGTATCTGTACGAACCCGAACAGCGTAAATCCAGTGCCAGCAACGAATGCAATCGAAATGGTCAATTTACGCCCACGGAGGCGAAGTGCATGCGAAGCAACTTCGGCATCGAAACTAATCTTTTCGTAGTCCTGCTTCCCTTCTCCTTCGAAGGTGCTTGAAACTGGAGGGCAGCGTGGTGTAGTCATGATAATAGACACTAGGTGCCTCGAGATTGAAAGCAGAAACGAAGGACATCACGTTGAGATAAGTCCTAATTTTATAGATGGAAGATGCGATGCCACAGATAGAAGTGGAGTACAACCTTGTGACCGAAAGTTCAGGTCTGATTTTGTGAACGTGACCGCGAGTGATCTATGATCCATGTGCATGAGGCCGGAGGCTCGCCTATCAAAAGCGGTGATGAAGAGGATCAGAGTACCCTCAGCAGTCAGCAATGACTCGACATTGGTGGCGAAGAAAGACTGAAATCTGAATATGGACTAGTGGCATAAGTATTTAAGCCGAATTTGAACCGATTAAGATGTATATATTTACATACTAGTACCACCCCTCGGCGAATAGCTTCGTCGTGTTACAAGCTTCTTACTTTTCTTGCTCTATCACATCCACCTTCGTCACCGCTTCTCATCTTCTTGACCTTATGGTTTTTAACGCATGTCGATCGTGGTCTTACCTAATTGCTGATGTAATACTTAGTTTCGGACTCACTGTAGCCTGCTCTCCGACTTTGCTCCGACTGGACACTACCTCAAAACATATTGTTTCTTGTCAACATAAACACTGAGTCTCTCGCTAACGTACGTTCATTCAAATTCCCGTCGTCTTCTGGTTAACAATTGTGGAAGGTAAATATACTCCCTTCACATGATCACTGGTCTGCGGCATACATGGAAGCTCTGATCAATTTTTCGTGAGTGTTTTTGAATTCTGCTGGGAGTGCAATGCGCGTGAGAGGAAGCACTTCGTAAGTGTCTCATCCTCAGGCACTATACATCTTGTGAGATTTTTCCAGTCGGGTTGATCTGCGTAGCCCTGCAGATTGTCATAGCTGGCTACAACGGTATGCCGTCAACAACTTTGTCACGAGGACATGTACAAAGGGTCCCTAGTCACATATATGGGCAGTTTCCACAATCTGTATCCAAAAAAGCTCTCTTTCCTGGTCCATGCGAGATATCTGATGGCGCCATTATTCTACTCCTCTCGACTGAGTGGTGAGTCGCAAGTAGCCAATATGTCGTGTTCTTATGTTTATCATCATGTGGAAAGTCGCGGGGTCGGTATCTCATAGCATTGCTATACTCTGCACCGTCTTCAGGCTTGTTTACAGAGGCTGGACTAGTCATTTCTGGTGGGAAGATGCATGGGCGGCATGCGCACTAATTGCAGACGGTAGAATTTTCCTATATACATTGTTCAGCAAACCAACCTCATCCCTAGTTGCCTGCCTGGCATGTATCTGGATTGACGCCAGGATAAGTTGTGAGTACTTGACTTCGCGTTATTACTCGCATGTTCATATCTGTTCTAGCCTGGATCCTCGCAGTGGCATTCACTTCTGTCATGTGGTGTGCATCACAGCATTCTCAGTTAGATTTTTAACTCATATTTCCAGGGCTGCGCGGATGAGCGTCATTTTCTCTATTATCCGCATCGTCAACCACTCAGGCTACAAGATCCACAAACATATCGCCTATCTCATCGCAGCCTCCTTCGCATGCATGTGGGCTGCGCTAGTCGCGCAGAAGATCAGCTTATGTCAATTCCACGCATGTCAGATGGCCAGTTCGGTGGCGCTCTCACATCTTATTAGTTAGTACCTTTTTGTTTTTTTGTGGTCGTCATGGTCCTCAAGTTTTCGGATCTTGCAGCGGATATCATCGCTGATTTCTCCCTCGTTGCTGCGCCATTGTATATCTGGAAAAACTTAAAGTTTCCACGTCGCAGCAAAATATTGATTCTTTCCGCATTCTGTGCATCCCTTCTAATCACCGCCATCACAATCCCCCACTCCATAGTCCTCTTCAAGACCCAGACACTCACGCCGCTCATCTTGGCGCACGTCAAGGTGAGCTCTTTACCGTTCCCGCACCGCTCTGCAGTATCCAATGGACATCAGGCCGCTCTCAGTCTTGTCGTCTGCAACCTCCTGGTGATTGTTACCTTCACATACCGCGTATGCTGGAAGGAAACATTCGATCTCGACCAGTCATTGACTTCCCATGGAGTCCTTACGAGTGTCATCATGATGCAGATTCCCAGTAGCACGAACGCCGGGACATCACTCTCTGTACAAGAGGGGACAGCCTCAAGACAGACAATGACGGTGCAGAATGGGAAGTCGAAGATAGAAGACGTGAGTGTGTCGTATGCAGAAGAGGGCATTAGCACTGAGGATGGTTAGATACGTTGAAAGATGGCGAGTAATCAATAATGAGGGAACTTGCGAACGTGTGCGTCCTCATCTTACAAAATGTACTAACCTGTCGTACCAGTTGTACTCGTATACCTGCGGCACCTTTGCGTTTGTCACGCCTGTCTTGGCAATGTTATTCGGATGTCAGCAGCGTGTTCCATAATCGAAGCTGAGATGATACAACTCGAACTTCTGGGGCAAGAACCGATGACGGAGAGTCGGGGATCGGCGTCACTGCGACAAGCAGAGGCAGCATTTCCTATGCGACTTCAGCGCTTCGGCGAGTTCTGGGACGCAAATGCTTTAGCAACACTAGAACACCAGGTAAATTGAGTCACGTCCTTCAGATTTCTGATGCGATGCCGATGCGAGGCGCCGTGAACACTCGTGAACTGACGTGTTGGTCGAACTAGAACATGAAGATGTGGCTGCTCCAATGACTTCGGAACGTCATGAAATGACTCAGTAATTGTTGAACACGTCATAACTCACTGATTTCGATGACTATATATCCGTAGGCGCCTGCAGGTTTTCAAAGGTAACAACATTTATGCCAAATTTAGGCCCGAACGTCGCGTCCTCGCAGTCCGCTTTCACATTGCTCGACGCTAGAAGCAGCGGGAGGAGAAGCCTTGGCATTATAGTGTACATTGTCAAGACAGTAATGCTCAATATTTGCATAATGCTCTCTTACCAGATCGTTCGCTGCTTCCATGAAGCGGTATCCCTTGACTCGCTGAGCGCCCAGTGATGGTGCATCATATAGTGGTCAGTGCTCCCCAAATTGGCTTGTGCATCACGAAACTGGCGGACATCGATAGCTTTGTCGGTGGGCTGTTATACACAGTTCGAATTCAAGAACTGATATGCAATTCTTTTAATCATGCCAGTTGAGGCATAGCGTCGATATGCTCATTCATTGCAACTGTATACGTAATTTCAGCGTTCACTGGGCGTGTTACCATGTCCTCGGCTACTTGCTAGGTTTACGGCTATCTCCTTGTGGGTTGCCACACCCCATCATTAACCGAGAGAGCGGACAGCGAGATGTGACCTGAATCCGTTTATTGAATGACGGTACCTATCACTGTACGTAACGAGTAGTCTTGACAAGGAACTCACCGGCGCGCCGCAGCTGCTCAGCGTCTTTACATCTTTTTCTCCTCACCTTTACCCCATGTCCTCTACTCGTGCTCCGAGCCGCCTCCCACTGACTACCCTGAGTCACTGGGCCAATAGTGGTCATGTAAATCCGGGAACTCCAACACACAGCAGTAAGCCTCCCAAAACACCTGCACCAATGTGAGTGTCAACCGTCTTCGAAACATACTCCTGAGCCCGGGACGCTTACTCGGGTTGACAATTTCCTCCCAGATATCGACATGCTGCCCCGTCTGGACCTTGGCCATGGATGGACCTCGAGTCCGACACTACTTTAGAGACGGAACCTGTTTCCCCACTGTCAAGACGGTCGGCGGAACAATGGAAGTGGAGGGAATATCCTCAATGTTTATTCGGGAACTGGGTCGCCGATCGAGTTGCACGGTGTAAGATGGTCGAAAATTGTTCCAAGGATCCTCGAGAAAAATGCAAGATCTATTGTGTCGATGTGCTTGAAACAGGAATATTCAAGGCTCAGGATACCAATCCACCCATTGATGTCGATGAACACGCTTTTAGTTTAAGTCAACTTTGGAATCATTTACAGATCGAGGTGAGGAATAATGAGAGTAAAGTTGTTGTAAGTAAGTTGATCATGTATATCTACAGTCGACAGGACTCCGTCTCAGGGTATTGCTTGTCGACAATATGAAGCACCCCGTACTTCAGATGCTGGGCACAAGGTACCAGATTCATTTTCCCCAATATGCGCTCTAGGTTGAATGTAAATAGGTACAACATCGAACCATTCTTTTTCACGTCTTCATCAAACTGGATCCCTTCTCGATACCAAGAAGAAGTTGTCAAGAAAAAAGGTGATCGTAGGTGATCTTCATGGTCTACCCGACAACGCGTCTAAAATGCCGTCAGACATTACGGTTACGCTTTTGTTCGTACGCACTGTACCATGGGAGATGTCTGCAGCGTCCTCGCAAAACAAGCACATTTCCGGTGCGAATTCTAAGCACTTGTGATAAATTTAACTTGATCATTTCACAGACAGTGAGAGGGCTATAGACACGCAAGAGTCACTTCGTCTTCGCTCTGGTAGAGTCCCTCCCCCCATTGATGGTGCTATGTTTAAACGTTTTTAGTCCGCTCGTCAGCGGAAAAGTACCTTCTTCAAGATCTGCTTGCTCTGCACATGATAAGAACATCTGACTCCAGTGGCAGTACTATCATATCTTACCACCCAAGTGCTCAGTGGAAACGGACAACCGGAGAGCGATTGAAAAATCTGGTCCACAAAGTGGGAGAGAGCGTGTATTGGCAAAAGATATTCGAACAGTCTAAAGATCCAACATTTGTCTTCTTGGCTATCCTTTGGTATGCGCTTTATGCCTGGGACGAATCCTTGGACCATCTGTACACCCACATGAACTGGCTGGTACGTTTCTTTTTCGCTTGTGTCGTTTAGTCACTCAGCTATGCCATTACTCAGGAAACAAACGTGCTATTGACGAACGATAGCCACCTCACGACTGAGTTGCACACTATCCAGGCTCAACTCCTCCATTATGCTTCACTTCTCGAGGATTTCCGAAAATCTGTGAATTTTGTCAGGAACACACCGAGTCCTGTTTTGGAGTCCCGCGAATTCACTGATCAGTCCCGAAGGGACACGAATAAACTGATGCGAAAGGAATGCGACAATCTCCTTTCGGAAATTGATAGGCTGGGCTTTCAGTTGAAAAATATCACTGACCTGGTTTGTGTCATTGCTACCATGATTCGGCGATCGTTAATTTTAATGTCCAGGCTAAAGCGACCGTGAACTTTGTTGACAGTCGACGGATGCAAGATCTGACAACAGCAACAGTCCGTGATTCGGCTGCTATGAAACAGGCAGGTTGATATTTTAGTTAGCTTGACGATACTAAATACCCTCGGTAGATTTCCTACCTGACAATGATTTTCCTCCCTGCGAGCTTCATCGCGGTATGTCCAATTTCATTCTTTCAGTGATGTATTTAATTACTTTCTTCCAGTCGGTATTTGGAATGAATGTCAGGGAAATTATCGGCGGTGCCACGGAAACCCTGGCCCATTATGCGGTGGTTTCTGTTACATTTACCGTGTTCACTGCGTGGTTCGTAGTCGCATTCCAATCCCACTCACCGTTCCACGAGCCAGGAGTTGGGTTTTGGCGGCGGCTTGCATGGCCGTTTACATACGTTATGAGACCCACAGGCCTGCGGCAATCGCTCAGAAGCCAGCCCGCTGGAGCTATGTAGGCAGACTTTAACACTTGGACACCTTTTCCCCTCTATATCAACTCACGGCAATGTACGGTGGCTTAACGATTACGATTACGGGACGAAACCTTGGTTTTTTTAGATCTAGACTTGACGATTGCTTTCTTTCACGACTTAATACATGTTTATGCAGATATACGCAGTTTAGCTCCAATTTTACGCTTTTCACGTTTCGAACGGGTGGTCAACGTGTAACACCACGATAAGTAGTTTCAGTTGTGGAGCGCTGCAGGTGAAGTACTCGTGGCTGGAGGCAGGCATGTTCATCAAATGATCCAATGACTCCTTTGGAGCAGCATGACACCATCAAATTAAACGATTCGACTCCTGTCTGTGGCTTCCGGGAACCAGCTGTCGGCAGAGAATAATGAAGTCTGTACTTCATTTTCTTTGATCAGTGTGTATATCGACCCTGTAAATGAACATGCAACGTGTAATTATATAAAGGGGTGGATTTCGCGCAACGACGTTATGTAAAGCGTTTCCTGTCTTTACTTTATAAAGAAGACGTCACCTGAACCCTGATTTAACTTACGTTCGACGAATGTTGAACTTTGGAGCTTCCGAGCTGGATCCTGGCCTCAAATCACATTTTATTTTTGTCTGTTTTGCTCCTTGATTTCCCGGGGGCTGGTACCGAGTATATGGTGACGGAGTCGGTCCTCATTAGTACCTTAGGTTAAGGAGGGCAGCCAGGGGCAGTCGTTCATGGGTTCATCCGTCGGCTGGGGTGTCAATCGAGGTTGAATGTGACATAGCGGGGCGCCATCGAAGAAAAAAATATAGATATATGTCGGTTCAGTATTGGACCTGAGCTAGCCCGTGCGGTCCGCGACATGATATCAATGTACTCTACAGAAGATTCGCTGTAGATATAAAGTTGACTCCTATGCTGAATGCTTCTTGAACCTCACGTGTCTGACGTGTATGTTTGCCAGAAGGTTTATATCCCCGATCAACTTCTCTAGTTCAGGATGCTTGTCCTGTTTCAAGCTCTCACGATGCTTGACGTTTGGCCGTTCAACTCAATAAAATCAGGAAAAGTCTGCTGAAACTTACCTCGTGTGACTTCCAAGCAGAAAACAACACGATCTTCTTTTCGTCCTCGAGCACCGGTCCACAGGTGTGAGCCACCACCTCGTTGAAGCTCTGGGACACAAGTTTGTCCAAATGGTGCTTTAGCAATGCTATGTTATTCACATCCTTTACCGTGTTGATTGCGATGCCGACGTGTGGTGCTGTAAACACTTTCGAACAGTCATGTTGAACTAGAACGTGGACCATTTGACGCTGCCCCTCGACTACAACCGAAAGTGCGTCCCTGAGTGCCTGATATTGAGGGCTTTTCTGGAGTGCTACGTGGTGTTGATGTGTCTCCCAGACTGCAGAAACCAAGTTATATTGAATGAAGTTTTGAGATGTGTATGCGAGAGCGACTTACGAATCACTATGTGCCCTCGCCTTGAGTTTTCGACCTGGAGACCATGGAATGAGCTGCCTGCGTGAGCATGGCCTTACGTGGATTCTTTCCAATTTCGCGATTGCTCACTCGATGTGACCTTTGGTCTGCGCCAGAAGGTCAAATAAGTTGTTCAAGGGCACGCTGGGTACAGCCATATAAGCTGCGGATGGAGTGAAGGTGATGAGCTCGACTACTGGCACAGGAATTGGCACTTTGTGATCTGAGACTTAGGATTATAATTCCCCTTAGAGACTCCGAAGAGGGCGCTTACTGAGTGTCGTTAGACTGAAAGTCTGCAAAATGGCCGTACGCGGGTGTATACCAAGACAAGGCTTGGGTCCATTTTTCAGGCGGTTCTGAATTGAGGCGAGACTTGTTGTCTTAAGCCTGAATCGAAGAACACTAAGTGTGTGTAACATCGACACAAATTTCGTCAGTTGGGGGTGGGGTTTTTAACTGTGGCTTGGTTCGGCTTTTACACCACGGTAAGAGACGAGAAAAGATTAGTATTCCTCTTCTTATACTTAGCCTCTGCGCAGTACGTACATTCAAGATATCGCCTGTGATGGGGCTCCACATGACGCCCTTGTGATATACAGGCCATACCGTCATAGGCCCATGGGCCATGAGCTCATATGATCCACTTCAGCGCTAGCTGTACGCCGCGGTCGCACCCGGGTGTTCCTGCCTGGATTATGCATGCACATGATCAGTTAAAATTGTTACGCATTCGTCTTTTCTTGACGACCCCTAAGAACCATCGCAACCTGGCCACCATACGAGCACGGGCATTGAGGGGCACACTTCGAACGCGGCTGAACAGGCATCCTTCCCTCCATTGCTTGGTCTTGCGCAGCTCCAAACTCACCAACCTGACATAGGATGTTCGTCTCGGGTTCATGTCACTGTGTCCCATGATGGATGTCCGTCATGACGAAATCCTCATCAGTTTTTTATCCAGATTGATCCTGGCGACCGTCACGGATCGATTGGGGGAATCCTGGATGCATGAACGTGCGCCGTAAACTGCCAATAGCGGACACCTATAGATTGATTTTTGTAGCGCCATCTTACCCTTCGCATCTCTACGTTCTGCATAGACAACACCATTACAGTCTGGAACGGGCATTGTGCAGAAAGAAGTTGCTCGAGTTGAGAAGGCGAGTGATGTTCCCAACTTGCATTCAGGGCATATTGCATACTGAGTGATCCACTGGTTGGGGTCAATTCCAAGATGCTGATTCGTACTGGACAAGGCTCGAACAGGTTGTGGGAGCATGTCGAGAATGTGACCCAGCCGACTCATCACCCGATCCCACGAGCGGTGGCCATAAACGTTGTCCATGACAGCTGTGAGGTGTGCGTATCGAATTTCACCGTTCCCCTTGAACACAATAGGCACGGGGATGGCGCATCAGCCTCGTCCTGATCAATTCCGGGCTTGCGAACATCCGGCGTTATGAGAAAGGATACCAGCCTGAATTCGTCCAATTAGACTGGTGTCGTTGTGTTCAAGTCGAGTAAGTCAGAACTCAGGAAGAAGTTTGCTCTGCGGGACTTGCCGAGGCTGGCACGAATTTCCTGCGAGCCGATGATGCAAGTTAAATAGCAGCTTGCGCAATGCGCTTGTATTTTCCAGTACGGAGACTGACCAAATCTTCATTATTTTAGGAACGGCTTTCCGTGGACCGTAACTCGATGGCGACTGCGTTACATTCATGGATCTGGGATACCAGCATTTCCGAGCATGACATACTCGGTCCAGACTCCATCCTCATCAAGATCAATGGCGCCGGGCCATGTCGTGGGCTTCAGTTCGTTAAAAGCTTCGGCGCAGGTCTCTGCCCAATTGAGCACATCGATGAGCCTTGTCTACCGTTGTCTGTAGTGCGATTCTTTTACTTTCTGACGTTGTATTGCGTGATTTATTAAAGTGACATTTGGAGCGTCATATCATTCAGGAAACAAACGTGCTCATGACGAATCGAATGATAGCCACCTCACGACTGAGCTGCACACTGTCCAGGCTCAACTCCTCCGTTATGCTTCACCTCTCGAGGATTTCGAAAATCTGTGAACTTTGTCAGGAACGAACCGAGTCCTGTTCTGGAGACTCGGAGCCCCGCGAATTCACTGATGGGAACCGATGTATTCTGCATGTCAACTCTGATCCTTCGTTCTGGGACAATCGTGCTGAAATCGTCGAATTCGTTTATATGTCTGTTGCTTCCTGGAAACAGCCGTTGACGGAGGACTGAACCTGTAAGTGAACATGTGTAATTGTATCACGGGGTAAGTTACGCGGAGCGCCATTTCCATTTAAACGTTTCCTGTCTTTACTTCATAAACAAGACGTCACCTGAACCCTGACTCAATTCACGTTCGACGAACGTTGGACTTTGAAACTTCCGAACTGGATCTTGGCCTCAAGTCACATTTTATTCCTGTCTGTTTTGCTCCTGGATTTGCCAGGGCCTGGAACCGAGCATGTACTGGCGGAGTCCCCATTAGTACCATAGGTTAAGGAGGGCATTCAGGGGCAGTCGTTCATGGGTTCATCCGTCGGCTGGGGTGTCAATCGAGGTTGAATGGGACCTAGCGGGGCGCCATCGAAAAAATAAAATATACCGATATATCGATTCAGTATTGAACCTGAGCTAGCCCATGTGATCTGCAACATAATATCAATGTACTCTGCAGAAGATTTAAATTTGTAGAGTAAAGTTGACTCCTATGCAGAATGCTTCTTGAACCTCACATGCCTGACGTGCACGTCTGCTAGAAGGTTTATATCCCCGATCAACTTCTCTAGTTCAGGATGCTTGTCCTGTTTCAAGCTCTCACGATGCTTGACGTTTGGCCGTTCAACTCAATAGGATCAGGAAAAGTTTGCTGAAACTTACCTCGTGGGACTTCCAAGCAGCAAACAACACGATCTTCTTCTCATCCTCGAGCACCGGTCCACAGGTGTGGGCCACCACCTCGTCAAAGCTCTGAGACACAAGCGTGTCCAAATGATGCTTTAGCGATGCTATGTTATTCACATCCTTTACCGTGTTGATTGCGATGCCGACGTGTGGCGCCGTAAACACTTTCGAACAGTCATGTTGAACTAGAACGTGGACCATTTGACGCTGCCCCTCGACTGCAACCGAAAGTGCGCCCCTAAGTGCCTGATATTGGGGGCTTTGCTGGAGTGCTACGTGGTGTTGATGTGTCTCCCAGACTGCAGAAACCAAGTTATATTGAATGAAGTTTTGAGATGTGTATGCGAGAGCGACTTACGAATCACTATGTGCCCTTGCCTTGAGTCTTCAACCTGGAGGCCATGGAATGAACTGCTTGCGTGAGCATATGTGGACTCTTTCCAATTTCGCGATTGCTCACTCGATGTGACCTTTGGTCTGCGCCAAAATGCTAAAGAAGTTGTTCAAGGACACGCTGGGTGCAGCCACATAAGCTGCGGATGGAGTGAAGGTGATGAGCTCGACTACTGGCACAGGCATTAGGACTTTGTAGTAGTGAGACTTGAGTCAGATTACGATTCCCTTTAGAGACTCAGAGGGCTTCAAGTTCTTGCTGATAACTACTGTGTGAAGTGACCTCCACGAAAACCAATAATGCTAGTCTCATTTGGGTCTAATGGCCAAATGTAAGTAGATATTTTCGCAGTAATGATAACAGTGCGCACCGTGTAAGTCATGCACATCCAGAGTCTTATCCTCACTGCTCAGTATTCTTTCTAGATTCGCTCAACCTCGCTCAACAAGAAATATTGTGGTGTGCCGGTGGTATGCCTCCGCGTAGTCTCCCCTAGTAGGCTCACTATGGTAAGAGACAAGATTAGTACTCGTTCTTACTTAGCCTCTGCGTAGCGTGACGTACGGTACATTCAGGTTGTCACCCGTGATCATGATGGGGCTCCACATGACACCCTTATGATATACCGTCATAGGCACACATGAGCTCACATGATGCACTTCAGTGCTAACTGTACGCCGCGGTCGCGCCCAGGTGTTCCTGTCTGCGTGCACATGATCCGTCATGATGGTTACACGTTCGTCTTTTTCTTTACGACGCGTCGCGGCCCGGCCACCCGGCGAGCGCGGGCGTTGAGGGGACACATCAAACGTGGTTGAACTTCCAACCTGTCCGCGAACCATTGGTTCAAACTAAATTGGTGCGCTATATCTGAGGCCGGTGGATGTCAATCATGTTCAATCATTCACGCGCTCTGGCACATCCCCGTGGCGCGACTGGCTGCATGTTAATTGATGGGTAAATCGGTTGCGCTAATAGCGTTTCTATATCATGAACAATAGCAACTATGTAGTAGACGCCAATCTTGCCACCCGCCTTCCTATAACCGACTTTCTTTCAATAATCTGCGATTCCTGTCATGATGAACTGGAGTCGTTTGTTTTTCCTAGCACTTCTTGCCCTGCAGAAATTGGTCATTGCAGAATATGTGAGAACCAAGAAGTCTACTGTCGCTCCAGTCGGCGCAGACGTCTTGACAGTGGGCGTTATTGGAGGTGAGTAATCGTATCTTATCATCAGGAACTAGTCCTTGAACATGCCCCCGTAGATTATGGTTGGACAGGATGGACGCCGAGTCCTCCACATTTCTGCCTTGAAGTGCTTCCAGAGTTGCAGGCTGCTGGACTCGTTATTCCCAATGAGGTCTTAAACGACTGTGATCCTGGAGACATACTATACATAAACAATGCCACCGCTTTGCAGCGTGAGTCCCCCTGCTCTTTCACCACAACACAGCTAAGCCCTCCAAAGTCGACACGTCTTCGTATGTCGGACAAGTATGCGCGGTGAAGAACTGCACTTCATTCGTACGTGTTCGAACATAGCTTCGGATGAATCGCTCATATCTAATTCTTGGCAGGTGTCTGTCGGTGACAACTTTTATGATAGTGGTGTTGATTTCACCACTGGCGGGATACAACGTTTCCAGGAAGCATGGGTTGGCATGTACAGCCAAGGAGTCTTTGCGACTGCTCCTTGGTACCAATGTCTCGGTAATCATGACATTGTAAAAGGCCAGAGCGGCGTCGACTTCCAGACTAAAGTTGCTCCAATTTACGACCCTCGCTGGAATTTTGTGGGTCAAAAACATCTATTCCTTTGGAACATCTGCTGATCGCTCTTGTCAGGGAACCCAAGGGCTTCCGTATTGGACTTACGACCTGACAGGCAAAGATTGGACCGCTACCTTTGTCGTCGTGGATTCGGATTGTTTCCTGAGCTCGTATCTACTGGTTGTGGATTTTGCCACCATGCAAACCAATGACTAACGGATGGCTAATTTTCCAGAACACCTCTGTATATGCGAACCCGTACACGGTTGCCTGCTATGCGGACCGGCAAACGCAAATCGACTTCCTGGCTAACACATTCGCTCAGTCCACAGCTACATGGAAATTCTTGCAGCTCCACCACGGTTTCATGTCTTCAGCCACCAACGAAACCGAACTCGCACCTCTCGTTGAGATTGCTGTCCAGCACCGCGGGGTCGTCCTGAACGGTCACGACCACTGCCTCGGACATTATTACTATAATAACACCAACTTCATTCTATCTGGCGCTGCGGGCTATCCACAAGCTGGTGACTGCAACTACGGTATTCCACTTGGACCGTATGCAAAGTTCTTGGGGGCGAATCAGCAGTCTGGTATGGTTTTCGATCCCCATATATTGGTCTGGTTTGACATTCTCTCAGCGGCGAATGGTTTCGTGACTATGGATATCAGCAAGCAGTCCATAAATGTTGAATATTATCTGCGAGACATGCAATTCGAAGACGGGGATTTGTACCCTGTTCCGTACGATCTCAAGCCTTCTTATTCATTCCAGATCACAGAGCACGCAATTTGATCATGTTTTGGAGATCTTAGGACCCTTAACTTTTACTATCCATTTTTGTATGCGTGTCGCTGGCGTGCAAAGCGTACTTGACGACGCAAGTATTGTCGAACCACAAGGACAATAGGTACAGAATAGTACCCTTCATTCGGATAAAACTTTCAGTCTTCCTTATCTGACATGTAGCATATCAGATAAAGACATTTTTTCCCTCCTTTGACATTGAGACCAGATATTGTCATGGTTGTGTATTACGGTACAGGAACCAATGCCAATGATGTAGTATGTAACAATTCTTGCTCTGTGAATGTGCTCTACAATGCAGGGGTCAGTGCTAATGACAAGGATGTCTGATACTTTTTTTTCATTCCCTGTGATCATGCATTCTCCTACAGTCATATACCCGCAGTATGTTGGTCGGATGCGTGCGGATCTCGCAGGACACTACACAGTACTGCGCTGAGCAAGCCGAACAGACTTCCTAAAGGCGGCCGGCCGGCCGTTGGCGAAGGTTTTTTATTACATAATATGCATGCTTAAGCTCCCACCTGCCTGACATCCGTTTTCTTCAAATTCTTTGTGATGGCTAGCACGTCCGTATGGATTGCCTGTCCTACTGTGAAGATATCACCGCACCAACTTCAACTTCGCACCACTAGTATGGGACCAAGATCATCAATACCAATCTGTGATTTCATGGCTGCCAGTGACCGTTCACTGTGATCCAGCGGCTATCAGCAGTGCGAGGGTCCAAGTCACCGTATCTGCGGTGCTGTCACACGCCATAGGATATGGTGTGGATGCCCTGCAAAGGCTCGTTATATTTGTACAGCTATGGCAGTTTAAGCTATCGCTAAGACTCATCTTGGAAGTATATTGTCTCATACCTGGCCCTATCACTCACGTAAAAAGGGTCTCGACCTACTACCCGCTGTTGTAAAACGTCCCCAAACTGATGGGTATGGCAGGTTTGTGTCTCTTTGGTGGAACCTCTGCTGTAAGCTAGCTGGCTTACTACGGTTCCCATAATGTGCTGACCCTCTTGCATCTATTCCGAGTTCCCCATATAACTGCTACCTCTCATTTGTCTTTGAACTCACCCCAATTATCTCCACCACTCGCCAGTGAATAGGTCATTGCAACACCCACTTGGTTTCGGTGTCTTACCAAACCTCACTCACTTCGCCAGTGACCAATTTTTGGGTCATGTCATCCTACACCCCAAAGACAGATCTGTGGATCGAACGAAGCCGTCTCGCTGGAATAATAATAGGGGCTGTGTCATATGGTGCGTTTTTTGTTCACTCACACAATTCGAAAGTAGACTCATGTACCGCAATAGGTGTATACTTTCTCCTTACAGTACAATCCAGCATCGCTCTCGTGCGGCGGCCTCGACATGGGGCACAAATTGCAAACCATCGTCTTGCGCTTCTTTTTTACATTTTCATCACGTTCGCATTGGGGACGATAAGCTTTGCTGCAAACGCAAAATATACGGAGATGATTTGGATAGACCTTCGCGATGCGCCTGGTGGACCGCTCACACTAATCCAAAACGAAATGGCTTATCGTATAAACGTACTGGCACTTTCCTCGTAAGCGCGTCTCCACTTCCGGACCGCTAGTATTGACGTCTTGTCTAGTGGCCACGTCCAGGAGTGGTTTATGTCGGCTCTGCTCGTAAGTTGAATAGCTTGCCTTATGGGTTGATGCGAGCCTGATGCCTTATGTACTTAGCTATACCGCTGTTTTGTGATATGGAACTGGTTAAAATGGGTGATGATCCCGATGACCACACTCTATATTGTCATGATCGGTGAAGTCCATCATTTACCAGCGATGATAGTCACTAACATGTTGGGCAGCATTGTCTGTTCTTATCCAGGTGGAGGCGAGCTCCGGTGTAGTATTTTATAGTATCGGCACCGAGCTTGCTTACCTCTGCGTCCAAGTGGGATTCACCGTGATTTATACCGTCCTCGTCGCGCATCGTTTACTCAACATGCGAAGCCAGATGAAGCAGGCCGTGGCCCATTATGATTCTAGTCTTTATGATACCGTCGTCCTCATGCTCATCGAGTCTGCCATGTTCTACTCTATGTTTGCTATTACTTTCATAGTTGCCTTTGCTCTGCATTTAAACGGTATCACTACCTTATGCTTCCTGTCTGTTGGCCAAGTGCAGGTGAGCAAACAAAACCATTGTTACCTATGTCTCTGATGCTAGTTTTGTGTTGTCGAACTAGGGAATTGCGCAACTGTTCATCATCATCCGTGTCGCAACGGGTCGGGCATATACAAACGAATGGTCGACCCGAGTTGCTGCAGCACCTACGACTGTAGTATTCTCAGGCATTGCATCAGACACAACAGAAGAACCAACCGACGAAGAAATAGCTAGGCCAGAGCAGAACGTTGTTCGGAGGCATTCTACTTCCGAGAAAGCGGCAGAAGTAGACGTGTGTATAGCATAACATGATGTGATGTTGGTTTGACTTTATACTTGATTTACACCTGAATGGAATCTTTGTTTATTGAAGCTGCAGCCTACTGACGGTCTTTCTTTGTGTGAAGCAAAGACGGGTTGGGATATATGATCACCATTGCGCAGTCACGAGGAATGGTCGCCCAGGTGGTAAATCCCTCCTTGGATGGAAATCTAGAGGTTCTTCTAACTTATCTCAATGTTTGTGGGAAATATACTCCTCTTTTCTCGCACAGGTGACAGCGATTGGCTGGGAGGCTAAGAGGTGGGAAGAATATTTGTAGGTGTATTCCTATCACTCACGTAAAGGGTTACATATACCCGCTGTCACTAACCATGATGGCTTTGTCGCAGGTGCTCTGTCTCCCAGGTGGAAATTGTTCTCCATATAACTGCTTCTCACTCACTCGTCTCTCATTGCCCTCCTGGTTGCCTCCACCACCTACCATTCGATAGGCGGGCTCGATCATTTGGTCTCGGTGTATCCTTTAACCTCCACTCACTTCGCCAGGGACCAAATTTCGGGTCATGTCATCCTACACCCCAATGACAGATTTATGGATCGAGCGATCTCGTCTCGCTGGAATGTTGTTGGGGTGTGTATCCTACGGTGTGTTTTTGGTCGACATACACAGTTCAGAATTTAACATACATGCCACTTAGGCATATACTTTCTCCTTACAATACAAGCGTGGATTGCGCTTATGCAGCGGCCCCGGAATGGGGTAAAAATCGCGGATCATCGTCTCGCGCTTCTTTTTTACATATTCATCACGTTTGTATTGGGGACGATAAGCTTTTCTGCAAACGTAAGATATACGGAGATGATTTGGATAGACCTCCGTGATACGCCTGGTGGACCGCTCACACTAATCCAAAACGAAACGGATTATACCATCAACGATCTAGCGCTTTCCACGTAAGAGGTTTTGCCCTTACATCTCCAAACTAGTGTTGACGTCTCGTCTCGCGTCTAGCGGTCACGTCCAGGAGTGGTTTATGCAAGCACTGCTCGTGAGCTGAATCGTTTGTCATATGGGCTGATACGAGCTTGATACGTTATACGCTTAGCTTCACCGATGTTTTGTGATATGGAATTGGGCAAGATACGTGATGATCCCTTTGATCACACTCTATATTGCCATGATCGGTGAGGTTCGCTATGTACCAGCGACAACAGTCACTGACATCTTGAGCAGCATTATCTATTCTCGTCCAGATTCAGGCGAGCACTGGCGCCGTGCTTTACAATATCAACATCTTGCTTGTTTACCTCTGCCTGGAAGTGGGACTCACTGTGATTTATACCATTCTCGTGGCGAACCGTTTACTCGTCATGCGAAGCCAGATGAAGCAGGCCATGGACCAATATGATTCTAGCACCTATGATGCCGTCGTCCTCATGATCATCGAGTCCGCCGTGTTATACTCCGCCTTCGCTATGATTTTCATAATTGCCTTTGGTTTGCATTCCGATGGTATTTCCACTTTATGTTTCCTATCTGTTAGCCAAGTCCAGGTGAGCGGACAAAACCCGAGTTGACTGCGTTTCTGATGCTATTTTTTTAAAAAAAAAAAACAGGGCATTGCTCAATTGCTCATCATCATTCGTGTTGCACGGGGGCGAGCAATTACACGTGAGTGGTCGACTCGAGTTGCTGCACCACCTACGACACTGGTATTCTCGGGGAGTGTATGGAACGCGTCAGAAGGTATCGACGATGAACGAATACCTAGGCCAGAGCAGGATGTTTTTCAGATGCATTCTACTTCTGCGGGGGGAGTATAAGGGTGTATCACATGACATTAAGTGAAGTTGATTTAACTTTATAATTTAAATTTTATACCTGAATGTAATGATCTTCCTTTGCGCTACAGCAAGCTGAAGGAGCAGGGTGGGACAGACTATCAACAATGCGCAGTCACGACGAACGCAACAGGTCTTGGCTTGCCTAGGATGATTCTCTATGACTGACAGGGTTTTTCAAGATGGGTATCAGGTTCCAAAAAATTACTGATGAAGATCGACGTGAATAGGAGAGAACAACTTGAAGATAGATTGGTGTTAAGCTTAATAGCCTATCAACACAACACTGGACTCCCCGCGGATGCACAGTAATTTCCTCGGAACCGACGGGAAATATTGGCATTAAAGCTCGACCCTTCCCTAGCTTCTTCTACTCACACTGATCGTTAAGTCCGATTATAAGAATACGACTGGAGCTATCACTGTAGTACAGCCCTTCAGGATGCGGATTTATGAAACGCAAGGTCTGTTTCGGAGGTAGATGTGCGCCGTGCGGTAATTCCAAATGGACTTTAAGGCCAAGAATCTTGGTTGTGCGAGGTGTCGGGGTGGATGTGCCTGATACCGATTAGTCGCGTAAATGGATCATTACTTCTGGCGCAGTGTCATCCAATCATGCATAATATATGCGTGTCGACTCTTTATTCCGACTTATCCACATACCCGTTGTTTTTTTCCCCAGTCGCCTCCCACCAAATCATCTCTAATCCTTCTTTTGATTATCTTCTGAATCATCACCTGGACAGGGCATCAACGCGGCCAATTGGTCTCGGTCTCTTGGTTTTCGCTAGCAACCAAATTTGGTGCCATGTCATCCGACATTCCACAGACAAATTTGTGGCTTGAACGATCTCGTCTCGATGGAATGTTGTTAGGCGGTGTATCCTACGGTATGGTTTCGGTCAACATACGGCATTTCAGAAATTGATCTACCTATCGGGCGCAATAGGTGTATTCTCTCTCCTTACACTACAAGCCGCGAGTGCTCTCATGCAACGGCCTCGACACGGTGGAAAAATCGCAGATAATCGTCTCGTGCTTCTATCCTATATCGCCGTCACGTTCGTACTGGGGACAATAGGCTATGCTGCGAACGCCAGATATACAGAGATGATTTGGATAGACCTTCGCGATGCGCCTGGTGGTCCGGTCGCGTTAATTGAGCACATGATGGATTATCGTATCAACATTATGGGGCTTGCCACGTATGTTTCGTGCCATACTACCTCCAGGCCTCTAGTATTGACGTCTAGTCTAGTTATTATATCATGGGGTGGTTTATGCAAGCTCTGCTTGTGAGCTGAATAGTTCGCCATATTATTTGGTGCAAACCTGATGCTTGAAATACTTAGCTCCACCGGTGTTTTGTGATATGGGATCGGGCAAGATCTGTGATAATCCCGATGATCGCCCTCTACACGGCCATGCTTGGTGCAGTCCACCATTTTACCAACCGAGAGTCATTACTGACCATCTTGAGCAGGAGTGTCTATTTTCATCCTGATCCAGGCGAGCACCGGTGCCATATTTTTCAAGATCAACACCATGCTTCTCTACCTCTGCATGGAATTAGGGTTTACTCTGGTTTATACGATTCTCGTGACGAATCGTTTGCTCGTCATGCGAAGCCGGATGAAGCAGGCCGTACCCCATTATGATTCTAGCACCTATGATACCATCGTCCTCATGCTCATCGAGTCCGCCATGTTATACTCTGTCTTCTGCGTGATTCTTATAGTTGCCATTGCGATGAATTCTAACGGCGTCTCCAATCTATTCTACTTATCTATTAGCAGTGTCCAGGTAAGCAGACAAAATCCTGTGCAGCTTGCGTCTCTAATGCTAGCATTCTGTTGGTATAGGGTATCGCCCAATTGCTCATCATCATCCGTGTAGCACGGGGGCGGGCAATTACACGCGAGTGGTCGACCCGCAGTTCTGCAGCACCTACGTCTATATCATTTTCAAGATCTATGTCGGATTCGATGGATGAAGCCATCGAGCGAATAGGTAGTCCAGCGCAGGATGATGTTCAGTTGTATTCTATTCAATCGGCGAAGGCAGCGGAAGCAGAAGAGTGTATGGCATGACATATCGTATTGGTTTACTTGTTGTATTATACCTGATATGGCTAGTATATCGTCGAAAGAAAGTCTGCAATTATTGAGAGCAGGGACAAGCTAAGGTCGCTCGTCAGGTAGAGGGTCGTAAGAATAAGAACGACAACATTACTGACACAAGGAAGCTTGTCCGAATCAACCATAACTTTGTTCAAAAAAAGGGTCTGCAATAGTAGCCCACGGAATTTGTTCATCAGTCAATCCACTCTCTTCCATCATCCGCTTTTTCCATTCGTAGTCTCCAGGTTCCTCTTCATAAACAGAATACCTGAATGGAGTTGAATAGGGATCCTCTCTAAACTTTCGCGCAATGACAATAACAAGTTTCCGACTCTTTGGAGGATAGCAGGTGGGAAAAGCCCAGACACCTGTCATCTCTCGCCTGGCAAACCACCTGTTTAGTTCACCACTCATACCCGTATCATCAAGAAGGTCGTAGTCAACTCCCATTTTCTTCATCCAGAGGTGCGCAAACTCGACGGTAAAAACATATCCGCCTATTTTGTACACCATAGCGCCTCCTGCAGTGGAAAATATGTAAGAGGATATCTTTGAGGACAGAAGTATGACTCAACTTGTCTTGAGTTGGGTTCTGTTCGAGTGTTAGCAAGGTAATGGTGAGTGAGTGCTTCAGGGGCAACTTGAACTAGGGTCCGTATGCACACCGTCCTAAAAGCTCCGAGCGGGATGCGCCGAGTAAACTTTCAGCATGTTGATGACAACTTATGTAATGCTTCTTCCTCAGATCTGGGCCAAACCGACTCAACTGAGTATCATCCCCCTTCTCCCAAGTCTGTTCTACGCTTAGCATTCAATTTTCACCGCCGATATATGCGATATACTGGCAACCACTACGCACGAACACAAGTACTAATCGAATGTGGGGTGAATATATGTCTACGAAGTACAGGACACGACTCACGTAAAAAATACCGTACATATGTTCGGCGCTGCGGCGAAGCATCTCATTTCCTCAAACGATGAAACATGATGCACATGTACAGTCAGCGGGCCGGCGTCTGGTTCACGCTGGATAACAGGTTATTCCAATTGTTCATATAACCTTGCTTCTGTGTCCGAGTTGATCGTCTCTGACTATCCTCCACCACCGGATAAGCGCCTGGGTTGTTTACCCCTCCTCACCTGCTCTGCCAGCTACCAAATTGTGGATCATGTCCTACACCCCACAGACAGATCTGTGGCTTGAACGATCTCGTCTTGATGGAATGATATTGGGTGCTGCATCCTACGGTGCGTTTACATTCTACAATTTTGCAGTTGACTTACGTACCACAATGGCAAGGCGGATTTTTTTTCCTCACAGTACAAGCCACTACTGCTCTCATAAAACGACCTCAATATGGGGATAAAATTCCAGAGTATCGGATCGTTCTTCTGTTATACATCTTCATCACGTTCGTGCTGGGCACGGTAGGATTTGCCGCGAACGCAAAATATACGGAGATGATCTGGATAGACCTCCGTGATGCCCCTGGTGGCCCGGCTGCTCTCATCGACAACGAAATGGATTATCGTATCAACGTTCTGGCACTGACCTGGTAAACGCATTCCCCCATCCATTACTAGACCTTGTAATATTACGCTGACGGCCTCATTTAGTTATTATGTCATGGAATGGTTTATGCAAGCCCTGCTTGTGAGCTGAATAGTTCACCCTATGAGCCTGTATAAGACTGATGCTTAAATCATTTAGCTTCATCGTTGTTTTGTGATATGGAATTGGAAAATATCTGTAATGATCCCGATGATCACACTCTATATTGCCATGATCGGTGCCATTCATAATTTCCCGGGAGAACTACATAATAACTGACATGTCGAGCAGCAATGTCTATCGTCGTCTTGATCGAGGCGAGCACTGGCGCTGTATGGTACAACATCAACATCGAGCTTGCCTATCTCTGCATCGAAGTGGGACTCACTGTGATCTACACCATCCTCGTGGCGAATCGTTTGCTCGACATGCGAAGCCAGATGAAACAGGCCATCGCCCATTATGATTCTAGTCTCTACGATACCGTCGTTCTCGTAATCATCGAGTCCGCCGTATTATACTCTGTCTTCGCTATTATCTTCATAGTTTCCTTTGCTCTGCATTCTAATGTCTCCAACCTATGCTTCCTGTCTATCAGTCATGTCCAGGTAAGCAGACGGAAACATGAGCGATCTGCCGTCTCTAATGCTAGCTTTTTTTTTAAAAAAAAAAGGGCATTGCTCAATTGCTCATGATCATTCGTGTGGCTCGAGGACGATCGATTACACGCGAATCGGCGACCCGCGTTGCTGCAGTACCTACGTCTATAGCATTCTCGAGGACTGTATTGGACACAGCCGACATTGAGCGAATAGCCACACCGGTACCAGAGCAGGACGGGGATCAGTTGTTGTGTTCTCCTTCGGAGAAGGCGACAGAAGTAATTGTGCATAAAGACAAAAACATGGTGTGAAGTTGGTGTTGATTTGTATTATGTACATAGCCAGATCAAAGCATCTTTAACGTTTGGAGCTGCAGCCTGTTGAAGGTCTTGGAGCAATAACGCATCAGATATACATAATTTCATGAACACTATCTCACTTTCAAGTTTCAGTTCGAGATCATCACTATATCACGACGTCAAGCGGAAGAACTCACATATCCTGCATCAGTAGGCGAGCCATGCCTGTGCTGATTGCAGAGCCGAGTCCCATCCATCAGGCCCTTTCTCCCAAGACTGCACGCTCTCCACCTCGTCATTGCCCAGCTTGAACTCGTTGTAGAGATGTGGAAACATGCCCTCCCCTCCGCGCGGGCCGCACGCCTCTGCCTTTGGGTCCTCCCACTTGATGTTCTTCTCGACAGGGTCGTAAGGGATGCGGAGGACGTAGACCCTGTCCTCGTCTTTATAGAAGAATTTGAGTGTATTGGGGATTTGACGTGCGGTGGACAGGTGGATGAAGCCAGATGTCTGGTCTAGGTCGCTCACGGGGAGCCGATCGGGGAGGGGATCTGGTGGGACTGCTGAGGAGGAAACGAGCTTGTAAATGTAGGTTGGTTTGGCATCTGATGGTGTGGCCATGGTGTTTTTGGGAGATTAGGCTTGAGCTCGACTCGGGGTGGATTAAGATCTAGGGGACTGTACAATATTGTAAGCTTATCAATGGCATGTGGCGCAGCCAGCCAGTGGACTAAGAACTACTAAGAATGGACACGAGCACATTGTATTGCACAGCTGGTAGATCTCCAAAATTAAATCCATAACGACATAGACCAAACATAGGCAGTAACATATGTAGTACACGGCGTCAGTAGTAGTCCATTACAACGGTACACTGTAAAAAAGCATGTACGTGTATTATGCATGCGTATTCTCATCAATCCCATCACACCATATCACCTGCCGTCTTCTCCGTCGTCTTCTTAGTCCGGCCGCCGTCCAATGGCTTGGACGTCATCAACTTCCAGCAAAGAAGAACTGGCCACACTGCACGCTGCATGAAGGGAGCGTTATGATTGTGGAATGAGCTATGTGTCTGAAGCGTGACGACGACGTAAATTGTGAGGAGCGTGAGCCCAACGGTGACCTCGACGTAGCGAGCGAGCGACTCTAGTCCTCCATTGAACTCTGCGACGTTCATCCCAAACACAGACTGAGGATATGCGGTCAGACAGGTTTCGCGCTAAAGAACCTTCGTGCTTACGGCTAGGAAGCTTGCTGGCAGGTAGACCATCGTGAGGTACGAGATCTAAAAGCAGTTTGTTAGTATCTGGTCAGTCACTTTAGTTTGAGAAAAGAAGGATACCTGTTTCATAGCCGCCGAGTCCCTGACCGTCGCCTCTGTCATCCTCCGATTCTGCGTACTGTCATCAATATTGACAGTCGCAAAAGCAAGGTCCATCACATTCTTCAATCGGTTGCTCAGCATCAAACATCGTTTTTGTAGACGATCTATTTCGCTGAGTAGATTCTCGCTTTCCTTCTCCATAAGTTCCTGCGAATCTTCCCGCTCCTTGTCAGTGAAGTCATCAGACTCCATGGCCGGATTGCTGGTATTCTTGATAAAGGATACTGATACTTCAAAGTTATGAAGGAGCGATTGGTAGTGCAGAAGATGCGCTTGGAGGATATGAAGGTCGCGCGTGAGCTCGATGCGCTTTCCTAGCACCTTTGATTCCTGAATTGGGCTTGAGCGATATCACTTCCACTCTGAACGAGGACTACATACCAAGTCACTAACGTGGCTGTACAGCAGCTCAAAGGACTCATCCCATGCATATAATGCATACCATAAAATCGCGAGGAACACGAACGTCGGGTCTTTGGACTTTTTGAATATGATTTGCCAATATACACTCTCCCCCACGAGCTTCATAAGCGAATGTAGTCGCTTCGCGGATGTCCGGCACCATGTAGAATCGGGATGGTAGGAGATGATGGTGCTTGTCTTTACGCCGCGGACCATATGAATTGCGAGAAGGTCGATGAAGAGCGAGTCATCTAGGAAGGACGTTGGAGCGTGAATCTAAGGACATCGATGCACATACCGCCCATAGGGAAAGGAGCTTGTGTGTTGATGGGGGCATCTACTGGAGGGTTCTCGAGTTGTGATGGTGGTGTTGGAGAGGGGGCTGCTGATTTATCTTTACGCAGTGTTCGTACAAATGGCAGGGTAATCGTAATGTCTGTCGGTACAACATCAACATGGGACCCAAAATGAAGGATTTAGCCTTACGATCTCCTTCTTTATGGCCGGGTGCTTCCTGGTATCGTGAGGGTATCCAATTAATGGAGGACGTGAAAAAGAATGGTTCGATGTTGTATCTATGTATCATAGATGGGCCTCAGGGCAAGTAGAAAGCTAAGAAAAAAGCTACGCACTTTGTTCCCAGCATGCGCAAGACTGGCGAGGATAAGTCATCCACAAATAACGATCGCACTCGGATATTGTCTGGTCGCTGTAAAACTCGTCTTATACCCCCGTTATCATACAAGGGCTAAAGTGAGACTTACCTGCCCCTGTAATATTTCCCAAAACTCGTCCTCATTTTCAGCCGCCACCACCGTAGTACTACCCTTTCCTCCAACATCTGAGGTTGCAAAACTGCCGTCGTGACGCACATCCATCCAGTAAACGGTGCTAGACTTATTCACCGAACACTTTTCGATCATCTTGCTACGCTTTACTTGATCTGGAGTCCAGTTCCCGAACAGGTTTTGAGGGTACCCCCGCCAGGTTTTATCAATGGCAGTCGTAGAGGCCTTGACTTCTACGTCAAAGTCCATCCATGGCCATGGTCCTGATGGTGCCGCATGTCGATATCTGGGTGGAGCATCAGTCAGCAAAAACAAGGAAAGAAGGACATGAAAAGAAATTACGGGGGCGCAGGCACCGCAGGCGGCTTGAGGTTTGGAAGAGCAACGGAGTCATTCGAGTCGTTATGGGGGGTCTTGAAGGCGGCGACGAGTCTGTTGACTGCCATGATGCTTAGCGTTTGGAATCAGCTCATGCGGGAGCCGTGAGGAAGAGCGTTGATGAATTTATATTTCTGGAGACAGGCGCTCAGCGCGCCGTCCGTTCTCGACGTGGCCAAACCATTAATCAACCGTGACCAGGGTCCAGGATAGACGCCTTTGGTTACATTGCCTTTTTCGATTGAGATCACGGTATAAATTCACTGTAGAGCGCTTCGCTCTCCACGGGTGAAGCACTTCGAATTCTGCACTTCAGAGGCACAGAATTGTTGGGATCTGTGCGCCTCTTTCATTCAAGCCTCGCAGACAGGTAGCCTCCATGAGACCCTGGGATACATGAGGCATCCGAGGGCATGCGGTCGAGTAATTATTAGGTCTAGCCAAAAGAAGGGCTGGGTATTGAAAATGACCGGACTCAGGTCCCATTGTACCCGGGCCTAGAATCCATTGCAGTCAGGCTATTGTCAAACTCAGATTGAGTATCTGACAAGTGAACTCTTGAGGGGAACCGAAACTTGAGACAAGGGCTCTCGGAGACTTTGCAGATTTTATCCACGCCCCAGCAACGCGACGAGCAAGCTCTGTGACATAACCTTAGGGCATGTTGACTAGGCGCCTCGCCCACCATATGCGCCACCATCATTCCGCCAAATTCTATGTGCCGCTTATCATCCCTGGGATCAACTTTGGACATCATTTCCAGGGTAGGCACATGCCAGGAGTGCCGCGTAACTTCTCTCATCCAGTAGCAATTGTGACTACCCGTGAGCACCTTGTCGGAGGTCATTTCCATTCTCCTGAATTTCATCAATAGTGAAGAATTATTCTCAAGCCTGAGATTGAAGTACGGCTCCTCCACACAATTCCAACGGGTGGCATCCCTCTGGCCAAAAGTGAACGACAGAGCGCCAATATTATTCGCAAAGCACAGTCGCTGGTTGTGCGGAAGGCCTGCTCAGATACCCGCTGCCAGTTTGATCGACCTCGTATAGCAAAGCCTCCGACCGAACCCTCAGGCCTCAACTACGAACGTGTCAATGATCAACATTGGACACTGTTTCGGCGATAGGCACACGCCAGTGCTGCGTAACTTCTAGGGATACTATCATCCAGTAGCAATTCCGACTACCCATAAGCACCTTGTCGTAGGCCATTTCCATTCTCCTGAATTTCATCAATAGTAAATAATCATTCTCAAGCCCGAGATTGAAGTACTGCTCCTCCACACAATTCCAACGGGCGGCATCACTCTGACTCAAAGTGACCGACAGAGCACCAATATTATTCGCGAAGCACAGTCAGATGGCCTGCTCAAATACCCGCTGCAAGTTCGGTCGACCTCGTATAGCAAAGCCTCCGCGACCGGGCCCTCAACGGGACCCACCCAAAGTTGATGCATTATAAACATCATGCATTATGGGTCCATGCATTAAGAAAAAGTCTACTATACACATGTTATACATGCGAATTCTCATCAATCTCATCACACCATATCACTTGCCGTCTTCTCAGTCCGGCCACCGGCCAATGTCTTGGACGTCTGCGTCATCTTCCATACAGAAAGAGCTGGCCACACTGCACGCTGCATGAACGGAGCACCAGCAGTGTGGAATGTGCTCTGCGTCTGACACGTGATGACGACGTAAATTGTAAGGACCGTGAGCCCAATGGTGGCCTCGACGTAGTGAGCGAGCGACTCTAGCCCGTAATTGAACTCTGCCACGTTCATCCCGAATACAGACTGAGGACATGCGGTCAGATAGGTTTCACGCTGAAGAACCTTCGTGCTTACGGCCAGGAAGCTTGCTGGCAGGTAGACCATCGTGAGGTACGAGATCTTAAAGCAGTTTGTTAGTATCTGGTCAGTCATTTTAGTTTGAGAAAAGGAGGATACCTGTTTCATAGCCGCCGAGTCCCTGACCGTCGCCTCTGTCAGCGTCCGCGTGTGCTTACTGTCTTCAATATTGACAGTCGCAAAAGCAAGCTTCATCACATTCTGCAGTCGGTTACTCAGCATCACACATCGTTTTTGTAGACGATCTATTTCGCTGAGTAGATTCTCGCTTTCCTTCTTCATAAGTTCCTGCGAATCTTCCCGCTCTTTGTCAGTGAAGTCATCAGACTCCATGGCCGGATTGCTGGTCTTCACGATAAATGTTACAGATACTTCAAAGTTATGAAGGAGCGATTGGTAGTGCAGAAGATGCGCTTGGAGGATATGAAGGTCGCGCGTGAGCTCGATCTGCTTTCCTAGTACCTTTGACTCCTGAATTGGGCTTGAGCGATATCACTTCCACTCTGAACGAGGACTACATACCAGGTCACTAACGTGTCTGTACAGCAGCTCAAAGGACTCATCCCATGCATACAGTGCATACCACAAAATCGCAAGGAACACGAACGTCGGGTCTTTGGACTTTTTGCATATTATTTGCCAGTATACACTCTCCCCTACGAGCTTCATTAGTGAGTGGAGGCGCTTCGCGGATGTCCGGCACCATGTAGACTCGGGATGGTAGGAGATGATGGTGCTTGTCTTTACGCCGCGGACCATGTGAATTGCGAGGAGGTCGATGAAGAGCATGCCGTCATCTAGGAAGGACGTTGGAGCGTGAATATAACGACATTGATACACATACCGCCCATAGGGACAGGAGCTTGGGTATTGATCCGGGCATCTGCTGGAGAGTTCTCGGGTTGTGATGACGGTGTTGGAGAGGGGGCTGCTGATCTATCTTGTAAATTACGCAGTGTTCGTACAAATGGCAGGGTAATCGTAATGTCTGTCGTACATCATCAACATGGGACCCAAAATGAAGGATTTAGCCTTACGATCTCCTTCTTTATGGCCGGGTGCTTCCTGGTATCGTGAGGGTATCCAATTAATGGAGGACGTGAAAAAGAATGGCTCGATGTTGTATCTAGTTTGTATGAGGGGCCTCGGGGCAAGTAGATAGCTAAGAAAAAAGCTACGCACTTTGTTCCCAGCATGCGCAAGACTGGTGAAGATAAGTCATCCACAAATAACGATCGCACTCGGATATCGTCTGGCCGCTGAAAAATTCATCTTATGCCCCCGCTATCATACGAGGGCTAAAAGGACACTCACCTTCCCCTGTAATATATCCCAAAACTCGTCCTCATTTTCAGCCGCCACTACCGTAGTACTACCCTGTCCTCCAATATCTGAGGTTGCAAAACTGCCGTCGTGACGCACATCCATCCAGTAAACGGTACTAGACTTATTCACAGAACACTTTTCAAGCATCTTACTACGCCCTACTTGGTCTGGAGTCCAGTTCCCGAACAGGTTTTGAGGGTACCCCCGCCAAGTTTTATCAATGACAGTCGTAGAGGGCTTAACTTCTGCGTCAAAGTCCATCCATGGCCATGGTCCTGATGGTGCCGCATGTCGATATCTGGGTGGAGCATCAGTCAGCAAAAACAAGGAAAGAAGGACATGAACAGAACTTACGGGGGCGCAGGCACCGAAGGTGGCTTGAGGTCCCGAAGAGCAATAGGGGAGCTCAAAGTTGAACGCCCAACGCCCAAGCCCAACGCCCAACGCCCAACCTCGTGACTGAAATTAGGTATACCTAGAATAAATAGAAGTAAATATGGAGTAAAGCCACTGATGAGATAAGCTCCTTACCTAAACCTTGTCGCGCGAAGCGCCGAAACCTTCGCCAACTGCCCCCCCCCAATCCTCAGCATTTCTAAACCTTTTCACACCCTAAACCTTTTCATATTCTATTCCTAACCTTTCCATACTTAAAAAATGCTATTCCTAACCCTAATCATAACCCATGTCATAGATTTTATTGTGTGAGCATGTGGCAAAAGTCTAATGAGGGATAACTGAACAGGATTAGGAATGAAAAAGCAAGGTCTCCTAGGTATAAAAAGGTTTAGGTACGATGAAAAGGCTTAAAAGGTTTAGAAATGCTGAGGATTAGGGGGAGACAGTTGGCGAAGGTTTCGGCGCTTCGCGCGACAAGGTTTAGGTAAGGAGCTTATCTCATCAGTGGCTTTACTCCATATTTACTTCTATTTATTCTAGGTATACCTAATTTCAGTCACGAGGTTGGGCGTTGGGCGTTGGGCTTGGGTGTTGGGCGTTCAACTTTGAGCTCCCCTAATGTCGTCCTTCGAGCTGTCATGGGGAACTCTAAAGGCGGCAGCGATTCTGCTGACTGCCATGATTGCTTAGCGTTCGGAATCCGCTCATGCGGGAGTCGTGAGGAAGAGCATTGATGAATTTATATTTCTGGAGACAGGCGCTCAGCGCTATGCCTGTTCTCGACGTGGCCATTAATCAACCAGGGTCCAGGACCAGGATAGACGCCTTTGGTTACATTGCCTTTTTCGACCGAGATCACTGATTCACGGTAATTCAAAGCGCTTCGCTCTCCGCGCACTTTGAATTCAGAATAAAGTCTGCACTTCAGAGCCAAAGAATTGTTTAGATCTGATCTGTACACCTCTTTCATTCAAGCCTCACAGACAGGTAGCCTCCATGAGACCATGGGAATCCCGGGATACATGAGGCTTTCGAGGGCATTCGCCGGTAGTAATTTTTAGGTCTAACCAAAAAAAGGGCTGGGCATTGAAAGTGACCTGACCCAGGTCACAATTGTACCCGCCCTGGAATCCATGAAGTCGGGCTACAAACCTCAGATCGTGTATCTGACAAGGGGGCTCTTGAGGGTCGCGAAATTTGAGATAGGGCTCTCGGAACTTTGCAGATTTTATCCACGTCCCGGCAACGCGACGAGTAAGCTCTGTGACATAACCTTAGGGCATGTTGACTACTATGGCTAGGCGCCTCGCTCCCCATCGCCACCATCATTCCGCCAAATATTATGGGCCACTTACCATTCCAGGGATCAACATTGGACACTATTTCCGGGGTAGGCACATGCCAGTGCTGCGTAACTTCTTCGGATACCATCATCCAGTAGCAATTCAGACTACCCGTAAGCAAAGTACCTTGTCACAGGCCATTTCCATTCTCCTGAATTTCATCAATAAGACGGGGACTTTGACCAAAGGGTAAGTAGCGACATGCGGAGAGTCATGGTTATTAGTCAACAGTGAAGAATCATTCTCAAGCCTGAGATTGAAGTACTGCTCCTCCACACAATTCCAACGGGTGGCATCCCTCCGACCAAAAGTGAACGACAGAGCGCCAATATTATTCGCAAAGGTACAGTCAGATAGCCTGCTCAAGTACCCCCTGCCAGTTCGGTCGACCTCGTATAGCAAAGCTTCCGCGACTGGGCCCTCAACTACGAACGTGTCAGTGGTTACTGGGCGAAAGGGCGCATTGAATTTGACACGGAGACGTTTGCGTACCGCGATTGATCGGGTAGCCGGTAACCAAGAGACTTGGTTCTGCGTGATTGTGTCAGCCTGAGCCGCCGTGATGCTGCGGTGAGAGAGTGGGTTGGGTACCTTTATGATCTGAGAATCCACGACCGTCGTAACTCAAATGCTCGTAATTCTAGATCCCCGGCTTGCTGCATGTGGCCGACTTTGAGCGCGCTACTTGAAGCCAACGTGTACGTTCACGTTTGTAGGACTGAAGTCACGCTCGAAGTTCGGACTCCCGGAGTAGACTTTCTTGCGCTCCTGCCACCCTACATGCGCAGAAAATCATTGAAAAACACAGTAATAGTGGGCACCATCAAGAGATTACCCACAGGTGGAGTGTCCGCACGACTGAGGTGGGAAGCGCTGGAATTGTAGATGTGGAGCCTTGGTGAAATCGTGTCTCCTGACGCTCCAGAGTTTCACATTTATGTTGTCGCACAATTCCTCTAGGGCGAACCTACTTATACCAGTTATAGGAAACTAATCCGGACATTTGCAGGTCTTGACGAAATCCAACCAATGCATGTGCGGGGTGATCGGAAAGATGATGAAAACTGCAAAACATTTTCCCTTCCGCATAAAGGCACTTGGTGCGAAGTTCGAACCATTGGACTGCCTAAGCTGAGTCGATTGGACACCTCATAATTCTAATCTCCACACTACGTTATGTTCCGAAACGCACCTACGGGGGCGGGGGGATCGTCGCAAATGCTCAAACACTCACACGTGCGAAAACAATGCTTTCAAGCCCGACATACACAGATCACTTTTACACCATAAGTGCATCCATGATCCGAGGCGAGCAACACTATTGCCAAAGGCCCATCACCGAAAGTATATTCCCGGCCTTTTCCATCGGTTCAGCAATGCTTCTTTCGACTTCTCCCCCTTTTATTGTCATCGCAGGGCTCCCGGTGTGAACAAAGTACATGTTAAATATGTATATATGATGTGGTATATGATGTGCAGCTATTCGTTCATTATGTGGGTATACAGTAATATAATAAGTATGATGCTCATTGGGTGATACTGGGCCTATGCAGTGTATATAATCTTTGTACCGGCCTGCTAAATACTGTGCTGTGATCCGAGAACGACGAGAACGAAACACGACTGAAGTGCTATTATCACAGTGGGAAAGGACATTAATCACGGTGCACGAAGAACACCACAAGACATCACGCACCCAAATGATATGTAGTCATCACCAGCATCACCTCTAAACCACACGCCATCCGTGCGCCAACATCTCCTCAAACCGTATTCTGGAACCTCGGCAGCGATTTCTGCCTCTCTTTGAACAGTCTGAGGAGATAAAACACCGGCCACCAGACGCGCTCCATCAAAGTGCTATCCCCATTGACAAAAGGGCCATCCGAATGCCATGCCACCACAATCCATGAAGTTGCGCATGTAAGAGCCAACGCCGTCGCAACGTAATGAACGAGCGTCTCCTGTCCCTTCGTCCCGCTGATCTCATTCACATTCATCCCAAACACCGCCTAGCCCACACAAGCCCATCAGCACCCACGACCACTCGCATACAAAACACGTTACACACCGCAGTGAATGAAGCAGGAAGGAATATCATCGTGAGGTAAGAGATCTAAACAATTTCCGAGCGATGATTGAGAACGGCAATGACGAAACGCAATATCCATAATGACAACACGCACCTGCTTCATCGCACCCGAGTCCCGCACAGTAGCCTCCGTCAGGTCCCTCATATGCTTGCTATCCTCGAGATTCACAGTTGCAAACGACAGATCCATCACGTTCTTCAGCCTGCTGCTCTGCATCGACCGCCTGTTCTCCAACCTCCCGATCTCCGACAGCAGATTCGCACACTCTCTATTCATGAGGTCCACCGAGTCCTTGCGTTCGGTGGGGCTGTAGTCGTCGGACTCCATAGCAGGATTCGGCGTATTCTGCAAAAAGTCGACGGACTTGTGGAAATCTTGGAGGAGCGATTGGTATTGGAGGAGGTGCGCTTGGATGATGTAGAGTTGACGAATGAGAGTCGTCTTATTCGTTGACAGCACTTTGGATTCCTAAATTCATAATAATGGCAGTGACATCAATTTTGGGGAAACAAACAGTAGCTGTCTCTGCGACGCACCAGAAAAACAACATGATTATACAGCGACTCAAGCGCCTGGTCCCACGAGTAAAGCGCATACCACAGGATAGCGAGGAACAGAAACGTCGGGTCCTTGGATTTAGCAAAGATTTTTTGCCAATATACGCTCTGGCCTGCACGGTACACGAGGAAGTGGAGCCGCTTTGGGGAAGGACGACGCCAACTAGAGTTGGGATGGTATGATATGATCGTGCTCGAGTCCTCGTCGCGCACCATGTGTATCGCGAGGAGATCGACGAGGAGGATATTGCCACCTGCGTAGCGTAGTCATTCGATACAGGCCACGATGAGAATTTAGATAAGGACTTACAGCTGAGAGAGAGCGGGGCTTGGGTGTCGATGATTTGCTCTTCGTCTGGAAGCAAGTAAATACTTTAGCTAGGAGTGATTGCAGAAGGAACGAGAAACGACCTACCAGTGGAAATGTACTGTGCGTGAGCAGATCTGACCGAACCTGAACCTGGTGTTTCGCTTGGTGTTGGCGGTCGAGTAACCGGGTTTTGCGTCATCCGGATGAATGGAAGCGTGATTGTGATATCTGCATTGAAAAGTAAAGAAAAGACCCAGTACTCAGTGGTGCATCAAGCCAGAGCCAGCCAAACAACGCACGATCACCCTTTCCCGGCCGTACCTCTTCTTGGTAATGTGAGGGTATCCAATTCAGGGATGAAGAAAAGAAAAACGGCTCGATATTATACCTACAACTCTTGTTAGTCATACAAAACAACCGAGCGACGGAACTACTTACTTCGTTCCAAGCATCTGCAGCACAGACATGGAAAGATTATCCACGAACAACGCCCGAACGCGGATATTTGCGGGTCGCTACAGAAAAGGCACCCATACGATCATCGTACACAGTGGCACCGCAAGAAGAGAGCAACTCACAGGCTCCTGCAACAACACCCAAAACTCATCCACCCGATCATGCGTAATCCTACTCGTCTGGTCCCTCCCCTCCTCATCCAGAATCGTAAAATGCCCGTCTTTAAGGACATCAAGCCAATGCACAGAGCACGTATCGGACTCTGAGGAGTTGCTCAGCATCTTGCTCCGCTTCACCTGGTCCGGCTTCCAGTTCCCAAAGAGCGTCTCAGGATATCCGCGCCATGACGGGCCCTCTGTGCCAGGCGAGGCTGGTGATGGTTGGTCACGGCTGAGGGTAAGGTCTGAATCGGTATCAAAATCCATCCATGGCCATGGGCCCGATGGTGCTGCGTGGCGGTAGCTACAAGTTATTGAAGTAGCTGAATCATTACGCAGGGAAATCACTCACATGGGTGTAGGAATGGCAGGAGGCATAATCCTGTCGTTCGTGCTGCGAGCAACGCGACGGCGTTGAAGACCAGGTGTCAACGGAAACGTCACAGCAGAAGCTCCAAGTCTATTGTTCCCCGACTCGGGCATCTTCCTTCTTCACCTGCGTATCGAATGTAAAAAGTGTAGTTTTATAGAGTGCGCAAGCTGCAGGAATAAAGGAATGGTGAGTGGTGAATCGCGAGTTTTGTTTCATTCCTTGCTGTAGCACCAGATATACTAATAAGCATAGCGATGCGGCCGGGGATCACCTTGATCCCCCAACTTCGCCCCCGCAGTCACCTGCATTCAACAAAACAAGGAACTCCACCCAGCAGAGTCATTCGGGCACGGCATCAGTAAGAAAACCTGTGCCTTGACAGATTCTTTTTCAGCTTTACGTTCGCATTCGCGATACTGTACTGCGTTTGCCTCGAAAACTAAGCTACAAGTTGTCAGTCAAGACCAGATTCATCTAGAACTTCAGAAAGAACAACCGACCAGAATGTCAGAAAGAACACCTGCGTTCGGGCACAGTATCATGGAGTTAGCACGTGTGCCTTGACAGATTCTTGTTCAACACGATGCTGTACTGCGTGGGTCAAAGTCAAGGATGGGGATAAGATAAGTAGCGGTCGGTATGACTATCCGTGACACTACTACCCCCAATTCGAGCTTTGTTGAGTCATGCAAAACATTATTTATATAGGAGCCTCTGAATCTTGGAATATTTCTTCAAAGCCCAGCTTGCTTCTCATTCCATCAGTCCTGCGTGATACAGATCCATGAACCGGCAGGCTCATGCTAACTTCTAATTCGAGTCTGACAGGTTTGACTACCAGTGTAGTAAGACTTACAGGTCGGTGTCAGTCATGACCACGTTAATATCCACCTAGAACCTTCAAAAAGAACACCCGGAACCTCACCTAGAACTCGAACTTTAGAAAAAGAATACCTCTATCTGACTTTTCTTCCTTCTAACACACAGCACACGATCCACCAGAAGGAACGTCATTTACATACCTTGCATCACCGAATTACGAACTGCAGTTCTGTCATTCGGATATCGATGTCTCTGTAATGTGTATACATAACGTTCAGTTCGCAAAAAGCGATATATCTTATTAGTAGAAAGTACTTATATATCACAAGAAGCCTCCGCCTTCCTTCCTTCCTTCCTTCCTTAGGTCCCGGCCCATCTGCGAATCCTGATTCGGACTCACCTTCCTCTTTGGCCGCCCGCGTGGAGCGCGCTGATCGGTATGCAAGGCCCATCGCCCAGCTATCAAACCCCCGTTCCTTTCACAGCCCTAATACAACACAGCCATCTCCGCACACACCACCGAAAGCCCCGCAACAGTCATAACAACCAACGGCAACGCATTCCAATACGCAAACGTCGTCTGCGTCACAATAATGCCCTTCTGCTTCAAAATCCCCTTCCACAACAACCCAGCAAGGCTCGCGCTGAACGTGAACGAGACAGCTCCGATGTTGGACGCTACGGCGAGTGCTATGGCTGCTGCGCGGATGGTTTGGTCGGATAGCATTGGGGCGGCGGCGCGGACTACTTTGGTGAGGAGGATGGTTGCGCCGATGTTGGTTCCGGAGATGTTGCATAGGATCACGCCGAGGACGCCGATTAGCCAGATGGTGCGGTACATGTCTCCGTGTGTCGCACGGAGGAGCCACGTGCCGAAGACGTCCATCCAGCCCTGGTACGATAGGGCTTCAATCAAGATAAACTGGGAAAACGCAAAAGGGACGAGGGCGAACGGGAGCCGCGGGAGTGCGGTGAAGAAGGTGGGAAAGTGGGTGTGGAGACGTTTGTGTAGGGCGATGGCTTTGGAACGCCAGTGGGCGGCGTGGGTCTTGGATGAGGGTGGAGGGGATTTGTTGATCAAGGCGCGATCTGAATCGGGGATGGAATTTACCTTGTCTGTCGTGGGTAGTGGGGTGCGGTGTCGGTTTTTGGTATCTGATAGTGTTTGGGCGTTTTGGAGCACGACGGTGTCGTCTAGCTGTATTCCGGTTTCTTCTGGCCCTTTTTGGCCGCGTCCGAGCATGGGCACTCCTTTGACGAAGCGGTAGTGGTCCCAGGCGATATCATAGCAGAACTTGGCCACAGCAAATGGCAAGCTAATTTTCCACACGTCGATTCCGAAGAAGCTGACTACGAGGCACAGAACGAGTGCGGAACCAAGCATGAAACTGCCGACAATAGCACCGATGGGGTCAAGGAGGACGGCGCGTGCGTCAAGGTCGGCGGCGTGGTTCAACCTGCGAGGGACGTATTTTGGATCGCGGTATTGGCCGCCAAGGGCCAAGAAGCAGAATAAGCTGCATGCGACGAATGGGAGGATTGTGTATGCTGTGAAAGCGGCATTGTTTACGCTGAAACCTTCGCAGATAACCACCTGGGGTTATTGATTAAGGGTCGCGTGACACGGACGTTTGAGACGGAGACGTACGTTAGTAGGGTTCCCTACGAACAAGACCATGCTGGCTGTGTTTGCAGCTGCGAATTCGGACATGAGCCATGAGATGTGATTAAGCTCTGCGACTTTTGTGTAGTATATGAGAAAGGCGGTTCCAGAGAGGATAACGGGATCGTTTCCAAGGAGAATCGAGAGGAGAGTAAGCATGAGGTAGAAGTAGGTGTAGAGCTTCCAGCCGTTTGAACCGCCCTTGTTGCTAACCCAGAATGCTGCTGATTGAAGGATGCCGGTGATGTCGAGGGTGATGGCCATGTATGCGAGGGAGAAAAAGAGGATGAGAATGTTGTAGGGTTTGACACCGTCTGTACCGACTATGCCATCACGAATGACTGCTGGGTCGATACATTGGGCTGCCCACAGGATTGCGATTGCGAGGATTGGAGCAGTTGTCAAATTTATTGGGATACGGGGTATTCGTCTTGGGGTGGGTATTGATATTGGGTATATGACGAATCCAATGGATATGATGAAGACCACCAAGGTCGCGATAGAATAACCAGTAATCATAGCAGGGTGGGTAAGAGCTGTCAAGAGAGTGAAGATGGTTGTATATAAGTATGTTGGGTCACGAGTTTCGATGCTTATGACAGAACGTAACTGTGTGTAAACGTTGTAAACTCCTTATAGGTTCTTATCGATCAAATCTTCGTTTTCCAGAACAACTTTCAATGGGACTTCGTTGGGACACACCGAGCTCGTTGGCTTCCCACGTGTACTCTCACACCTCACAGCCATACACTGTTCATTACCGTACGTCACAACTTTTGCCCTTCGTGTCCCTCGCGCTGTTAATTAATAGTCGAATAGTAGCACGATTCATGCGATACTCGACTTAAAAAGAACAATCAGAAAAACACCCTTCACCGCCCCCGGATCAGAGACGCCCCGCTCGATGTTCTATCTAGAAACACGGTACCATTTACAGGTACAGATTCAGGGTCTGACTGTTCATGCTGGTCCAATTGCCAAACACCAATAGGTAATGATGTAGTCGCGATGGAACTACCTTTATCCAATTGTTAACCCACAGACCTTGGAGCTCCTATGGCATCATGCAAGAAGACGAACTCTTCTAAGTATCCCATTAATGAAATGCGTGGGTTTTCATGATGACGCCATTCTAATGACGCAATGCTCACATGTACACTGCCTTCGACATTCTTTCAACCTGCTCTAGCAAACTAGGGTCAATGCGTTTTGCGGAGATTCGTCACGGGCTCCATCTCAAGTTCTTTCATCCACCACCGCAGCAGTCTATTTTATTTTAGCACCAAACTCAGATCAAAGTTTATCTCTCTCATGAGGAGAACGAGAGTAATCAAGCACATTTCATTAATTATCCACGTCAGTATCCACGTGTCTCCGATGTCATGGTTTGACAGTCTCACAGGTCCGGACAATTAAATCAACCATAGCTGTCAACCTGTATCCTCCTGTACACTGTCCAACAAGTATGAATATGTCATGCTTAATCTCCCCAGCTAAGTATAGTTCAACTGCTGTTCGAGTCTAGGCCTATAGTAGCGGCTCACATCTTCAGTTCGCATCTAGGTCAATCAGAGGCAGCAGCATGAATCACAAACGATTGTTCAGTTCGTATGCGCCACAAAATAGAACCTCCCGCCAACAGTTTCAAAACACACTTACACGCCTATTCTCTTTATCCACGCGTATTTTCAGACAATTGACAGTCACGCTTAATCAAGCGAGGCGTAGGCACATCTGATATCGATGCGACGTACTCGTGCGATCACTTCGCAAGTATGTATAATGACATGCATAGCTGTTTCAACATCGTGGGTCACGATACGCTAAGTACGTGTTTTATATATTCTCACTGCGCGCTGACATATCAGCCTCATTGCAGAGTATACATAGCCGACGTCATTTTTATCACCGGATGTTCTGTCGATGAACTTGTCAGATGATCCCCTGGTCCCTGCTGCAGTAAATCCAGACCATTTTCTTCTCACCTGACTGTCTGTGCAGGTGCCAAAAACAGGATTATCAAGCCTTCTAGTTGCGTGTTTATTTTCATGAACGATGTCTGTCATTGAGGATGTAAAACATCACACGCAAACGCTGAATTTCCTCACTTAGTTTCTCTGAACCTGTGCAAACGACCGTCCTAGCCTTCGCTCTCTTGACCGGTGAATTGATCGTTGCGTGCGCATCACAAAGGGCCAGAGTGACCGAAAGCGCACATTCGCAGTGCTGCCAACAGTAGTACAGCTAAGTATAGTGTATTTGAACGTGAACAACGTAGGTATCGAGGTCTACAACTTTTTAGCATGCATGACCAGTGGCCATCGCGTCATCCTATGTTGGCGTTTTTTGCTGTACTATTCACATCTGGCTAGGGGCTGGTATATATAAATGGCAACTAAGCCAGAGCGAAAGAGTAATAGTATTTAACCGGGGCGGAAAGTTCGGGACTAGGGATGAGGCCCGGTCTTCCGTGACCCGATGCCTGACTCGGATGCTGGTTTCTTAGTCGAACGTCTTTCGAGATGTTGGATTAGATGCTATGCTCAGTGACAATAGCTCCGCCTGATTCGTGTGACCCTTGCATGAACTTGAGTCTGTTTGACCGGATTCGAAAGGTGTAATTACCCGAGATGCGTGGCTTTCCTCGATTCGATGACCGCTATGACGTAGCCACACTGTTGACTTGTTCCAGTGTGCCCGTTATATTTCGCTGTGAGTGATATCATCCCTCCGAGTTATCACGCGCAACCACTTGTACTCAGAGACGAACAGATATCATGGTGCTGGTTACATGGTGCTCTGGGGGCGGATCGACAATACACTTACATCCGCCCGAGAGCCCGCAAAGCGAGCTGTAGCTGTTGCTTTGATTAACAGACTGGCACAGATAGGCAATGTCATTGGGTCGTGAATAGCGTTGATATCTCTTCCTCGTTCATTGCCGATTCTCCTAGGTACGTCTAGCCATCCAACCGGGGCCCGACATATCGTCATTCCTACGCCGTTTGCATCGCAACAATTGGAGTGTCCATGTCAATCGGCATGTTTGGTGGGATGTTTTTGTTTGTTTTTGAAGTATTTGAGTGAACTGATTGAGAGGGGGAATTTGAACAGGATGCGCAGGATGATGGCGAGTTTCAGGACTGCAAATATCGGGTTCAAGTTGGGTTTATGTATTTGGTGTAGTCCGACGAAGGTTAACGTTAGTGTCACGATGGCTCCCGCATGCGATCCGATTCGGGCCCCAAGTCGAAGTTCAGGCCGACACCGACCAGCTATATATATACAAGTCCGCGCCACTGATAATGCAGGATTGACGCAACACAGCGACTCGGCCAGAGGAGGTGAGGTAAGGTCGCCGTTGACAAGACAAGTTCAATAAATAGCCTGCATTGATTTAGCTAGTGCGTTAGGTGAATCTTGCCGCGGCATAGTTCGGCATCCGTGATTATCGCGGACTCCAAACCGTCCTTGTGCCTTAGTGCCACTATGCGACTGCGTACGGTCACACGAGTCGTCGCACAATTCCTCGAATAGTACATGGCTTCAACTGAGACGATTGAAGGGTCAGTGGATTTACTTATAGACCTCGTGCTGTACTGATTGTGGGCCATATAGGCCTGAATACATGTATTTTCTAAACGAGAGTGTCAGTGAACTCTGCTGAATTTTTAAATCAGAACGTGTTCCAAATGATGCCGCAGTGACCAAATGATTTACGTCCAGAGGCGCGTCAAACTCGCGTGCCTCGCAAAGCGGTCTCCGAGTCGCGTTACTACACTGAAATTTGACTTTCAGATACTTTCACATGGTTTCACTGGTCTTATCGCTTCAAAGTATGTACACGTTCTACTAGATCCAAACGGACGTGCGGCGGTTGAGTTATACGACATCCTGGATTGCTATCTGGCTATGTAGGGATAAGCCTCGATATTAGTGGCTCAGACCAAACCTTCAAGTTGACGGCCCAACATTCTTTGGACTCGAATTGGAATGGGATGCGAGCTAGGGATGTAGAGGATACCGTAAGAAACGTTCCAGGGTCTCCTATATAATATTCAACTGACTTGACCCGGAGTCTTGCCCTGCAGTACACAAGAGCAAGCGGTGATGATGGGGAATTTTTGTTCCATCTCTCTCTTGTGTCTGACCTTTATATCGGCTTGTGCGGCACTCGATACCGAGCTAATCGTTTCAAATGCGATGATTGCCCCGGATGGTTTTGCAAATGAGTATGTGCTTGATGCAGGACCCATTTAAATTCGCGTCTAATCAATTTTGCAGTGCTATCGTGGTCAATGGTAACTACCCCGGACCAGTTCTTACAGCTGTGAAGGTAGAAGTCCCGATTTATAATGGCTATTCGTACCAACAAAATTGACTGTGTGTGTCAAGGGCGAGCGATTTCAAGTCAATGTCACGAATGTGTTGGTGGATGAGTCGATGAACAGGAGTACATCCATAGTGCGTCTCCTCTTTACTCCGCGATCGCGCTGATGTAGGTCTAGCACTGGCATGGAATCAATCAATATTTGTCGAATGAGATGGATGGAACTGCAATGGTGACGCAGTGCCCCATAGCGTCTGGGCATTCTTTCGTGTACAACTTCATGCCGGTCAACCAGAGCGGGACATTTTGGTACGGAACGGTTTTTCTACCACGGAAATGATCATTCACAGTGGATCAGGTATCATTCACATTTAGCGCTCCAGTACTGTGGGTGGTTTCATTCGTCATCGGAGTAAACAGATTCCAATTTTTTTTTCATTCAGGTGAAGGTTTGAGAGGACCCATTGTCATTTATGACCCGCTAGATCCATACCTGGACATGTATGATGTCGATGACAGTCAGTTTCAACCTTTGATTGCGTGTGTAGTTTGTGTGTGCTAACGATACTGTAGCATCGACTATCCTTACTATATCGGATTGGTAGGGTAATCAGCAGTTTCACTTATTTAACTGAATCATTTCACCAAAGGTATCACATGAACCCATACGACGTCCCCGCGTCCGCCACTCCCGATGCAATCCTCATTAATGGCCGCGGACGCTATGAAGGTGGACCGTCGGTACCTCTTTCTGTCCTCAGCGTTGTGCAGGGCAAACGCTACCGTATCCGATTGATAAACATGGCATGCAAACCAAGTTTCGTGTTCTCGATCGATGGCCACACGTTTACAGTCATCGAGGCAGACAGTGAAAACACATTGCCTCTGACCGTCGACTCAATCCCAATATTGGCCGGGCAGCGGTACTCTTTAATCCTGAATGCCAATCAGACGGTCGACAACTACTGGATTCGGGCCAATCCTAGTAATTATGATTCGACCTTTGCAGGAGGACTTAATTCTGCGATTCTTCAATATGAAGGAGCTTCGGAACGGGACCCCATAGACAGAGATTGGATTTTAAGTAACCCATTGGCTGAACACCACTTGCACGCGCTGGAAAGCCCTGAAGCCCCTGGTCTTCCAGAAGCCGGTGGCGCAGACGTCTCGCTGAATCTGGTCAGCGTGTGGGACAGCAATATGGGGAAATTTCTCATCAATGGGTACAGCTATACCCCGCCGACTACTCCGGTTTTAATGCAAATCTTGACCGGACAATTGGCGGCCTCTCAGCTGCAGCCCTATGGGTCTGTTTACACCTTGCCTGCCAACAAAATAATCGAGCTCTCTATACCAGGCGGACAGCCCGAGGGACAGGTAAGCAATCTATATTTCTTCTCTTCACGTTTCTCATGTACCACTCTAGCATCCTTTCCACTTGCATGGTGTGAGTATGACTTGTTATATCTGGTTCGTTCCATCTCATATTTCGCACAGCACCCCTTTTCCGTTGTAAGAAGCGCTGGGAGCGATGTATATAATTACCAGAATCCTGTCCGGCGAGATACGACAAGCAATGGTATTGCGGGCGACAATGTGACAATCCGATTTAGAACCGATAATTCCGGGCCATGGTTATTCCACTGGTACGATTCCAATAGCTGTTGTTGCTGTATGCTTAGTGACGTTCCTCCAGCCACATTGACTGGCACCTTGAACTGTTAGTATTGTCTCAGTCGTGATGAACTATCTGATCTAAATTCTGTAGGGGTATGGCTGTGGTGTTTGCAGAAGACGCCGACTCTACTTCTTTGAGCGTAACACGTATGTGGGGTTTTTCTGATATCTGATGTCATATCCTCATTTCTAGCTGATGTAGCTGCATGGAAGCAGTTGTGTCCGAACTATGATGATTAATCATCAAACGATTCGGAACGAATCGTGAGCGCTATCGCTGATGCGATATGAAACACACGAAACTCTAGGTAATAGCATTTAGCATTACATTCTCTTGACATTACATTAGTGCCTGCTTGTTGTGTACACCATGTTTCCGCGGTCTTTACAGTAGCAAGAAAGCATGTCTTTCTTTCATTAGTTCCTTATCGTATTGTAAACAGACTTTGTAGTATTACATCATTGACAAGTTCGTCTGTATCGTGCTTTGTGACATACAAGGTCCTTGGGCTTGCTCTTCTAAGAGTGAAGACCTGAAAGCCAGCCAGTCAGGCTATTGGGGTGTGTGAGGAGCAGAGTTGCGTGCGCTCGCGCTGTCAGAAAGCATCATAGATCGATCACTCACAGTTCTAACACAGCACACTGAGACAGGTATTGGAAAAGACTTCTAATCCCCTGTTCGGCGCCCGACAAGTTGATTGAAGGAAGGCTGCCTCAAGATCAGAATGCACAGCTGCCGGAAATTGTCACGGTACGAGAGAGAGGAGGCACCACCTCCTATACACATAGGGCCGAACTACCGTTCGTGAGTGCAAGAGATCCCCGAGTAATGATTGATCTGAACCGTTTTGAGCTGGGGTGAGCAGAATTCGCGCATACTTTGGAGCAGTGCCACCGCAGACGCTCCCGGGTGTCGTTGGGTGATCGGACGCGAGGTAACCGCAGCTGCCCGCGGCATGTTGGAGATAATATGCTTACTTACCTCGGGGCTTGAATCGAAGGCGCAAATTGAGGGCACTCAGAGACACATTGTTTCCGTGGTAAACTTGACGGACAGGCGGTGTATTTAGGATTGTACAAATCCGAGGCAAATATATCGGACCACCGCCCAGATCTGCGTTCGTGTCGAGAGATTGAATTTGCTGATGCGAATAGTGCGAACGTTAGCTTTCATCAAGTACATAGTTCTTCTCGGCACCTTGAATAGGTTTAAGCATGATGACGATGATGTAGTAATGGTCTGTGCACAATGCTGAGATCACTGATCAGAGGCGAATAGAAGATTTTGACGGGGCCCGGGAAGGGAGTGCTCTTGGATCTTATAGACTGTGAGATCGACTCACTCAGCTACTAGCACCCTCGAATGATCAAGAGTTGGTGGACTGCGAGAAAGGATTTGACGCCTCTTGCCGGTGATTGAAGATTTGATACATTTGTAGGTCAGTGTCGGAATAGCATCGATTGTTCCGAGCCTAATATTTATTACCTTGTTCCATGCGCCTGGCAGATTTGTCGAGAAGTCCAAAAGAGAACTATTCTCGTGAAGAAGAGACGCAGATACCTCAAAGATTACAACGAAACCACAGGCCGGACCGGAAGCAATAAGTCAGTCATAACCAAACACGTCAGAAACACGGCCCACACCACAGGTCCCTCTCGACATCGTCGTCCACGACGACCAACACCCTTTCCACGGCTTCCACCACATTCACGACATATATATGACTAGTCGACAATCACGCAGCACTCCATCTTCATCCTCTTCCTCGTCGCCGCATGGCTCAAAGTTGTCCAAATTCCTAGCAAAGCAGAGCCGGGACAGGTCAAAATCTATGACAGATCCAATCGCAGCCGCCAGCACCGCGTCCATCGCCAGCTCAAGTTCATCCAATTATACGTCCGTGAGCAGTCCACCACTCTCACAGTACAGCTCGCGAAAGAGCAGTAGATTTGGCGGTGGGAACGCTAGTAACAATCCTAGAGACGACAAGCCAAGCAGCCCGCAGCCTGACCTTGATAGTGAACAGGAGGACTCATTTGACGAAACACCTGTCATCATCGAGCCAGTGGAGATGATACGCTCACGGAATCGCTCAGAACGCCCTCTCAGCACCATATCTGACATCCATCCCTCTTCATCCATGTACGCTTCAACATCATCCGCACGCATATCGGATCTCCCTACACGACTATCCGGATGGCTTTCACATACTTTCACCAACTCATCAACAGACCTATCTCTCCCGTCAATACTCTCCCAGTCCAATTATACCTCCCAGGCATCCCCTAAGACCAAGAGCTCAGCCTTGCTCACCGCCGCGAAGCACGGAAAAGGTCATCTCGATCGCGCAATGCGCTTTCTGCTGGATAGTGACTCTATCCCCAACAAATCTCCAGAGCCTATCTGGCTACTTGGTGTACAACATCCAGGATACGAACCCCCGCCTCATCCCACCCCCAGCCGCCGCCCTTCTGTCGAATCTCGCCGCTCCCCATCCTTCCGTTCTACCACATCATCCTCAGCCACTGTCTTACCCGACCCCTCTCTGTCCCTCTCTTCATCCACTTCCAAAAATCCCGCCAACAATTGGCCGCCTGTTTTCTACGCTGATTTTACCTCGCGAATATGGCTAACATACCGTAATCAGTTCGCTCCTATACGCGACTCCACCCTCTCGGCTCTAGAGTCAGATATGGCTTGTTGCGAGCCACCGCCTGTGTCTTCCAGTCCACGTTCTAAGAAGTGGCATTGGCCAGGCGGGGGCGAGAAGGGCTGGACGAGTGATGCAGGGTGGGGTTGTATGCTCCGGACAGGTCAATCACTATTAGCAAACACGCTCTTGCATTTGCACCTAGGTCGAGGTGATCTTTTCCCTCATAGCCCAAGAAACTCGTCTTGATTGCTCATTATTCAGAATGGCGCCGTCCGCCACACCCAGTACACACAAATGATTATGCCACATATGTCCAGATCATTACATGGTTCCTCGACTCACCTCTCCCTCAAGCACCTTTCAGCGTACACCGCATGGCCCTTGCTGGAAAGGAGTTGGGCAAAGATGTTGGGCAATGGTTCGGGCCTAGTACTGCTGCAGGCGCCATAAAGTATTCATTTTCCCAAACATTTTCCTTTTAATTAATTAATTAATCTGTACACGCAGAACACTTGTACATTCCTTCCCAGAAGCTGGCCTTGGGGTCTCTGTTGCCACTGATGGTGTCATTTATCAGTCTGACGTATACGCTGCGTCAAACGTGCACATTGGTTCACCACGACGACATATGAGGTCCGCTTGGGGCGAGCGCGCCGTCCTTGTGCTTATCGGTATCCGTCTGGGTATCGATGGTGTTAATCCTATCTACTACGAGACTATCAAGGTCAGAGCATTCACTCAAGATCCGGGCAAACATCTGATGTTTATCCAAGGCGCTCTTTACTCTTCCGCAAAGCGTGGGCATCGCTGGCGGGCGCCCCTCTTCCTCATACTACTTTATGGGCTATCAAGCTGACAATCTATTCTACCTCGATCCACATCACTCTCGAACCGCCGTACCCCTTCGTCCAGCACCTCCGCATGACTTCAAACGCGAGATGACCCCGGATTCAGGCCGTCCGCGCACCTCCCACCACCGTGCGCCTACCTCACCTTCAAGCGTGCGCACAGGCAGTTCAACATTTTCATATCACGCACCACTATCGCCTTCACCGCTGCAACATCAACTCAGCGCGTCCTCCAATACGTCAGGCTCTTCTAGCTCGCACCCGCCACCCTGGGCGAACGCGAGCATGCCGACATCGCTTGGAGTGTCAGAGCTCGACCCACGAGAGTTGAGTACAGAGAACACTAGCGAGCTCGACCCAGTCGCAGAGCATTACGTGACGCAGTACTCCGCTTCTGAGCTGCAGACGTTCCATTGCGACCGCGTGCGGAAGATCCCCCTCAGCGGGCTCGATCCAAGTATGCTGCTTGGGTTTGTGTGCAAGGACGAGGCGGACTGGATTGATCTCAGGAAGCGTGTGAATGAGGTGGGCGTCTTATTGATACCACGTGTTTTTTGCTGTTAATGTTCTCTCTTTTCTTTCCTCGTGGGGTGTGTTGGTAGTTGATGCAGAAGCACAAGTCGATATTCACGATCCAGGACGAGCCGCCTTCATGGCCATCTGATTCGGACGAGTTCATGGGGCTCGAATCCATCTCGGAGCCAGATATCGATATGGAATTTGACGGCGATGGTGTAGAGCGTGAGGATCAAGAACAGCCCGAGAACGAAGACCAGTTCTTTGATACTCGCTCTGCCTCTCACTCACCTGTCCCCAAAGGTCAGGGTTCAGAGGTCGACACGGAGGAGGATCCTATAGGGCCGATCACCCCCGGCCCCAACTCTATGCTCGAGGTGGACACACCGGATAAGGTGCAGGAACACGTGGATGATTTTGAAGAGATCGGTGTTGAGGACGAGGATGACGATGATGACGACTGGGTAGATCCGTCGCTACCCACGCCTCTGGCGCAGTCCGTACAGCGGCCTTATGCGCCACCTCTTGAGAAAACGATATCAACAAGCTCCACAAGCAGCGGTGGGAGTGCGGGGAAGGGGAAGAGCAAGAAGACGGTCGGGAGGAAGTCGAAGAAGACGCCGGTGCCGCTGATGAAAGCGCCGGCGAAACCCGAGGCGCATTTCCCGTTCCCGCGGTCGCTTGAGGAGAGCGTGCATGACGGAGGCCATGGGTCCGAAGCAGAGCCATACGAGAGGCGGATGAACAATGCACGTGCGAGAGACGGGGGGCGCACCGAGAGTGGGGGCGTCAAAGCTATTTTGACAGAGGATATGAGATAGCCTGGGGTCCGTTGGTTGTAGGCTTGTAGGCCTCCAGTGATGATGGGTATGTTTTTATTAGTGTCCGGGCATTTCATTTCGACTTGCAGCTGCCTGTGCTGTGGTGGACCCCTTTTTTTCTCGGGGCCTGTAACTATGTATATGTACTTTTGCCTGGTTGTTCGTAGAGATACCCGTCACGTTAGGCATTGGCTCGATGTGTTATCCATTTCCTTCTCCTGCCTCGGGCTTGCCGATGTTCAACGTCCGACTAGTCGTTGGGCTGAACGATCACAGAAAAAGCTGGATGCCATAAACCAATGATAAGCAACAGACTAGCCCTGACTCATCTTGTATAAATATCTATCACGCAGCTTGAGGCCCGTACTAGTTGGCCGCCTTGCACCTTTGACTCACTGTTAATTCATCACTGGCAAGTGCCTCGGTTTTCTACCACAGATATTACTGCCGAAAACTGGATTTACGGTATTTGCTGTTCAAGAAATGAACACGAGGGTCAATGACAGAAGCAGAAATCAAAAGGTATGGCCCTAAAAACCGCAGAGAACCCTGCCCGGCGTACCACTGGCAGGTCACCCACCATGTCTTTGGTGAATCCATTCTATCCTTCGAAAACTTTCTTCTGCGGCATTCTCTGTTTCCCCATCCTTGCTGACGCTCGTGTGATTCAGGAAAACAGCGATGCTGTTCGAGTCTCTGGCGTGCTGTGTCGGCGACTGATTTCCTCTTCGTGGAGGACGGTACATCCTCTAATGACTTTGTCCTTGGTCGTGATTGTGATGCCTTTCCAAGCATGCACATTGCAGCGTATTTAACGAGATTTAAAGGTGCGGCCGCCGCCTGATCCATTCTGTTTATTGTAAGTGAATGATTCTGTGGACAAGAAAACTGACAGTGGTGCCTCTCAATAGTACTCGTTCGCTTCAGCACTCATTCGTACGATACAGCACAACACCGGAACAGGGAGGGACTCCACGTACTTATTTATTATCTAGTAGGCGCTTTTTGATATTATCATACATTTATGATAACTCTAATCCAGCAGCCACCTTGATGATCATATCCTTTAAAATCTAGCCGCATATCTGGATGGAGCTTCACGGCAACTCATCACGATGGCAACGTCTAAAATCTTGCTCATGCTTCTCAATATAAAGCGCCCAGATCTCGACGGAAAGATCTCCTACATGATCCGTCCAGAGCTGTCCAGCCGTTAATTTCTTGGCTCGTAAAGTTACCACCTTCGATGGCGATTCATCAACGCCGGCGCTTTTCTACCATTCTCATCAGCCGCTGATCAGCGACGCCGTCACCTCTCCACCATTGTTTATGTGGAGTAACTTCATTTTCACGAATCACCATTCAGTGACCATATGTGCGACAAGGAGGTTCAAGTTCCCTCGCACAACAACCGCTACCCACGAAGTCCGTGCCTATCTGATAATGCGAGTTCGGAAGATAGGAATAAAACTTGGCGCATTAGGATTAGTTAAACTGATCTGTATCATCGAGTCTGTATGATTGGCATGATGACTTTATCAGCGCAACTCGAAGGAGATCCATAATTGCCTGGTCGTGAGGCAAGCCTCCAACGGTGCGCCGTCCCGCCGTCCCTTTCAGACAATGCAATCTGACGAAGGAGATGTAGCTTTCAAGGCACGCACAAATTGCGGCGCAATAAATAATAACTGGGCAATGCGGGAGGTTGTACAGTCTGAACGCATACTGTGCACGAGATTGATACCTGGAGGCTGGAACAAACGTCGCGCTGTCGCCTGTAGTTAGACCATAAGTATACTGGAAGAAAGACAGTCGTTACAGCCGTGCCCCAGTCCAACACGCGACAAAGTCTTCATTAGCGGGTTTCCTTGCTCTTGTTCATGCTCAACCTCCAGACACAACAGGATTCCTATGCATGTAATTTACTGGGCCGGAAAGTCCTGTCATGTCGCATCACTGTGAACATTAGTACATGCCTACCATCTTGATAAGTCTTGATATCGTGCTCGTGTAGAATCAGCTCGGGATCAGATGCTCCGGAAGGCCACTTAAATTTGACTCCGTTGGTATTCGGTGGATATCTCATACTACCTGTGAAGCCTGCTCAGTCAAAGCGGATCAAGATTATTACCTATTCTCCTTCTGAGGTTCTTTACCATGATGTGCGTTGATCGGATATCTCTATGCGCGTATCTCGCTTGATTGAGATATTGCACTTTGCTTCAGATCTCTGAGACAAACCGCGGGGCTTTGTTGGGCGAATAATCCAACCCGGGTTACAACCATGAACTTCGCATTTCGAAACCCTACATAGACCAGCGAGTAGGTGCTTCTATAATAATAGTGTGTATGAATACCATATGGTAAGTACTTTGAGTGGGAGACTTGACGTTCGTCAATATCGTACAGCGTAAAGCTATTGCGTAAAGAACAGTGGTAAGAAAAAATCTGAAAGATAAGTTGGGGGGAGGGGGGTGGTGGCTTCTGCGCTGTGATGATCTGTTACAAGATTGCCCGAGTTTGCAGTGAGGTATCACCAAGCCAACACACAAAAACGCGCATTGGCTGGCAAGAGGTGAGCACCCATGAGCCATATCTATAGGGAATGTCGGACATTAGGTCAAATACAGCCAATATGAATCGAAAAGACGAACATTGTACATCCAGTAGTTTGATCGGTCACCAATTTCGTCGCGGACGAGAAAGCACCGAATTCCGACCACAATGCCCATCAAAATGAAGAGAACACTGCAGAGGGGTCCCAGACTCCAAAAGGAGGCAAGCGCAAAAGAAACCAACGGAAGCATGCAAAGAACATAGATACGAGATCCCTCAGGCGCCACAATAGGCAGAGTTCGTCGTCCTATCATGCGGTCACCATCGACGTCCTGGAAATCCTGCACATGAATTGTCACAAGTATGACAAGGGCGCTACACAAAAGTGCTGTCATGCTCGTTTTGTCAAGCGAAGGTTCGTCCGCTAAAAAAAATCAGTTTGGTCAGTGAAGCATTAACCTCATATGCAGAACCGCCTACACATAACCAATGTAGAACCGAGTTCAAAAGACACATATGCTCCTACGTTCAACAAATTCTTGCAAATGGGATGGCGGCTGAGGCCAAAATCATCGTGCACGATCACAAGGATCGTGAACACCACACTGGTCACAAGCACATTGAAGCTGAAAAAAGATGAAAATCCCAAGCAGAAAACCATCAGTCCCCAGCGCAAAGCACGAGAATTCTCGACGCTAATACGGCCAGACGGCAGAGGACGCCATGGTTTGTTCAGGAGATCTTCATGTGTAGTGTACGATTGGTTGGAGACATTGCATTGGAAGAGATGTAGCCAGAGCCAGGACAGAGAGCGAGACAGGGCTAGCGGGCTATGACGAGGTGATACAATGTTTGTGAATACCATCTACCATGCCAAATTCAGCGTCGCGCACTAAAAGTTAAAGCTGGAATATATACCACTGGGAGGATGACTGTCTTGAAGTCGGATTTCGTGAAAAGCCAAGCAGTCTTGAGGTGGCGCAATCCAGTGCGCAAAGTGGTCGCTACGATGCTCGACGTCGGTATTTCAGAGTACATTTCGCCGTTTCGTCATTCAAAAAGTGGATCATTCTGTTAAATAAGACAATCTAAGGACAACACTAAACTGAAAATGAAGTATGTCCGCAATGGAATGCAAACACTTTAATTGCCCGTCGCCCTGCAACGCACTTCATAAGACTTCATATGACAATGACAATGCCCACCTTTGAGAGCCGACTTCCTATTATTTCCCTTGATTCGGTGCCAATCTTGTATCGGCGCGATCCTGTTGGACCAGCAAGCAGATATTCTGTCATAGTAATGACCTCTGATAATGGTCCTGGAACCTCATCAGCGTCAACCTGGTCAATAGTCTAGAGATATGTCGGTGACTCGGATCACAATTTCCTGGAGGGGGTACTCTCTGAGGATATCCTGATCGGTGGTAGTCGCGTCGAGGTTCTTTTCCATCAGATATAACTCCTTGTACTGTCTGGTCAAATGAGCATCGTAACGGAAAACGAGAGGACGCAGCGCCTCATGTCAGTGCTTCCAAATATTATGATGAGGGACAACTTATCTCGAGAGGCACAACCAACGTGCCACGGAGGAGACGAGAGTGTGACACGTTGCAACCCAAGGGCGTGAGTGCGTGCTCATTCGAATCATGTTTTTGAATGCATATGGAAATCATTGCATACGCACTTTTCAATGAAGCATTGAGCTCAATGACTGATGATTGTGTGTAGTACTAGTAGTAGTAAGTTAGAAAGCACGTTTGTGACCGTCACGATGTCAAACATTTATCGGAGTCACGACTGGCAACCCGCCCGGGCCCAGTCCCAGCTGCAGACCTCCGAGTCCGCAGAGCATTGATAGAAGCAATGCATTGTACACTCGGAGTGTAAAGGCATAGACTTCTACATTAGTCGGAGTTAATACGGCTGGTAGGTAACAGCTCGATCGATAAGATAACAGTGAAGTCTGTGGCCACTGGCACAACTGTGTGTCCAGACTCCATGGAGAGCACGTCGCCCACGCTTTGGAATATCTAATCACATAATAAAATCGAAACCCCACATTCACGCATCATCAGGGCGCAGTTTCGTCAGGAATCTTCTCGACGTTTAATGCGAAAGTTTTCTAAAACATAATGTCGAGTGCCTTCCTCAGGCTCGATTCCGAGTCCGCATCAGACTGGCCATGTCCAGGAACCAGCTTGCTCCGGTAAACTGCAAGGAGATTTTGAATCGACAAACGGTCGTCCCGTCATTAGTCGTTTGTCCCTGAATTCCATCTAGGTCTATACTTTGATGATTTTTTTTTGATCAAGCACTGTTGTCGCGAGTCTTCTCGCCCACGATGATCTCGGAGTTATTTTGTCTGTTCGCAGATAGGGGTAAGTTTTTTTTTACGTATGACACTGAGCCAGCTCCTCAGGAAGACACGCACCCCTGCTGTTGGGCCCGGGCTCAGGTTCTGACCGTCCCCCCAGCTGAGTGATGTTCACTCCTTGTGAAGTTATTCACAGAAGGTATCTACGGAAGTTTACATGCAGAATTTCCAAATTTTACGAGCACAAAGTGCAAAGGCTGAGAAAGACCGATGGTACCTAGGATGGTTGAGCACTCCTAGGGGTGCGGTGCCCGGTAGGTGGCCGTGGGACAATCCTTGTGCTCGGCAGCTCAATTGATCGCACTTCCCCATTTGCGGTCGGCGGAGGACCATCCCAGGCGTTGTGGTGTACGTGGCAAGCAGACAAGGCGTGCATAGATTGCACTACAATTACACCATACGTTTGGAACCGAGAATCATAGGTTTCCAAGAATCAATTGAGTAGTACAAAGAGGTACAAAGGCGTCCATAGGAGTGGTTGATCACTGCATGTAGTATCACATCACTTCGCTCGGAAAGCACGAAGGTGGTTATATCATTTTTTCAGGGCCCGGTCGTGTTCGCTACGGTAAAGTTCCATGCAAGTACCTGCTTTGCTAAACTGATTGTCTCTTCGGAAGCTGCGTATCAAATTGCTATGCAAGTTAGTCTGTTTGTGTGATAACAGTTGGGGAATGAGAAGATGGGTGCGCTGTCCAGGCACTTTACAAGGAAGGCTTGGAACTGATGCAGTTGTCATCCTTCCACCTTATCTCCTGAGTTAGTACAGCAAGCAGAATGAGCTCCGTGGAATATATAGTAAATCCTTCCTCAACCAGCGGTCGCCAGATCGATTGGTCTGCTGGACAAGAGATAACGTGACGATTGTCGTTCGCCTTGAGTATTCGAGCTGTCGGCTTGGATGTCTGAACCTGATTATGTGCGCGGCGTTATGATGCGATGTACTCGACGGAAGTGTCAAATACAACTTACCTGACCACCAGCGGATGTAATGACAGCTTTGAGCAACTTCAAGTCAATCTCGACCTTGGGGGTCACATAAAATGTCATCCCTTTGAACAAGCCTTCCCCACCGTCTTCGCGTTTAGCGCGCTCGAGAGAAGTGGAGAGTTTAAAGTTCCATTTCCGTTCCGGTTCGGGGTCAGATATTAAAAAGTCCGATTCCGCTGCAGTGCAGTAGTCAATCAGAAAACGAAAATGAGCGAAGTCGGTTACTCACGTAAAAGTTTGCCAGCTCGCACACTCGAATTGACCCATCCTTCTGTTAACACGAACGGGGAACTTGCGATAGCGCACAAGAATTTCTCCGTACGAACGATTCCCTTCGTGACAAGGTGCGTGCAGTCGTTAGGTTTGGTTGTCATCTTGACGCCCAATTTATTTAATCGCTATATGGATGGTTATCAATCAGTCGAACTGTATTGCAGGGATCTTTCTTGCCTTGATGATCTCGTCGGTCAGCTGAATACCTGTCGTCATCACTCGAACTGCTCCAGATTCCCGAGAGGGCCCAGAACTAAAGTGTGATCGGATGAGTCAGGATGGCGGGCGCAAACAATTTACGCACAGCTGATTGGTGCCAACATTGGGGGCATGAGATCCCTTTTTGTTCTGAGTTGCCTTCATGCCCTTTCTCTTCGACAGCTCGTCTTCGTCAATACTCATCTCGTCTTCCGTTCTTTTCTTCGTACCATTGCCCTGCGTCGTGGCCGGCTTCGACATCGATTTCGTTTGAGGAATAGACGAAGAAATGACCTCCTCAACCTCTGCTTCCGAGTCCTCTTCGCGAGCCTTCTCAACTCTCCGCTTCTTCCCGTCTCGTTCCTGTTCGACCTCGGCTTCGTCACGCAGGGGAATGAAAGAGTCGTTGAGACCGGAGCTACGCCTTCGCTTGGCGTTCTTGCGCTCCTTCTCAAAATTAATGACGTCGGGCATGATTTCATCCCTCAGTTTGCTCGTCGCCTTGTTGGCAGCGCTGCGCTTTGGTAAACCGCGTGTAGTAGTGGAAGGAGTATCCAGAACCACTGAAGTCTCGTCCTCGTATTCCGTTTCCGACTCATTCCGTGCTTTGAACTTCGACTTGTTCTTCACAGGAGGTGTTGAGGTTGAAGGTTTTGACAACGAAGGACGTCCACGCTTGAGTCCGCTTGTCGACGCCTCGGCAGCAGATACATGAATGGAGTTCGTCCTAGAAAGCTCGGACCTTCCTTCCTTGTTCGTGGACGTGCCCTTGCGTGGACTTGGAGACAAGTAGTCTTTCGGCAGAGATGGAACTAGCACGGATACTGTGCGTTTCGGCGTCTTGAAGGTTTGTACAGGAGGCGAGGGTGAACGGGCAGCTGACAGAGTCGGAGATCGAGCATGAGCACTCTGTTTCTCCTTGGCTTTTGAGGACGTGGCTAGCGGCTCCTTCTCAGGCTCTTTGGCTTTAGCTTTGGCTTTAGTGCTGGGTGTAGTTGACTTATGCTTGGCAGGCCGCGCAAAAATTTCATCATCATCATCAGACAAGGATGAGGCGCGCTGAGGAGTTTCCTTCGGCTTGGGCTTCGGTTTCATCCCCGTCTTGACTGGCGTCGAGGACCCGGGGATTGGCCTGCTTGGATGGGCCAACGCAGATTCGGAGTCGGAATGCTCACGAGAAGGGGGCAGAGGACGAGCTTTGCGATGCTTGGTCTTCTCCTTTGTTGTGGACAGTTTGCTAGACGACTTCCCGCTAGCTTTGGACTTAGCCCTAGAAGGAGCCTCATCCTCTGCAGAGCTCTCCTCGTTGATATCTCTGGAATTCTTTACACCATCTGTCACCCGCCCTTTGTACACCTCCACGACGTTATCAGACGCATCAGATGCAGTGCTTTCTCGTACGATCCTCGAACGTTTGCGCAGTCGCGGTTTCGTGAGTCTTGAGCTACTATCATCAATACCTGTTGTAGCGCCCTCTTCTTCGGCGGTGACTTGCTGAGGTAATAGTTTCTTCAACTTCTCCGAGGATTTTGATTTCGGCTTCGGCTTCTGTTGTCGCAGTGACCTGGAAGGGGAAACATATTCGTCGTCGACATCCATAGCTACACCGGCTGCTATGTCGCCAGCATCGTCAAGGTTGGGGCCCTCGTCATCGCCGAAATTAACTGCAATCTCCACCTCTCTATCGTCTCTCGTACTCATATCTGTAGCTTGGGGAGCAGTGAGAGCAGTGCGCTTCGGCCTTAATGCCACCGGCTGGGATGAATTCGGAGGCGAGCCATCCTCAATTTCATCGATGGTCTTTGGCTTCGACTTGCTGGATGCAGTCTTGGCTTTACCGGTTGTGTTGGGAGTCTTGGTAGATGGGGTGACGGGCTCCACGTTATCAATCATGCTCCTACGATACTCTGCATCCCTCTGCTCCTCTAAGTCAATATCAATGGGACTGACTCCCTGGCCGCCTGGAACAGGTCCCCCTAATGTCGTATAAACGGAGCCCGCGCTGGCACCACCTGTTTGAAATGGCGCATTACAGATGGTGAGCAATTTTATATCAAGAGCGCGGTTCAAACTCACCAATTGGGGTCATGAGCATCTTCCCGAAATCGACGCCAGGGGGAAAGAGAATGTATTTGTCAACCCCCACAGTAAGATTCCTAAGCGCAAATAATTAGTCTCGGCCATAGCCTATGCGTTCAAAACAAACAAAGTCATGGCTTGAGAGCGGTCGCTCATAGGTACTCACTTCCATGCAATGAAACAATCCTCAAGCCAAGTATGATTGACTATTGGTATCGACCATGCAACTGCGCGCTGTGTTTTAGGCGAAGGAGAACTATGAGCCATCAGTGTAACTGTGAATTTGCTATTTCGAAATGCTTACTAGCCAGCGACCAGGACCTTGTTGCTCTGACTCATACTCGGCGTGAACCTTCCGCCCATGATTTGGATAAGTTTCTTCAGATAATCTCGCGCGGCACCAGAATAGTTAGTGACAGTGATCTCCTGAGCGGCAAGTGAGAATATTGAACCACAGAGCACATGATGGGTTCCGCTTACGCATTCGTTAAGACCAGGAATACCTCCTCTTGGAACAGGGTACCACAACAAACTATCGTGCGGATCATTCAACGTGCTAGACGCATCAACGTGAAACATCCAAGTCAAGTTTCCGATCAAAATCGGGCGAGAGGAACGGGCCGCCTATAATATAGTCGCAATAAGATATTCCGTTGATTTGCTTGAGTTAGACAGGGGATATACCTTAAAGTACGCCTTTCCAGAGCGGTACCGCGTAACAAAAACATCGCATTCATCAACAAGTGTTGCTTCCTCGTCCTCCTGTGCTTCTTCATCCGTGCCGGTACCTTAAGCATGAGAAACAAGATCAGGGAGACGTCACAAGCAACGAGGACGAAATTACGACACCTTTGACCTTGACGACAATTCCACCCGCCCTCTGTATATTCGCCTCCACAGCTTCACGATGTCCTTGCCCCAATTCCAGCGAGCGGGACAATAACAGCCTCCTTCCTGCCCACACATTGACTCTTTCTCTGCGATCTGCTTCCTCCATCGGTATAGGACTGCTCAGTCTTGTCTCGCCACTCTTTTTTCTCTTTTTCTTCCCACTTTCCCCAATTTCTAGATCATCGTCGTCCATTGTGACCTGCATGCCAGGTTGCAAGACCTTTGGATCAGGCCACAAGTAAGGACCTTCAGGCACACGGCGTCCAACGCGTACTGAGTCATCGAACCAATGAGGTGTCAGGACAGACATGTGGGTATGTGGCGCAAAATGCATGGCAGTTTGGTACTACACAAGTCAGGGGGTAGCAATGTGAATAATCGACCCGTTATATGCGCGAGTGAAACAAAGATAGAAAATACCTTATCGCTCTGTTCATGCAATGCGAAGAGATGTGTTACATCGCGAGTAAGGCCCGTTCGCCATTGTCCTCCTAGCGAGGTGATCCCTGCGGAGAGAACTTCGAGGTCCGATGGGGAGAGCTTGCGTACGAAATTCATATCATACGACGCGAGGAATGACTATTTACTCACATCGGTGGCACACGCAACGATGCCTGAAAAAATCATTGTTGGATCAGGCGAATAGTACTGCTCTCTGAAAACGACTATCAATCGCCTTCATACTAGCATAAACGGCAAAGTACACTCACAGCTGAAGTTTCCCAAGGACTATGCTCCGCTGTACCCACATTCCCGATACTACATGCAAAGATCCCGCGTGTTCGTGCTGAGTCCGTGATCCAGCAAGGGCAATAAGATGGGAGTGTGGTGGTGCGCTCGTTGCGCCATTGAGGTCCAGCAAGCCTGAAAGCTCCTTACGCTGTTCCCCTGGTATTGAAGATGAAAGAACATAATGCACACCGTCGAAGACGGCCATACCGCTCAAGCCTCAAGGTGCTCGACAAGCGACGTGAGAGGAGGCGTGACGTGACACAACGCGTTGACAGTCATCACGTCGCGTTGTTGCGCCACGTGAGCTTCATGACCAAAATTGCTCAACCCCTAGGCCTGATTCATTTTACTATTAGAAAACCGAGGAGGATCAAAGGTTGACGGAACCATACTAAGAATCCGGGCGAGGAAGGTTCTGTAGTTTTAGATCTGCTCAAGGACGAAGAATTACTTGTGTATTTGGCAGATAATTGTTCGAAGTAAATACTTTCTGTCCCCATCCTACTACACTAAATATCTAAAACCAACGGGGCCTCCAAGACCCTCGTTATCCTTCCCATCCCGCTCCGAGTCCTTCCTCACCATCTGCTTATTCAGATGTTTCAGATACAGATGCATCACACCAAGCATGCCCGTTGAAACCCCAATTGTTGACAGGCAGACGGCATAGGAATACCGATATGTCGGGCCCCAGTGAGACTGCCAAACATACCTATTAAATATATGCGATTGTGGATGATGAGCGAGCGTCAGAGGACTAAATGTCACTAACGATCCAGTAATATTTCCTATCGACCCCAGTCCATTAATCAAAGCAAGAGCAACAGCTCGCTTCGCGGGTTCTTGGGACCAAGTATTGTTGACCCATCCCCAGAACACCATGTAACCGGCGTAGACTTGAGCCATCAGGAACCTGTACATCTTTGAGTACAAGACCCAGCGCTTTATGAGCACATGATACTACTTACAGCGAAAGATAACGCGCAGCAGTGTTCATCGTACAGATTGATATGATAAATCCAAGGGCTGTCACTGCATTGGAGGCAGCAAAGTATATGTAACGCCTTTGCTTCTTATCAGAGTACCTGCTTGTCCATGAGACGCTGCTCTCCGATAACACTGGTTCACTCACCTCGAAAGAGCAAATGCAACTATTGTAGAGAACACCCATGGAGGAGCGCAGAGCAACAAAGATACTGTCGTGTTATATCCCATAGTTGCGCTGAGCGTCGGGAAGTAAGCGAAGAATGACTGCGATAATAGCTGGATAGCGTATGCGACTGTAAACCACCACACCTTCCAGTCAGACAAAGCATCCCACAGTCCTTGCATGCTCGTCTTGTTCGAAGGCTCAGTCCTACTATCACCATCTTCTGCAAGACGAGAGATAGCAAGTGCTTTTTCCTCCGGAGTGAGCCATCTCGTGTTGTGCGGGAAATCAGGGAGTATGAACATCGCGCAAATTGCGACGAACATCGTAACGCTACCCTCGACGTAGAACAACCATCTACAGAATTTTCAACATAAATGAGTAAAAGAGACGTCATTTCTCACCTCCATGCAGCTTGACCAAGTTTCCCCTGCATGCCTTGAAGTATGCCAGATGCAATCAGGGATCCGAAAGCATTGCTGATCGGGATTCCGCAGGAAATGAGAGCTACTCTCAAGGCGAGTTCGTCTCGCTTGTACCACTGAGATATAAGAAACAAACTTCCAGGGTAAAAAGGTCCCTCGGCAAATCCAAGAAAGAAACGGGCGAGGACAGCCCCCGCATAACTTGAATCGAACTGTCAGAAACTGCATAGAATGATGCAAAGCGAAAAGGTGTACTTCTTTGTGATTCCTGGGTATCATTAGTATTCGTCGTAAGGATCGATGTGCACAAACCTGTTAATGCCGATATTGCACCCCATACCAACATACAAGATGGAAGAAATATCGAAGGTCTCCCCAGCCAGTACAGAAACATATTTCTGGAAAAAGTCAGTCGACTTATCGCCTAATGGTGGATACAACTCACGCTGGCACTTGCATAATGATGTATCCGACGAAAAGGATTGACAAGATCGTGGCGTATTGTTGCCCCTGCAGGTGTAGATCCTGCTCAAAACCTTGTAACCGAGCATTGCTTTCGACGCCATGAGATTAAAGCAAGTATGACAACAAACCACATACGAAACATTTGATCTGTCGATCTAATCGTGGGTGCACGGTAAGCGCACATACCAATGAAACTCGACAAATAACTTGAATTCAGACTCACATAATTGAGAGTAAAGATAACCACGATTATGGACATGCGCAAATCGAGCTTCCTCAGCAATCTCCGTTCAAGATCGTCACGGGCACACGCGGCATGATGGGGTACGTCCAGAGGCACCTTGAAGTCGCCGATTGCGCTGGTAGTTTCACCCGTCTTTGAATCGTCGAGAGCAGACATCGTTCCAAAAGATAAGAAACACAACCGGAAGGCCTTGATGACTGCACTCTTTTTAGCCTCCTCCAGTCAGGATGTTCTTTCTTAATAATATTCTCTTTTGACGCCTACCACGACAGTCAGGTGAGAAAACAGCGTGGCATGGATCTTGCTGCAAAGGGAGCCAAGAGCTATTGGCAATGGCCTGGTAGGGAATCATCTGACAAGATGAGGCACCTTCATGAAGGACAAGAATAGCGTGAGCCATGGCACCAGGAATTCACCAGTGCTTATCAGGGTGTCCAGTACTCGATTGATCATGACGGTGACGGTGATTCATTGAAGGTGTGTCGGGCTGCAAATTCTGTACCACAATTAATCAGCAAGCTTAAGAACGATTTAGTTAGTTTTACCTACATGATCGTTCCTATATATCATGATGGTGGTACAACATATAGAATTTTGAAGTGGTACTAGTTACTACTTCACACGTGATACAACCTGGGTAACCCGAGCGCAGAATAGCAATGAACGCCAACAGAAAAACATAAAAACCGCGATCCCCAAATACATCCGTCTCCCCAAATATAAGTATCGTGAAAATCGTAATGGCTCTCTGATCAGTGAGATATTAAGGCTGTTCACGAAGTGCTCGTCAAAACCTCCCACCAACGCCTCATCACTCTCGACACGCTCCGGGGGTGACGTGCATTCACAGCAAAAGCTGCTTGCGCCGTGCTCACTTTGCACTGGCTTCCACCTCCACCGGCCGATGCAGTTGAAGAGGGCGCGGGTGTACCAGTAGCGGTTGAGCTGGAATTGGAAGATGTCGGTGACGAAGTATTTGACACTTGCGCCGCGAACGAGACAACTGGAGGCCCAGGAAACGTGTACTGCACGGGTGTGTCGAAAACTGTTGGATCGTAAATTCCTGGGTCGGTATCGCTGTATCCGCCTGGAAAAGTGACATCGTCACTCGCTGGGGCGACGCCCGATTGGTCACCCAGAATATTTACCTGCAGAGGACGCGATTGACATGGAATATAAGACCACGGACAAAACATGGCTCACCTGGGTACAGCTAGGGTAGAACTCGGCACCGCCCACCTCAGTTGCAAGATGCAGCGCGATGATCTCGTGCCGTACGAGGTACTGCCCAGGAGCTAGTGTTGGAGGGAGGGTTACGTTCGATGGGCCACCACTCACTATGCGAGCAACATTCAGACAGAGAAAAAAAATGACGTAAATGAATAGACATACTGATATTTTGCTGATACCAAACCATATTACCTGGCTGCAGTCCCGTCTCCTCAATCTTGAACCACTCCGCATTCGTTGAGTTATACTGATCGCACGTAGTGTTAACACACTGTGCCATATAAGTCATGATGGGGCCAATATTATGGGGCCAGTTGCTGCCGTCCCCGCCCTTCCACCAAAACTGCAACTGACTGGCTGGGTTAGCATCGGCGACAAGTGATGCGAGTTGAGCATCTTGTCCGCAATTGAGGTACGGGTTGTCAGCGCCCTTCACTGGTGAGACATCATTGATCTGTCTGACGATGCTGGGAACAGGGTTGGCATTGGGGAGGTTCCCATAGTAGTCTTTGCCATCTATTGCAACTTGTGCGACATATCCATGGCCCGAGACAAATGGCAGTAATGCAAGAAGGGATAGGGAAAACCGGTATGAGCAGTAAGACATGGGATGTCGACAGTCAAGAATGTTATCGCGGATCCGGGCTTATATCAAGAGCAGAGGAAAAAGCGCGTAAAAGAAGGACGGCGAAGCGAAGTTAAATTTGTGGAAAATGCACACAAGGGGTGACAAGGCTCGCGCACAGCGTGAGGAGAAAGTACGTCGCGGTATAGGCGGGGATCTTGCGGGGAAAAAAGATGCAAAGGGGGGCGCGAGGACGCAACGTGTTTATGCTTTATATATACATACGTGCGCGTGCCATCAAATTTTCTATTGTTGTCACTCGCAGCCGTAGCTGGAGAGAACAAAAAAACATGGTGAAGGCGTGGACAGTGAACTTCATTATCCGAAGCGTGCCTAGGAAAAATTTCTATTATTAATTGCCTCCGTCACAGATTAGATTAGATCATGCAGCTGTGACAGCTTACCACAACGTTACTTGGTTTTTTCGACCACCGTTAACCGCCAGACCTCTTCAAGCGAATCCATAATCGTCACGATTCTGCAGCTTAGTATACAACTAGGCGTCGAGTCGTTGCGTGACACGGTACAAACCTAACCCAATCCATTATCGATCACCATCCATTTTATCTGTGAGCCTCATGTTCGCCGCATGTCCGCAGTACCTGCTGGTCCCCGGTTCTCTTCCATTGAGCGCTCGCCTTCCATCAACGTTTTGGACTGATAGTGAATTTGGTATTCTAGGTTCCGGGAACTGTGCCCATGCCACATCAACTGCTCAAGCTAGAAGCAGACTGATTTCTTGATATCGATCACTGGCACTGTGAAACTGTGCGAATCTGCTTAGCCTCAGCTATTCAATCACTCCGATAGACTGTTTTCACTTGGCGTTTAGAGGGTGTTATGTGGCCCCTCAGCTTGCGTCTAGTACTCGGTAAGACTGAGGCGGTGGATAGAGATGGAAGAGTGGTAGCCAAAGTTTGATGGTTTCAGCCTACATATTTCGCCGGGGTAAATATTGGGATAGGCCTGAAGTTCCGGGCAACATGTTAACCTGCATTTTGACTGAAGAAGGTATTTATCTTATCACTTCAATTCTCTTCAATTTCGTTTTGCTAGATCGCTCCAACGATAAAACGTTGAGCGTGTTTTGCCGCCGGAGCCAACATTTCATCTACAGTAGCCTATCAGCAAACGTGGCCAGTCGGACCTTGTCATTCTCCAACGTAATCAATTCCATGTTCCTAGTACTTGATAAACAGAAAGGACACACTCTCAAGTAATGCGCAGAACACCAGAGCCATCAGCACGCTGTTGCATGAATATGCTCCGGTCGCCGATCATCTCCGCCACATCTTCCCGCACGCTCTTCCTGTCCAGCAATGGACGCGACCCTTCGCTTAAATCAGCTTTCGTCTGGGAGATTTGTGTCGGGAGTTCCGAGCCGTACAGAGCGGCACCGATATTGATAAGCGTCAATTCTCCACCTTTGCCTCGCCTGAAATGGGTGACGACGGTCATGATGAAAAGCAGCATGAAGATGGCGGTAGATACGGCAAGATGAGGCATAGATGTTGCAAAGACAACCTCGGGAGTTGACAATCTTCCAGGTACGTACGCAGTACCTAGGTATCCTGTCAAATACGCTGCGAGAAGGATACAGTCAGAATATTGTTTTGTTTTTTCAAAAATCAATCGAGTGTACCTTTTGATGATGACTGCAACATCGTGGTGAAGGTCGCTGATAAATTTGCAGTTGACAGTACCGTGAGGTTCACGATTGAACCTGCGCTTGGGAGATTGTCAATTTTCTCTCTGCCAAAGAGAAAATATCGCTGGGCAACCGTCCCTAGATTTCCGTAGGGGTCACGAACAAGGTCGACAAAGGGTCCTGCGTTAGCGCTGAAGTCCATCATCGCGAATGAAAGTAGAGCAGGCGTTTGTCTGGGATGAAGATTCCCTTGCGTCTTGTAGTTAACGCCATTCGGGCTGGGTTGAACGCTGAGCATGCCCAATCCGTTATTGCGGACTTCCCGCGTCGTAATCTGTACATTTGGCTTGCATACAAGGAAGGCTACTTCGAAAAATGCCCCATCCTGCTGATATTGGAAACTTGGCAAACCAGTGAAGTTCAACCACGCCTCGCTCAGGCTGGATACGGAGACGGTCATGTCACAGCCTGCCACGCATTGGCTGATTTGAAACACAGTGGACCCGTCGGTTGGTGGCTCAAGCGTACTATGATTTAAAACAGATGATGTTGGATCAATAATATACGCTGAGAATGACGCTGGGAGAAGTCAAAAATACGTGGACTTCATATGGTTTCTTCTACTTACAGTCAGCAATGATAGACACATCTAAATCTGCGTCCTGTAGATTGACGCCCAGTACAACCTCTGTGTCATTGGAGCTCATATCCACAGTCCCTGTTATGTTTGTTGATGACCATGCGCAAGACGGGTTGATACCGATAACATCAGTAAGCCACCTCGAACTCGTTGTCGTGGAAAGGTCAACGGGAGCTGGCACTATGTATGCTGCGATATCCGAGTCGGAGCTGTTGGCCGTGGAGAAAGAGTATCGCACGTTGAGCATCATTTCCGCCCAAAGCAGATAGGCAGCACGCGGAGCGTTGTTACTTGCATAAAGGCCAGAAGAGTTCAAGTAGTTAGTCGAACCACTGCAAAATACCAAGGATAGTTACAATAAAGAAGAAAAATGTGTATTTCAGTTGATTCACATACTTCCAAACGCTTTGCGCTGGCACAGCGGCAACAGCAAATGCCATGATATCGCCATCCGCAAGAACACTTTGTATTGACACTGAAACAAACAGGTTAAAAAACATGCCGAGTTTTTTTGACCAGAATTACACTCACACGTAGCAGGTGCCAAAGTCGAAACAACTAGAACCATAATTGACGCTGTTGTGCAAGCAACAAAGTACCGCGAGCAATTGCGTCCTATCATCGCTTTGATGGTGCTAATGTATCCAAATGATGGACTAGATATGCTGTTCACAGTAGATAAGGGAACCCTGTGAGGCCGAGACGAAAGGACTCGAAAGAATTCTTCACTCTGTAATCTTGATATTGATAGTATATGTCGGTAGAGGAACACCAGCACATACCCTCAAGTCCGACAGCATACTGTTGAGTGGGTACAACGCAATTGTGATGATAATGATGCTGATAGATGTGATTGCGCCCTTGATGGCAACTAATCGTAGAAACTTTCAGCAAAGTGCCCAGTGCCCCGAAAGGAGAAACCATCTTACTGAGATTGGCAGGCGTAGTGTCTATGAGACCGTGGGTGTTCAATGGCACACTGTGATTATGAACAGTGTAACAAAATGCCAGATACCCTATGGCTACCATTGGGAAGAGCAAGCTCTTGCAAGCATTATAGAAGCTCAGCCAAAATGACTTGCGTGCATTCGGAGAGTGGTGCTGATGATAAATATGAGGACGTAGAGGTCGTAGAGGGGTGAGGGATTCAGCTACCCTCCCATCGGGAGAGTCGTCGTATTCGAGTGACAACTCTGAAGCTAACGGAGCGTTCTTCATAGAATGAGATGCCCGAGGTGATCGTAGCCTGTTCTTCAAGTCATTCATTGGAATGTACGAAGATTCCGCCATGCTGCTTTTCCTTGCTCGCTCGCAGGCAGGCAATACAGGTATACAAGTCGCCAAGAGAGTGGCGAAGACAGAGGTGAGAATTCAATACAGGGTCATAACAGCTTGTCGTTTCGTATATTTTTGGATTGATGTAACCTCAACAGTTAAGCTAATCAGCACGTTATGTCCATAATCTCTGGCCCCGCCAGTACTTACCACCTCGAATAAGGCGTGCCGCACACGCACGCTGTGGCTCTCCGATGGTCCTAATGAACCCGACTCTAAATGGTGAACCCAACTAATTAGTACAAATCCATTCAGTTTCAGAATTTAGTCATTTTTGATTCGAAGGGAGCCGAGTTTGCTACTCGCCTCGACAGTAACCCTACACTGGTAAACAATTTAGATCAAGGTGATGGCAAGCAAGGTGATATACTCTCAAGTAATGCGTAAGATACCAGAGCCATCGGCTTGCTTTTCCAAGACTATGTTCGGGTCGCCGATCATCTCCACCACATCTTCCTGCACACTCTTCCTGTCCCACAACAAACGTGACCCTTGGCATAAATCGGCTTTTATCTGGTAAAACTGCGCTGGAACTTCCGAGTCGTGCATTGTGGCAGCGATATTGATAAGCGTCCAATCTCCACCTTTGCCTCGCCTGAAATGGGCGATGATCGTCAGGATGAAGAGGAGAATGAATATTGCAGTAGATACAGCAAGCTGAGGCACATTTGTCGCAAAGATGACCTCAAAAGTCGACACTCTTCCAGGCACATATGCAGTACCTAGGTATCCTGACAAAAATACTACGAGAAGGAGGAATTTTGAACAGATGTTTTTTTTTCAAAATGGATGAAGTGCACCTTTTGACGACGACTGCAGTAATGAGGTGAAGGTTGATGATAAATTTGCAGTTGGCAGTACCGTAAGGTTCATGATTGAACCTGCAATTGTAGGGAGATTGTTGACTTGCTCTGTACCGAAGAGAAAGTCTAGCAGGACGTCCGGCGCTAGCGTGTCATAGTATACTTGAATTTGGGTGGCAGGTCCCACATCGCCGATCTCTGACATCGCAAATGACAATAGAGAGGGTGTCTGTGCGGGATCAAGATTTCCCTGTGTCTTGTAGTTGACGCCATTTGGGTTGGGCTGAACACTAAGCATGCCAAATCCGTTATTGCGTACTTCCCGCGTACTGATCTGTACGTTTGGCTTGCATACAAGGAATGCTAGCTCAAACAGATAATCAGTTATGTTATACTGAAACGTCGGCAGACTAGTGAAGTTGAACCAGGCATAGCTGGTTGTCGAAAGTGAGATGTCACAGCCTGCCAAGCATTGGCCGAGCAGAAACACAGTGGACCCATCGCTTGGTGGCGCCTGCGTGCTATGATTGAAAACAGCTGTCATATCAATAGGTGATATAAATGAACCTAGGAGAGGTCAACGTTGTGTAAACTACAGAAAGTTTCTTCGGCTTACCGTCATATGAAGGGACAAGCACATCTAAATCTGCATCCTCAAGATTGACGCCCAGGTAAAACGTGTCATCGAGACTGCCCATAGCTATTCCTGTTATGTTTGTTGATGACCATACGCAAGACGGGTTAATGCCGATAACATCAGTAAGCCACCTTGAAGTTGTTGTCGTGGCAAGGTCAAGGGGAGCTGGCACAATGTATGCTGCGATGTCCGAGTCGGAGCTGTTAGCCGTGGAGAAAGAGTATTGTGTATGAATTATCATTTCCGCCCAAAGCACTGATGCAGCAAGAGGAGACTGCTCATTTGCATAAGTAGAAGTCATGTAGAAGCCCGAATTACTGCAAAATACGGAGAACACATTAACATGAAGAAATTCTGCTAGTTGACTCACATACTTCCAGATTCTTTGCGCTGGCACAGCTGCAACAGCAAATGCCATGATATCGCCATCCGCAAGAACACTTTGGATTGTCACTGAAACAGGTTGAGGAATGCGCCGAGTTTAACCAGAATTACACCCACGCGCAGCAGGTGCCAAAGTCGAAACAACTAGAACCATAATTGACGCTGTTGCGCAAGCAACAAAGTACCGCGAGCAATTGCGTCCTATCATCGCTTTGATGGTGCTAATGTATCCAAATGATGGACTAGATATGCTGTTCACGGTAGATAAGGGAACCCCGTGAGGCCGAGACGAAAGGACTCGAAAGAATTCTTCACTCTGTAATCTTGATATTAATAGTATATGTCGGTAGAGGAACACCAGCACATACCCTCAAGTCCGACAGCATACTGTTGAGCGGGTACAACGCAATTGTGATGATAATGATGCTGATAGATGTGATTGCGCCCTTGATGGCAACTAATCGTGAAACTTTTCAGAAAGATGCGCAGTGTCCGTAAGGAGAAACCATCTTACCAAGATTACCAGGTGTAATATCTATGAGACCGTAGGTGTTCAATGGCACACTGTGATTATGCACAGTGTAACAAAATGCCAGATACCCTATGGCTACCATTGGGAAGAGCAAGCTCTTGCAAGCATTCATCAGTGAATTCATGAGACTGTGATATTAGGGGAGCTCAAAGTGAACCCCAGTGAAAACTGGCTGTGATGGGAGCGGGCGGTGTATGATGAGATATGAATTTCCATTTTCGTACTATGCCAGAATATGCTTCCTTCTGATTATAAGCACGTACAACTTGATAGCAACGCATAAACTCTCTACATTGTATTGTACATTGTACCGCGGGCACCTTCGTATCCCGGAGTACGTGGGATGATTGACGGTCATTGACCGCCCTTGCACTGCTTCCCATCGTTTTCATCAAGTGTATTTATGTAATTTACCTCGATGCCAAGGAATATCTTCTGCGAGGTCGCAGACGGGCCACGGCACGCCGACCATTCGACTGCAGCGTTGTCGAGGACACTTGATCTGCGATATGCTCCTTTCATCACTGCTGTTTGTGTCGCTGCTGTACTCAGCGTGGGCCACAGATTCAAGTATGTTTCTGCTATTCTGTAATGCATGAGCCTCTGAAGATATCCAAATCACACGACAGCATGGGCTAGCATTCCGATGAATGTTCCTTCTCAGCTCACAAACTTGAATTTCAACTACGCCACTGTGACCACCTACTTTGGCACACCACCTCAACAAATGAATCTTACGATTGACGTTTCCACTGGCGAAATGGCCGCATATTCAGTGGACTGCGTGTTTTGCAGTGGCGAAACTTTTTTCGATGCTTCATTGTCCTCAACGTTCCAAGTATGGCCCCGCAGTCGTCCCATATTGTAGCTCTGACCGTAAAGATGTGCAGCATCTCAATTCTCCTTGGGCTCAGGCACGACCTGATTTCAACGGTTCAGAGTCCAGTGATACCATGAGTTTTGGCGGGATTCTCACTGTGACGGACGCGCAATTTGGTAGGTTCATGATAGATTTTAGAGTGTAATTTTTGATTCACCGCGTTGATAGTGCTAATTGACACCGGATCATACTCACTCGCAAGACAAACGATGCACAATGGATTTCTTGGGGCGTTTCTGAATCCCCTTAACAGCACCATAGTCACGGATAACATATTTTCTCAACTCTATCAGTCAAAGCAGTTGTTGAATCCCGTTATCGGTATGCGATTTGACCCGCGAAGCCCCAAACTAACAGTTGGTGCTCTCGACGCGAATGATTATGAAGGGACTATCAATTGGGTTCAGTTGGAGTCTAACCCATCGTGGGATGCATTTAACACGTTCCAAGTCGACGGCCTCAAAGGGTATAATGGGTCATTTGTCCCACAGGGTTCAGGTGGTCTGTTTGCTAGCATCGACTCTTGTAAGGCTCTTACTTGATTTATTCTCCGTTTCTCTTATCGCCTGCGCTTCAGTGCTCCCATCAATAGCTGTCCAAAACGTGTCTACGTACGCCACTAATAATGGATACATCGGTCCAGCCGGTGCCGCCGTTACCATCGATAAACAGACTAACGTCGCATCCCTGCTCTGCGATGAAACCTACCCTTATATTCCCTTGACGGTGTCTATCAATGGCGTCGATTATCAGGTTGATTCCAGTAACAACCTGCTTTACTCTCGACAAATTCAGTTAGGTCTTTGCACTCTCGGCATGACGAATCGTTCCGACACCCTACCACCTAACTTTATCCTCGGACAACCTTTCCTGAGGAGCGTCTACGTGTAAGCAGTGAGAATCGTATCTTGTAAACATCCGCCTCACCTGTAATTTAGCGCTTACCGTTTCCCCACGGACAATTGCCCAGGGTACTACGGCTTCGCTTTTGCTAAAGGTGCCAACCGCACGCAGGCACAAATTTCTCAGACTCCGACATCCACCCCGACCAATAGTGCTCAGTGTCTTTCATTCGCAAGTCCGACGTCAACGCCTTCTGCGACTATTGTCACGGCGCGGCAGGCGCTATTGTCTTCGGAAAAGTATAGTGTGTATGGGAGCACAAATGCGTCTCAAGTGCCATTGATCGATGTCGAAAACCTGTCCAAGATGACATGGAACGCGACCAATCTTTATTAATGATACTTATACGAAACTCATCTGGACTTTGTGCACAACTTTATTGAGGCTGTCTTGCTGTAGCCAGAAGTTTGGACACGCACGGCCATCTTGATTGTCGTCGTCGTCGTCATTAGTGGCAGGCTTGCTTGTAGACAGGACACGTATTCAAGTAATGGGTGTTTACAAGTCCAAAAGCCAATTCAAGTACACAGTGGAATATTAAATGTTCATTCTTCGGCGACAGCATGTTTGGGGCGTTAACGTTAGGGGCTATTGATATTCTACAATATATAAAATACTATCGGTCTTGTCGTTGAGCGCATATTTGGCTTTGAGTCATGCCATCGAATCTGCATACTGCTTATTGCCGACCAAAATCGGTTGTAAATATATACGCTCAACAAACAAAGAAGAAACCCCCTAAACTACTACAACTCTCCTAGATTAAATAATTGGAAAATCGAACGCACATATGTAAGTACAAACTTGTAAGAAACGTCCCTACGACGGACTCGGACGTGTGTCTGGCAATTTAATATTCACGAGACCAAGGAAGAATAGCGCTGAGGTACATGCCATACCAACAGCACCGATCCAGGCAGTCTTCAGCTGCGCAGTTTGGGCTGCAGTCTGGACGATGACAACGTATGCGGCCTTTCCCCTACTAATCTCGCTAGAATTGCAGAAGCATGTATCGTAAAGGCCGGAATACACGAAAGTACACGCCACCACCACCCAGATGGAGTTTGCAACGGCCAATGTTTTTCCCATCCATCGCAGGCAGTTCGATATTGCCCGAGCCCAAAGATACCGTGCAGGCTTCTGTTTGTTTGAATCGTCATCGGAGGCTTGCGGCGTCATGGCGACAGGGCTATACGAAATCGAGCAGTCATGGTTTGCCCAATGGGAGTAACTTGCGGGGCGAATATTAGAGAATGGTGGGTCAACCGATTGTTCTTCCTCTCGTATACTGTAGTGGGCGAGAATACTGGATATCAAGAGCATAAACCAAATGATGGTCGATAAGACTCCATAAATGAGGTAACTCATAGCTCGACACCCGATACGCTGTCTCAAGTTAGCTAACTCGACCGCATCGCGATACCGAAAGAAACGCACTGTAGTAGGCGTGAACCACGCCATCATAAACGCTGCTCCAACTGTTCCCCATTGTAATATAAGCGAAGCACACGAAGCGGCGAACATTCTTGTGAAAACACCAGGTGCCCAATGGTTGCGCTGTGGAACACGGGGGGTTTCCTCGGAGGACTTGAGTGGATAGTTGAGGGGGAGGGTTTCGAAGGACTCGGACTTTTGGGTCGGGATGGGAAAACTAACAGGGGTGCGGTTTTGAGCCTCCTTTGATGCCTCTTCCGCTTCAAACGCCAAGTAGATCCCATCAACTATAGATGCCCATCGGAGTGAACGTGAATAATTGAAAATCGGAGGGGTAAGGAGTTCGTCTGGAGATGAGACATCTTTCTCCTTGGCAATTATTGTTAAAGCTCTTCGGGTGGACGCAGTTGACGTTCCCATATGACCTGCTGCTGCGCGTGCATGTCGGTCGGCACGTCTATAAGCCTGTTGTAAGCGATCGAAATCGCATTTTGGGGAGAATTGCAGCCATCCGACGACTATTGGAATCAACCACAGCCACAGGGAACCAGTGGCGTCGCCGTCAGATTGATAATTTACAAGAAAATCTGCTGGTGAGTTGACTACACTTATGACATATGCGACAACGACCCAGACAATGGCGGTTGCAGACGCAATTGACCATGTGTGTGTGTAGTCCACAAATTCAGAGAACCATTGCAACCAGCGGTCGTTTTCAGGAGGGGAAACGAAGGAGTGGACACGAGTGAAATCGAGGCTCAGCGGGACTTGCTGAAGGTTACCCAAGATAGAGACTACGATACGTGAGTTGGGATAGCCCTCCAATTGGTCAAATTGGCGGTTGATCCAGGCAGAATCGAGGAGGGTGAGGAATAGAGAGTAACCAGCAAGTGCCGGTGACCCGATGGTCAATGCAGCAGACATGAAATTATCGAGCCTGTATCGTGCCCCAAAGGGGAGCTGCGAAATCAGTGCAAGGTTTGGTAGTAACCATGCACCAAGATCTTGCGAGAATAAGGACCACCGAAAAGGTTCCGGTCCGGTTCCACAGACGGAGGTGCACATCGCGTAGCTTATCGATGTTGCATCAGAAGCATTAGATACGGGATGTCCGTCGCCATTGAGTAGACCAGCTAGATTCTGGGTAGCGTTTGCATTTGCCACAATGTCAATCAGGCATTCAGTGAGGTTGAGTCCCGCTACTTTTCCGACAGCATACATCAGGAGTAGTAGGAGACGTAGCCTGAATAAATGAATGAGAAACTAGACCCCTGATGATCCACTTCACCATTGCACTTACATGTTTGAGAGGCTGAGTGCAAGCGAGTCCAATTCGGCTATGAAAGGTACTGTATGATTGTATGATTGTCTTCATGACATGAGCCTACAACATTGTATGATTGAATGAAAACGTCTCACCAAAAAGGGTGGTAAAAAGCTGATTGTCAAGAAACTTTTCAACTGCTTTATAAACGAATCACTCTGTTTGATGGCTTCCATGACAATGCGCAGAATTGAAACAACAAATGTAAAGACCCACCTCGCCAATCGCGAATCTGTCATGGAAGGTGCTCAGGCTGTTCAATTGACTTCTCTTGCTGTGTAATATGTCAATGACATGTTTTGGCAACCAGTTCGCCGTCGTATCCAGCCCGTAATTAACAGGCTGGTCACTTGCCCCGTTCCGTTTTAATAAAGACACAATATTGGGCAAGGATAAAATCTGTTGGTGGAACACAAATGAAACCCAAGACGACTGGGAAGCATTATGATTAACGTTTATGTCCGGGTGTCGCCGAGAAGATGTTTTCAGCCTGCGGTGATAATGCACAGTAAGCGAGAGTAAACGTCGGCTGGGAATAATTAATCAATGGCAGTGACTATCATTGGTGACTGGTACCGGTGACATGTTACGATTGCGAAGTAGATCAGCTCTGAGTATTGTGCACGTACGAAATTGAACCTACTTTGACGCGACAATGTATACTTTGAGGCTTGGAGACTTCGGCCGGATACGCTGAATTGCTATAACAATTTGGCAACGTCGGTACTTGCCAGTAGTCAATCATGTAGTGATAAGTAAGTGTCCCCCCCTAAACTGCCTTACATTAAATAAATAATTCAAGAAATCAAACACAAGTACGCACCCCACCTCAATGAGATCCAGAGCAGATTGTAAGACGCAAACTTGTGACTGAATCGAGGAATGTCACTAATGAGCCAGTCGCTATAGGGTGAACCAACCTCGATGCCAAAAAGCACCACAGATTTCTCATCTGGGCGTTCGTGAAGTAGGGCCTTCACTTCTGGCGTTAACATGGAGAAGAGTCCTTTCGCGATAGTAGCAACGAGAAGGGGCCCTAGGGTCAATGGCGGGGATGGTGTTTCCGAGGCTTTTCCTTCTAGAGGATTTCACTTCGAAGAGGAGGAACAAAAATGGGCCCACCTTTGGGGTTCTATTCTGTGACGACCACAGGGATCTCCAGCACCTTGAGTAGTATTTGTATGTGAGTAAAAAACACGATACGGTCGATATGTGTATGGTAGCGATCTTGAGCATCTTATTGATCGTAACACAAGCTCATCAATGCTGAATGTGACATTTTCTGATTCATATCAGCGAACGACATGACAGTCGATTTCCGCGATCCAGAGCGCATTCAGAATCAAGCGTGCTGAAACGTGTTTGCATGTCGCAGTCTCCTCTGGCACAAGCTTCGCAACTGCAGGCATAGTGACGCAGATATAAAGCTATTCAGAGGTTTGTGGTAATAATATGCATCAGGCAAAACAAAAGAATACTCACATACAGTACTAGTGTACTTTGACAAATTGACACGAACGACGCATTCGCGAATTCGGCGAACACCGGCTTCAAGCAATCCTTACATAATTTTAAATTTAATTTGAAGATGCTCCTAGAGTGACGTCATGGGTGACAGAAAATCACACACTTCACTGCATCACCCAGTTCTTTTTTACAGGGCCATCTGCCCACAAGATCCTTTTGACAATGACAGAACGCCAGAGTTTAGGGAGCTTGAACAAGAAGGAACCACTGCCTTTTCTTCTTTCGAGGTTTGACACGGGAGACTAGGACGATCACTGGCTGGTTTGAAGGAGGCATGTGACTGCAAAATTGTGTTGGAATAGCTGAGCGCTGAACGTTGTGTGAATATGTCGCTTGGATATCGTTCCTCAACTTATAGCTGACCAGTTTGTTTCGGTTGACGAATAAAGCAAGTAAGGTCGGGCACTGTTCCGTGATGTTTCCATAATCACTCCCGAGAAAGTCAGAGCCCTGAGTGTGCCCCATAATACTGTCGAAATGCTGGAGGTGTTGATATGCGAGCCCATCCGAGTCCGTACCTTTTCGTAATATTCTTTATATTCCATGCCTCTGTCGATTTCGAGAGCATCTCATTGCATGACTTGTGTGCAGTTTCTCTACCATCAAAAAAGTGGAATATGAAGTGAAAGAGTGCTGTTTGCAAACGAGTACAACTCATCACTGTGAACAAAGGAACTTATCACGGAAGCAAATGTACCGGCCCTCAGAGGACTCGTACAATGTGATTTGGCAGCCACTGTATGTGTTATCGATGAAATACCGATACAAGGAAAGTGAACGCGAGTTATTTAAACTTGTAATGTCGGGACTAAAATATGTCGCAACTTTGTGCCATTCATGATCTAATGATGCATGCTTTGTTCTCCCTATCGTGCAGGGTATAAACAACAGTATGGGTCTACTTTGCGATTGATTGGCGCCCGAAAGAGTGATACTAAATAGGAAGGCGCACATTATTAAAGGGAAAGACCGAGGAGGGACAAGAGGTCTGTGAGACCTAAAGAAGCGATGACCGCGAGGACAGGGGCAAGGAGAGGAGAAAGGGAAGCAACGATGCCACCGACGAGCGTGACAACGATCTTGAGGATGAAGGTGACGTCGCAGCCGAGGTCAGCGAGCATGGGGAGAACTTCTGTACGGACGTCACCAACGACGACCTTGAGAACGGCACCGAGAGCAGTGAAGAGAATCTAAAAGTGGAGGCTTAGCAAAAACAACTGGGTCGTATTCGAAATACTTACGCAGAGGTCACCAGCAATGAGTGTTGCAAGTTCGGCGACAGTCATCAAGACGGTGCCCTCAACAGGCGCAAGGATGACGGAGGGGTCTTGGCCAATGAGTGCCTGGAGTTGAGAGACAGCACTGGTGAGTTGAGTTTTGATTTGAGCGACGACAGGTGATATGGCAGCAACGGTGGCATTTTCTGCGTTGATGTAGGCTAGGGAGACAATAAGATATGCTGCAGTCAATGCCTAGCAATGATGTCTTACCGAGCTGCTCAGTCAAGGGCTGGATCTGGGTGAAGATGCCAGTGAAGACAACAGCAACCGAGGGGGTAGGAATTCCAACTGCGGTCTCGCCCTGGGTCTCCCGACCGATGCCAGGGACACCAAGCTCCCTGTGAAGACCAGAGACTTCAGACTTGACAGAGGGAACAGTGGGGACGGAGACGCCGGGGAGGGTGATGGGAGCAGCATTGGTGAAGGTACTCAACACGGCCGTGAGGAGAACTGTAAATGTAGTAAAAGAGCGCATTTTTGTAAAGATCGTGGGGTGTCTGGTGAGACGACAGGTATGTTTCGAACGCGTTCGCGGAAAAGAAAGATGACAAGAAGTCGATAGAGGTTTGTCTGAGCACACGGTGAACTTTATAGCACGCCCTCCTTGGGATATAGCTCGTCATCTGTGAATTTTCCTGCCTCTCAAAATGTTCTGAAACGCGATTAAGATTTGCATCACATAGCAGAAGATAGCATCGCATATGTCAGAAGCACATCATTACCTACTTTGGATAGAGGACGGTACTTTTCGTCGGCGGGCCACTCACGAGGTGGAGCAAAAGCTCATTTCTGTCACATGTCACTGCTACGCGCTCCACAACTGATTCTTCAGAAATTGCATGCAATGATTCCTGAGGAAGTGTCTGACCTCCCTGGATGTGTAGACGTCGGCTCCTATGCACACTACACGTACCCCGGTCACCGATAGTGGATGATCTTGGGATGGTCAGTGGAAATTTTCACATACATGCTTGCTTTGCCCATCTTGCGCCACCATGGGCAATGCGGGTGTGAGTCACAGTATTGAGTGCAGTGGAGTATGCAGAAGACGGTGAGATTTCCGGGAGCAAACAAAACTTCACCGCGATCAAATCCGCGGGGACCCCGGCAAGTGGCAACCTCTAAAAAATCCAAAGCCTACGAAAAAAAGTGATTGAGAGTCTCCGCTTTAGGGCTCGGGGAATTAGGGATCCCGCTCTGGTTGACCGGCTAATTAGCACGACCAATTGTGAAGGCCTAAATGACGAGTGTAAATGACAGCAAATTCACTCAAATTCACCCATAGCTCTTTGACGCTGATTTGCGCTGATTTGCAGGTGAATTTGGTCTAATTGACCGTAATATACAACGAAGCTGCTTATTTCCATTCCTCCCACTCATCATCCATCGGTGTCGAGGACGAAGTCCTGGCCACCACCTTTGGCGTCGACGGACCTCCACGAGCAGCCATTGGCTGTACAGGGTGGTCTGACAGAATATCGAGGAGGTACGTGGATGATATGTCAATGTCTTTACCCACATTGAACTCCGTGCTTTTCACACCAGCTAAACCCACATGGTCCGCGCTATCACGCCAATCCCCATCTTCATCATCCGAGTCTGAACATATACCTTGATGTTCGCTGGTCAAGCTCGAAATGGCGTCCACGGTCACGATAGGTGGTCGAATAGGTGGCGGGACGACAGGTGGTGTCTCAGGTTTACCGTGGATGGTTGCATACATATCTCGCCATTTGACGGAAGGAGCGACTGTTGGTTCTTCGCTCACGTCGGCTTGCCAGCGGTGCCACTGACGAATCTGTATATGTTCTTTTAATGTTGAGATGTCTTGGCTGCTCCGAGTGGGGCTGTTAAGCCATGTGATTGTTGAAACTGTCCTCTCGTCAGCCATCGACACTGGTACGACGGAGTATAACTTGATTGCAAGGGCCTGGACATAAGAGTGAGTCAAATGAAAAAAAAAAAATTGAACAAATGTTACCCCAAGGACTCGCGCGTTTTCGTCCTTTTGAACAGCCAACCACCAGTCTCGAACATTCTCGTGCTTGCGAATCTTACGGTTGAAAGGATCCACTCCTTTGTGATACTCCTTGAGCTCGACCTTCAATGCCTGCAGAGCCTCTCGTGGAGTCAATCCAGCGAAGCGGGGATTTCTCTCTTTCATAAGCTTCGCGGCAGCTTGATCTGACCTTACCCCATCATAAACATCACCATACTCGTGCTTGAGCATGAGCTGAAGGCTCGTGCCAACTCTCTTCATGATTGAATCTTCGGGGGACACAATACTGTATGCCCCATTTGCTTTCGTCAAATGGATGGGAGGCAGGTCAAGAGGATTGATATTCTTGTAGATCTGTGCAGTTCGGTGTTCTTCAGAGCATCAGTTTTGTGACGACACTGCAACGAGTTGTCCACCTACCTGGGTGCAAGAAAAATGCCGTGATATATGGATCATTTGGTGCGTCGTTGATCATCTGATTGAACCGCGCATTTGTAATCGCGCGAATGGCCAATTTGGTCTCTTCACGCAGTCGAATTGTATTGCCTCGAAGGAGTTGTTCCATTTGTGCGACAATGGCAAGCCAGTACAGATAGACGTCTGCGCATGTTGTATGCGCAGATTCCAGACACTGAATTGCCTTCGCGTATGGTCCCGTAATTGCTACAAGCTTGGCTAAGGCAACTTGAAACATTAGCGAATCTGTGGTGTTCGCCTCGAATAAATGATTTCGTCCCTGCGCAGATGTTTGCGAGTTGTTACTTGGATCAAAACGGTACATAGTATCTTACCTTCACGTCAATCCCCAGACTCGGATTGCTAACTATGGCTTGCATTGCAGGCAAACAGCGTTGCAGTGAGGCCGCAGACCAATGAATGTTTGCGAATCGAGTTTTGCTGATTTTCTCTAGGCCCCGGCCAATTTTAAGAACACCACGATGATAGTTGAAGTGCTCCATTGCATAGCCTGACTTGTCCATGAAAGCCAAAATCTTTCTAAGATGGTCAGAGACCTGCAGGTAGGGTCCGAGTCATTAGCCTGAATCTTGACGAGTACAAGTATCACTCACCTCTTCAAATTCGGGCAGCTGACATATTTGCTTGGAGCACAGTGATAGTAAATGACATGCATCCTGGAGGTTTAAGATATAAGGCCACTTTGCCGACAAATCTCTGCGGCAGTTTTTCGTGTTTCCAGTGTCATCTGACGATGAGCCGGAGAAGTTATAGGGCCCGAATTCGGCAATGACCTATCGCAACATTAAGGTGAGCTTTACATTTGTGCACCGAGCGGGGTACAAATTGGACTTACACCCTCCAACAACTCTCCAATATATTTGGCTGTATGACTGAGCATCGAGGCGTCGTCGAGCTCAAGCAGAAGGGTTCGCCTGTCAGCAGTGGTGACATGAACAGTGTAGAATGATTTGGGCTTCCGGATTTTTCCACCATCAAACGTAATGGTGAGATCACGTTGTGTTTTCAGATAGTCGAAAATCATTTTTGTTATTCTTGCAGATTCGTTTGGAATTAGTGTATCGGCAAGAGTCGTTGCAGAGGCAGGCTTGTAGTTGGCATTCAGAATGCTACAAAAAGCCTTGAATTCATCCGAATCAATGATGTGTGGTGGGATTCCCGTACACGTCACAAGTAGCATGAGTGCTTGGTCACCTTTCTCCTTTAGTGCTTTATGACCTTCGGTAACATACTTCTTGTTGAATGACGCAACCTGTTTTGAACTTGAAACGACCTGCAGCTCCATCCTTGGTTTCTTCATCGGCCGGTCTTCCACCTCCAATAGCATGACGTCATTCGAATCCGAGTCCGACTTTGACCCTGCTTCTAGGACCACACCTTTTCCCTTCCCTCGTACAGCTTTGGAAGCCATGTAATCCCTAGCTTCTTTGCGCCACTCCCTCGCCATACTCGGACACTCATTGGCAGCATGCTTCATGATTCGTTGCCGAGCTCTTGGCCATGACCAGGTGATGTTACAGCCACGGCTGGCAATGCACCGAACAAGTTTTTCCCCGGTGGGATCACTTGCTAAATGGCAAGGCTTCGAAACCTTGCGAAGCAGTGGATGCATCTTTGCTCCACCTTTTCGACTGTCCTCGTCTTCGCCAGCACTGATATACCGGTCATCATCGAAGGTTGCCAATATATGGCTATCGAGCTTCTGAACCTTGGGCTTTCGTTTCCCGGGTATCTGAGTATGATTGACTTTGATTGGCTTTTGTTTTGTAGAACTCGAGTCCGAGACAAGGACTGGCAACTTTATAGTACGCCATCAGTAAGTCTATTTTATTGGACGGAAAAATAAGATTTAACTCACAGCTTTTCCCGCGGCAAGAATGAGGCCTCGCGCAGCTTCGAGAGTGTCGTCAACCCATTTCTCCAGGATAACATCACCCGGAAATCTCTTTGTCCATGTTTCAAAAACGTGGACTATGGCCTCCATCTCTGGGCCTCGTTCAACAAGTTTCAGGCCATCAACTCGACTGCCCAACCTGACTTCTAGCTCTCGATTGACGGCAGCAGCCTCGCCAATGTCCGCAGCCCATTCAGCATCTGGGCTGAAGTTCGAGAATTTATACTTCGACTCCTTGGGAATAGGTATGTCTGCTGGCAATGCTGCAAGACAGAGTCGTAGTTCAGCTAGTTGATCCTTGAGATGTTGTTGCATTTAGCTTTGTGATGGGGAGGACAATACTTTTACAATATTTCTGCGACTCGAACTTCACAATTCTTCGGATTCTCGGTGATTGTCCGAATCGGCAACCAAATCTACTTATATATTTTGACTATGACGAGCCAGGGTGTTCAGAAATTAAGCTTTTTACACTGTTCCAGCCGAAACCAGCCGAACTGAACCAGACCCAAATTCACCCAAATTGACACCCCGTTTTCGAGGGTCTGAAATTCACCCTGTCATTCACGGTAAATTAGCAAGGCAAATTAGCTGGGCAAATCAGCCCACCCCAAATTCCCCGAGCCCTACTCCGCTTGCGCTTCAAGGTGCTGGGCTGTCGCAAAAAAAATGAATGTGATTGGTGAATGTTTATTAGGAAGCGTACATGGAGTGAAGACTAGTGAAGACCGCTCTGGCAACTGATGTTATCAGACTCTCGGGACTGTCATCCAGAACTTCCGATCATCTATCAGATCTTCAAATCTGCTCGAGGAAACCAGGACTTGATTAGGTTAAAGTACTATGCAGAAGACTGAAGCATGCAGGAGTACCAGTGTCAGACACATGAATCTGTGGCCTTCGTGAGGCACGAACCGTGGAGGGGAACTTGTCAGAGGGCTCAAACGGTGCCCTTGACCATTCAGGGAGTGTGCATCTAGAGTCCGAATCTGCATGCAGGGCCTGCGCAGGCCTATGCGTAACCGCATACTATGTAGAGTATAAGCTCTTAGCAAACAGTCACAAACATCTTGCAATACATGTTGTGGCGCTCGTCACTGCGGGCCACGACAACTCGCACATATGCCGTCGCTACCATCATTAGAGGCTTTTGCCAAGGTGCTTCTATATCTTTTCACGATAGTCAGCAACCCTTGACTATTAGACATTGTTCACAGGGTACCTTCGCTACCGTGGCTGGTGTTACAACGCTAGGTCCAGCGCCTCCTAATGGATGATGTGTTCGACTGACCTTTCTATCTTATTATTAGGCTGTGGGCTACTATACTACGGACAAAATTATCTCATTTACCCATCCGCATTCCCCCCGGGCTCTCGTACAGGTCTGTATTGCCATTCACTTCGCGCTGCACGTCAGCCTAACTGACCAAACTTTAAAAGAGGTCCAAGTGCCAACGGATTTTGGGCTTGAATATCAGGATTTGCCCCTTGTCACTGAAGATGGGCTCACTTTGCGGTGTTACCTTCTCACGCAACGGACAGAGATAAGCAACAACCAAGCTGCACACATCGAGTACGCAGACCATCAGACGCATGAAGAGGTACGTCTCACTACTCCGATACTTTGCGTCTATTCATTCACTTCTCTATTTATTCGCCTTATCTAAGTTTGCATCCACTCGACCAACAGTGGTGATGTTCCATGGCAATGGCGGAAACCATGGTCATAGGATACCCCTTGCAAAAGTATTCTACGTAAAGATGCGATGCAATGTACTCATGCTCTCATACCGCGGGTGCGCCCTCTTTCTTTCGCAATACAGTCTACCTTGCCGTCCGGGAATTCCTTGCTCATCCGTGCCAACAGATATGGTCATTCTGAGGGTTCCCCATCAGAAACAGGTAAGACACCGTATCTGCAGTAATCTACTCTCCTTGCTCACTGCAATTCTAGGCATACGTATAGATGCGCAAACGGCGCTCAACTATCTCAACTCGCATCCATACCTGCAGAATACTCCCGTTGTAAATATTTTCGATGCCCCTTCCAAGGATTGAACTAATTTGCTTCTGTATCGAGATTCTCTATGGCCAATCTATAGGCGGTGCTGTCGCTATCGACCTTGCAAGTCGAAATCCATCAAAGGTTATTATGTTCCAATTTCGCTTTCATGCTTATGATATTCTAAGACTCTGCAGATTGCGGCGTTAATCCTGGAGAATACGTTTACGACCCTCCCACGTCTCGTACCTAAAGCTCTTCCTCTTCTTGGCCCTCTTTCATTCCTCTGCCATCAAAAATGGGACTCAGCTTCGAAAATACCATTGATTCCTCGGTCAACACCAATTTTGATGCTGAGCGGCGTTCGGGACGAAGTTGTTCCACGCGAGCACATGCAAGAGTTATGGCAGATTATTTCGCGGCGCCAGGGTGCCAAATTGGGCACTGGAAACAAGTCAGACGTGACGGAAGTCGGTAATGGGAAGTCGAAATTCATTGAATTTGAAGGAGGATATCACAGTACGTCATTTTGGTTCTCTGAGATACGGAGTTTAATGATGGCCTGTAGATGATACGTGTGTCCAGCACGGGTATTGGACTGCGGTCGCTGACTTTGTGGCAAATTTGAGTCGGCTTTAGAAGCCCCTTGACGTAGAGCATACTCGTTCTATATATGAACCATACGAAACAGCATCATGATCATATCTTGGCGTTGGACAGTTTTTTTCTGCTTCCTTTCCCTTTTTTCATACATTCCTTCACAAACATGCACACCCACTATTACATATCATTACACCATCCGGAAAGTGACTAGTTTTCATAGCGATCATCGATGTAGCAGGGAAAACAAACGTCTAAATAATCGTTTCATCTTCGTAACGATACGCAACCATCGCTTCTATTCGGTGTACATCGGTGCTGAAGCTTCTCAATTTCACTTGCTGACTCTTGCTTGCTTCAATCGCCAGGGGATCAGTGTCGACCCACTCATCTGCAGGCACGTCAGCGGAGTCATGCGTATATGCAAGGATATTGAAGACAGTCGGCTTGTCAATAATTGGGAGGAAGGTGACGGTTGATACGATTTGTTTGAGGATGTAGCGAATCTCGGCTTGAATCTCTGATTCGGGTTTCACAGGTGGACTTGTACAGCAGGGTCAACCAACTGAGTGCCATAAACAGTGGCAAACCTACGGTTCGGCAGAATCAGCTGGCTGTTCAACGAGGTTGACATCGAACACCCATCGCTCAAGCGGTAGTCGGGTATCTTTTGATATGATCGCGAGTACGAGCTGCGTTACCGACCCGGTAAGTAGCCACTCTGAAGTACAATTTTAGTCAGGGTATAAGGAATCGCTGCGTCACCTACTATTGAGTTGCTTCAGTATCCTTCAGTCAAAGTAAGCAAGTGTATGAAAATCGACATGAGATGAGATGCACCTGTCGAGGTAGTTTTCTAGTGCCAAGTCCTGTGTAACGAGGACAGTTTGCCCATACTTTTTTACCATGTGGAAGTCATCGGATGGGTATACTCCGCGTTGAAAGAGAATACTGTTTCAGGCCATGAAATCGTGAGTTTGGTGGCTTTGGTTGAACAGTGGCTCGTAATAACGCACGTGTTGGCTGCATACTTGAAAAACTCTGTGACGAGATTCGTAGAACCTTTCAGAGTGATGGCCTGGCGAGTTGGCGCTTGAGATGTTGCCATGTTGCAGGTTGAACAACTTGAGAAACTAAGTAGCTGCCAAAAGATTGATGGACAAACGCGAGCGCATGTTTTGTGACGCGATCAGATCACGTGGAGGTGTTTATTTCTAAAGCTCTTGCCAAACAAACGCGGTGACCATGTATATATTTGTAATTTTCGGTGGACAGCATTTGAAATCCTCTTTCTTCATCAAATCGCCATTTGCAAAACATCGGATTATTCACAACATGGACGAAGCAGATCCGACATCTCAATCTAATTATATACAGATCGCTACGAAGCACATCATCTTTAACTGGACGATTGATTTTGACAACAAGGTCATCACAGGCACTGCAACACATGATCTGATTGCAAAAACTGATGAAGTCTCAGAGGTAATGTGAGAATCGTTGTTTACATATTAATTTGCATGGTTTTTGAGCTGTCTCAGCTTCGACACCTCGCATCTGCATATCGAGGGAGTCAAAATCGATGGGGATGAGGTCCAAGACGTGCGCTCTGCGTCTTCTAACTGTCTGATGTGCTTTCCTGAGCCTGGATCATCTATAGTTCAGACTCGGCCCCAAGCATGAAGTCATGGGATCTGCGTTGCATATCCCTCTTCCTCGAACTGTGAGCGCCGGGTCGAGTATCTCAGTCGAGATCACATACAGGACGACTGCGAATGGTACAGCCTTACAGTTCCTTGAAAAAGAGTAGGCTTCTACTTGCCACATGTACAAGATCGCTCTATCGTTCACCCTCATTCAGGCAGACCCAAGGGAAAATGTTCCCGTTCTTGTTCAGTCAGTGCCAACCCATTTACGCGCGAGACCTCGCTCCTGTGCAAGGTGAGTCGCCTCGATCATCTGATTTTGCGACATGGACAAAAGCTTATCATGGACGGACAAGACACTCCGTCCGTGAAGCTGGTGGGTGTTCTTCACCGATTAACTCGAGGCTTGTCGTGCTGATTGCGAACTATCAGACGTACAGCGCCAGCGTCCGTTCTGTACTCCCTGTACTTCTATCTGCGATACGGGTTTCTCCGCCATCAGATGGTCCAGTTCATGATGGCAAGATCATCGGCAAGGATGAAGTTGTATATACGTACGACCAGGCATGTCCAATCAGTCTACTCATCGCTTTCCTGCTTCTTAACAAATATTGGCATTTCTAGCCTACCCCGATTCCGTCATACCTTCTCGCGATCGCCGCAGGCAATGTGCAGTACCGGCCGTTTCAGGTTCCTGAAGGAAAACAATGGAAGTCTGGAGTTTGGTCTGAGCCTGAGCTTATGGACAGTTCGTTTTGGGAGTTCAGTCGAGATACCACCAGGTGAATGGGCTTGAACTTCAGCACCACCGTAATGCGAGTTAATTGTATGCCAGTTTTCTAGCGGCTGCGGAGGATCTTGCCGGGCCATACCGATTTGGGGTTTTTGACCTCCTTGTTCTTCCGCCGTCCTTTCCTTATGGTGGCATGGTCAGTTACGCGTTATTCTATACAACCATCTACTCATTGCCACCAGGAAAATCCGTGCCTGAGCTTTGTGACACCGAGTGAGCATATAACATGTTTGTATCAGAATGCTGACCCCTTTCAGCCCTTCTTGCCGGAGACAGGTCTCTGACAGACGTGGTGATCCATGAACTTACGCATTCATGGTTTGGGAATGGTGTTACGTTGGTTTTCCCTGGCTTTCTTTTGTAAATTCGCTGAGGGTATTCTAGGCATGCTCACGCTTCTCACTTTTGGCTTAACGAAGGCTGGACAACTTATATCGAACGTGTGCTACTGGAGATCATACACTCACCTGCACACCGAGGCCTTTCCTCTGTGATCGGATACAAAGCATTGCTGGACGCCCTTGCACTCTTCGAAGACAAACCAAAATACCAAAAGTTGGTTATCGACTTTGATTATGGGGAGGATCCGGATTCTGCGTACAGTCGGGTGCCTTACGATAAAGGTGCAAATTTTATCTTGCATATTGGTACGTTTTATTCTCTTCATGTATTTGTCCGTTGAACTGTATCGTTTCAGAGCGTACGCTCGGTGGCCTTGACGTCTTTCTGCCCTACGTCAAGGACTACGTCACTACTTATATGGGCCACAGCATCACCACAGAGACATGGAAGAATCACCTCTATGCCTACTTCCAGAAGAATGGCGGTGAGGCACAAATCAAAGCATTGGACAGCATTGACTGGGACGTAAGACTGAACAACTTATAGCTGGAGAAATAAACCGCTGAAATTGACCGACAGGCGTGGCTTCATCAAAGTGGATTGGACTTACCTGTCAAGATGGAATATGATATGACTCTGGCGAATCCTGCAAACGCGCTTGCCGACCGGTGGTATGAATCACGTCACACTTCGGACATTTCAAAGCTAGATTTCAAGGCTTCTGATTTGGATAACCTGGACGCCAACCAAAGAGGTGCGCGCCAACAAGCTTTCAATGATTGTATCAGTCGGATAAGTGAGATTGCAGCTGTCTTCCTCGAGCGATTGGAGAGTTACGATGAATCTCTTCCTGCGGCTCACCTTTTCCATTTCGACGAACTATACAGCTTCTCAAATACCTCCAGTGCCGAAATTCGATTCAGATTTTATACCTTGGTACTCAAGTCCGAGGCAGCGAAGCATTTCGTTCAAGGTGCAGCAGATTGGGTTGTTGGGGCGGATGACACTGGCGTCATCAAAGGCCGCATGAAGTTTTGCAGACCTGTGTTTAGAGCGGTGTTCAAGGTCGACCCCGACCGCGCTATATCAACGTTCAAGCAGGCTCGGACACAGTTTCATCCCATTGCGCAGAGTCTCATTGCGCAGGTACGCATTCTACTAAGTCTGTCCGAAGATATCCTTATCTTCAATCCATCAGGACCTTGGGCTGGACCTGGCTGGGCTGAGAGTTTGTGGATAAAAAAAGGGCTGTACCTGAGCATGTTACTTACTGTATGGTTTCGGTGCGATCACAATCGAATCTTGGGTACCTACTATGTATACTAGTTGTATGTTGAGCAGCGGGAGACAACTGCCTAAATTTGGTTTGCTTGGACCTGAGGTCCGAGCGCTGAGCCAAGCGATCGAGCGGGGTCAGCGGTGGGCCTGAATGGCCAAGGCTAAGTGTCAAAATTAGCCGAGTGGGGTAGGAACGGCCGGGTCCACACAACGTACCCGAACAACAACCTCTCAGTTGCCAATCACCTCTATTTTCTCATTCCTTCGACAGCGTTCATGAGATTCACCGGCTTGAGATATGACCTCTCTTATGAATGGTTTGGTGTCTCGACTCCTTTCGACCCAGCCTGTAGGCTTGTTACATCTCCTTTCTTTTCTCCTCTGAGTCTCGGCGCATTTCGTCTGCTGTTTGCTGTTTATTCGCTCGTTACAACAATCACTGTGCTCGTTTTTGAGTCTGTTCGTTACCATGATGGTGGTAGGTAAGTACCAGACTTAGGGTGGTCCAATAATTGATCTGATTGGCTGGTCCTGCTACCACAGCTTTTTTTCTTACTTCACCGATCTCAGTTACATTGGCCTTGTCGCATACTTCTGGGCATCTAGCATTCAAACCATAACATTTGTGCTGCGGGGACAGAAGGCGTACCCTTTGCAATCATGGCCACGGATCCTACAGCTCTTGCACGTCCTCCTGTACACCACTATCATCATATTTCGTGAGTCTTAATGCCTAACTTTCTCAGTTTATCAAAGTTTGAACATTTTCTCGCAGCAATCATCGTGACTGTTGTTTTTTGGGCTCTACTCGCTTCTCCGTCAACGTTTAGTACCCAGTACTCAGGTATGAGCGGTGTTTATTCATATCGGTTGCTATTGTTGCTCATGAAAGGCAATTCTTAGCTTGGTCCAATGTATCTCAACATGCCATGAATAGCGGCTTCGCTCTATTTGAGATACTCTTGACAAATGCTGGCCCAAGTCCATGGAGCCACATCATACCATGCTTATTACTTTTTGCGTGTTACCTCGGTATTGCGTATATAACCCATGCAACGCAAGGATTCTACAGTACGTTCATGTTTACATGGACTATAACAGCGCTGACGCCTATCATTAGCTTACAGTTTCCTTGATCCATCAGTCCAGCACGAACTTTTAGCCGCTTACATCATCGGCATGGGTGTTGGTTACTGCATTCTCTTCGCGATCGTGAAGGGTATCTGCACATTGCGGTGCCGTTTTGTCTCGTATTACGGTTTGGACTCTTCTGAACAAGCACAATCTGGAGCTCTAGATGAGTGGGAACACGTTGATGTCGAACAGCCGAAGGAGTCGACTGGATCTGAGGCTTAAGTATCAAAGCCCTCTTTGTTTATTGTTATCTTCATGGTGACCGAATTGGTTTCATTAGCTACTGATCTCTCTGATAATGGACTTCCCTGGAACATCATGTCCGTCCTTACACCACCATGTTGGTTATGTATCATTATGCGATTGGTCTTTTTTTGGCTTTCGCACATAGATGCTCCCTTGGCCCGTCATGAACTAGGCGCTGGCGGTACCGACGTATCACGAGCTCAATTCGCTCAGTATGATCGACTCACAAACACGTACTATAACCATGATTGGTATACTCTGGACGCTGACTGTTCTAGAGTCCTCATTTTGCTCAGCACGGAAGGCGTCTAACCAAGATTCCGCGTTCTCACTTATCAAATCATGGTCGCACGCAAGGCATGCGCCATATTTCAGGCGCCAATAATAAACAATCAGGCGAGCGGCTCGAAGATACATGCTTGACGTGTGACTTGCACGCGTGAGCTCTCACAGGTTCGGGTTAATTTCAAAGCACTGTGATGTTGACGGTCATTCCCTCTTGAACGTGAAATTTTAGCTCTGCCTTGATTCTTTTTGTCACGAGCATCGATCGATTAGCACGAAGGGATCCCGAAGGTGAAGTATATTGTTGCCCTCGGAGCGGAATATGACCCTCGTGATCTCATCAACCCGCTCGTGAGCGGGCCGTTGTGACGGTAAGTAGGTGTGCGCGGTCTCCGTTCGTCAGGATTATTGCAATGACCCTGTGATACGATCCGCTAATCGGATATTTCTCGCAATATAAGATGACGATCTTATGGACTCGACAAGTCAGTTCTTCTGCTCCACGATGTTCCTACAAGGTGTAAAGCTTGCATTTGCATTGTTGGCACTCGGTACGCCATCCTGGGCGGTTGGTGTCACGCCTGGTCAGATCAAAAACTTCGTCACTTTTGGTGACTCCTACACTGATTCCTCTTACTATCCCACTGCTGATGGAGGCTATGCCTGGCCGACATGGGCGGCGATGTATGGTGACTTGAATCTCTATGGCTTCGCTCGTTCCGGGGCAACATGCTCGAACCTGCTTACCTACCGGCCCTTCCCTCCGATCATGGGTGAGTACGCTCAAATAGTTTGTGAATGTCGTCCTGATCGCAGTGACCGCCCAGGTTGGCAACTCCCTGCTTACCTGAATGAGACGAAAAATGGCACGCTAGAATTAGACCCAAAGGAGACGATGTACACCATCTGGATTGGAACCAACGATCTGGGTGCCAACGCGCTGATCACCGGAAGTAATGCCCCCTCCACGTCAATTGTCCAGGTCAGGCAATGCGCCATCGATGTCCTGAAGACCTTGTACGAGAGCGGTGCTAGGAACTTCATCATGCAGAACGTGAGTGTATGAACATTGGGCCACTGTGGCCTTAAGCTCACCTCGCACATACAGATCCTTCCCCTTGACCTGACAATCCTGTACTCTAATTACTCGTACCCCAGCAGGTACTGGGACCTGGAACGCAACACAACCGAATGGAACGTGTATATGAAGGAGCTGGTACGCGCAGGGAATGAAATAACATCCCTCATGCTCGACGCGCTTGTGCCCACGCTCCCTGGTGCCCATATTGGTCAGTCAAGTTTAGAAATTGATTCGAGGAAGCAGCTGACGCATTTTATCGTAGCATCCTTTGACTCCTACGCGCTTTTTACCGACATGTACAACAACCCTCAGAACTACTTTAATGGCACTGCACCATATAACGTAACGGGCTGCATAAATTCATGTGTGTATACCACGAACAGCACGGCAGCACCAACCTGTACAGTCGCCAATGGGACCGACCGTGACAGCTTCCTGTGGTAGGTCCCAAGATCAGTCCCAAATAGCGATCTAGAGCTCACTTGTTGCTTAGGTACGACGAACTTCATCCATCGCAGCAGTCCGACAGAATCGTTGCTAGAGAGATAACCGCTGTGATGAAAGGAGAGCAGAACCAGTGGACGACGTGGCTGAGTTAAGTCGGTCGCATTTGCAGAGTCTTCAAGGGTAGTAGATCATGCTTCAGAACAACCGGGACACCGGGATATTTTGATATTGCCTTTAATTCTACTTGGCCATCAATTTGACGATTCTTCATCACGAGCGAAGACAAATCCATGGCTTATTCATGGCGTTCCAGATGTCCCAAAGTTTTGCGGAGTTCGGCATCTCAGCAATGCCCCAAATAGACTCGAAGGCGTCATCTGCCAGAACACAAGACCAGGACTTTATCAAGAAGCGCTCATTGGCAGATAAAAGGAGGAGAGCCTACCCAGTACACCAAGCACCAGTTACGAAGCTTCGTAGGGACGACAGCTGACTGCCCCGCTATGGCTCTAAGTACTTTGGACTGGCTTGTGTACCCGTCGTTCATCCTCATCCTGGGGGTAATAGGGCATCGCTTGCGTCAGAGTAGATCCCAGTCGCTACCACCTGGCCCACCGCCAAAACCATTGATAGGAAATTATCTCGATGTCCCAAAGGCGGAGCCATGGAGAAAATTCTCGCAATGGAGCAAGCTATATGGTATGTCCTAAAGTGCCGTACCCTTGGAGGTGTGTTCAATAGTGCAAACAGGCGACCTTGTATACGTGAACGTCCTCGGGAACAAACTTCTCATCCTGAACGACATGGAAAGTATGCGTGAGCTTCTTGAGAAGAGATCACAGAAGTATTCCGATAGAGCATCATTTTTGATGGCCAATTACATGGGAATCGAGAACGTGAGCACATGCAGCAGAGCGCTTCATATTTGAACACAAACCGATATCGGGCAGAATCTGTCATTCGCTCCCTATGGTCCAGATTGGAGGCAAGGACGGAAGCTCATACATGGAACCGTTAACCAGGAAGCGGTTCAGAAGTATCATTCGCTGCAGGAAGATGTGGCCGCCAGATTTTTGAGAAATTTGGTGGAAAACCCTTCAGGGGTTATGAAGCATCTGCACATGTAAGGCCAGCTGCGCATCACCCCCATGGTGTCTTCCTCACTTGGCATTATTAAGGGCCTCGGCTCATATCATCGCGTCGATCACCTATGGGTTTTCCATCGACACCCCGAGCAACGTGGTGAGTGAACCTTGTGTCATCGACTCTAATCCTTTCGAACCAGGATTCGTAGTACTTCGACGAATTTGCCGAAACGGAACGAATCGTACTGAAAAGTGTGGTTCCGGGGGCCTATCTTGTTGATATGATTCCTCAACGTAAGTCAGTCGATCACTTTGGCAAACAACTAAGCTGAAGGTGATGTAGTATGGTATCTGCCGTCCTGGGTCCCATTCAACAGCATACGGCGAACAGCAGAGACGGGGCGGCAGCGGGTGTCCGACATCGTGCACCGTCCAATAGAGCAGGTAGAACAGGATATGAAACAAGGAGCATCTTCGGCTTCGTTTGTTTCAGATCATTTAAGGAACGGCGGGAGCGATGAAGCGATAAGACAGCTGCTGCCTTGGGTAGCATGGTCGATATACGAAGGTACGTTTTTACCCCATTGACTGAAATCAAGGATGAAATCGTTATCGAACGCAAGCTGGAAATGACACAGTGAATATTCTACACCTCCGGGATATGGATCTATCTGACCGTACAAAAGACAGCTGGAACCATGTTGGTCTTCATGCATGCGATGGCGTGCTTCCCGGAGGTCCAAGCCCGTATGCGTGAGGAGATACATAGAGTCGTAGGGACTGACCGTCTGCCAACTTTTGTTGACCGCGGACGGTTGCCGTATATTAATGCGGCAATTAAGGAGGTGTACCGCTGGAATCCCAACTCGCCTTTGGGTGCGCCAAGGAAATTACAGGATGCGGATGTCTATAGAGGTGTTTTCAATCATGAACGGCGAGGAATACTTCTTAACCTCTTGAGCAGGGTACTACATACCGAAAGGCACCATTGTTATGCCTAATGTCTGGTGAGTATGGAAAGTGCACCCACGGAATGTACTTATCCTGCAATACAGGTTGCTCAGTCGGGACCAGGATAGTGGCATAGATCCAGAGGCATTTTCGCCAGAACGCTTTCTTGAGACGCACGTACAGAAAACGGCGATTGATCCTTACAGTTATGCGTTTGGTTTTGGCAGGAGGTAATCGTGCGTTACAACACCTAATGAAACTTGCTGAGCATCCCCGTCCAGGATGTGCCCAGGACGTTTTTTAGCAGACAATTCCGTGTTCATGCTTGTAACCAGTATGTTGGCGACCGTGCGAATTTCGAAACCCAAGGATAGCTATGGCGTGGAAAAACTGTTTGATCCTCCGTATATACCCGCAGGTCTTGCCAGGTGCGTTTAACCAACAGTACTTGAACAGGAGGGGCACTCACGTATTTGCTGAACAAGTTTTCCTTATCCATTCGAAGTCGACATCGAACCGGTGTCGGACAAAGCAGTGGCTGTCGTGAAAGGCATAGCGACGAGTATCAATTGAATGTTCGTGTATGTGTGGGTTGGCCAGGGGAGCACGAAGGCTCTGGTGCATTCTCTATGAGAAGGTATCGCTGCGTTTCACCTGTTTATCGATTGAGTCATCAACATGCATTTTATCGCATTTTATCAATATTCATCCTAACAGCGATACGAATGTTATATACATTTTTTAGCTCAAGAGATCTCGCCAAGTCCCACCTCACTTTCGTGAACGCACATCTTGCAGCATTTTTTATGAAATGGCAGAGAGGCGAAATTTTCGCTTCCACGTGGCGAGCTATTCGGGCTCCTAAGCTAGTCGTTGGTATCGATTAGACTGACGGGCTTAATGTGAATACCCCACATATTGGAGACTCCGAAACGAAATGTTGGGCAATTTGAAACTGATGCATCACTCTACCTTCATGCGCGGTGTCGACAAGTGACAAGTAGTGACGGGGCATTCGAGGTGCGTCAACAAAAACTCCTGCATAGTGTTTTAGGCAAGTCCTAGTTATTGGACAAATTTTCTCCTGAATCAGGCGATGTAAGATCCGATTCATGTTACACACGCCCCTCGCTGACTCTTCGTAGTTATAGATCTCGCTTACTGCATTCCTCCATTACGTGTCCCTGCAGGAAATGCCATCAGTCATCGATGGATCAAGCAGATATGACAGAAAGGCTGGGTGCGTCCATTATGCATCATATGCTTAGAGTTCATTAGGGTGTCTGCTGAATGAGGTCTATAGCGACTGTATTGGCACCACCGACTTCAGGAAGACGTAACGGGGCATCACACCCCCGTGACTCCCATCGTAAAGCGGAAACTCTGTCTTAATTTTGTTGGCTGATATCCGGATGACTGTTGATTATTATCATGCCGCATTTGTTGTAGGTTCGACCACTACGGACTCTTACACTGATGATAGACTGAACGATATGCAGGGCGATTTGTATTGCTGAAACAATTATCATTGTCAAGTGTTTCTTCCAATATTGAATTGTTATTTTCCACGTAGGTCCCCTGCACTACCTCCCAAACCTATACATTGGTAGCCCAAGTACATGTCTCGCTTGGCCATGTGTGTAATCCCTACACGTAAATCCCGAACCGATCACAATGGCCAGGCTGGAAATCCGAGTGTAATTGGTACATTGTGAAATGCCGTTTACGGTAAGCGAAAGCAGAAATGCCACTGACTGTAGCTCACTCAGGCGCACAGCCACACGTATATAGCCTACCACACCGGTGAGTCATGGGGTTAAGTAAATCCTAGATGAGAATTACTTACACCACCGTCACCTTGGCGGTCGTAAAATTTCTCGCATTCCATGCCTGAGCAGCAATCTGCAGTTGTGGCGCAAAGGTTGGGACAGTCACTGTCAGCCCTGAGAACCATAGACGCTGCAAAAGTAGCAAATTGAACAACGAGAATGAAGGAGAGATGCATTGATATAGGATCTCAAAAGAAAATATGACGGGGAGAGGTAGGATGACAGCTACTTGCTTTGATGTCCTGAGTAATGTTCTGTGCTGACCTTGTCCGCCTTAAATACCCATTTAAACAGATGTGACTTGCTTTGTGCCCGACAACCCACCGGTGCCTCAAGAACCCAGCACCACCCCGCCGTTGGATACGGCCTACGTTAGGTGACACGTAATCAGGCGTGACACGAGGATCCTGGGCCCGCGCCTACGCACCATCATAGCCCCTCAGTGGATATCACTGAAAGCCTGGATACTGGGCTTTTTTCGCGCATGGCATATCCACCTTACTAGTGGGTTATCGAGGAACAAGGTGTCAACGCATCCTCTCGGAGAAGTGTTCCAATTCTCAAGCACACGCCGGGTCACTACATTGAGGACTTGTCATGCATCAAAGTTACGTACCTGATCTCTGGCAGTTTTCATTTTTATTACGCAGGCAAGGCGAACAAATTGAGACCTCCGCGCGTCTGCCCTGAATCGATCGAGATCAGGCGCATGTTTGCGGGCCTGCGGTTCGTGCGGTAAGTCGCATTCTCATCGCATTGGCAGAACTCACTTTAATCATCAAGCTCAAGTATGAGCTGGCTCCTGAAACACGAAGCCATTATTTGATCACACGAGATACGCAGAAATCGCAGCCCTTCACCGTAGAATGCAAATGAATTTGATGCTGAGTTCTCTTTGAAGTGTGTGCTACCTCCTACACATAAGCATGGATACACGAGCTGACCTGATACTACCCCTCTCTTATATATTTGTGCACAGTCAATACACTGTTGCATACGCGATTTTCGCCAGCCAGTGTGGGGCTTCCAGGAGACGATGCGACTGAGATCAGCGTTATCGGCGAACATTGAATATATAATGAAGCTATCGAAGAGGCTGCCCCGATTCATCGGCATGCCTGCTGTATGCTCACTAGTAATACTGCCCTTGAAACATTAACATCATCCACACAGGGACAATAAATAGATGTCGTCGTAGGACCTCGCTCTCTGGATCAGACCAACGAAGCGCGATTCGCAGAATTCTGAATGAATCTCACCTTCGAAAGCCATACTTTTAAATCCGGGTGATGAACGTCAGTGGCGTTTGGGCGCCATGTCGATTTTTCATTGATTGCACCCTAACTTCTTATTCAGATTTCATTCACTGTGCTTCAAGAAACTGGACCTTTCAACTGAGGCCCTCGCACATGCCACCAGTACTGTCAGGGAAGACGTATGGGTATAAACTTCTATCTCGGCTGGATTAGGTGAGAGCAGCTGCAACGTACGAGACCGGTCCTAATTGACAATGTAAGTACTGCGGGACGGCGCAACGGGGCTAAAAGACGGTGTGCGTCTAACTAGAGAAAGGACTCAATGAGTCCCCAGTGGAGTATAGGGGACTGGGGAAAGGGCAAAAAGGGCTGTAGCGAACGTTGTTATACGCGGAGTTACTAAATATGGTAAGTACGTCGAAGGTAGTGAGCGTGAGTCCAAATAAAAAAGAGAAAACTATCTATGTTGACGGGCTGATTTCCAACGGGGCATTACAGCCCCATATGTTCAATTGCGGAAATTCTGGCTTTATTTTGCTGGCTGATCTGCGGATTCGGATATATTACAACGGAAACAATGCGTCGTAAGTGCTTCAGTCACTTGTTATGTATTCAAGTGTTTGAGCTGTTCCTCTATTCCAAGGTCTTCATCGCTTGAGCAGCAGTGAAATTTGTTCAAAATCAAGCGCTCTGCAACAAATATCAACCACACTGCACCAATCGAAAGCAGAAATGCCACTCACTGGCTCGCACAGCCACACATATATCGCCTACCACGCCGGTGAGTCATGGGGTTAAATTCTAGATGAGAACTACTTACACCACCGTTACTTGGGCGGTCGTATACTTGCAGGCATTCATAGCCCGTGCAGCAATCTGCAGTTGTGGCGCATGTGGTGGGACAGGAACTGTCAGCCCTGAGAACCATAGACGCTGCAAATGCAGCAAATTGAACGGCGAAAATGAAGGAGAGATGCATTATTTGTGAAATGTGATATAGGATCTCGAAAGAAAATGTGACGGGGAAAGGTAGGATGGCAGCCACTTGCTTTTATATCCTGAGTAGTGCTCTGTGCAGAACTTGTCCACCTTAAATACCCCTGTGAACAGGTGTGACTTGCTTTGTCCTCGACAACCCTGAACGCCTGGATACTGGACTTGTTCGCACATGGCACATCCGCCGTTATGCTTACTAGTGGGTTATCGAGGAACAAGGTGTTAGCGCATCCCTGGATGAATACATCTCTCGGATAAGTGGTCTAATTCTTGAGCACACGCTCGGTCACTCCGTCGAGGACTTGCCATGTTGTTGACATGCATCAAAGTTACGTACCCGATCTCTGGAAGTTTTTCGTTGTCTGTTACACAGGCAAGGCGAACAACTTGAGACCTTCGCGCGTTGAGTTCTCTTGGCTGTCACTTTACACATAAGAAAGCTCTTTGAAGTGTGCGCTACCTCCCACACATTAGTATAGATTCACGAGTTAACTTGATACCGGCCTTCTCCTATATATCTGTGCACAGTTAATATACCGTTGCATACGCGACTTTCGCAAGCAAATGTGGGGCGTTCAGGAGACGACGCAACCGAGATCGGCGTTGTCAGCAAACATTGGATATATGGTAAAGCTATCGAAGAGGCTGCCACGGGTCGTCAGCGTGCCAGCTGTATGCTCGTTAATACCGCCTTTGAAATATTAATATTTTAATGGACAACTTCACTCATGAACAACATCCGCACAGTCTCACCTTCGAAACCCATACTTTGAAACCCGAGTGATAAACGTCAGCCTTTAATTAGAGGTGACCAGCAGCCTAGGAGTCTCTTACATTAGCTCATAAGATTTGAACAACGAAGCATCACTTCTGATTCAGATTTCATTACACTGGGCTTCCAGGAACTGGACCTTTCAACTGAGGCCCTCGCACATGCCACCAGTACCGTCAGGGAAGATGCATGGGCAGAAGCTACTATCTTGGCTGGCCAGGCAGGGTTGGGTGAGAGAAGCTGCAACGTACGAGACCAGCCCTAATTAGAAATGTAAGTACTGCAGGAACGACGCAACGGTGCATCACACCCCCGTATGTTCCATTGCGGAAATTTGTTTTGGCTGATCTACGGATGGCTGTTGATTATTATCATCCTGCGTTCCTGCGTTTGTTGTAGGTTCGATCACCACGGACTCCTTCACTGAGGATAGGCTGAACGATTTATATGCAGGGCGATATGTATCGCTGCAACGATTATTATTGACAAGTGTTTCTTCCAATATTGAATTGTTGTTTTCCATGTAGGTCTCCTGCACCACCTCCCGAACCTATCACCTCAGGCAGGACTTTTCGGTGCCTATAAAGGGTCTATCAGACCCGATTTCTACGTTTAAACCTATCTGCAAGAACCACCCTCCCTCCCTCTAATAATTTACATATACCTCCCACACGGACTCAGGGGGCGTGTCAGCCGCTCGGCTCCATTTGGTCGGAGCTCAATTATGTCACCTGTGATTCTCACTGGTACCTTCTTCCTCCCGAGTGCCGCCCCTCCCGCCCATCCTGCCCCCAGCGTCTTTCGCACACCCCGTGATAGCTGACACATTAGCCCCAACGCCGTCAGCCACAATCACCGTACCACCACCACGATCACGACCTTCTACAACAACAGCCTGCATCATGGACGTCGGTAATTCAGCTGGGGGTAGGGACTGTGAGGATGAGGCCATCGTAGTTACCGGTAATACCATTGAAGGAAGAGATAACATTATTTTGTAAGAGCGGCGGGCGGGCAAAAAAAACACCAGGGGCGGGATGGGCGGGATGAAGCATGGCAGCGAGAACCACAGCTGACATAATTAAACTCCGACCGCATTGAGCCGAGCGGCTGACACTCCCCCAGAGTGGACCTATACTTTACCCCCGGAGAGGTGCCCCAGAATATCCATTTCCCGGACGTTCTCGTGAATTTACTGATTTGGCAACTGCAATCCTTTCGGGGTTTGGCTGACATGCGCCATTGTTCAGTCCGACTGTGAGAGGCTTTTATATTACAACGAGGAGGGAAACAATGCGTCGTAAGTGTTTTTTTTTTTCAGTCACATGTTATGTATTCAAGTGTTTGAGCTGTTCCTCTATTCCAAGGTCTTCATCGCTTGAGCAGCAGTGAAATTAAGCGCTCTACAACGAAATATCAACCACACTGCATCAATTGAAATTTAAAGCAGATCTAATGCCACTCACTCAGTCTGCTAAGCACAGCCACACATATATAGCCTACCACGCCGGTGAGTCCTGGGGTTAAATTGTAGATGAGAACTACTTACACCACCGTCATTTGGTTAGTTAGGGGTTAACTAAGCACACCCACACATATATAGCCTACCACGCCGGTGAGTCATGAGGTTAAATTGTAGATGAGAACTACTTACACCACCGTCATTTGCGCGGTCGTATGATTTTATGCAGCTAGAGCCTGGGCAGCAATCTGCATTTGTGGCGCATGTGTAGGGACAGGAACTGTCATCCTTGAGAACCATAGACGCTGCAAAAGCAGCAAATTGAACGGCGAGAATGAAGGAGAGATGCATTGTTTGTGAAATGCGATATATGATCTCGAAAGAAAATATGACGGGGAAAGGTAGGATGGCAGCCACTTGCTTTTATATCCTCAGTATTTGAATAGGTGTGACTTGCTTTGTGCGCTACCTCCCACACATTAGTATAGTTACACGGGTTTACTTGATACCGGCCTTCTCCTATATATCTGTGCACAGTTAATATACCGTTGCATACGCGACTTTCGCAAGCAAATGTGGGGCGTTCAGGAGACGACGCAACCGAGATCGGCGTTGTCAGCAAACATTGGATATATAATAAAGCTATCGAAGAGGCTGCCACGGGTCGTCAGCGTACCAGCTGTATGCTCGTTAATACCGCCCTTGAAATATTTTAATGGACAACCAGCATCTGGACAGGAGTGGAGGCAAGATGTCGAGAATGAAACTGCCAGCTGGCCAAGAGCTGGATGTTTCGGGGGTCGCAGATAAGGGGCGGCTCGCCATGATAGAACTATTCAATGTCAGTGCGATAAGATGAGCGAAAGTCAATTCTAGAAATGCAGCCATTGTAGCGCTTGAAACGGGCACACTGGGACGAGAAGGCCTTTGGACAAAAGCCTTTGTAGCGGAAAGGCGGAATGCGCGGGGGACAGCACTATGATTGTATCATAAGTATTGCGGCACTGCATGACATATTGAAGGTAGGGACCAAAGTATTCCAGGCAGCTAAAGATGGGCGCAAGTGCTTCAGGCTCCCGGAACTTCTGTACACGTTTTGATTAGCAACGCTGCAATTGTTTGTGTGGATACCGGATGAATTAACTTCGTCAAGTTCTGCGCTGATCGCAGGCTACAATTTACCGGCGCACAGAAACTTTTCCAATATTGAATTGACAAAGTGCCCAGGATAGCGGTAGCTAGTCGCTGTTACAAATCCAAATCTCGTACCGGATCATCAAGGCTTGACCTTCGAAACGCGAATTCTGGAAGTCACTGAAGAATCTGCTCAACTCCCACTTCTCAATTTGCATAGAGCCAGTCACGCAGGTTATGCTGCCAATGATAGTGAGAGTCGAAAGCTAGGCTACAGTTGATCATCGTTCAGTGAGCAATCATTTTTGTCGCTCATCTGGAAGTGAACGTGCGGGATTCAGATGTCAGGCTATATCTGTGTACTACCACAGTGTAGGCAGCATTCGATGGGTTCCCCAACCTAGCTTCACATTCGCCACCTCAGCGCGCTCCCCACTAAAAAACCTTGGCCCATTGTCAGCTGATAACAAGAGTCAAAACAATTATCTTACAAACTCCCAGTCCACCCATAATCCTTTTGCCAATCATACTCCCCGGTGCGCTGGGACGGGCCATTCTCAGCGCATAGATGCCGGTGGCAGCGAACGCGCCGCTTCCTATGATACGACAAGTTACGCAGTCGTTGTACAATGAAGACTGGGGGACAAAGCCAGAGCCGGAGCCAGAGTCGGGCGCCGCGGAGCTCGTTGTGTTTGATTCAGGCGCGCTCATGCCCCGTAGTTGCAGAAGAAAAGCAGGAAACAAAGTCATTCACTTGTTGTTTAAATGACTTAATTTTGCGTGACACAGGACCCCGAAAACAGGGGCTGAGAAACTGCAACCGCCCTATAGTGATATTCCGTGAGGACATTACGATTTATTCGAAAAGAGTACTTGTACAGTATTGGCCTTTGACAACATCACAAAGTAATTATAAGTAAAATATGGTATATGTATAAAACGAGGGGAAGGGTTCGCCCATGTATATGTAAGCGAAATATCAATATCTTGAAAAACACAAGCCGCACCGATGACTCTCAAGTTTTTATAAACTAACAACGCCCGTATGCATAACCCATCATCTCCGAAGGGCGTCTTTGCATCAATTCAGGGCACATGCAGCCCTCGGTCCACCCACTAGCCGTCCTCACGGGCTCGCTAAACATGATAAAGTCATCTTCAGCGATAGTGAATGGGAAATCGTTAGCCGGCGGGCCATAGAAGACCAACGATGGGTCTTGGGCATCTGGGTGGGATTGGTAGGATGAAGCAGGCAGGGACTCGGATGACGGGGTCCTGTCTGATTCGGAGGGGGCAGGAACACGACCGCCGCTGCGTATGCTGCGCACAGAAGGAACATATCCATGTTTTGCTTTGCGATGGCGCGTTAGGGCAGAAGGGTCGTGGGTCCTGAAGGTACAATCATGAGGACAGACGTAGCGCTGCTCGCCAGTGCTAAAATTGTTAATCAGATGGAATCGTCGATGGTAATAAACCTGAACGAGCACATACTGTCTGGCGTAGTGGATGTCGAAGCTCCTTTTCTGCAACGTCGTGAAGTCGCATCCGGGAAAGGTGCAGGTGTGCACGCTGAAAGGGTGCGCTTGTAAATGAGCAATCTAGCATATAGGACAAACGCGTACTTTTCCGGAAGTGCATGTCCAGCCTCATGCTTCTTCAGGTCCGTAAACTTGGTAAAAGTTTCGCTGCATTTAGCCTGAGAGCAAACATAGATCTAGACATTCCAAGACTCAATCTTAGTGTAAGAAGTATGCTCGTGATGAGGCTCACCTTTGTAGGAGACATTTCGAAACGGATTGATTGTAGAGAAATGTGAGGGGGGAGTACTTAGTTTTGCCTTATTCTCCTTGAGGTGATGATTGTGCGGCCAGGCAGGCATTTGGGCGAAATATATACGGTCCCAGGAGGTGTCATTGTGCTTTGCGGTAGACATACATTTATAGGCTCATACATAGAGGCTTTGTTGGGGCTACTATTGGATGTGAGCGATGACAAAGCGTGAATGCATTGTCAAAGGCTTCCGCGTCCGTTTGAAGTCTTCATTATCTGTTATGTGCAATGTTACGATGAGATTTCTCTTAGCAAGCACTGGTCGATGACAAGCATGGTGTTTGTAGACGAAGGATGCCTGCGCGAGCATAGTCACGGTGGTAGCCCCATCTTGGTTTATGAAAGGCATTGGGGCTCAGCCAAAGGGTCAACCAACGTCATGGATCCAGCATTGAGTGAACGCCAGAATCGAGGTCTTTGCGAGATGCATCAATGGAGTTCAACTCGACGTACAGAATATGGTCAAGACCGTGACTTTCTCGCAGGAAAAGTTTGGTTTCTTGACACCAACAAAGACCTCGAACCAGTAAGGAAGTAATCCAGTCTCCGAACCAATAAATCCCATATCAGCAGCCGCCGCCATTGATGCCAGCATGAATGTAGACAAGAGGAAACCACTGCGATCGCCTTAATTGAGTCGAATCGAAAAGCTTCACGTGGACGATAACTAAGCGCTCGACGCGTGCGTAGTTCGACTCGGCCCCCTCCGAAGGCTGCAACATAGCCAGCATATCCAAATACCAACAAGCTTAAGCAATCAGCGTTCTCAACGTCAAGCAATCAACCAGGGTCATTCGCTTCCAAGATCAAAATCCACACAAAATCCGCATTCCAGCAATTTCAAGATATATATTACACCTATACCCCGATCACCACCCAATATACAGCACAGCACAGCACGACACAATACCTAAAACAACCCTGCCAGATCCGCAAACGGGTCCTTCCCCTGCTGCGTCAGTGGCGTTGAAGTCGGCTGCGTCCCCATCATCGTACCCATATTCGCTCTTGACCCCGGCACAGCGCCCATGCCAGTGGATGACCTACTCACCCCCAATCCCAATCCCGGAGGACTCATCCCCGACGCACTCGAATTCGGAACGACATTCGTACCTCCATTCCCATTATTCCCCCCGAAATACCCAGGCGACGTTACCCGCGGCGGGGTAAGCGCTAGCATGATAGACCCGAACTGTGGTTGGGGCGAGGGGGCGTTTGGGACGGGTGATGAAGTGGAGGAAGAAGCATTCAAGTTGTTCCCCAGTGAAATGCCGGTTTGCGAGGCAAACATGGCGTTTGCATTTGCATTTGGTTGTCGGGCGGAAGATTGGGTTTGGGGCAGCGAGGCGAATAAGGAAGCTAGATCGTCTACCGGTGCGCTATGTGAGGGATGTGAGCTGTCATCGAAACTAATGAGGGACGCTTCGGCTTCGGTTTGAGTGAGCTCAGCGGGGATGGCAGATATGCTATAGTCGCCTTTCTTGAACGCCTCGAAGCGGGTGATGACGTTGTTGATTTGATCGTTAATTTGGAGGAAGGCATCTGAGTGACATCGCATATAAGGCCTACGCCAGATAATGGAGAAAAGAAAGGACGTACCTAACGACTCCGGATCGTCTGTTTCTGCATCCGAGACCCATTTCTGGAGCTTCGGACGGGCAGACTTCAATATCGACGCGACTTGCTGTTATAACAAGTGAGAAAACTATCGCTATGCAACCCTCGCAAGTAGAATAGAATATCGACGCACGTCATACACGTCCCCCGATGCGAATTTCTCCCCTTTCGTAGTATCGACGTTATCGAGCATCTCGTTGAGCAGAATGACTTTACTCTCGAGCTTATTGAGCTCCGTCATGGCTTGAGAGCGGTAGTCGGGCTTTGCATCGGGATTCGCGCCAGCGAGGGACTTCATGAGTTCTTGCGCGGCTGCCAGGTCCCGCGGGGTGCCTCTCCGTATGAGTTCCTGGAGTTTAGCAGATTGTGCTTCTCGGTCTTCCGACTCGAGTTCATCGGCGGATTTAATATTCTACGCTTGTATATGAACAACACGAGACAAACACGAGCCACGAACACACTCACCATTGTCGGGGGTGCCTCCGCGCGACGGGGCAGCTCCCTAAAGCGGTACCCTTTGAATGTGAGCAGCCGGTGCATATCCTTGATATTCCCCAAGTCTTCCTTCCAGCGCGACTCAGAGCAGATACCCTCCTTCCATCGATGGATGAGCTCTAGAATCCGTGACATGACTGGGCCAGGGAAGGGAGGCGGGCGTTCAGGGAATCGACGGACGAGTTCATTCAAGAATTCTTTGGTTGAGATCTGCAGGTGAAATGGATAGCCGCACGATTGCACGAGGGTGTCGAGAAGTGCGAGTGCGAGGATGGAGATATGTGGGTTCCGGTGGTTTGCGAGGCGTGCTATTAGCATCGCTGCATCACGAGGGCTAATTCAATGATTAATATCAGAACTAGAACTAGAGATTGGGAAGGGCAGGATCAACAGACGTATTGGCTTTCTTGGTGTTGATGAGTTCTGCGATCTCAAGGTGGATGGCGTAGTTGGGCTCATGGAGTGTCGGATCGCAGGCGTTTTGGGTGAGCATTTCTAGCTTCGATGCCCTGAACCATGGCGTACCGTTCGAACCTCCAAGCATCGTGCTCGGTGTGGCCTAGCTAGGGAGCAGTAGATGGTCAAGCAGACGTGGCAGTCGCAGCTGCGCTCGCTGTCGTGCGTGGTCGACTTGCCAAGAAATCCGTGGGAATCTTTCAGCATGCACTGCTCGTGCCTTTCTACTCAAAACCACCATGTATGTCATTACATGACCATTATCTATTTCTATGACATTGATCTTACCCTCGCAGCGACAAGCACCAGTACTCTACTCGATGCTCATCATTCAACCCTCGCGCCGATTGGTTGGATGATGTCGGGCGGATGTACAGGGAACATCAATAACTTTCATTGAAAGCATGTTCTGGCGCTGAAAATATTTAATAGGGCTGCAGTGCTTTCATCGGATATCGATGTGTCGAATCGTTGTTTGAGATGTATTTTATTCACCTCCCCCGCTTCTGACAATGTCACTTGATAGCCGTTCTCCAAGTCTCGTTCCCATCTCTTCTTTCCCACTGCTGCTCGGACAACGTGCGCAGAGTACCCTATAGCACGGGACACGTTACCACGAGATCACTGTTCATCCCCAAACATGGTCAAACGTATCAAGGGTAGTGCAGGGAGCTATCAGGAAGCTGTCCTTCGTGAGAAGCAGAGTACAGTGCACAACGCTATCTTTGACGAGGAATCCCATGATATCCAACTACTGCACACAGCCGTGCAACCACCAGTATCCAATTCTGCTAAAACCATACAACAAGTCAGCTAATCATAATAATACATGCATAAACATAAACAGTGGTCGCTTCAGTTATAGTGCTTCACCACGATACCCTCGATGAGCTCTTCCTCGACATTATGTTCCAACCCCTTCTTAAGATCAGACCTCCCATACGACGTCGTCCTCCCCTTCCTCCATGCCTCGCACGACGGAGCGTCCTCATCAGCGCACTGCCGCTCAATTCCAACGCGCTGCAACAACGGGCTCTCAGCACACGGCAACAAACGAACGTCATTGTCCGGCATCGCAAAATAGTATGCACCCAAACGATCGTAGTGGCGTTGGTCCTCAGGGGGTTGGATGACGCGGTGGATCGTGGGCTTGTAGTATCCACCTGTGAGGAAAGTCATCATGTCGCCTGTGTTGATAACCTTGTGACGGAACATCAGTACGCGATTGTATTTGAAGTTCTCAAGACAGGCGCACCAAACCGTTATCGATGTGGCGGACCCATTTCCATCTGCCGTCGGGAGCCAGAATTTGCAGCCCTCCGATAGGCTGGCTCCATAGAACAGTGATGCTGCCAATGTCTGCGCGGTTCAGGAGATAGGTGCAAGTAAAAGAGACATCGCGTACCTGTGTGTCCCTTTAGCCAGACATTCTTTGATTGCTCTTCTTCGTCCTTGGAGCGCCTATAGCTTGACGGGAGTTCATGAGTTAGGGAACACCTGAGAAGGAAGGGCCTTTTTACTATTTCATGAACCTGACTGCGAATATACTTGTCAATCTAAATCTAGATACAGGGGAACAAAGACTAACCAGACGTTTCTCCCGTTCGGTCAAAGTTGTGTTTTTCCACCAAAGTCTCCTCGGGCAACTCGAGGCTTAATGCAATCAAGCTGTATGATGCCGCTCATAAGACAAGGTGTCAACGAGGGGCTCGCGGAAAAACTGACCGAAGGATCGGGTGGAGAATGTTGAAGTGATTATGGCGAGCAAAATCATCGAGTTCTGGAAGGAACGGGCGCAAGGCCAAGGGGTGGGGACGTTTACTGACATCCAGGTTCACTGTCGAAACGTAAAAAGGCACCTATCACACGAGCGTTTGTAACACGTACATGCATAGTGCTCAATCTGGTCGAGAATTTGATTGTCGACTTTCTGAATGAAAGTTATGGGCTTCAGAGATGTTGTCCCTTGCTGGAATGCGACGCACCCAGAATTGACGAGGTTTATAGCCTGCGTAGTACCCCACTTTCTCAACATCCGCGGTGTATGTCTTCTTTTCATCCGGAGAGACGTCGCTGAACGGAACGCCTGCTACATCGAAGATCCTGTCACGCTGCAATAGGGATTGAGAAACATTGGTCATGAGTCACGAGAACGAGCCTTACCTGAGCTTGAGTATAACCGTGATTGATAGCGTAAAGAAAGCCGTGGGTGCGTAGTCCATCTCGAAGTTGCGGATAGAGCTCTGCGCGTCCTTCGGGTGTATGCGCCTTGGAAAGGTCAACGATGGGTAGGTCCGCAAATTCCACTACATGGGGAATCTTTAGACGAACACATGATATTGATCACAACAGTCTTACGGTCCTCCTTGGTTTCTGGAGGGGGGATATAGCGTGCACACTCTGGCAGGGTTAAACTGGGCATTTCTTACTAGGTGTTTACGGGAGAGGGGAGCCCTCTGGGGGGCTGGTAACGCAGGTAGATAAATACCCCCGCTACGACTCACATTGAGATAAGCCATCCGAAATAGATGGGCCACCGTGACCTATGGGGATGGGATGGTAGCAAATGTGGCAAATGTGCTGCATGGGAGCTCGCCGGCGTATCAAGTCCATTTTTGTCCCGAACATCACCTGGTGATGAGTCCGGTGTAGACAGGATGCGCGTCGAAAATTATTAACGGCAGTGCTACATGAAGAATGAAGCAACAGCTTATTGGTGGAATCTGAAAGCTAGAGGGTGAGTGAGCGGAATATGGTTGATGATGGTCGTTTAAAGGGAGGTACATTCAAGTTAACGGGAGGTGAGCGAGACCGTGATATTGATTAGCGGTGACATGAGTGAGCAGAGGAATGCAGAAGGGCGGGATAAGCAGCGCTGCGATGGATGCATCGATGAAGCTTAAGCCTGTACATTAGCACCAAGATGAGGATTTCGGAGGGAAGAGAAGATGCCGCGTCGGTCTAACTATAGCTAGCTCAAAATACTGACCAATCATATTTTGATCATTTTATTACTGGCTTAACGTTACAGCTGTGTGCGAAACTAATGGCAGTGACAAAATTTAAATTTTGGCATCCACAGTGACGAAAAAGGAAATACATAGAACAATGCGTCCAAGACGCTCGCAGGCATTTATAAACTTTTCAGACAACATTGGCGACACCAGCTAGCTTGCGCAGCCCCGTCACGTAAATACTATGGTTAACCGAAGGATCAGCAACGATCTCAAAGACTGCGCACTTCGGCTGTGGAATCACGGATGGGAATTGGTGGATATCTGTGAAGCATTTGGTGTCAGTGAGAGGAGTGGTCTTGGTGGTATTCTAATTGTGGGCTTCTTCGGGGCAGACTTCTTTCCTTTCGCCATAGCAAATTGTATATATAACACGTATAGCGAAAGTATACATAGTAGGGATGGCTAACAGTGTCTGAAAAACCTGGACAAGTCACAGAGCTTTCCCCAGCATCCAGGAGTCCCGCGTCGTTCTATGTATTTCCTTTTTCGTCACCGCGGATGCCAAAATTTAAATTTTGTCACTGCCATTAGTTTCGCACACAGCTGTAACTTGCGGGGGGACGACAATATTAGGGCTAGAAGTACGCTCTTCAAAGAAATACTGAAGGTGACTGTGTCAAACGATGTTCGGGTATAGTCACAGACTGTGTCCAACGATGAACATCGATGAACTCCATCATCATGGTCAGTGCCTGAGAATGACGACACAACCGCAGCCTGCCGCAGCAAGGGCGTCTAGTACACGGTCTCCTCGGTTCGGGAGTACTCAACATGGTTGCGACGCTTCGCTATGCTAAAATATATCAAGCCTGTGATGCCTCAATTGAAATTTCACCCTCATGTCTTTCCTCCCTCACATTGGGCGTCTGACCAGAAAATTCAATGTCTACCACTCCATCACTCGGCTCTTCCTCGCAATAACACGCAATCCTGCCCTCCTCTCCTTCTCCATCTTCATCACGATCTACATCACAACAGAAATCATATTTTCCATATCTTATTTCGCAATACTCACTGGATGGCTACCCGCATTCCCCGCAACATGGAGGATCTTACTCATGCTTCTCTTCGTATTCCCCATATTCACCTTCGTCCAACTATCCCGACTTCTACTTCCACTACTCACAAGTCGATGGAATGGAGGCACGGCCATTTCCCAGCAAGGCTATGTCATGCTCCAGCGAAACGCCGGTCCAACTACTCTATTCGACCTTGCCGACGAAGAAAACCGTCACTCGTCACTGGAAATAGCCGAAGAAGGTAGCGAGCGCTCCTCTAGACCAGTGTCCCCAACTGCGCATCTGGTGGCGCATCACAGATCGTGGTGGATACACCTTCTCACATATACCGTCCTCTTTTTCGCGAGCACGTGGGTCGGCGCACATTATGAGCAGCCTGGCGACGTGCGCTACAGAGATGCAGTTCAGTCGGCCATCGCACATCCTTCAAGACAAGGGTACGGAAAACAAGGTGAGCTTCCTCGAACTTCTCAAATCGGAGGCGACTTATTCGTGTTTCAGAGAAAATCTTCGTCGCTGCCATATTCTACAACAACGAACTAGTCATTCCCTACTGGCACGACACTCTCATCAAAACTATACATTATCTCGGTCCAGACAACGTCTTCGTCTCTATTGTCGAGAGTCATAGTACCGACAACTCCCCTCAACTTCTTCAAGCACTAGATGCAGACCTTGCCCTTTTGGGCGTGTCGCGGCGTATACTCACCGGAGACGAGACAATAGCCAGACCTGATTATCTGGGCGGGAGCGAGCGCGTCGAATTTTTGGCAGCCACTCGTAACCGCGCACTCGAGCCTCTAATGGAAGGAGGCTACGACAAAGTCGTCTTCTCGAATGACATATTTATCGAGCCTGAGACCTTGGTGGAGTTATTAGAGACGAATGATGGAAACTACGACATGGCATGCGGTCTAGACTTTGATCATTTCGGGTACGCACATCCAACTCCTCCTCCATACCCGCCATTCTAACCTTGATAACTCGAAGCGCATACGATATGTGGGTTCTTCGAGATCGACAGGCAAAACTCGCCAGTGGAATGTAAGTGCTAATCCCGCCTTCACGAACACAAGTCTAATTCAAATTCGACACGAAGATGGCCATACTTCTTCGACGAAGCTGATTATCACGCGATGCAGACCGACTCTCCAGCGCCCGTATTTTCCTGCTGGAACGGTATCGCCGTCTTCGCTGCAGATCCTTTCATTCCAATCCCCTTGCGCTCCAACCGCACGCTTTCCTCTGACCCTTTACCGTACGAATTGCCCTCGACACATCCAGCAGCACACGATCCCTCCATGCGTGGCCCCAGCCCCGCACTGACACCCCCAATACAGTTCCGCGCATCTGCCCCTGAGGAATGTTTTTCATCGGAATGCTTCTTGCTTCCGTATGATCTGAGACGGCAGTTTAATATGCAGCGCATATATGTGAACCCGAGGGTTATCAATGCGTACAAGTGGAGGTATGTCGCGTGCAGCATCCCTATCGATGTTTCATTTGTCGGGACCGTGGCTCATGCGTCATCATCACACAGGTATTATACATACTTCAAATGGTTCATGCGTCACCCTGTACTCCGGTGGTGGATCGAAAAAGTGTATAATGGCGCGTGGATGGCGAGAACTGTGTTTGTTGTGGGGGATGCGACGGAGGTGTATCGATGGGATGGGGGAGATTGTCATCCGTGGTTTTGAGCGTTTTTTTCTACGCGGACACCCTTCGGAATAGATTGCATATAGCGTCACCTGGGAGCAGCCAGAGTCTGCGTTTCAGAGCCGGATAGTATAATAGTTGCGCTAATACTCAGAGCTCGAGGATCTTTGCCTCGCGGATACTATATGCTTGATTCTGGCATTAGCCATCAATACACTCCCATGTTTGTGGATCAGTCATTTCAGAGTGAGTGCTTGGTCTTGACTTTTCAGAGGATGACGCCGACTCATCCGCTATTCCCTCCCAATCATTCTAGGGATACAAGATCTGGAGGGACCAATACAGTTTCTTCAAAGTAAAAAGCTACGAAGTAGCTACAGTCCGGACTAGACAGTCTAGACTAGACTAGGTATCCTCTTCGACGACAGCTAATAAAGGGGAATCAAAGCCCCGTATTGGGTTTGGCCCGGAGCAGGCTTAGGCCGAGGTTATACTGCTTTGTCGAGGTAGACTCGTTGGTGTCAGGTACTAGGCGCTGGAAAATCAGTTCGAACAGTCATTGCACGAGAGCCAGACCATAACAGCAAAGTGAGCTGAGCCAAGCTTTCCAAAGGGTCAGCTAGTACTAGCTCTGTTGACACATTGTCCAAGTGGTTGGGGAAACAAGTAAATTTGAGTTGACTCGCTGGAATATTTGTTGTAGTAAACCAAGATATCCTCGAGGCCGGCATATCATATTCTGGTTTAAATAAATAATCTAAGCGCTGAACTGTGAAATGGGAACACGCGTACGGGTGAGGTGGAGCGAGTCGTCGAACAGACTTGAACTTGCTGTCGCGAGTGTAGTGATGTGTATAGTATGCTGTGGCCACAAGTACATATGGCTCTGGCGTTTCTCTGATGAGTCTGGCCGCGAATCGTGGTATGGCAACAACATGTAGCGGCAATTTAGATCGACAATGAGTAAACGTTCACACTTGATTCATAGCGGACTCACCTCCATGAATCATCGTGGAGCAGTAGGGCTAGATGTCTGGACTTTAGCAACTGCGAAGGACAAGAGGTGGGCGGAACTAAGGATTCTGACATTGACTCATATGTGTTTACACCAGCGCATCGAGAGCATGGCTGAATGTCCACTGCAAACCGAACCAATCAAAACATGCAAACCTAGTAATCAGCTTGATTTTGAAATTCATCTGTCCTTCGCAAGGTAAAGTAAACAACCAGATTTACGGAAATGATTTTGTGGCATTCCATTTTGTTCATACAGTACTAGGACGGTTCGCATCGTGTTGGCTGGCTTGTATGAAACGGTATTCGGCAGCGACTCGGTCATGAAGTTCGTCTACCGATCAATAAACTTGAATAAAGTGCCCACAGGTAGGTGCTCCATTGCTGCAAAGTTCAAACCACTTTATCTTTCTACTCTCGCCATGTCTGACATAGTTTGGCGACCAGAAGATGATCCAAATATCAGACCACCGATTCAGGAGGGCCAGGTATACAGGCCAGACATACTGAACGTAATCGAGACGACCCTTGATGGACTGAGCAGGGAGCTAAGGGCTTTAAGTCTCGATATTCATGGTAATCAACCCTTAGAGTGGTGCTTCTCTTTTCTCACAACGCGTCTTATACTGACACATTCTCGACAGGCCATCCAGAGCTGAAGTTCGAAGAAAAGTGCGTTGGATCTCATCGTACGCCATAGCTATGCGCAAACACTCAGAGCATCGTCACAGATATGCCCACGACGCATGCACTGCATTTATGGAAAAACATAGTTTCACAGTGACTAAAATTATCATCTTGAGACTGCGTGGGTAGCTACCTACACCCATGGACAAGGAGGGCGCGTTTTGGGTGTCAACGCTGAGATGGATGCGCTCCCTGGGATCGGACACGGTTGTGGACACAATCTTTTTGGGATATCCGCAGTAGCAGTAGCTCTTGCAGCCAAGGCTGCTATGGAGAGGCTGAACATCAATGGAAAAGTAGTTCTATTGGGTACACCTGGTGCGTCGGTGTCTGCATTTGTGATAGTCGGCTTCGGGATAACACGGGGCAGCCGGGGATGGTGGGGATAGCAAGCGTCTACTGTATGAAAAGGGGGCTTATGATGAGATGGATGTATGCGTCATGTCAGTTTCCAGATCAGATGACTATGGTTACTAAACCTGCTTTGAAGGTCCCATCCCGCACCTGGCCCTCGTCACTCCATTAATTTGTCTCGCTCCTTGGCTCTCTCTAGCATCACGGTGGAGTATCAAGGCCATGCGTGAGTGTCTTTCATACTTTTGATCGAGTTGCGGTTTCTCATTCTTTGCGTTTGAAGCGCTCACGCTGGGTTAAGCCCCTGGGAGGGACTAAATGCACTTGATGCGGCCGTCCTTGCATATAATAACATTTCGCTTCTTCGGCAGCAAATTAAACCTACTCACCGCGTGCACGGCATCTTGGGAGGAAAGGATTGGGCTCCAAGCAGTGAGAATTTCCCTCTCCGTAGAAATAATTGAAAGATAATCTTCGAAAAACCAGTCATCCCAGACCACGCTACAATGGTGTAAGTCGATCTTAGGATTTTCCCGCTTCGATCCCTCTATTCACAAGTACAGGTGGTTGGTCCGTGCTCCCACAACATTGGAGACGGAAGATACCAGGAAGCGCGTTATTTCCTGCCTCGAGTCAGTATTTCACTGTCAACATGTTCGATTGATTAAGCGGCATCATCTCTATTCGTCACAGAGCAGCTGCACTCGCATCTGGATGCAAAGTTCAACTTATGATCAAACCGACACCCAATGAAATCAGGCAAAACAAAGCACTTGGTATGAAATCACGGCGTGCAGCGGCTTGGTGCTGAATATTATACCAGGCGATGAGCTTGCTGATGTCGTTCTGAAGCGCTATGGTGTTATGGATTCCGAATGGGGTATGAAAGATGCTTCTTCTAATTTCGTGAGTGTGTTGCCCATCTAGGAAGTGTGATAGAGCTGATGTTCCGGAACCACAAGGGGAGCATTTCATACTGTGTGTCTAACCTCTTTGACCGGGGGTAGGCAACCTTTGCTAATGAAGTTTTTGTTCGTCAGTGATGCCTAGTCTTCATCCTAATTTTGGTAAGTAGCGCAAGTTCCGACCCAACGAGCAAGATACTAATGTTTTGCTCAAGCCATCCCGACCATTCCAAATGGCGGGAATCATACCCTAGGATTCACGGAAACTGCACGTTCCGAAGTATCCCATGACGCCTGTTTGGTGGCATCGAAGGCACTCGCGGCTGTAGGCATGCGAGTACTGACTGACGATGTGTTCTTCCAGAAAGTAGGTGTCATGCGTCCTTCATGTGACTTTGTTTTGACTGCGTTTTGCAGGTCAAAGACACATTTGAGGAAGATAAGAGACAGAGAGTGTAAGTACTATCCGTCCGTGGTAGGATTAGAGGGACGAGTTTGCATATGTCAAATATAGTTATGTTGAGTCCGTTCTCTTCTGTCTTCAGTTCACATCCCAGTCTTGAATTGGAAGTTCTGGGACTGATATCGTATCTTCCTATGCGGAGGTAGTGTGTGCGGAAGACCCATGGTGCATCGTATTTATTGACGATTCTAAAGACAAGTCGACCATAGACTCATCCCGTGATAATCGTGCCCCCCGAGAGTCCGCGACTCTCAAGAAGAGTGGCAGTGCCACCAGGGCCAAGGTGCAGGAGTCTAGAGTTCCTGTCAAGAAGAGCGGCAGTACCGTCAAGATCAATACGAACGCACCTAAACCTCTCAGGAAGAGCAGCAACGTCAACAAGGGTAAGGCGAAGGAACTCGGTCAGTGCCCATCTTCTTACGCCGCTTGTTTCGTGCTCATCCATCCGCTCCTTAGGTAACAACCAGGTGTTGCTTCCGTCCTCGTCTCCAGTCACTCCCGACACCACATCGTGTGTAAGTGGTTTTTCGCAGATTTGCGAGTTCGTTCCCGACACTCGGCCGAAGTTTGTGAGTTTGGGATGTATCCCCGATGGCTCGGGTACGACATGAAATCTTGTTCAATGGGTTCGTTTTATGCATATTTGGCCCAGGAAGAGATTCGTCGCCGAAGTATATTATGGAAACACCAGATGGAAGAAAGGAGTGGATAACATTCGTGCAGAAGTGGATGAAGAATAACTCTCGGCCTCCCTTGGACTTGAAACAGCCCAGTGTCGATTCGTTCCTGAGCGTGAATGCTACGTGGGACAACTCTATGTAGGGATTGAGTCTTTGTCATACCTGAATGCCGACTGACGTACCTACAGCGAAGACCAGATACAGTCCTGGTCTCGTATACAGGAGGAGTCAGACCTGGGTGTTACCTCCCATGCTCGCTCGTTCTCTATCGACTCCCCCTTTCCCCCCCTCCAGTACCTGCAAAGCCAACATCGCCGCGTTTCGACCGCCCGCCACCTCTACGCCTGGGGATGCTTCCTCCGTTCAAAGTGCCACCTCGATCAATGACTGTCGGGAGCTACCTGCCTACTCCTGCCGAGTCAGTGTCTTCTACAGATGATGACAGTACATCAGAGGGCCCACAGCATGGCCGTAATACATCTTTCGTCGGTTCAGCTCGTGATCGGCGTCCAGCACTGTTTGGAAAGAAGAGTCTCCCCGACCTCCGTGCAGCCAACGTGAGTGATGGTGTCGACAAGCAGGCTATCAGGGGGGCAGACAAAGGAGTGGTCTCACCTGATCCACAGTTGCAGTACAAGCTTTCCATGCCCTCACCTCTCTCACACCGTCAAGACTCATCATCATCTTCTGACGGTTCTTCGCATTTCAAAAGCCGTAAGGCCTACACTCAAACACCTCCTACATCTGCATCTGCAACCTCTGGCGATCCTCCGTGGCCAGTTCCCGAAGTCGAACGACATGCATACTTCAAACGTCTCTCTGCGCTTCCTGCCAATGTGCGCACGGTCGCTGTTTTTCTCTGTTTCGCAGGTGTATCAGGCACTTTCATATTACACCACTTACACCAACGACCGGCTACTCTCATCTGTACTGAAGAAAGTCACTGACCCAGCGTTTACTTACATGATGCAGTTGAACGGTGCCCTCGATCGGTCTGACGCCATTTGGAAGAAAACGACACCCCCTCCTTCACTCTGCAGTGCCGAGCGCTTGTGGAAAGCAATAGAGACACCGCGGCCATGTTTGGCAAAGCTATTGGGATGATGTCACGCATGTTACGAGTAGTCAAGAACTGAGCAATGAGCAGGTGGCAATACAGATCTGATCCATCGCATTATGCATCATTCCTGGTTATGGCAGATAGCTGAAGTCCCTGAAGAGTGGCTATAACGACAACAGATCATGGTCACGTAAGTGCTATATAGGTCAGCGCCTGTATCCCCCTCTCCCCATCTACAGCACATTTCGTGCCAATTAACTCCAAGAATCCTGATGAAATACTACTCCATGTATCGATCCAGCAACCTTGTGGTTTTTGCTCCCTCAGGCGCCGCAGAAACCTGTCGCTGCGAAAGTTGGCACGTTCCACATCTTCTATGGGGCTCCCGCTGTTAAGGGACTTGGACAATGGAGACAGATTCTGAGGCTGTTATCGACGAATCAACAGATCCGAATCCTCGTGCTGCTGGTAAGATATACTACTACATATTGTCATATCTCAAGTACCTCTCCAAGCTTTCGCTACTCACTTGGCGCTGTACGACTTCTCCCTCAAAACATCACCTCCATCGGTGTTCGACCCACGATGCTCGGCTGGCGTGCCGAAGAAACTTGACATATCCATGAATAACAACTCTTCTGACTGGGACTGTGGTGTCATCTATGTAAATGCGCAGAACCTTGCAAGAACGGCAAGTTCATGGAATGGGATGGCCTCTTGATTCATGTCGGAGAATATGAAGACGCATTGTACTATGCATCAACCAAGTTCAAGCCGCAGACAGTCATCAAAGTTGTCACTCTCACCGGGTATGTCACGGCTATGGATACTGCACTGGGTGGGATCTACATCAGTACCTGGTTTCACGGTATGCCATTGCATTGCTGCCTTCGACACATCGCTAACCGAAATGGACAGGAGCCTTCTGTCCGATGTGCTCACCTCGGTATTACTAGGACTACGCAGGTACGAAGTTGATCGCTTATTTAATCAAGTGGTGCATTAGCGTCGTTCGCAATGCACCCATTGTTATATCTGGTTGTCAGTTCCGAACGCTGATCATCCCATTCTAGTTAACGCTCCTAACACAATACGAAGAAAGAGGAATGACCGGGCGTCCTGTTCGGTAAGTTGTTTTAAAGCAATTTTTAGGACATACATCTATCTTATGTCATTGTTCAGTGCATTGGTGGAATTTATAGGGTCAAAACAGAAATAGGTTTCAAACTTGTAAAAAAATATCTTTTGGTGGGCTGGTACATATCATGGAGGGTACTTCTGGGATGGATATGAGCCAACAATTAAGAAAATCGGCGGTTCGGTTGTGGAGATATGTCCAAAATACTGATATTTGAGCCCACCTCCCATATCACATGAATGCCGACCTCCGGAAGGTCTGGGACCATTCCCAATCGATTCAGAGGCCTCAAATACCCTAGGAGAGATGTTTTCAGTATCGGTATTGAGGCGGAACACCGGGATAGTGACATATAGGAGGTCAGGAGGAGGGGAAGGACCTTGTATATCTCAGGAACACGATTTTTCCAGGCCATTCTGGCATGACCATCATGTTCAGAGGGCTCAATAACCCCCAGGAAAAATGCTTCTGAAGGACAGGCTAGTCATATGAAGTCTAGAAAAATCGATCTTTGGGTGGGGGAGCATGGCCTTGGTGGCCAACTTTGGAAGATGATTTTTAGAGGGAAATCCGGCTCGACCAACGTCTTCAGATGGTCAAATAACCTCAAGAGTGAGTCCTAGCTAAAGCCGAGCAAGCCATATGAAGGCTGAAAAAATCGATCTTTGGGTGGGGGGAGGATGACAGGGGCAGCCAACTTTGGAACATGATTTTTAGAGGGAAATCTGGCTCGACCAACGTGTTTGTATGGTCCAATAACCTCTAGAACGAGTCCTACCTAAAGAAAAGCAAGCCATATGGAGGCTGAAAAAATCGATCTTTGGGTGGGGGAGCATGGCCTTGGTGGTCAACTTCGGAATTTGATTTTCTCATGCAAATCTGGCTCGACCATCCTTTTCAGAGTGTTCAATAACCTCGGAAACAAGTCCTACATCAACCCTTGCGAGTCATATGAAGGCTGTAAAAATCGATATGTGGGGGAGGCCTGCATGCCCTAGGGGGTCAACTCCAGCATTTGATTTCTTTGTGCAATTCTGGCTCGACCATCCTTTTCGGAGTGTTCAGTAACCTCGGAATCAAGTCCTACATGATGCCAGGCAAGTCACATGAAGGCTGTAAAAATCGATGTGTGGGGGGGCCAGCATGGCCTAGGGGGTCAACTTCAGCATTTGATTTCTTTGTGCAATTCTGGCTCGACAATCCTTTTCGTAGTGTTCAATAACCTCGAAATCAAGTCCTACATGGTGCCAGGCAAGTCACATGAAGGCTGTAAAAATCGATGTGTGGGGGGGGCCAGCATGGCCTAGGGGGTCAACTTTGGAATTTGATTTTATTGTGCAATTATGGCTCGACAAATGTGTTCAGATGCTCCAATAACCTCTAGAAAGAGTCCTAGCTACAGCCAAGCAAGCCGTATGAAGGCTGAAAAAATCGATCTTTGGGTGGGGGGGAGGGGCATGACAGGGGTTGTAGTCAAATTTGGAATATGATTTTAAGAGGGAAATCTGGCATGACCAACATGTTTGTATGGTCCAATAACCTCTAAAATGAGTCATGCCTGAAGTCAAGCAGGTCACATGAAGGCTGTTAAAATCAATGTGTGGGGGGCCAGCATGACCTGGGTGGTCAACTTTGAGAATTGATTTCTTCGTGCAAATCTGGCATGACCATGGTCTTTGTATTGCTCAATAACCTCAAAATCAAGTCCTACCTTATCCTCCCCAAGTCATATGAAGGCTGTAAAAATCGATCTTAGGAGAGTGTGGTGCTGCTGCTGCTTACATAAGCAAGAATGCGGTCCTCTCAGAGGGGGCCTGCTCACCGCTCAATGCCACTGTGATGCACCAGCAAATAAATCTTGCTGATTTGTTTCCAAGGTTCAGAGTGTTAGATCCTGCCTGTATCTGCCTTATTATATAGGGATATTGTAAATGGGTTCGGTTAAAAGTATGGTTATGTTACCCCCCAAGGCCCAAAACCAAAAACGTGTGTGTGTTCTATAGAAATTTAGTAACATATAGACAATAAAACTATCAACATAAATGATACATGAACCCTATATACGGCTAATATTTACACATAGGTACGAAGAAACACTCAGTGATGATGGACAACATGAGAGTTAATGATTAAAATTTTGTATTGATATCTACGTAGATGTCAATAGAGGTCCGCAGATAGGCCTATCATGAACAGCGGACCATAATGGAAATCGACACAGACAATATATGAACATAGTATTATGTACACACACAAAAGTATTGTATAGATACACACACAAAATGGAAATTGACATAGACAATATAGTAACATAGTAACATAGTGTGTATAGATACACACACAAGTATGTATAGGTCCGCGGATTGACCTTTGAACAACGGCGGACGTGCCGTGGGCAAGGTGATAGTATGTTATCAGACGATCTATTGTAATTTATCAGTGTCCCCCTGCTTTCTGACTCCTCTTTCCCCTTCCGTGCCCTTCATTTCCTCGAGGCTTCTGAATTTCCGTGATCCGTCACGTGGTATCAGCACGTGACGGTCGCGGACATGAAGAAGCCTCGAGGAAATGAAGGGCACGGAAGGGGAAAGAGGAGTCAGAAAGCAGGGGGACACTGATAAATTACAATAGATCGTCTGATAACATACCATCACCTTGCCCTACCTTGTATACAAGTCTGTGAAGAAGATGCCGCCGAAAAAAAGCAAAGGAGGAGGAGAGAATACGAAGGTAAGTGCCGATCATTAAAGAATTCGAAGAAAAGACTCACTGATAGCGTTTTAAAATATTGAATTTGATCAGGCTGATGGGGCGTCTGTGTTGCATATGAACAACCGACCGATCGAAGCGATCGTTCCAACGACAGACATCGCGAAAGAGACGCAGAAGCTAGACAGCCAGGTGGCCAAGTGTAAGGTGGGGGTTGCCTGGGTTGATCTGCTTGCGATCGCAGGGCGGCTCAAGTTCGGGGTCTACAACGACCGGCCCCAGAACGAGTCTGAAACGAATAAATTAGTAGGGAGTTTCGAGACGAGCGGGATCGTGTCGATGAAGGATGTTGCGGCGATCCCGCTGATCATGAAGACATCGCGTCTTAAGGATGCTAAATCACTTGTGAAGAATTTCGACGATCCGGAGGAGGTCCTGGAACTGGAGATGCGTGATCTCAAAGCGATCGTCGTCGCATCGGGGCAACATCGACTCGCCGCACTACAACGTTATAATCAGTCGCTCCTCGACGAGTACTCTGCACTCGAGACGAAGCGGGAGAAGATCAACGCGTTAAAACATCTTACCACAGATCATATCGCGACGTACAACGACTGTCACACTGCGATGTGTCGGGTGAAGGGCCTGCTGTACGGGATCGGGAAATGGGGCGTCACCATATATGACGAAGGTGAGTATTGTGTGCACACTCACTTATACGATAAACGACGGGTGTGCGAGACATTGTGTCGACACGTCCGCGGATGTGGATAGGCCAGTCTGCGGACGATGTGCACCTTAGCACACAAACACGTCCGCCGATGTCGACATGTCAATCCGCGGACCATACACACCTTCGTGTGTATACGTCCGCCGATGTAAGGTGATCAATCCGCGGACCATATGCACATTAGTGTACACAGGTCCGCCGATGTAGAGTCATCAATCCGCGGACCTAATGCCATTGTTCTTCGAATTATTTATTTATCCAAAGACGTATACTAACGATACACATACTAGATAAACTACTGGCGAAAGGGAACGAACTCGCGAACCATTTGAGCCGCAACAGCTCCTTGCACGAGTACAAGGAGACTGAAGAGGAGGTGCTGATCACGCTATTCAAACAGATCAAGGTGTTGTACGATTCGTCACCTGTTAACGAGCGTGATCGTCTCGCTGTCGAGCATTTGTTATCGATTCGTACGTCGCAGGAGAAGAACGCACGTCTGCACAAGGTGCTGGAGCACGAGACTTTGTGCGTGTTCCTCGCGACACGTTTGTTGCAGCTCGGACCGCACTTCAGGCATCGCCGTGAATTTACGGTGAACTGGCTTGCGAAGTCTATTAACGTTTGTATGGGCGTGAGTGGATTCGCTTTAGTATAGATGAAGGAGGGTCGACTCACCGTTATCACCAGATGTATCTCCAGTGGATCAAGATCCGCATCGAGACCTTGAGGCGCTTGAGCTCGAAGGCGATGTTCCCGAGCTATGCGGAGGTGACGGACCTGTTGGAGAAAGCAGACGCTCGCGATGCCGCCGCCATCGCCAAGGTCGCGGAATTACGCACCTTGCTGCTGCGAACCCCGAAGGCGAAGGACGATCAAGACCTTTCGCTGTGGGCGAACGTGATGGATGGCCTGGACAAGAATGCGTCGTCGGCGCTATCTAAGATCAGCGAGCACATGGGGGAGATGAGCCCGGTGTATATCGCACCTCTGAGCATCTATCGCCAGAGCGTGGTGAAAACGCTGCAAGACGGGTGGGGACTCACGTCGAACGAGGACTACGAAGAAAACGAGATCCTCGCTCACCTCGATCGTGTGGTCGCCCGTGTCCTCCTCTATCTGACCCCAGAGCAAGGGCAAGTGCACGCCCCTGAGCCCCTCCTATGTGGTTTCGTCATGAACGAGTCATGGGACTCGTTCGTGCGCATTCAAGATGGACTGGCGGAGGTGAGTAAATTATTAATTAGTTCTAATGACGCGCAGAACTCACCTTAACATTTCGAACGAAGGTTTGCCGTTGGTTCGAGAGCCTCCTCGACTATTATCGAATGCTCCACCCAAAGACCCACACCATGGACGACTGGTCGACGGTGATGTTGCAGAACATCACCAATGACTCGCGTTTCCTTGGGAAGGGACACGAATACAGCGCCAAGGTGAGTTTCGAGGGGGGAGCGTTAACGCGACCGAATACGCTAACTATGTTGCGTCATAGATCGCGGGCATCATCTGGGAACACCGACGTACCTTGATGGTCCGACTTACGAACTACATGATCAATATGAAGCAACGCGTCGTTCCACGAGCGAAGGACAAGAAGGAGTTGATGTCGGCGTATGAAAGATTGCCGTCAGGAGAGACTATCGCGAGCGAGGCGCTCACGAAGATCCTTATGGAGAGGAGGATGAAGGCCAACAAAAATCGGGACTTGGCCTCGCAACCTTCGACCATTGCGGGTACATTGGCCCTCCACACGACTTCCTGGGATTGGCTCAGCCCTACGCTCAAGAACGCCGCCAGGGATATTGATCCCTGCATGAAGGCCATCGCTGTCGAACGATTTCATATCAGCAAGTATCGCCCCAAGATGGTGCAAGACAAATTCATCGGAGCCCTTCGTTGGCTCCTCCAGGACACGCTTACCAGAGGGGTGACGAAGATCCAGACGATGGACTACACTGGCCAGCTTGTCACTGAGCAAGAGTGGAAGTGGTGGGATGCGATCGTGTTGAGTCCGACTCAGGAGGAGCCCGACGTCGTCCTCCAGGGCATCAAAGACACCGTCATAAGGGAGCAGCGTCAGCTGCAGGAGCGTCTCGTCCTCGAGAATAACGACCGCGAGGCAATTCAGAAGCTGGTCGCGTATATCTCAAACATGCCCTGCGCATTATCCTCCTCCCCCAACAACATCCTATCCGCTGACGTCGTGACCCCGCTGAAAGAATTGATCACGGTGAGTACACGTCCGCCGTCGCTAGTATCTACATCCGCGGACGTACCTACGACTTGACACTTGGTCCGCCGTCGCTACAATCAACATGTGCGGACCTATACGTGTCTGTGTCACTATAGTCCGCCGTCGCTACACTTGACATATGCGGACCTGTGTGTGTCACCATGGTCCGCCGTCGCTACACCTGACATATGCGGACCTATATGTGTCTGTGTCACCACGTCCGCCGTCGCTACATCTGACATGTGCGGACATGTGCATGTGTCACCACGTCCGCCGTCGCCATATACGACATGTGCGGACCTGTGTGTCTCATATGGTCCGCCGTCGCTATACACGACATGTGCGGACCTATATGTACTTACCTTATATTTCTCACTCGTATGTGTCGTGTGCCATCATTCTCGTTCTGACGTTTCTTTACAGGGGTTAGAGATAAATGCTGCGAGGAATCGTACTCGCCTGTTGAACAAGGACCCAAATATGCTCGTCGATTTGGACCAGGTCAACTTCGACCTACACATCCCCCTCTCTGATGGTTACTTCGACGATCTGACAACGGTACGTGATTCATTCAATTCATTTATATTCATCCACCGCTACATACTTATATACATTTATATCGTTAAGGGATATGGTGCGGTGCCGACGACAGATAAGGAGGGAGGTGAGCAGGAGTCCGAGGAAGAACGTCCTCCGACGCCGAAAGAAGAGACCAAGAAAGGTAAGGCTCGTGTTGTAGAGGAGGAGGAAGAGGACACGCCTGTCCCAGAGACAGAGGTAGAGCGACCGGCTGCTGAAGACAAAGCAGAAGAAAGGAAAGGCTCGTGCAGGCGAGCAGCAGGACACGCCTGTCCCTGCGCCTGCCACGACGCAACCCTCTGCCAAAACACGCTCCAAGTCTGCACTTGGCGAAGCTATGTCTGTTTCCCCGGCGACCACGCCTCAACCAGCTGCTGCTTCCCAGCCAGCAAAACGTAAAGCTCGCCCTGTCGCAAAGAAACAACGTCAGCCATCACCTCCCGCCATGGACGTCGATGAACACGCCGGGTCAGAAAATGTTGCACAACGTGCTTCTTCTCCCATCGAAGGCTTCTCTACCACTGACGTGAGTTGGTATGATCCTAACGCTGAGAACTTGAAGAACGATGGTCAGAAGGACGCCGAGAATCAAGACGTCATATCGGACGTCGACGAACGTCCAGGTCACGGTACGTCCGCCAATCAGCCTACCTGCCACCGCGGCTCATTTCTCATCTTGCCGTCTCTTTTCATAGCGTTAGAGCCCACCCAGCCAACGTCTCCCCTCTCGTCCCCTCCTGTCTCGTCCCCTCCATCCGATGACGGTAAGTCGTGCTCGTGGATCCCTCAGTTTGCATCGTTGCACATCATAACCTAACCCCCATAGAAGAACGCGTCACTCCAGTCGCTTCTTCATCCAAACGTGACCGTGCTGCCACTGGTGCGTCGACCTCTCGTTTCGTTTCTATTTCATTGTTCTCAAACCACTTGCCAAGTCAATTCCTCCACGTCCTCCACCACTGGTCGGGGCAGGAAGAACAAGAAGAAGGCAAAGATCGTTCACAGGGACGATTCAGAGGGCACCTTCATTCCTGGTGTTTGATCTTGCGTGTCTTTCTGCCTTCAAGTACATTGTTCTTTCCCCTCCCTTACCATCGCTTTCGTCTATGCTCTTACTTGCTGTTCTCGTTCACGTACTTTGTCCTCTTCTTCGTCTCTCAAGTGTCCTTACGCGTCCGTTCGTGCTCAGTACTCGCAGGTCGTTGGTTTGCTTTCATTCATGCCTTATGCCCCGTCGTTTGCGTCTCCATCCGTCCGTATATCCTTGTCTCTCGTCGCTTGGTCTCGTTTTTGATCCGTCTGTTGTCGCTTGGCTTGATTTGTACTACGAACTATGAATGTCAATCGTGTGCTGTGTTGTGTCTCATTAATATTGTCCTCGTGCGTTTGAGCGTCGTCCGCCTTTTCATTTGCAAGCATGAACGATCAGTCCATGCATTTGTGCGTTGTTCTCCTCGATCATTTGTATTCTTACTAGGTGCGTTCACGCCTGCCTGCGCATGTGTCGTTCGTAGCTTTCCTTGTATCCCTCGCTAACATCCTGTGACTAGCACGCATTCTCTCGTGGTGCGTGCCCTTTGCAGTTCAGACCAGAATTCGTTCGCTCTACCTTTGATTTTTCTTTCTTTCCTCTAGGCCCTTCGAGTTTGCTACGGCATCTCTGCCTCTTTCGACCTCTTTGCATTCGCTTCGAATTAATATCTTCGAATCAACGCTGCATCCAGATCCAGATCCCGTCTTCACCACTATTTACTCGTCTGTCTCGTTCAGTACGTCTCCCTTCCTAGCGCATGACTTATGTTGAGTCGTTGGTCTTTCGTTTCAAGTCGTTTGTCTCTCGTTCTTTCACCTATGTGCGTTCGTGTATCGTCTACGATATCGAGCTTCGCAAACACTCGACTCATACAGTCTTCTCCCATCTGTCAGTCTCTCTCTTCTCTCTCCATCCCTGTGTTTCATTCCTGATCTATCGCCCATTCCCTCGTCATCATTGATCGTCGGTCTCAATCCATATCCGTCGTCCGACTCCTGTAAGTGCTACGTTCCATTATCATATCCCTGCCAAGTCCACTCTTTTCGGTCTTTCTCGTGCCGGTCCCCTGTCGTGCTAAGCCCTTTGCAGCAAGCTTCTGACCCATAACCATCCTCGGCGCTAAATGCTAAGTCTTTACGGCCCTCTTTTATTTAATCCTCCCTCGCTTCCATCCCTAAGCACAAACTCGTCCCCCTGTGCCCATCCCCATCCCATCATCCTCCCTCCCTCATATACCAGCCCTCAACCTTCATCGATAGCCATCGCTTTGCTGCTTGCCTTTGTACGTCCATTCATTCATTCATTCATTCATTCATTTGTCTGTTCGCTCCGTTTTCGTTTCTCATTTCCAATATCCAACATTTCAGGTACCTTGATCGATCGATCGTCCGTTGCATGCACCAAAATTTAAACTAGTTTCCATTGTCGGCACCCCTCCAATATAACTAATGGACATCCCAGCTGACCCGTTCTTTTTTTCTTCTCTACTCTTTGCGTCCTGGTGCGTCTTTCTCGCCTCTTTCCTCTAGCCTTCTCCGAGTCTTTCCAATCTCTCTCCAGCTTTCCTCCATTTGCAAACTCGCACTTTTCATTCCATCCATACAATGTCTGACCCGGAAGACCGTCTGTGAGTCTCCACGCGTGTATTTATTCTACTGACTACTGACGACCCTTGCTCGCCCACCTCTTGTTCCAGCTTCGACAGCGATGACGACGATCTCGCCACCTTCACCTTTCAAGGTGCCGCTGCTGCTCGAGATGGCGATCAAGACGAGCCTCGTCCTTTCGATCTTGCCGATGTTCCTGCCTCGGTCGAGGCAGAAGATGCCTTGCCTCAGAGCCAGATCTTTCGAGTCTCTCTTCATGACCCAGGATGGTCGCACGTTCCACCGGTCGTACCTGGGAGCAGACAAAGGTACAGCCCATCAATCTCTCCGCCCTCGCCAGGACCTTCAAAAAGGGAGACAAAGCCGCCGCAATAAATTTATTGCATCGTCGCTCCCTTCTTCGCTTCGACAACGACTTGTGCTACGACAACGAAGACCAGATGCTCTTGTGGGACGCCTCCAATCATTTCCTCGACTTTTGCCTCATCGTAGGGGGATCCATTGGTTTGCACGCCTTGCTTCCGAACAAGCTCGTCGACCACACCTTTTCCATCGCCCTCAACCTCTGTCTCCCCTCCCGTCTCTTTTGCCCCAAGTTCGGCAAGTTGGGCTTCGATCCTACCGGGTGCATGATGGCCATCGGCACCGGCCCTGCATGCCAATTCTGGTTGGCTTTTTGCCCGCAAGAAAACCTCGATGACCTCGACATCGCGAACAACGTCCCCCTCCTCAGCGAAAGACAACACGGCGACACCAGACTCTCCTCCTCTCACTTCCGCATGGCCGTCATGTTCATGGCTTACGCATTGTCCAGAATCCCCAATCTCCCCATCTACGTCATGCACCATTACGGCACCGATGACGACCTAAGCGCCTGGAGAATCAAGGATGTCTCCAACATATAGTGAGTCTTCCGCATCCTATTTGGTCCGCACTAGTAGCCTATTGCCACGGCGGTTCTCTTGTCCATTTTATATGGTAATATATCATGTCGTACATCCCATTTGGTCCGCACTAGTGGCCTATAGCCACGGCGGGTCTCCCTGCCATCTCAGACATTCATACATGATGATACATACGTGCAACTTCATCTTTTATATGCACATCTCGTCCATTTCCTTATTTGGTCCGCTCTGTGAGGGTGTAGCGACGGCGGGTCATCCTCTCATTTCATTTCAGTCAAGCACTTATGGAACGCAGCTGATCAATATTTATTTTATCTATTTTATCTAGCTCGCAGGCAACTTGGGACTTGCGTCTCACAGATTTGCAGGAGCTCAACAACATAATCGCATCAGACTGGGAACAGTGGGTCGCAGATGCACCCCGCTCTTGGAAAAAGGATGGCTGGCTTCTCAGTCGCACCCCAGTAGCCATCACCTGCCGTTACGGCCAGAACCAGCCGATTGCAACCGCAACAGACCAAGCACAAGTCCTCGAAGCAAAGAATTGGCACGCCGAGAGATCGTATTCCAACATAAGGTACATCTCCGTCGCTATCGCCACAGACGTCTCGTACGTCCTCTTCGCTCATCTTTCATTTCATTTCATTTATTGATTTATTCATTCATCGATCAGATGCTTGAGGGTCAAACGCTGGGAAGAGGTCCCAAATGAAGACATCATCCTCCAGCATGGCGTCGTCTACGACTCCCCAGACCCAGACGTCCGCGAAGAGGTAGACCTCGACCTTCTCCCTCATCGCGATCCACACACCACCCGCGAAAATAACGTCTACGAGGAGAATGGACGTCGCATCCCTCGCCTCCATGGTAAGAGTCGTCGCAACACCAGACCTTGCGGTCTCCTCGTCAACTTGGAGACAATCTCCGAGTTGTTCTCCTCTTACATTCCAGACCATCCTGACGCTGCCACCGACGAAGACGCTTACGCAGGAGAACACACCTCCACCCCTTCCGTCTCCGTCTACCCCCAGGCTTTCCTTCGCACCATGGGTCACATCCAATGCGACGCTGTCCTTCCCCACTTCGCCCCTTTCATCTCAGACATCCGTCGTGCCACATCCCGTAGACCTCGTGTAGTCGACTTGGACGACGACCAACCTTTGCCAGACGAGTACGACGTCTTCGGCGAGTCTCTCGATGGCACCCAGGGCGTTCCCCCAGTCGTCATTCCAAGCGCATGCCAGTTCTATAACGAGCTGTCCCATCGCATCCGTCCTTCCGCCGCTCTTCACGACGTGCAACAAGGCCGCATCACTTCTGCTCTCGCAGGCGCATACGGCAACGCCGCAACAAAGGTCACTCACAACACCAGAGTCCGTGAATGCAAGATGGCTCTTCCCCATCAAAAATACGACAACAAGATCGCTCTCGACGACGTCCCTCGTGCCTTGCGCCTCGAAAACATTTACATCATACAGTGCGACTCAATCAAGCCCGAAAAACGCAACGGAATGTGAGCTCCCTCCCTCTTTCAATTTCATTTCTCTCCCTCATAGTTCATTCTCCCTAGGTCCATATATAAAGACATAATCGTTCCCCTCGCGCGCGCCTGGTCTCATCCCCACCTCTTCCAAGTCCTTCGCCCCCATCTGTGCGTCTTCGCTTCCCATGTGAGTATCGTCTTTCCTTCCTCTCATTTCTCATTTCTCATCTCATCTATAATTCTTTTGATTCCTCGTCGTGCTCCTTCTCGCCGTTTTTGCATCCTCGTCTCCCTCGCCGCATCCCAGGCTTTCCCTCAAGTATATCAGTGGACCACCTTCGGCATCACTTCATTGCTCGAACGCTTGTGGGCTCACCAGCTTCCCATTTTGGAAGCTGGTAATAAGCCCAGACATGAGGTCGTCGAGCTATGCTCCGTTCTCGAACGCGCCCTCGCTTACGCCCACACCGGCAACGCCAGAGTCATCGCCTCCAAGCTCATGAGGCCCTTGTGGTTGGTTCAGAGCCTCTTCGAGCAGGGCCTCCCGACCTTTTCCCCTTCCGTGCGTATGACCACTTCCATCACGAATCCCATCGCCATCAGCTCCGCCGATTGGCCCACTTCCGACAATCTCAACGTCCCCGCCATCGCATCCAAGCATTCTCAAGTCTTGACTTACGGAAATGATCATTTCGAGGCGAGTTCTCTCATTTCCTCGTCCTCCCTCATCTCTCACTCTTACCGTCCCCTTTCAGGCGTACAAAGCCGGCTTTCATATAGAACTGTCCATCAACAAACTATCTCCCAACGTCTTCCTCCGGTACACCACCCAGGAGCGCCACTGCATCGTCATAGCTTTGGTCGCCTTGCGCTCTTACATCGCCGACGTCAAGACCCTGGTCGCCACAGCCATCAAGAAAGAATGCGCCAGCGGCGCCAAGGACATGGACATGGACGTCGACGACGTCGGTCCCAACAGAGACAAAGACCGTTTGAAGTCTTTGCAGAGGTGGTTGGCGTGCGATCATCCCCTCGGCTACAAGGAAAAGGCTTACGAGCATCTCCTTCGATGCATCGTCGTCGACCCCGACGACTTTTCAGATGGCCTTCCCAATTCCTCGAAGGAGAAGTTGAGCGTCCATGACTTCGCCGTTCGCATATGCGCCATGACTCGCGTCGAATCCCCGACCTCTGTCGCCGCTCCTCTCATTTTCACTGCTCCCTCCACCGCCGTCTTTCGCATCGCGTATGCTCGCATGCTCAAATACGCCCCTTCCAACTCTCCCGCTGCAGCGGAGAAATGCATCCAACGTGCCTACATCATCGCAGCCAACACTCTTCAGATTCAGCACATCCCCTGGCACGCATCGCATACAGCAGGAAGGGGTCGTCCCTCGCGAAAGGCAGTGCACAGCTCATGGGTCAATCTCGGCAAGTCTTCCGTCCTCGACCCTGCTGCCTCCATCGCAGGTCGCAACGCCTCTCGCCCCCTCGATATGGCAGCTGAGGCGGCCAAGAAAGCCCAGGCTTCGGACGCCCGTGCCCCGTGGGCGGTCGAATCCATCACCCTTCAGTCTCTCCCCGATTTCTTCGCTCGAGACTGTCTGCCCGACGAGTTCACCCTCGACAACATAGAGTGCAGCGGCGACCCCATGCTCACCGAGATATACGAGTGGGCGTTCGCGAATTAGAGTTAGTTAGTTAGTTAGGGTTGATAGAGGACCGTAGGATTGCCAGGTGGACCGGTCAAAGGGCTAGACCCTAACCCTAGCATAGGGTTACATCTTGGGCGGCCATTACCTTTTTGGGTCACCCTAGGGTTAGAACCCTATATTTGGTTGGTGTATGTGGGCGCTGCACGCCTGCCACCCTCTGCACAGTGCAGCGGCTCCCAATGGGGACCGTCTCTGTTGTGAGCATACAATAAAATATGCATGCACTTGCGTGTGAGACGGCTCCCATTGGGGACCGCATGTCTGAAGCACCCATATGTGAGACGGCTCCCATTGGGGACCGCACTCAAGCACCCTTGTATGAGACGGCTCCCATTGGGGACTGCACCCACCTGTGAGGCGGCTCCCATTGGGGACCGCATCTCCCCACAGCACCCATATGAGATGCGGCTCCTAATGGGGACCGCACTCAAGCACCAATACATGAGGTGGCTCCCAATGGGGACCGCACTGCTGCAGCACCCACCTGTGAGGCGGCTCCCATTGGGGACCGCATCTCCCCACAGCACCCATATGAGATGCATCTCCCATTGGGGACCACATCTCCAAAGCACCCACCTGTGAGGCGGCTCCCATTGGGGACCGCACTGTCTGCAAAGCACCCATATGTGATGCGGCTCCCATTGGGGACCGCATCTCCACAGGACCCCTTGGATTAGATGGCTCCCATTGGGGACCGCACTTCTGATACACAGAGTTGTGATGCGGCTCCCAATGGGGACCGCATCTCTGAAGCGCCCTTGTATGAGAGGCGGCTCCCAATGGGGACCTGCCCTGCTGCAGCACCCACCTGTAAAGCGGCTCCCAATGGGGACTGCACTTCCGAAGCACAGAGTTGTGATGCGACTCCCAATGGGGACTGGATCTCTGAAGCACCCTTGTATGAGGCGGCTCCCATTGGGGACCGCGCCTATCATGAGCTTCGGACTTACATGCATCTCTGAAACACAGAGTTGTGAGGCGGCTCCCAATGGGGACCGCATCTGTTTACACCACTATGTCAAGCACTGACCATCTTAACGGCTCCCATTGGGGACCGCACTTAAGCACCCTGGTATGATACGGCTCCCATTGGGGACCGCATCTCCAGAGCACAGGCTTGTGAGATGGCTCCCATTGGGGACCGCATATGTAAAGCACCTACGTGTAAAGCGGCTCCCATTGGGGACCGCATCACCACAGCATCAGTATATGCGGCGGCTCCCAATGGGGACCGCACTGCTGCAGCACCCACCTATGAGGCAGTTCCAATTGGGGACCGCACATCTGAAACACCCATGTGTGAGGCGGCTCCCATTGGGGACCGCATGTCTGAAGCACCCATATGTGAGGCGGCTCCCAATGGGGACCGCACATCTGAAACACCCATGTGTGAGGCGGCTCCCAATGGGGACCGCACATCTGAAACACCCATGTGTGAGGCGGCTCCCATTGGGGACCACACTTCTGATACACAGAGTTGTGAGGTGGCTCCCATTGGGGACCGCATGTCTGAAGCACCCATATGTGAGGCGGCTCCCAATGGGGACCATATCTCTGAAGCACCCCATATGAGGCGGCTCCCATTGGGGACCGTCTGTACATGAGCATACAAAGCACATACACCCTTGTGTGAGATGGCTCCCATTGGGGACCGCATCTCTTAATCACCCACCTGTGAGATGGCTCCCATTGGGGACCGCACTCAAGCACCCTTGTATGAGACGGCTCCCATTGGGGACCGCATGTCTGAAGCACCCATATGTGAGACGGCTCCCATTGGGGACCGCACTCAAGCACCCTTGTATGAGACGGCTCCCATTGGGGACCGCATCTCTGAATCACCCATATGTGAGACGGCTCCCATTGGGGACCGCACTCAAGCACCCTTGTATGAGACGGCTCCCATTGGGGACCGCATCTCTGAATCACCCATATGTGAGACGGCTCCCATTGGGGACCGCACTCAAGCACCCTTGTATGAGACGGCTCCCATTGGGGACCGCATCTCTGAATCACCCACCTGTGAGACGGCTCCCATTGGGGACCGCACTCAAGCACCCTTGTATGAGGCGGCTCCCAATGGGGACTGCATCTCCCCAGCACAGACTTGTGACGCGGCTCCCATTGGGGACCGTCTCTATCATGCACATGAAATAAACATACACTTGTGTGTGAGACGGCTCCCATTTGGGACCGTCTGTATTATGAGCATACAATGAAATGCACATGCACTTGCGTGTCAGGCGGCTCCCATTGGGGACCGGATGTTTCACACACACTTGAAGGCACCGCCGTATGAGGTGGCTCCCAATGGGGACCGGATCTCTGAAGCACCCTTGTATGAGGTGGCTCCCATTGGGGACCGCACATCTGAAGCACAGAGTTGTGATGCGGCTCCTAATGGGGACCGTATCTCTGAAGCACAGATAGATTTGTGAGGTGGCTTCCAATGGGGACCGCATCTCCACTGCACCCCCATATGTGAGGCGGCTCCCAATGGGGACCGCACTTCTGAAGCAGCCACCTGTGAGGCGGTCACCAATGGAGACCGCCATTGGGGACCGTATCTCTGAAGTATGAGGCTGCTCCCATTGGGGACCGCATCTCCGAAGCACCCACCTGTCATGCGGCTCCTGATGGGGACCGCACGGCTGCAGCACCCACCTGTGAGGCAGCTCCCATTGGGGACCGCACTTCTGAAGCACCCTATTGGGGGACCACACCTATCATGAGATTGAGGTTCGCACATACATGCAACGGTGAGGTGGCTCCCGATGGGGACCACCTGGCAGGCACATTGGTCAAGCACCCACCTGTGAGACGGCTCCCATTGGGGTCCGTCACTTGCGTCACCACAATATACACCTGCAGCTATGTACATGTAAAGCAAGTCCCAATAGGGACCATCGCTATGGGGAACATAAGATATACATGCAGCTGTATGTGAGACGGCTCAAAACGGGGACCGCGCCCCCAGCATGGGGTGGGTATATGCATAACACACACCTGCCGGTATGTGCAACAGCTCTCCCCGGGGACCGTCCCCATCATGAGGATACGGAGGCGGCTCCCAATGGGCACCGTGCCCAGGAAGCACACTGGTAAGAGACGCCCACATGTGAGGTGGCTCCCATTGGGGACCACCGGTATTATGAGAATGGGACACATATACCTGTTTGTGCAACGGCTCCCAATGGGGACCGGATGTATCACACACACTTCAAAAGCACCGCCGTATGAGGCGGCTCCCATTGGGGTCCGCGGCCCTGATAAATGATTAGCATATTGTTGAGCGCCGTGCACCCACCTGGGCAATGGCTCCCCAAAGGGACTGCATCTGCCCAGGACACTCTCACTTAAGCGCGCTGCATGTCAGACGGCTCCCGTTGGGGACCGTCCATGATATCACTCCCAAAGGCAAGCATCTGGTTGGTTGGTTGGTTGGTTGGTTGGCAAGCACATGACCATGAAGCAGCTCCCATTGGGGACCACGTCTGTCACGAACACCTTTGATTTCAAGTGGAGAACTCTAGTCAACTAACCGCGCTGACCACACAGACGGTCCCCGTTGGGAGCCGCATCACAGGAAGTTGCTTGACGAGGTGGTCTTTAAGAGACACGGGTCCCGAGCCGACCGACACAGGTTGTTGACCAGCGTTCTGGATTTGTCGGCGGTCCCCAACGGGAGCCGTCCTGCCAAAAGCGTGAATATCAATGACGAATACATACATGTTATACTTGGGATGGAGTTCGTCCCAATGGGAGCCACTTAACAAATGTAGGATAAGTACCGGTCCGTTAGACGCAGCCCCCATTGGGGACCGCCTCTATAATGAGCATAGGACATACACTTGCACCTGCTTAGAGGACGGCACTCTATTCAACAGCACCAACATATGCGAGACGGCCGCCGTTGGGGACCCTCAACTACCTGTCTCTACAGGGCTCATGGTGGACACGGTCGCCATAAGGAGCCGTCTTTCACAAGGGTCAAGGTATATGTTATGTGGTCATCATACTCGCGGTCCCCATTGGGAGCCGTCTTACTGACCGGTGAGTGGTTATGCTGGGGATGGAGATGGAGACGGTGCCCCATGGGAGCCGCACAACGGATGGGTGGGTAGCTCATCCACACCACAAGCAGTCCCCAAAGGGAGCCACCTCTCAGGTTAACAGCCGCGCTCCCCAATGGGTCCCAATTCATTTGCTTGTGAATCGGACGGTAGCCATTGGGAGCCATGTCACGGACGGTCCCCTATGGGAGATGTCACATATGTGTGGGGTGCTTCACGAGCAATGCTGACAGATGCGGTCCCCAGTGGGAGCCGTTGTGCAGGATGTTGCTTAGCGCTCAACCAACCAACCATCATTCATAACAGCAGCGGTCCCCATTGGGAGCCGACCGACCGACAGTTTTATGTTCCCTATGCTTATAATACCGGTGGTCCCAAATGTGAGCCGCAGGTCATTTTACTGGTGGGCGTCTCTGACCAGTGCGTTGGGCACGGTGCCCATTGGGAGCCGCTTCATATGCGGATATTCAACGAGTATGCCCCGCACATGTGGTGCCCAACGGGAGCCATTTCGAATGTGGGTGAGAGACACAGACTCTACAAAGGTACTCTACAAATTGTAAGCAGGTCTCTGGACAGATGCAGTCCCCCATGGGAGCCGTGTTACGGACACGTGGATGTATGTAGGTTGCTCATGATAGTGGCGGTCCCCATAAGAAGCCGTCGTCTCATTCATTGTGTGTTTGATGAGTGTTCATGCCAGATGTGCTCACCAAACGGAGCTGTTAAGAAGGTCAGTGCTTGGGCAAAGTGGTGTTGTTCACGCATAGGTGTATGTGTATTTTATGCTCTTGATGGAGACGGTCCCCCTTAGGAGCCGCCTCCCAGGTCAGTGCTTCACGGATGGGTGTGATGCACTCGGTCCCCAATGCGAGCCGTCTCAAACGCGGGTGTCTGTGAGGCGGCTCCCATTGGGCACCGCGCCTATCAAGCAAATTGGTCAAGCCCCACCCTTGATACGGTTCCCATATTCAGCATAATACGGGTGTGTGCAACGGCTCCCATTTGGCACCGCATTTCACTTTCAAAGCATTGGGAGCCATCTCTATCATGAGCATACAATAAAATATACATGCACCTGCGTTTGAGACGGCTCGCATTGGGGACCGAGTGCATCACACAGACGGTCCCCAATGGGGGCCGTGTTATATTGGGCAATGCGACAAGTTTGCTTGACACGGGTGTCCCCCATTGTAAGCCGCCTCGCATATGGGTGCTCGACCGGTGTGCTTGATAGACACGGTCGCAGATGGAAGCCGTCGTACAGGCCGGTGCTTAACACGGCTCCCGTTGGGGGACCGCATCCGTCAACAGTACTGATTAAGCAGCCCACATACTAGATGGAACCAGCAGGGCTTAGGGTGCTGGGTGCACGTACTTGCTGAATGCGGTAGCCGGCTCCCAATGGGGACCGCCAGGGTTCAGGGTGCATTTATGTAATAGTCATGCACGGCTCCCAATGGGGACAGGAATGCACGGTGCAGTGGTTCCAACAATTAATTGGTGGCGCGTGTATGTAAAATGATGGCTCGGCTGTCGATGGAGATTGGCCTTGCGAAAGTTTCATGAGGCTCCCTTTGGGGACCGCAGGGCTGGACACAACGCATGGCGCTCCTCAGGCCGCCCGCTAGGGTGCAGGGTAAACTCAAATGTATCGTGTTCACGGTCGGATACAATGCCGGATGATGTGGTGAGGTGCGGCTCCTAAGGGGGACCGCTTGGGCGCAGGGCTCACTCAGAGTGGGGCCGGATGTCCAAAGTCCCCGTTAGGCAAGCACAACTATCGATTCAGGGCGTCTGCTGCCTCGCTGCATGAGGCTGAGGTGATCTAGCGGGTCAGTTGACGTGTTCTTCGGTTTACGATCGTCCTCGTGCATCCACAGCATCGGGCCGTGAATTCTGATTCACGGCATAGACCGGTTGGTTGGTTGGTTGGTTGGCTGAAAATATTAGAAGGCAATCCAGAGCTCATCAGCGCTCACAGACGACCCAACCAACCAACCAACCCGACATCCGCTCGACGGCAGATACCATGAGCAAAAAAATACAGACCGCCGTCATCTGTGCCCTGCTCGCAGGCAGGAAATTCGTCTTTGATGATCCAGACACCATCATGGACATATACGGCCTCGGTCCACAAATGTTTAACGTAGAAAACCCCCACCTCACGCCAGACGAACTGGCATCCGTCCAAGCTATGATGTCGGACGTGGAAAAAGCGCGTAGCCTCAAGGAGAGGTATAGCATATTTATAGGGTCAAAACAGAAATAGGTTTCAAACTTGTAAAAAAATATCTTTTGGTGGGCTGGTACATATCATGGAGGGTACTTCTGGGATGGATATGAGCCAACAATTAAGAAAATCGGCGGTTCGGTTGTGGAGATATGTCCAAAATACTGATATTTGAGCCTACCTCCCATATCACATGAATGTCGACCTCCGGAAGGTCTGGGACCATTCCCAATCGATTCAGAGGCCTCAAATACCCTAGGAGAGATGTTTTCAGTATCGGTATTGATGCGGAATACCGGGATAGTGACATATAGGAGGTCAGGAGGAGGGGGAGGACCCTGTATATCTCAAGAACACGATTTTTCCAGGCAATTCTGGCATGACCATCGTGTTCAGAGGGCTCAATAACCCCCAGGAAAAATGCTTCTGAAGGACAGGCTAGTCATATGAAGTCTAGAAAAATCGATCTTTGGGTGGGGGAGCATGGCCTTGGTGGCCAACTTTGGAAGATGATTTTTAGAGCAAAATCCGGCTCGACCAACGTCTTCAGATGGTCAAATAACCTCAAGAACGAGTCCTAGCTAAAGCCAAGCAAGCCATATGAAGGCTGAAAAAATCGATCTTTGGGTGGGGGAGGATGACAGGGGCAGCCAACTTTGGAACATGATTTTTAGAGGGAAATCTGGCTCTACCAACGTGTTTGTATGGTCCAATAACCTCTAGAACGAGTCCTACCTAAAGAAAAGCAAGCCATATGGAGGCTGAAAAAATCGATCTTTGGGTGGGGGAGCATGGCCTTGGTGGTCAACTTCGGAATTTGATTTTCTCATGCAAATCTGGCTCGACCATCCTTTTCAGAGTGTTCAATAACCTCGGAAACAAGTCCTACATCAACCCTTGCGAGTCATATGAAGGCTGTAAAAATCGATATGTGGGGGAGGCCTGCATGCCCTAGGGGGTCAACTCCAGCATTTGATTTCTTCGTGCAATTCTGGCTCGACCATCCTTTTCGGAGTGCTCAATAACCTCGGAATCAAGTCCTACATGATGCCAGGCAAGTCACATGAAGGCTGTAAAAATCGATGTGTGGGGGGGCCAGCATGGCCTAGGGGGTCAACTTCAGCATTTGATT